AAACTATACCCGCAGGGTCTGTTTGACTGAAAAATCAAGTGACCCACTGGCTCAACCTCTTTGTAGCAACTAACTAGTAATGTTTCCTCTAATTTATTTATTCTCACAGGGTTCTCGCGTAAATCTTTCAAAGCTTCCAATTGACCTAGCAATGGATGATTACTCATGGAAAATACTTTTGAGACATAGTTAAGTCCCAAATACTTGAACCGAAGCGACAGTGGCATCTCCTTGGCTTCTGCCAACATAAGATTACAAGGTGTCGATCTTCTGTATCCCATAGCTGACCGAATCACGCTGAATTGAAGCCGATCCAGGCTTACTTTGAGTTTAGCTGATAAAGGGCAAAACAGAAACGACCCATATTCTATCCTAGATCTGACTAGTGCTCTGTATAACTTCAATAAAATTGTAGGGTCTGCTCCCCACCAGACTGATCGAAGATAGTTGATAATGGCTAAAGAATTGGCACACTTTTTCTTTATGTCCTCTATCTGTTTCTCCCAAGTGAGCCCTGAGTCGAAAACGATACCCAAGAACTTAGCGAACTTAACATCAATAATCACTTTGTCATATATCTTCATAAACCAATCTTTTGTTCTCACTTCCTTCTTTTTACTGAACACGCATAGGTTGCATTTTTTAGGAGACAACTCTAGGCCACTTTGTTCAAGAACAAATGACACCTCTTTCACCGACTCTTCCAACAATTTGATACAGGCATTTGGATCCTTATTCGAACTATAAACCACCACATCATCTGCATATTCTACCATTTTACTTCCGTTCGTCAATGTCCAATGAAGCTGTGAGGTATATATTGCATACAAAATCGGACTCAAAATGCCACCTTGTGCCAGTCCTCTCCAGACCTCTCTTCTCTCTGACAACTCACCAAATTTAAAGTGTAATACTCTGTGACTTACAATCTTGTATACGAAATTTAAGGTATTACTAGGAATGCCCAGACTCTTTAGACGATCTAATAACACTTCAGCCAGCACGTTGTCGTACGCTCCTTTGATGTCTAAGAACACCGCAGCTAAACAATTTCCTTCTTCGAATGAATTAGTAATATCTGCATACAACATGGATAAGTTATCCAGAGTGGAACGCTGTCTTCTGAAACCAAATTGATAAGGCGAGAGTTTGTGATAGGTTTCTAACCACCAGACCAGTCTGTTATTCACCATTCTTTCAAGTGTCTTAAGTAGACAAGAGGCCATTGAGATCGGTCTGACTTTCTCACTGTTAGCTTTTGGTATAAAAAATACCGAATAATTTTTCCAATCCTCAGGAAACTCTCTCGAACTAAAAATTTCGTTATACAAGGTCAATAAGACCTGACGAACTGATGACGGAAGTCTTTGAAGAATTACATAGTCGATTCCATCCATGCCAGGACGCGACTTAAGTTTTACATTATGAATAGCCACATCCAGTTCTTGCCTAGAAAACTCTAGATCCAGAAACGGATCTCCTAATGTATTTTCTACATCTGGACCTTCACCTTTACACCATGCCGGACATAACTGCTCAATTGCTTCTTTTGCGTTGTTAGTAACCTTCTCTTTGTACTGATGTGCCGTAGAAGAACAATTCCATCTGCTTTTAAAGGCTTTTATCTTCTTCCATATGTAAGACTGACTAGTGTTTCTTGAAATTGACTCACAGAACCCGATGAAACTATTTTTCTTTTTTTTCTTTAAGCTTTTCTTAGTATTTTCTTTTGCCTTATTATACTCGACGAAATTATCTGATGAAAATCTTGCCTTCATTTGTAAAAATTTTGCTCTCCGAACTCTGAGGAGCTTATCGCACTCCCTATTCCACCATGGAGAAGAACCACCTGCTGATGAGTGAACCCTTGACCTGCTATTATTTTTCCTACATGCGTTGGATTGACTACGTTGATTGTGTGGGGTAGCCTCTAAACTACATCGAGTTAAAAGGTTAACAAAATCATTATATTTGCCTTGCGTACTATTTCGTTCATTTCTCACAACTTCTTCAAAAGCTTGCACATTATTCATGATATTATCATCAAATACAGCCCAATCAGTTCTTGCGTTATGAATCCTATATGAAATGTGATTTTTACCTCCAAAATCTGGTCTTTTATTTAGAATTATGGAAATAGGAAAGTGGTCGCTTCCCCAAGAGTCGTCCAAAACCCTCCAGTCATATGATGCAAAAGTTCTGTGATCCGCAAAGGATAAATCCAAACTGTCATACTTCATAGCGTCTCTCCTCTTGAAATAAAAAGTAGGACTCCCATCATTGAGCACCCCGAGCACCGAATCATCCAAGGCTTCCCTTACTAAATGACCTACTGTACAACAATAAACACTGCCCCATAAATAGTGATGGACATTAAAATCACCCCCTACAAAAGATCTAACCCCAAACTGATCGGAGAAGCGTATCCACTCAGCCTCACGAATGCAAGCATCTGGAGCTCTGTAACAAGAAACAAAGAGGTACCATTCTTTTTCAATTAAAAGCTCTACAGCAAGGATCTCTATCTTACCATTACAATCATAAATGTTATTAACTGTCCGATACTTAAATCCGTTCCTGATTAGAATGGCCACTCCACCACCAGCTTGAGCAACTCTGTCTTTCCTCATTACATCAAAACCACGTACATAAATGTTCTTGTCCATGTTTAACCAAGCTCAACATTTTTTATCTCAGTCTTCTTCCTCTTTACAGTCGATACCTCCAGATCCTCTTGACTATACTCCTCGCTGCTAGATCTTAATCTAAGATTGCTTCTGCTTCTACTTTTTCTTATTTGACTATCACCTTCATTATTATTTCTTTTACTATCTTCATCATCTTTCTTATTCTTTTTTTTCTTTTTTTTCCTCTTGCTTATATCAAAATTGTCTTTATCTCCGATCAATTCACCATCCAGCTTATTCAAAAACCTAACCTCTTCGGAGGTTAGATTATCGTCTATCAAAATATTTGTATCTTCCTCCATCACTTAACCAATATAATTTATTCCAAACAAACAAGCAAGAGATACTTTTATGATATTTAATTAAAATTTAATTATTAAAAACTGCTGACCAGTATTTAATTATGACTTCGATAAAAAAAAAACCGGTGGTTATTATCAATCAATCGCATAACCTCAATTCATGTAATTATAATATCGTTAAATATTTGTATGTCGCCATCTAATGACTATTAGACTAACGACAGTTTGTTAGTTAACGACGATTGCTTGACGATTAGATTGTTTATAACAACGAGGGGAGAGTTTGTTTATCTTCAGTTTTTGACTGTGACTTGAGTTGACCGCACGGATTCTTTCTGCTAATTAATTGCTGTCAATCATTAATAAACATTTTTCTTTATTTTCTAATTTTCCGAAGTTGTTATTGAGTCTTATTTTATATTGGTGTCAGAAGTAGGATTGAGTCTTATTTTACAACATTAATATGCCAAAAGTAATCGTTTACAACGATTTGATTTTTTTTTCTTCAATTTATCCATTTAATTATTTGACGCTGAGTCGGAAAATCTTTAAAAAGGGTTATAAACATTTTTTTAAATATACTTCTATGAGCGTAGCTTTTTTTTAAACAATTAAAAAATATTCAGAAGTAGTTGAAACAGTCCGTGAGGAATTCCGGCACTTCGCTGGCAAGCTCTATCCCCACCTTTCGTACTCAAGCCTGCATTATATAACGTATAAACATAAACATGATGTCGGAGATAATGCGATAGCTGTGTGGTTAGAACACCAGGCTTTCATTTTACCGATTAGGGTTCGATCCCAGTCCTAGCCAATTTTTTTTTTTCATTAAAATTTTATATAAATACAATAATTGGTTGTTTGTATAAGTTCAAAATCAATTCCTATAGTCTTTTAGAGACAACATTTTCTAAAAAAGAGAATTCGTAGTAACTCGTTCCTCACCCTCAGCTTATTTTACATTTATATAACTGTACTAAAAAAGGGCTTATGGCCCTGTTCGAATGTCTTCTTCCTCAGCGTTCATTAATTAAAAGAATTATAAAAAAAAAACTTAAATTCTTATAAAGAATCAATTTTGGCTTATTAAAATTATAATTACATTCAATTCCACTAAAAAAAAAGGAAAAAAAAAATTGGCCGAGATCAGGATTGAACCCTGCTCGGCAAAATAAAAGTCTGGTGCTTTAACCACAAAGCCAGCATATTTCCAATCAAAGTTTCATGTTTATTAATCTTAAACTACATGCTTCGATCCGTAGACTTGGAATTGAGCTCGTTTGTTGACATTTATACCTAATAGAAATAATAATAATGGATGAATATATGTATTTGAAGTTATTTGCAGGTATTATATTAATTAATGTTAAATGAGTATCATCATTTTCATTTATTCTAACTGCAATAGTCATCAAAGTGTAGGGCATTGTAGTGTGACACACTACATTTACATCACATACATATATTACCCGTACACACACATACAGAATTTACTCGCCAAAATGCAGGGCACCATCAGTTCTGGATACGGATTGAGCATTTTTTCAATATGGATAACTGAGGTCATCTGCGAGCATAATGCTGTCACCTATCGGAATTTTTTCAAACTAATTTTCCGGAGAATATCATCTGGAATACAAGATTTCTAATTATTTCTGAATTATTCAATTTTATACTATGAATTGATTTTTTTGACATTCAGACAGGTGGCAAGGACTGATGCAAACACGAATTTTGGGCGAAAAACGTATAAAAATAGAATAATTAGTGATTTTTCATCTGAATGATGTGGCCGCCATCTTGGAATTTAAGCGCGGCAAGTCAATTCATAATTTGTTCATTATTCTTTCTAATTTTTTCAATAAAAATATTCACTACGTACAAGAAGTTATTGTTTACGTCATTCCGGCATTAATTCCTCTGTAATTTGGTACCTAATTTTATAGAAATAATTGTAAATTGGCGAAGAAATTAGAAATTTCCCGATCCCATGTATTTGGATAGGGGGAATCAGTCGCCTTTCTGACTTCAGCCCAGCCTTAATTTAGATGTGGAATCTCTGTTTGAAAGAAAACTACTCCATTGATAATTGCTCGGATCGTATCAAAGTTTTTGATGAACCAGGCATTAATGACACCGAGTGTACACACATAAATCTTCCATAGTTGTGGAAACTTATAAAATGATGTTATTTTTAGTTTCATTAATTTCTAATTGAATTTTCTAGTAATGAATTAAATATTCATTGTGATCAACATTTAATATTTAATTTAAAAAATAATGAAAACAAAACTAGTGTACAGGTTAAGTTAAGATTCTTTTGAACTTTTTCACCAGTTATACAATAATTTTAATTTTATGCAATATATTTATGTATCAACATATTAATTTTAGAAAGTGATAATTGTAATTTTTATCAATTTAATTTTCTTAAGTGAAAGATAACTTATCAAACTTTTAAGATTTGTTATGAATTAAGTACATCATTTCATTTTTAATTGTGTACATATCAAAGTAAATCATAAGTGTTTTACTGTAATCATTTTTATAATTATTCATTTTCAAAGTCAACTGTACTAACATCAATATGAATATTATACATTTTGGAGTTTTTATGACAGTTAATCGATCTCAAGAGATTATTAGACGAAACGTTCATCATATGTAATAAAAATTCAACAATATTTAATATTAACACTATAAATGTAAAAAATTTAATCATTCTTATTTATTTCAGGTGCAAATTTTTAGTCATTGGAGGTGGTACAGGAGGATGTACAATGGCTGCAAAACTAGTAAATAGGTTTAACAGTCCACCAGAACATGTATTAGTTCTTGAACCTAATGAGGTAGTTTTATTAAATATAATTTTATGTATACTTCATTATTTCAAAATTAAATTTATTGTATTTCAATATAACTTTTTTATTTAAAGATTCATTATTATCAACCACTATTTACATTGATTGGTGGAGGATTAAAAACTTTTAAATCTTCAAGGAAAAGGATGATCGATGTTTTACCACGAAAAGCCCAATGGATCAAAGACAGTGTTGTTGTTTTCGAACCAGATGTCAATAGAGTTTCTACTAGCAGTGGTGTTATTATTGAATACGAAATAATGATTGTTGCTATGGGATTGCAATTATATTGGAGCAAGGTATCATTACGTTTTAATTTATTTTTAATTAATTAAATATAATCTTTATACTGAGTAAGATATTCTTATCATATTTTACCACTTCAAAAAAAACCAACGTAATTGTTTTCTAGAAAGAAATAATTTTGAAGAGTTGCTGCTTCAAATTGATATTTTATCCATTAAACTTTTCATTATATTCCTGGAATTTGCCTCTATTCTGGATACGATTATAATGCTGAAAGTTTTTTATTCATTAACGATAATTAATACATGATACTTTTAATAACTAATATTACTTTGATTTTTTATAGATTCCAGGTTTAGTAGAGAATTTGAAAAATCCAAATGCACAAGTATGTTCAATTTATGGTTCTGACACAGTGAATGATGTTTTCCAAAAAATACAAAATACCCAAAAAGGTCCTGGTGTTTTTACTTTTCCAAATACTCCAGTCAAATGTCCTGGTGCACCACAAAAAATAGCTTATCTTGCTGAAGAATATTGGAGAGACGTATGTGTTACTTTCAATAGCTAGTAATATTAATTTTCATTTTAATGTATCGCATTTAATTTTTTAGAAAAATCTTCGTAAAGATATAGATGTTATATATAATACAGCTCTTCCTAATATTTTTGGAGTAAAAAAATATGCCGATGCTCTTTGGGATGTTTGTAAAAATCGTGATATTAAAGTTAACGTTCAAACAGTTTTAAGTGAAATACGGGGTGATAGTAAAGAAGCTATTTTTATTAATTTAAATAAACCAAATGAATTGATTATTCAAAAGGTAAAACAATAATACATATAATTGTTTTTCATTAATAAGGCTATATTGTAGAAATCATTCTTTTAGTACGGGCTTTTACATGTTTGTCCTCCAATGGGTCCTCCAGAAATTTTGAAACAACATACACAGCTGACAAACTCAGCAGGTTTCTTGAGTATAGATCCACATACTCTTCAACATACCACGTATAAAAATATTTATGGGATTGGAGATTGTACTTCAACGCCAAATTCTAAAACAATGGCAGCAATTGGTAAATCAATTTTATCTCAAAAGAATAATTTGAACAAATTTAACAGCTATAGGACTAAATAAAATTTCAGCATCTCAGTCAAAGATTCTTTATGATAACATTATGAATGATTTGTCTGGAAAACCAATGACAGCTGTATACAATGGTTACGCATCATGTCCACTTGTAACAGGACGTAACAAGTGTATTTTAGCAGAATTCGATTACAATCTTAAACCATTGGAAACATTTCCAATTAATCAGAAAAACGAATATTGGGCCATGTTTATGATGAAAAAATACTTTTTTCCATTTCTTTATTGGAATTTCATGTTGAAGTAAGTTTATTTTGTGATTATTTCCCATTTTTAATGATAAATTTTTTACTTAAAATTCCAAAACAAGAATTTTTTCATTTTTAGAGGAAAATGGAATGGCCCGGAAATTTTTAGAAAAATTTTTTCACCATTAAAATCAAAATAAGATGAAACATCTTATCAATCATCATGGTTTGATTAATTTTAGAATTGAATTTAGCGCTTCTACTTAACTGATTATTCAGATAAGCAGCACATAGATAATTTATAATGTTTCATTAATAAAATAATTCTGTAAATAGAATGTAAATACATTACCTCTATATACCGACAATTTTACATGTGATTTATAATAATAATAAAGATAAAGAACTGTTACAATTGATTTTTTTGATATTTAACTGTTTAACTGACTAACGTTGTGTTTAGCTGCCATTTGACACGTTTGATGGTAAACGTAAACATGGACGGACAATTGTTGGTAAATATTTCTTACTCTATACAAACATAGTAGGTTATCTATAATTAGTAAAAGTTCAAAAGTCTAAAATAAATTTTATATAATATAAAGCAGTGTATTGATGTTTGTTGAAGAATGAATCGATTGCACTTATCGACAATTAATGACCATAACCTCTCTGCAATGGTTCAAACTGATTCAGACAATATGAAGTTTCACGTACATAATTTTACATTAAGTTTTTCTGTGCAAAATTAATTTTATTAAAATTTTATTGTTGTTATTTATCGAGATAGTAGTTGAATTTGACTTTGTTATTGTTATAATTTTTCTTTCATAGGAACCAACTCTCTATACAATAAAAGGAATAGCAATTTTAGACAACGATGGAAACAGGATATTAGCAAAATACTATGATAAAAATATATTTCCAACAGCTAAAGAGCAAAAAACATTTGAGAAGAATCTATTTAATAAAACTCATCGTTCCAATACTGAAATAATTATGCTTGATGGATTAACCTGTGTCTATCGGAGTAATGTTGATCTTTATTTCTACGTAATGGGAAGCTCGCATGAAAATGAAGTAATGATAAAATATTGAATATTTAGTTTTTTTTTTTAATTAAAAAAACTTTATTTTCTTATTGAGTACTAAAAATGTTTCTATTATAGTTAATTTTAATGAGTGTTTTAAACTGCCTCTATGATTCGGTAAGTCAAATTTTGAGAAGAAATGTGGAAAAAAGAGCAGCATTAGACAGTTTGGATATAGTAATGCTTGCCATGGATGAAATATGTGATGGAGGGTAAGTTGAAAATAATTATCATTATTTTGAACGATGTCAATTTTAATAGATTTTTTTATTTAAGTATAATTCTTGATGCTGACGCTGCCAGTGTTGTTCAAAGAGTTGCATTGAGAACAGATGATATTCCATTAGGAGAACAGACAGTTGCACAGGTGAGGAAAATGATAACTAATCAATAATAAAAATACACAAGTGTTTACTCATTATTTGTGTCATTTGCATGATTTTTTTTTTATTTGACACACGTTTTTCTGTACTTGCCTTCTGTATTTGCACAGTCAATACTTGTAAGTTGTTTCCTTCAATTTTGTAATGTATCAAACGAGTTTTTTCATAAATGTCTTTACTCTCTTTTAGGTTCTCCAATCCGCTAAAGAACAACTTAAATGGTCTTTATTAAAATAAAAAAAGTTTAATAAAATCAACTAAGTAATGCTATTATAAAATTACTACAAATAAAATAATTTTATATATACATATATAAAAGGTAACATTTGTCCTTTTTTTCTTTAATAAAAATAACAAAATTCGATTTCTTAACACAAATAAAATTGTATAAATGTAAATTACTTATACAATAACAATTTTAATGCTAATTCTTGTCAAGCCTAATTTAACATAAAAAGTATTTATTTATATATATATATCAAACTTTTAAATATACAAAAAATATTAATGCAACAAAAATGCATATATTTTATGCTTTTAATTTATTAAATAGATTTTATTATTGCTAAATGCTAAGTCTGAAAAAAAATAATTTATTATTATGATTTCAATACCTAGAAATTGAATAAAAAACAATGCAAATCAAATTCCATTTTTCACTTTTACTCGTCACTGCAATTATTTTACAAGCTAATTGAAAATTGTGACCATCCGGTAAATAACTTTCCTAATTCAACTCTATACTCTAAAATCTCTTGAACTGTTGACGATTTTTTGTTTTACTATATTAATTAAATAAAAATAAAATCGTACTACCACCTTTTTTAGCAACTTTTTAATTGAAATTAAAGTTTTATTCAATCTTTCTTTTCGTCGTTTAAATTTTACCGCTTGACTGCTGGCCATATTGGTAATATTGCGCATCCCACAATACACTGCAGATGGGCGCGTGCCACCATTTTTAAAGAGACAATCAGTAGTAGATTGACGGTCGTTCTGTTTAGATCGAAAACTTTTTCATACAATAAAATTTCATAAAATACAAACATAAAGTTAAAAAAATTTTTAGTGTAATAGCAATTTTAAAGAACTTTAAACTAATTACATTATTTTCGTGTGAACAAAAGAGTTATAGTTGATTATTGGTAATTGTGTCGAGAATTATTACATTTTTTGCTATTGGATGAAGCGCAAAATGTCGATGGCGTAATCGAGTTATTACAATTATTTATTTATCTTGCGGCGTTTTTATTACACACCTCGAACAGGAAGTTCTTGCGGTTATTTGGTCAAGTAGCCATCTGATAATAATAAATAATTTGACAATAACACAGTACACCATAGAGTAATTAATAATTATTAAACGTGAAAAAGTTTTAAAAAATAATTTTGAAAAATGTCGGGGACACTACATTCATCTGGCGGGCTCTCAAAGCTGAAGAAGAAACACTTTCGAGTTAAGCATCAAAAGGTCAAGCTTTTTCGTGCCAACGAGCCACTCCTAAGTGTTTTTATGTGGGGTGTCAATCACACAGTAAGATGATAATCAATATTAAATAATAATTTTTGTCCCTTAACCTCCTTGGTTACAATCCTTTTATTTGTTTCAACGCTTTCATTGCTCACTTGTTGAAAGAATAATTTCTTCAAAGAAATCATTATTTCAATTGATCAATAAATTATTGCTATAATTGATAACAATTGTAGATGTTATTGCTACTTAGGAAGACAATTAATGCTAATTGATATAATATAAGACTGAAAAAAGTGCTCTAGAATCTGAACTAATAAGGAATAAATGTCGACAATGTCGCGTGATCTAAACTACTATTATTATGATTCTATATAAATTCATTTAACATTGATTCTAATTGACTTTAGTATCAGTTCATAACATTGATTTCATAAATATGTTGAACTATAAAACATACACAGCCAGATTTTATTATTATGTTCTAAAAGATAGACAAAGAATTTAACAAAAACTTATATATAAATATTCTGATGAGTAATAAGCAATGTTAAGCAATGAGTTGATTGTTAATTATCATGAAAATCTATATTTATAATATTGCAATTCTTATAATATAACTGATCAATTTTCTTACAGATTAATGAATTAAGCCACGTCAATATACCAGTTATGCTGCTCCCAGATGATTTTCGAGCTTACAGTAAACTAAAAGTGGATAATCATCTTTTCAATAAGTAAGTACTAATACTTTTTATTTTTTATGAGTTATAAAATCATCAATCTTAATAGAGCCGGAGAGACGTATCTATTGAATGAATAAAAGAAAAAATGAATGAAAAACAGTTTCATTTATTGAAAGGGGTACAAAAACAACCTAAAACTTCAAAATGTGTTTATCGGTAACTAGCAAAATAGCTTCATTCTAAATATATCAGTTTAATAGTAGATTGCTGAGTATCTGATTGTAATAATAGAAACATTGAAGGTCTCCAGCATTAAAACAGCTATTTTTTAATAAATATATTTTGGCTCTTTATCAGATTAACTAAGTTGTTCATATTTGCTTGATATATAATTTAATATAAATACTTATTCCATATTTAACATTCATAAATTTAGGATGATCACTCAGGTGAAACCTATTTTGACATTAGAATTTATTACGTGATGATTAAAAATGATATTTACTCAGTTACACCTGTTAAAAAAAACTTTATAAATTGTTTTCCTTGTTTTTCTACCAACTATATATTGATCTGTTCCTTCATTTATTATTCATGGCTTATCAATAAAAAAAACTTTAATGCAAACTTTTATCGAATATTATTTATTATTTAAATGATATTATGTTTATCAAAACCTTTATTTTGTAATTATTTTATTAAATTTTTCAAAATTATTTGTCATTAAAATTCACTAAAATTCAAATGATTGATTTTTTATATAAATTTATTCTTTCAGAGAAAACATGCCATCACATTTCAAAATAAAAGAATACTGTCCTCTTGTATTCAGAAATTTAAGGGAAAGATTTGGTATTGATGATATTGATTATAAGGAATCAATGACCAGGTAAAGATAAATATATGTTTGTGTAAATATAAAATTAATTATCTTATTATTATTTAGCAAACTGAATAAATTTATGACTAATCTATTTCTTATTAGTATAATTGAAATTTTGGGTAAATATTTCATTTTTAATTTCATTGAACTTTCATCCGCTCATTTATTATTCAACAGAACAACAATAATTTCGGGATAGATAAGTAAAAAAAAACTTTCTGTATAATGTAGATGTCGTGTGTTTAATCCCTCGCGAGCTAATCGGCGATTGAGAAAGCCACAAAATACTGAAAGTATTCAGGCAATCAACGAAAATGGAAAACTACATCAAATGGTACAACGATCCGCTACTGTTCCTTCGATAACAATATCGGCTCCTAGCTCCGCGTCGCAATTACCGAATATTACTAAGCCACAACGTACCTACAGTTTTAAACCAAAACGTCTGAGGTTTGACATTTTTATTTTGTTTCCCTCAATCATGTTTTATTTACACCTTACTTCTCCTATCTATTTTATTCGTGTCGTGATTGAGTTGTAATTAACGAAAATGATCATTCATTTGTTTTTGTTTGTCAATCGATGAAATTACACTGGTCTACTATAATACCATTTTTTTATCTTTTAAAATATTATATTTAATTATGTTTTTAACATAATATCAAATTCTCGCGTCAATTTTTCTTAAATATGTTTTTTCTAATATTATTGAAATATTTAAATACATAAAAAATTCTTTAATTAAAATAATATTGGCTAAATTGAAAAGAACATTTTCATAAAATATTGAATTATGATACTAGTGTTCCATCGGAAATTTTTTTTAAATAAATTACAATAAATATTTTCCGATATCATTCAAAAGTCAAAAACAAAATTTAATATCAACATTCACAACAAACAATTTTTGTTCTCAATGTATAAATTTGAATGTATCAGAAATAAATTTTCGTTATACTACAATTGTAAACAATCAAATAATGCAAAAAATTTAGAGTAAACAAACCAGTTTACAAATATTAAAATGAGTTTCGAATTATATCTGGTTTCGATTTGATAATATTAAAATGAAAAAAATCACGATGATCTGTTATTATTTAACAAATTAAATGATGCATTTCCCAATATGATAATAAATTTTTTGGATATATAAACTAAGAGAATTTAAGTTCAGAAAGAAAAAGAGTCAACTGAACGTAATTTATTCAACAATGACTATTTGCTTAACTAATATAATATTGAGTTATAATCTTAACTCAGAAAAAAAATTTTTGAATCTTAAATGAACTTTAAAATTCGAGCTAAAAGATATCTCTTTGTATAATCATAGCAAAAAATTTTTGAATTCTTTGAATATTTTCTTTTAGATTTTTATATAATTATTTTTAATATTCAAGACAAATTGTGTACTTAAAGAGTATATTTTAATATATTCATTACGTAAATCGATAAATAAACTTTTTTTTAAATCAGTATTAACTGAACAAATTACTGATAATTTTATAACGACTTTGAAAAAAATTATATCATGTTAAAGTTTAGTTGTTTTTTTAAAAAAATGTTCTAAATTTATTTTGAGAAAAAATTATGTTTTTCTCTGAATCAACCAGTTTAGAGACTTTTTTTAGTGAATAGTACTTGTGGAAAATCTCAAATTTTCAAATACTTATATTAAAGATCGAATGGTTCAAAATCAATGGTCTATCTATCATAACTATATTATCATATTATGTTTACATAATTTCGATTACAATTACACTTATTAAGATTACATTAATAATCTAACGTTTTTGTTTGTGAATCAAACAAGAAATTGTTTAGTGCTCTTCGACTATATATTAAATAATTGACCAATTGGCTAATGTTGATATTGCAATTTTCAATATGAAATTTAAAGAATTTAAATAAGTATCAAAACGATTTTTTCATTAATCTGTGGACTGAATATTCTATTCAATACAGTTGTTTCTTAAAATAAAGCTGGTGACAATCAAATAATTTATTTCATTACATTTAAAATTTTTAATTTTAATCTTAATTTGAAAAATTTTCAAACTTACAAAATTCATATTTTTTTATTGATTAAAAAAAGAAATTGACCAGTGTTATCATGTCATTAATAATTCCCTTTTTTGATAAAATCAATTTTCTTAATAAACAATTGCAAATTGCACTATGATGATAAAATTAACAATAATTAATAATAAATGAATTTTCTTGAAAGGGTGAAAAATTTTTAAACTCGCACAGCAACAGCACCATCAATATTTTTTATAAAAATTAATCTGCTTAAACACATTTAAACATAAATAAGCAATTTATGTATACACTTCGACATGACAAGCTTTTCTTGACTGTTGCTTGGCTTATAAATTAATTGCGTTTCGAATCGATTGCTATGTAACTTATTGTATGTCACTACATCAATATTATTCAAGTTTAATCTACTTTTTTGAAAGAATACTTTAACAATGACTTAAAAGTATTTATTATATGATAATAATTTTATTTTTTGACAATTGAAAATAATATTAATACCGTTTTGAATTTGAAAATGTGAATGAAGAATAGAAAAAATAATTGATAAATTTATTTGTCAACATATATTTATTAATGTTCGTTTTTTTAGATCACAACCAACGCTTGATGATTCTTCAGGTAAAAGCGGCGCTAAATTTTATCAATCTTACGACAAATTATTTATTATTAAGACATTAACGAGTGAAGAAGTGGAAAGGATGCACTCATTCCTTAAACATTATCATCCAGTGAGTAATGGTTAATAGCATTTTAGTCATTATTGGAATTTACTAAATAATTTTTTTGATTTTTTATCACTCATTTCAAAACAAAACAGATGTATATTATATTTTCTATTATTCAATAAACTGTAGAATTTTTTATTTTTCAAAATGGATTATTGAAAAACTTGATAAAATTAAGTTCTTTTTTTCAGTATATTGTCGAAAGGCATGGAAAAACTTTATTACCTCAGTATTTAGGAATGTATCGTCTTACAGTTGATGGTGTAGAGCATTATGTAGTCGCAATAAGAAATGTTTTTTCCAATCACTTAACAACGCACAAAAAGTTTGACCTAAAAGGTTCTACAGTTGATCGAGAAGCATCTGACAAAGAAAAAGAGAAAGATTTACCAACATATAAAGATAATGATTTTGTTAAAGACGGTATGAAAATTTATATAGGTGAAGAAGCAAAAACCAAGTTAATTGAAACTCTCACAGCAGACGTAGATGTAAGTATAAATAAAAAAGCATCAATAAAAAAATTTTTTATTAATTATTAATTTTTTTCTAATTTATTAATTAATCGTTTTATTCAAAAGTTTTTAACGCGATTGCATTTGATGGATTATTCTTTACTTGTGGGTTTACACGATTGTGCACGAGCTGAGCAAGAAAACCGAGAAAGAGCAGAAAGAGAAGAAGATGAAGATAATCATGATGATGAAGAAGACAGTGAATCCGGTAGTGGTATAGATTCTAGGGGACCTGGCACTGAGTAATTACAATATAACTCTTTTTTTTTAATAAAACATTTTGAATACTTAATTAATTTTATCCCTTGAAACAATTAATTATTTTAGAAGAGCTTGGGGATGGGGTGGAATTACTGGGATGACAACACCCCCAGAATCACCTCACACAGGATTTATGAGAGAAATGAGTCTTCAATATGAAAATTCGATTATACCTGAACTCGATATATATGCTATTCCTAGTTCAGAAGGTAATTCGTCAAGAAACTTTTTTTTAACATTCATTGAATCTTTTGTGACTATAGTATAACTTGATATTAGTATAACTACTTTTACTGATAAAATTGATTTTTTGATGATAATTTGATAACAAACAAAAATAATAACAATAATATAAACAAAAATAATGTCAATTATTTGTTCCAGGAGCTCCTACTAAAGAAATTTATTTTTTGGCAATAATTGATGTTCTGACGCACTATGGAGTGAGAAAACAAGCAGCAAAAGCTGCTAAAACTGTGAAATATGGGTCAAACGTTGATGGTATTTCTACTTGTGATCCAGAGCAATATGGCAAGCGATTTATTGAATTTATGAGTAAAGTTATCGAATAAATCAATGTTTATTATCTATTTGACTGAATAAATGTTGAGAGATTAAATCAAATGGAAAAAATTGTTACTAATCTATTGCTATTGCTAAGTTCATGTCGATGGTGAGAAATTAGAAAATTCAATTCAAATCTATATTGTAGTAACAATTACAAATATTACTTAAAAAGACCATTTGTTATATTCGTTTATTTAAAAGATAGCAAGTATAATAAAAACATAAAATCAGTTTTTTGTGAGTAAATAACAACTGATCTATTCCATTTCTGCGTTTTACATGATTTAAAGTGTTTAAATTTTAAATGTAAGCTTCATTGAATGTCTTTTAAATATTTTTTTTGATTTTCTTACGATGTTTTTTTTTTCTATAATCTCAAATTAGTTTATACAATAAAATATATGGTACTAAGATAAAAATAATGTCAATATTGAAAAATATTTTAAAATCGAAGAAAAAACTATTAGTAATTCGCAGAAATGAAGCGGAATGGAAATGAAATAAAACATCATTTTCAACAAAAAACTAGATTATAAAAAAAATAAATACAATAAACCAATAATACTAACGCGGTTGTTTATAATTTTTTATAATTCATCTAAAAACTAAATACTAGTATAACTAATTCTATATTTTTAAGATTTTTCATCTAGTCTCAATTTTATAAATTTATTTTTACTATTTGTTTGTGTTGTAGTTTCAATATAAAATTTTTCATTTCCATTTTTTCTTGAAAATTCTATTAAAAGAGATTACATATTATTAAATGTTAAATCTCATATTTTTACTGTAAATTCAAAGAATATTGCAGAAAATAAAAGAATACGCTCAATAATTTTAATTACATACTTCTAATGGTAAATTACATAAATTAAATGTAAGCGAATTTAAAAAAAAAAAATTTTAGTTATTTTATAGTTTTTTGCTTTTAGATTTCAAATTATGTGTATAGTTCATAAATTTTCGAATTAATATCACTACAAATATTGTCTGTTAATTTTTTATTGCAAAAAAATCTTTTCATTTTCTAAAATATGTTGATAATAATTTTTTTACATCAAGTTCATTATTATGAAAAAATGCATCAATTATTTCATTCGTATTTAAATAAACAACACTTATACGTATAGATATGAAAAAAGTGTATATGATATGGTGTGGTTTTATGAATGTGTGTGTGTGTGTGAGAGAGAGAGAAAACATGAATAACAATACTCTACAGATTTGGAAAATTTAGATTGAAAAATAGCTTGTATGTGACGCTGTATTATAATTTACGGTACAAAAATTTTAAAATACAATTTTTCAAAAAATAATAAAAACAATGACAGAATGATGCTCTCAACTGATCTAAGATGATTTATTATCAAAATCATATCAAATTATAAGAATATTATGTTCTCTTAAAAATCTAGAACAATATATACATTTTTTTGTTTTATCATTTTTTTATTCATACAAGTTTTTCAATCGTATTCAAATAAAAAAATATTCAAAAATTTTGATAATGAAATTTATTTATTTTTTGTGATAATCAAATATAAATTAAATAAAAATACTCTGCAAGTAAAAATAACGATAAAGTTATAAATGTTCATTAAAATTTGTTCCAGCTTTCTATGAAGTTGTAACCAATGTCCATTTTCTTATTTCAAATAATTTGTATTTGTATGAATTTGCTATCTAAGATTTACAAAGTATCAGTAAGAGATTAGGTGATAAAGAAGACTTAACATGATTTTTTGTAATAAAATAAAAAAATTAATTATTATAGCTATTGCCATAGGTAATCTAATCAAGCTATCACTCCGATGCTTTTTATTAAGATAATCGAAATAAAAAATAATGAGAATTACTGATAATTCAAAAATATATTGACTTATGGAAAATATTCATCAATTTAATTTTTATTAAATACATTATTTTGTAAAACGTTTTACAAATATAAAGCAATACATTCAAGTTTAAAATGATTAATATCATGTATTAAATTCAATAGAACAGAGAATGATATCCCTGAATAAGATAATTATTTTAAAATGTTCAATTATGATTATAAAAGAATAAATAAAACAAAAGATGTATCATGTATGAGAACTAATTATACATAAGTACACAGCAGAAAACTAAAAAGAGAGTAAATTAAATTTTTGTGTATAAAATATAATTATTTCTTGATGTCATATTTATTTAACAACTTTTGGTCTTTTAGTTTCAGTAATTAAATTGTTATCAGGATCTGTGGATTCCCGAACGTCACTTGTACCGCTCCTTTTTCTATTACTTACGGGTGACAATTGTTTAAGACATTCAACATCATTAAAAACAACTTGTGCTCCACCACCACTTGTTGGTAAAATATCAGCTTTATATAATTTAGTTTCTAATTCTCCATCTGTGTCTTGTTCTTGGGCTACTAATAAATATCTAGATGCACCATCAGTAATTTCTTTTGGACTTGTAAGCTTAGTAACACTTCTTCGTCTGCGCATTAATGGCTGAAGTACTGTTCCTGTAGGGACTAAAGCGCCTGGTCGATGATCAATCCAACGATCTGCACTTTGCGATCGTCTGTGTCGTAGATTAGCCACTGGAACACGATCTTTCCGAGATCGAGCATCATTGGGTGTTTGTGGTGTAAATTTTTGTTTAATATCATTATTTACTGGTAAATCTTGACTTTCTTTGATAGAAATAACATTTCCCTCATCATCAAGAATTTGCTTCATTAATTTTAGTTTGTTATCTTTTTCTTTCATTTGATCATGAAGTTTCTGTTGCTGTTGTTTTAATTTAGTTTCCAATTCACGATGCATTTTGTCTGTTTCTGCTTGCATTTTATAATTATACTTTTGTTTAACTTTTTGCTTATCAATCAAACGTTGATTAAGAACTAAATCACGATCTCTCAATTCTTGCTGCAAATTTTTAATAGTTTCATTAGCATTATTAAGCTTTCTTAATAAACTGTTAATTTGAGTTTCAGTTTTATTGATATGATTTCCAAGTGCATCAAGAGTTTTTTTCTGTTGTGCACTAACAGCCTTTAGTGAAATATTTTCTGTTTTAAGTAAATTATTTTCTTGTTCAATAGCTAACAACATCTTTCGAAAATCATTCTGTTTCTTCTCAAGATCGGAACGTAATAGATTTCGATTATTTATACGTTGTTCTAAAAATTGCATTAATGTTGTTATAATTTTATCATCATGAGGATTAGTCATATCAAATTCTGGGAATGGTCCACCAAGGCTGTAAACTAGCCCTAAATCTATCTCAAGATCAGCAGCTTCAGTACGACCTTCTTTTTCTAAACGACTTCTTGCTTCTTTGAATATTTTATTTGCTTGACGACGTCCAGGAGTAAATCCAATATCTAATTTATTAGCAGTTGGTCTTGCTATTTGAACTTCTTGAGACATTTCTGCAAACTTCATAACTTGAATTGTTTCATCGTAATCATCTGCACGTGGATTAACACAGACAATCATTTCAACTTTTCCTTCACCATCAAAATAATTTTTGAACAAATGAGTAAGTTTGGAATCACGATAAGGTACTATTTTATTGGTGCCTTGAGTTTGATTCTCTCTTAATATTTCTAAGCAAGATCTTAAAGTCATTAAAGAATTATTGATATTTCCAGCTTCACGTAGCCTTTGTCCGGTATTTTTTGTCCTATTGGTCCTTTCACTTCCAGCCAAATCAACCAGTGATAATTGACTAATACACATGAGACGTTTTTCTGATATTACATTTTCTCCTTCACTATTAAGAGGTGATTGAACTAATCGAATTGTAAACACACTATGGGATCTACTAGATTCAGCGTTTAATGCAGTATGAGCAACTCTACGCTTTCTTTGACCACGTTGAAAAACTTCAAAAGCTTCATCAGCACTCTTAACTTCTATTTCAGTAACAGCATGAACATACATATTTTTATTACCATCTTCACGGACTATTTTACTCTGTAGGGTTTTTGTTCTTGGATCTTCATCATCCAAAAGATCATAAACACTATTATTATAAATTTCTACGTATGTTATAAAAACAGCATAAGCATTATCGGGATCAACGTTTAGTATTTGTGATTCATCAGGCTCTCTTGTAACTGTTGGATTGCTATCTGAATCACTATCTTGTCTTTTAATTCGAATCTTCCCATTTCTTGGAGTCATCAACCCAGCATGAAGTTCTTGTTGTCGTTCTAACATGGCATCAGCTTCAGTTTGGATGTCGAAACTATTTAATTTATCTGGTTTAAAAACAAATTTTTTAGCTTGATAATTTGTAATACTATTGAAAAGAACATCGAGAGATCTTGGCATTATTCCACCATTTTGATGTTCACCAGTCATTGTAAATGTTTTTCCACTACCTGTTACTCCATAAGTAAATAATAATCCATTTTTCCCATGAATTAAACTTTCTACAAGTGGTAAAGCAGTACAATTAAATACTTCTCTTTGCGAAGTTTCAGGTTTAAATACTTTAGTAAATGTAGTTTGGATTTCCTTATTATTAGCATTACGAAAATTTGCTGATGATTCTGGTGGAGTAATCACAATTGTTCGATCAGATATAATTTTCATACAAGAAACGTCAGTTGGATATTGCATCGGACGTACACGACAAAAAACTTGTACTGGATCTTTCGACGTCATATTTACGAATCGAGGTCGACTTGATGGTTTTCTTGCTGATACAGGTGGCTTAGGACGTCTAAAAATACATATATTAATTATTAAAACGATTTTTGTAACACCATTTTAATGTAAAGATTTGATTTATTATTGTAACTGTCAAGCAAAGATAACCTCTAAAATATTTAGTAAATGAAATAGGAAAATTTACTTACGTGGACTTCATTTTTTTGTACTATTAATAATTACTTAATAGATAAAGTATATGTATATATTATTTAAGTCATCAAATGGTACAAAAATATTTAATAAAAAATAAAACAATTATTTAAATACGTTGAAAACCGTTTATAGCGTCACTCACAACAGTTATTCAGCGGCGGTTTCAATTCCTCATGGTTTAAACAAGCCAATCCGAGACACTTGAGATTAGTTCACAAATTAGTCGTTAGGTGACAAAATTTAAAAAATTAATTGAATAATTTTTTATAAACTTAATGATTCATAATAACGGATATGAGAAACTTATAAATTGAATAAATTAATATAAATAATAAAATAATTAAGTAAAGACAAGGAAATAATACTTAATAGTCGAAATTGAAATTGTATCTATTATATTACAGTCCATGAATATAAAGTAATTACATAATTTGATAAAAACTATAATGTAAATATAATGAAAGTTGTTTTTATTTATAAATAAACATTTCATAAAAAATTAAAAAAAATTTAATTATACTTCTTTAGTTCTTGAATTTCTGGAGATAAATGGGTTCCATCACAGAATGGCCTATTGGATGTGCGTTTACAATTACATAGCCAATAATATTTTGTTTCTTTCACTTCGAAAAAAATAGGCCTAAGTTTAATTTTGAGAAATATGTTCTGATGAGTACGATCACATAAAGGTTGACCTTTGCTTTCTCCACATAGGCACCAGCTATATCTTTTTCCGGCTTGAAGTTTTATCTTGAATGGTTTTTTGTCATAAACCTTACCGGTACTTGGTTGATCTTGTGCTGAATACAATCCTTGCAGTAAATTTACTGGGATTTCTGACTCTTTATCACTCTTATCCGATGAATACATGCAAGATGTTGACTAAAAAATTACAATTATATTAAAATATTTAATAAAACAGTATATAATGTATATAATTTTTTGAGGTTATTTCTATTCTTTTTCAAGTAAATTATATGAAAATTACTGTTTGATTCCATTTTGTTCTGAAACTAATATTACGTAAAGTTCTAGACATTGTTAACGTAACCATTGTCATTGTTAATTAATTTTCGACAAGTACTAAAAATTGTTTCACTTGTATAACATGCAATCTTAGATTACCGAATATATTCAACCGTAGATGTCGTTCCTCCCTTTTACCGGGCTTTTTTCATTTGTTTAACTCTATGTACTTGTATACATTTACGTTATATGTAGCGTTGTAAATAGAAACACAAATCAAATTGAATTCTTAGTACCATAAACACGCTATCACAATAGAGAAACAAATAATTCTCAGAAATGTGTAAATATGATCTGACATAATTGTAGTTGAAAGTAGTCTTTTCAGAAAAAAAAGATTAAAGAATATTAAAACAAGCTATCATTTTCGACATTAGAATATGTATGAGTCCTGAAAAGGACTTTTTTTTAATGAGAATATTGTATTTATTACATTAATAACTTTATTAAATGAACAGATACATAAATTTTTGACAAATGATATTAAGAAAACAATTTAATATATATATGAATATATAAATTAATTTGTAGCTTTTGTTCTTGTAATTCTCTTTGGCCTGGGCGTCTTCTTTGCAACTGGTGATCTTATTTTCTTGGTTTTCGAAGAACTTTTCAAATTATCATTCACATTTTCGGGTGTTAAAGGGATTGGTTTTTTAATTACACCTACTTCCTTAAGAACTGACACTTTTTTCTGAGATTTTTTCGTGGCTTTTACCTTGGTTTCAACTGTATTCATTTTAGTCGGTGTTGTTTTTAAGGATTTCTTTAATTTCTTAGTTGTAGTATCCGTTTTAGGTATCTTTACACTCTCTGGAACCGTTTGCTTGTTAGGTAATTTGGTTTCAACTTTTGTTGGATCACTTTTTACTTTTTTCGATTTAGATGGCAACTTAAATGATCCAGTAAATCCATGGCCTTTGGTTTGAACCAAAAGTTCTTGAGCTACAGCATTTTTCATATACTTTTTCATATGTACTTTCAATTTCTGTATGTCAACCTGGTAATTAGATTCTATAAATTTCATAATTGATGGAATAGAAGATCCTTGACGATCATTTAATGTAGAAATAGCTGCATGAACCATTGTAGCCGTTGATGGATGAGATTTTTTAGATTTCTCATCATTCTTAGGTTTATTTGTTTCTATCATATCTTTACTATTCACTGCCGACACAACACTAGATTTAGTTGTCATATTCACTTAGATACACAACACACTTAATGAATCGAGGATGTTTAATTCTTTATATCATGAACACAGATCAGACCAACTAATCTAATTCAAATGATTATTCGATCTGTAAGTTCCTAACTTTGTCTTGTGAGCAGACCATTACATGACGAAACTCACTATTTGTCTATTGCGCATTTAATTTACGCATTTGACCGTTAAAATTTATTTTCGCACCTTTTTATTAATATATTATAATTGAAACTTTTTTTTCATGTCAGCAGTTTAATTCATTATTTATTGCAGAAAACTTCATAATTTTTATCATTGTACGATACGTATTGATGTATTTTAATTAGCTAGGTCAGGAGTAGTGCTTAGTTATAATGCAATACAATTATTAAAATAAAAAATTTAAAATAGGTCTGAGCACACTTCCCATTAGTAATTGTTTATAACAAATTTAAATAGTTATAATCAATGTTTGTTGAAAACATCCAAATCCATGTGATATACACATTACTTAATCAATAAATGCAATTTTTAGTTGTTTATAACAAATTCTTATTGTTATAAACAATGCGTAATTGTTGAAAGTCATATTTGGTTGTGAACAATAATGTCTAGTCAGTATCGACTCAATTTTCAAATGAAATTGTTATTGTTTGACTTACTTTTTATTAATTATTTTGTTATACGACTCGACCGAATTTGTTCAAATTTTACTCAGATCTTCTTTATGATAATATCTTTCGAATTAATTTTGGTTGAAGTCGATATGTATCTTAATCCGTTCTTGAGATATCGAAAATGAAAAAAATGTTGACGTACGTACGTAAGTACACACACACATCATTCTAAAAATTGGTCAGTATGCTTGCAAATACCATAAAACGTGGAGATATGATGAAAATTCAAATTTCATCAATCGACCCAATTTCAATAACTTTCCGATGGAAAGTTAATAAGTATTGGGATAATTTTCATAACGTAAAGTTAACGAAATTAATACAAATTTAATATTAATATTTTATTAGAAATTAGATTTTCTCTTATGATTTATGTTGGACCCTAAAAAGGGCCATTTAATGTGAAAGATTTAAGCTTTCTCCTCGAATACGTCGAGCTAATTGGACGTCTTTCTACCAAACGTAGAAATGGTAATTCACGGGTTATTAGTTTAGTACTTTTTTGATAGCAACAGATTTGCCGAAAGGTGACAGTTCCAGGTCAATATCGATGAGGCGTTTTTACTTCTCCAGTAGCCGGTGCTCTTACGAACAACTTTCGTAGCAAGTTGTTTTCGGGAGCTTTACCTCTCGTAAATTTATGAATTGTTTGTTTCGTACGAGCCATAATTTGACTTAGCTATTACAACAAATCATTGAGCTAAAATTCAACAACAACTCAAAATACGGTTAATGAAGATGTTTTTATCCTTTCGATCAACTAAGCTATGATTGGTTTAAAAATTGAAGAGGGAGCATTTACAAATTCTGGCGAATGTAACTTGAAAATTTTTTTATTTGACCATCGTGTGCATACTTAACTTTTTAATGACAGTATCCAGATATTGCTCCTAAACTACTCGAATTAATAATAACTTCATGTTTATATTTACAATTTTTTATAAGCTTATTTTATTAGTTTTTTTAATGAATAATAAATTGTTTACCATGTCTTTTTTTTCTAAACTATTCAGGTTCTTTTTGCAATATACAAACAAAAATTTATTGTGTTAATCATATTACATTTATTTAATAAACTAATAAGTTATTTTTTCATACCATTGAATTTTAATAAACACAACTTAATACAAAAATTGAAAAAATTTTTATCTATCATATTTTGGTCATTTTGTTCTTTACGTTTTCTAGTCATATTACATAGTTTACAAGTTCAATGGTGTCCATTCGTATATATATATATATATGTATTGCATATTGAGAGGTTATGTTTTCTGTCGAATAGATCGACTATTATTTTGGGTTTATCACGTGTATGCACATTAGTCAAAATAATTGCGAATGACTTTAAACATTTTTTCAAAACTTTGTTATCATAAACGTTTGAAATCCAATATTTATTTATTAAATGATTGTCATAAGTGTGTACGATTCAGAAACACCTTCAGTATGAACGAAAAAGAAATAAGAAAAACTATTGCTCGAATTAATTGCACAAAAAACATTCAACTATCAGAGAAAGCAAAATTTTCATCTCTAATTTCCATTAAGGTAACTATAATGATGATGATTATTCCAAATATTTTTGGATTTTTTAAAAACATAGTTAACTTAAGAATGTAGATTATTGCATAAAATACTTATTCAATTGTTTTTATTTTTTTAAATTTTTATTCGAACTAATAATAATGATATATGTATCATAACAAATTCTGATGAGTCTATTGACGCATAATAGTGATAATTGATGATTGATTGTTACTTTATTAGATTCTAGGTTCTGGAGTACGTGGCACCCCAAGCTGTCTCTATGTGGTATCTGATCACTTGAGATATTTATTTAATTGCGGAGAAGGTACTCAGCGACTTGCTCATGAACACCATCTAAAATTATCAAGATTAGGAAATATTTTCATTACGGCGCCGACATGGAAAAACATTGGAGGATATCCTGGTGCAGTTCTGACAATTCAAGATGCAGGATTACCATCACTTACTCTTCATGGACCTAAAGGCATTTCAAATCTTCATACGGCAATGGAAAAATTCGTTTCTCTTCCATTTATAACTATTAATGAAGCTAAATGTAGTGAAGATGATGTTTATCAAGATTATTGTATGTCCGTAAAATATGTTCACTTAAAAAAATCCACAGTTATATTTGAACGTGAAGAAACATCAGAATACATATATATGGATGACATAAATTACTATGATCATGAGATTAATAGCTACGGTAAACGGTCTTCTAGTAAAACTCGAGCAGAAAACAAATTTTCAAAACGAGAAATAAGTCGATATTTAGGAACCAAAATAACTACTTGTATTTCATATATTTGTACCGTTAACGCTAAGCCTGGTCAATTAAATTTAGAAAAATGTGTCAAATATGGAATTAAACCTGGACCATTGTTAGGAAAACTAAAAAATGGTGAGGATGTTATTTTAGATGATGGAAAAATTGTAAAAAGTTCAGATGTTGTTGATTCGTCAAATCCTGAATGTGCTTTTATTGGTAAGACTATTAACTTTCAAAAGAAGGACAATGTTTGTTTTAATGAGAAAGTTATTTTTTTTTATTAATTTTAGTTCTCGAATGTCCTACTGAAGACTATTTGGATTCACTTGTTGAACATAAAAAATTCAAAGATTATCAAATTGGAGGATTGTATGGAGATTCACAAGTTAAATATATATTTCATTTTTCTCCAGAAAATATTATGCAAAATCCACGATATGTTGAGTGGATGAAAAAGTTTGATCCTAATACTACACATGTGGTACTTAATGACAAAAACGAATGTATAAGTTCTGGAGGTGTTCATCGTAATCAATACAAATTAAACCTGCTACATCCTCATATATTCCCTTTACTTCAAGAACCAAAAATTGATGAACATACAAAAAATTCATTGAATAGTAAAGTAAGTGTACAAATGAACAGTATTAGCAATATTTGAATTAAATTTATTTCTGATATTTAAAATCACTATAATAATTATAATTAGGAAATTTTTGGAAACTTAAAAATTCATCGAGCAAAAGTATTGAATTCAATTAATCTTCGTGGCCCACGAGATACAATGTTGGGTCTAAACAATTTGGATGTACAGGTAAATCATGAGGAATGTATTAATGAGGTGATGGAAATAGAAGGCACTGATAGTTCCTTAGAAAATCTTAGAAAAGAAATCAATGCTAGGTCTACATTGATTGAAAATTCTCCATCATTTCCAAAAATCGCAATGCTTGGAACTGGCTCATCTATTCCCAACAAAGTTAGAAATGTTAGTGGCATTCTTTTAAGAATTGATGAAGATACTAGTATCTTATTAGACTGTGGTGAAGGTACTACTGGACAAATAGTTAGATTATACGGACCAAAAGCTGATAATATTTTTGCTAGTATAAAGGTCAGTAAGATGTCTTATTTAAAAGCGCGTTATATCAATAATGTTAGAATTTGTTTTATATTACAGGCTATTTATGTGTCTCACCTACATGCAGATCATCATTTGGGTATGATTGGAGTTCTTTTAGAACGAAAAAAATTTACTAGTGAACCATTCTTTCTCATAGCACCAAAAAGTATCGAATCATATCTTCGATTTTATAATAAACTATTTGAATCTATTGAGAGCTCGATCACTCTTGTACCGAATCAAGGATTTATAGAACATTCACATAACTTACTTCCTAGTGATATTCGGTCAAATCTTTTTAAAAAACTTAATATTAATAATTTACAGACAGAAGAAGTATTACATTGTTTACACTCTTTTTGTGTTGCTTTAACTTTAAAAAATGGATATAAAATTGTTTACAGGTACGCTTCTTAAAACACTTATCACAAAGAAATTTGTAATTTTATTCGAGTACATAATTGTATACGATCATTTTTTTATATTTACTTTTAGTGGTGATACAAAACCATGCCATGGTGTACGTACTCTTGGTCAAGATTGCGACTTATTAATACATGAAGCCACAATGGAAGATGGTTTAGAATTTGAGGCTGAGAAAAAAAGACATTCAACAATCACTCAAGCAATAACTGAAGGAAATAAGATGAATGCACGGCACATTTTATTGACACATTTTAGTCAACGTTATTGCAAAATTCCTTTATATCCTAATCATATTGAGAATTTGAATTTTGATAACGTTGGCGTTGCCTATGATAATATGGAATTTAAATTATCTGAATTAACATTATTACCATTGTTTTATCCCACTCTAAAACATATATTTAGTGAATTTCAAACATTCATGGAAGAAAGAACTTTAAGAATGAAGAAAATTAAATAATTTGAAATATGTATAAAAATCATAACTAATTGTAAAATAATTTTTTAAAAGATAAAAAGAAAATTTGTTGAAAAACATAATTAACTTTTCAAGTGTTTTTTTATTTATTGCTTGTTTCATTTATCATTATAAATTGTTCATATTCTTCATGTACAATAAAAATGATTACGAAATTTAAAGTAAAAATTAGTACAAAACGAAGTCTGCACAAATAGATTTGTTTATTATTACTAACAAAATAAATATTGTTCTGTACGAATTAAAGTTATTTAATTATTCGAAAATACAATATACAAATGTATATAATATAATATATATATATATATATATATATATATATATATATATATATAAATCCGCTTATATATCTTTATCGCCTCCGCGTTTTGAAGTAAAATTATTTCATTTTTTTCAAAAAAATGAATCTACTTTTTTCAAAAAAAAAGTAGGTATCATAAACTTTAAATTGTGTGCTGTCCGATGCGGCCTGCGTTTAAGAAAAGAAAATCACCCTGCAAGTACAGTGTACCAAGTTAAAATAATTTGATTAGGTGAGGTTGAACATGGAAAAACCTATTGCCTCCGTTTCGGAGGCAACTACGTCGCCAAATGAGTTCAGAGCGTCATTTCAATATGTTGATACGGAGGCAACAGAGGCATATAGGCGTATTTATGGGTATATCATATGAATACATGAATGTTTATAGCCGATTGTGGTAAATGTTTAAGAGTAACCATTTGATTTTAAATAAATAAACATCATGATCAGTTGACGTTATTATATGTATTAATTAATGGTTTACAAAATATTATTGTTGTTTAAGACAGCGATAGCATTACACGAGAATATAAAATCATCGATTATTAACTTCCCAGTTGAAAGTTATTTTTTGTTTATATTTACACAAAAAGTCAAGTTTTTAACTCGTGTATACAAACTTGAAATACTTAAATTATGAAAAAATTTTTCCATTAAATTATAGGTGTATATTTTAAAAAATTGGACGACACTTTTTTATGAAAACTCTTTGTATAAAGAATTACCATCTAATAATTTTATTATAAAAAAAAAACAATTTGCTAAAAACTCGCAACGCGAAAACGTAAAAACGCGATGATATAAAAATTTTTCGTGTAATCACTTTGAAGCTATAAAAAGTCGATAATTCTTACATTTGGTATAAAAGTAGATTAATTGATATAGAAAAGGAACAACCATCATGTGATTGAATTGGTATATAATAATCTTATAGCTAAAGGCTTCGGCATTATATCATACTTGAAATATATGGTCATCAAATATAAATATTAAAAATTTTTTTGACACATATTCAAATTAGTTTTCTTGTTTTTCTGTGTATCTTTTTGTTGTAAAAATTCTTATTAGAAATGTTAAGAAAAATTTTTTGACGAATCGCATTCTATTAACACAACATGACTAATAATGATAATTTTTCATGAATTATCAATGATATCGATAAGCTCTAAAACTCCCACTTTGTAGCAGATTCATAGTCAGTTTCACCGAGACGTAATGCTCCATTTTTTCCAGCAGTCAAATATCGTCCATCAGAACATTTGATGCAGAGACGAGATGGTTCACGCAGTTCTAAATAAAAGCCTTCTGATGGTTGTTCAGCATCCACTGTGACCCCCTCGCTATCAGCATGCCAGTACTTTCCATTTTGACCTAATGTTATTTTAAGTATTATTAAATTAAAATGCTTTTATTTTCTACAAAAATTATTATAACAATACAATAATTGTTTAAATATACCTTTAAATCGAACGATTCCTCGTTCACAACGTTCAACACGTATTGTTTCATACCCGGCTTTGTTGCACTCTAATTTAGGACTTGCCGCACTCTTGGGTCCAACAAAACCTTGCTCACATCGTAAAACGAGAATTGGACGATTCATTAAATAGAAATAATATTTGGAAGCATCACAATCACCTCCATTTGGTGAATCAGAATTGGCATAGAGATGTCCAGATCGTTTGGTAGCTAAAAATTTGCCATTATTCGCACGTAGCGCTACTGTACCATCGTCTTGCCATGCTAAATCAAAGAGTGCGTTAGATGATCGTTTATGATCAGATGCTTGAATACCACCACCGGCTTCTAGACTCCAATAACGATCTTGCATTGTTCGAACATACCATCGTTTTGTTGAACGATCAAATTCTAATTGAAACGTTTCATGACCTGAGATTTCATCTTGATTGGCAGTGACGTCAACACCTAGATCAAACAATTAAGTTGATATATTCATTTTTTATTATGATTATTAAATGTAAAATCAATGATAGAAAACCAAAAAATAATTAATACCAAGTAATTAAAAATAAAAGCGTAATAAAATGAAAGTTAAAATATCATTTAATATTCATTTCATTTACAAATAAATATATTTATCTGTTATTTTAATTAAATTATTGATTCTTATTATTTAAATAGATTCAGATTGAAACAAAAGTATAAAATAAATCCTTATAGGTATTCAATGCATGTAGGTAAAGCATATCGATGGTCATGAATTTCCAATGTAAAAAGAGTGGGAAAGTGAGGAGGAAGAAAGAAACTATATTTCCGGTGAAGAATATATACGACGCCAAGTTAAGTACGTGACTTGTAGATTATACCTTGTTTAACAGACACATAACGCTGGTTTAAAGCTGCAACAAAAGATGCTTGAGGCAATGATTCTTCAAGAGAAAACAATTCATCGCGTGTCACCGTTGTAGAGCGTGTTTTTAGTACTGCTTTGCTGCCAATTGGAGCCAAATAAGCCCCATTAACATCTCTGGAAATATAAATTATATAAGAAAAATATACTTTTTTTTAATCTATCTTTAATAACTATTAGCTGAAGATTTCCTTAACTATGTACAAAATAGCCAAGTAATAATAAAAAAAATTTCGTAAAACAGAAAATAACTAAAATATCAATAATAAGAAATATTAATTAAAAAATATTAGTGCTCACGTCGATATCATTTTTTGTTTTCGAGATAATCGAGGCGAAAAATAATTCCGAACGCACATACGAACATACGTACATAAACACACAGACGTTCACTCAAAAACTATTGCATTCGACTGTGGGAACCTTGAAACATGAAGTTATGTCCAAATTTGGGATTTGCAAAATCAGACCCATTACTACAACTTCCCATTGGGAAGTTAGAAAAGATATTACTTATTCATTACAAAAATATTAATCATGAATATTCCAATAGTAGGAAAAAATAAAAATTAATTTTATATCTTTATAATAATCTGATAATATTTTGGTATAAATTTCCAGAGCTAGTATTAAATAATTATAAAATGATTTTAATCATAAAATTATTTAATGGGATAATAACCTGAGGGCAAGAAGTCCAGCATGAAATTCAGCTGCATAGAGGCAATCTCTTGTACAAGAATCTAAGAGTTTTCCATCACGTGCAAGATACTTATTGTTACAGGTATGAAGTGCGTAATGGCCACCCTCGGATTTGCCATGACCAACAGCATCGTTGTCAGGATTAGCTGCTGGTCGGAATTCCAAGGTGAACAGAGTATCTTCACCCCAAGGTACTGGAGCGTCTACATGAATCTCATCTTGCGATGCACTCAAGTGAGCAAAGCGTTTACGACCGGCTGATCGAAGATTAACCTGGTAAAAAGAAATATATAGCATAAGAATCGACGAATATTTTGGATTATTATTCAATATACACTCAAGAAGAGCAATAAATTACTTGAGGTCTAGCTGCAAGATGAACAAGCCAATATTCAGCCTCGCCTGGAGCCTTGGCTGTGCATTTAAGTTCATCTTGACTGGAGCCTAGGAAATATCCTCGTTGTACATTTTTCAAGGCCCATCTACCACTTCCTAAAATTAAGATACAATAAACATTCATAAAATTTTATATTAATAATTTTTACTTTGATAGCATAGTAAAGTTATAATCTAACTAATCTTAGTTGTAGAACGTTAATTCTACTGATTTAACTTATAAAACTGGATTATTGAAGCATGAGACGATATTATTGCTGCTTTATTCTACGTTTGTTTAATAAATAAAATTTTTGTTGAGTCGGAAAATTTTCTAAGAAATATTTTTTATCGTATAATAATATTTCAATTATTTATTATTTTTTTTTTTTGCTATGTTAAAAGTTAATTTCTTTATTATATGATTCAAATTTTTTCCATAAAATAAAAACCGTATAAAAAATTTTTTTTACTTGTGACATTGTTTTATTTCAGGTATCAATGAAATAGACAAATTTTTAAGTAAAAACAGACTAATCCCATTTGATAAAAGTAAAATTTTATGATGTTAAGGTTTACTTTTCATTCAAAAATATCTTACTTGAATATTTATTTATCTCTCTATCTTTAAATTTTTATGACAGTAAAAAATTTCGATTCATTGATAACTGCATTTTTCTCGATTCTGAAATTTTTTATCAATAAAGTAATTTCATAATATTTAATTAGTAGAAAATTATAAACCAGATTTAATGATTACGTTGACTGTTGACTTAAATAGATAACTCATAGTTATGATTAAAAAACAATTATTATTGTTATTAACAATAATAATTTTGAAATATTGTAGTTCGATATAATGAGCCTAAAAACTCGATTGTAATCTTCACACTATCTAAATATTAATAAATATAATTAAATTGAATTCATTAAAATGAATTATTAATTGAAAACCTTTATTACCATCAGAGGCAAGCTGAATTTGAAAAGCACATCCTGGATCAGAAGAATCTTCAGCTTCGCAAGTGACATTTCCAAATTGATCAACAGCAAGATAACGGTCTAAGTGAGAACGAAGGAAAACCTGATGTTCACTTCCTTCCAGTGTCCACAGCTGTTTCTTCTTCAAGCTCGAGCCGTTTGCGTTTATTTTAAAACCAAATGTCTCAGCAGTAAGATATTTAAACTTGCCATTAATCAGACCAACCTAAACAAAAGAATGACATTTTAATCATTGATATTTAATTGATTTTACAGGTGTTTAAATACTTGAAAAAAATTTTCTTTTATTTTAAAGTAATTGAAGTAATGAATTTATACAATTGCTAACCAGTTCATTCTAATAGTATTTAGAAAATTTAATATGGAATAATATATGTATCAAGAAGATTTTATTTACTTTGAAATTTAATTTTTTTAATCAAGTAGATTCATAAAGACCATAAATTTCTTACCGTCCAGCCGGTTCGGTCTACTCCATTCTCACTTCCGCTTTCCGCGCCGTTGCTCTGCATTGTCTTGATCTTAGTTGTATACTTCCCGAAGAAGCTTCTTCTCCACTACACCACTACCAATAAATGCTTTTTATTCACACCTTCTTGTCCTTCTTTTAATCTCGACGCTCGCCTTGGCTGCTTTTGGAACTTCTTTTGACTAAATTATTTTCTTCGAAAACTTATAGTTTCTCTAAACACAACAGAAACAATGATTGAATTATTAGAAACTAGTTGAATTAAAATTTGTTATTAAGAATTATTAAAATTATCTTAAGAATGGGGTAATAATTTCAAAGCAGAAATACTAAATTCCTTATTAAGTATTCACATATAAACTATGAATAGAAAGTATGCATTTATGGTTTGGAACATTTAAAATATGTTTAAAAAATAATTAAAAATCATCAGCTATTGAAGCGAATTGAATCACAGTTCATAGTAATTTAACATCTAAAATACTTTTTTTAAATTTTTATTATTATAATTAAACTTTAGAAAACCGATCTAACTTTCAAACGACATTTAATACTTTTTGATCTTGAACATCCTACTATTATCAAAGCATAACAGTCTATAGACTTATGCTTTAATATTTTTCATTTTATTTTTTACCCATGAATACAGTAAAAAGCGATAATCTACCGCACGACTCATGCATGTCATTTAAAAGCTTTTTGCTTCTTGACGTTTCTCTCTTTTATAATACTCAAGCATATGCCTGTATTTGGCACGTACCATTGCCGACATTAAATCTTTTGAAGCATTTTAAGGAAACGAATCAACATTGAAAAAGGGAGCACAACTAACACACCCTCAGAGTTATATGTTTGTTAGTTGCGTGCGGATTGGCTGCTTTCAGTATTGATTCTGAGATTGCCACTAGTTAAAATATATAAAATAACTATTCGGCTTCAAAAATGTTTCGAAGAAACAAATTGGAAGTTTTTTTTTAATAACAACGATGTTGCTTTGATTATAGGATATAAGTTTACATAAAGTTAGATGTTCAAATATTTTAAATGCATTATAATTGTTTAAATGTGATATTACAGTCAATTTAGTTTTAACATAGTACATTATGAAATGGAAAAGCAATAATTAATTTTTATATACAGTACCCTCCAAAAGTTAGTTGAAATAAGCTATGATTCATTTTAAAAAAAGACTGTCTTCAATAATATCTTTTCATTCGACATAAACTATAAAATTTTTATTCAAATTTACTGTACTCTCGGTATATACTCCAAAAGAAAGAAAGAAAAAATACCTGATAATTTTTATCTGATTATTTCAACTATTCTTTGAAGGGCATTGTATTACTTTATTTATTTCATGCTTAATAGATGACATTATTAACTTAAATATCTTTTCAGCTGGATAGTATTTGTAATTAAACAAATATTATTTTTTATAAATGTGGATTAATGAAATCCATGAAGGAAGTCGGTCGCATAACTTCTACTCGTGAAGATCCGAACAGTATCCGTAACGGTCACGGCTACTCCATTTGCTTTTTCTAATTTTATTTTGTTAGTTAAGAAGTTTGTTTGGTTAGTGGGAGGTAAATTTCATGCACTTTAATGCCGTTATGATGTTCAATCACCGAGAAACAGATGTAAATGAAGAGTAAAAAATATATGTTATAAAATTAAATAGATCTAATATCTTTAGCGTTAAAATATTCAATTTAGTTAACTACTTGATAAAACCATAACGGTTTGACGAATAACGGGTTTTTCACATTTCGGTGAATGAAAAAAAGGGAGAAAATTCATTTCAATATAATTATTTACCACTACTGAATAAGTCAATTTCCTCAATCTGGAATTCTATATCAAGAAAAATTTTTCCTGGTTTAATTTGTAATCAAATTATTTTATTTATTTTAAACAATAAGATTCTCCTATCATTCTGAGTGATAATTAGTATGAAAACATTACACTTTTTTGTTAATGTGTAATCTTCCATATATGAGGATAATAATTATATAAATTTCCGTCTAGGTTAGTGGGTTACACACCTAATTCCTACAATAAATTAATACTCTTTTTCAACTTTATTTTCTCTTTGGTCTGTACATCAATCATTTCTTGTTTAACATTTTTCCTTTGCCATATGGCGCTACAAGCAAATAAATTTTATAAAAAAATAGATGAATTATAAATTAAACTCCTAGTTATGATGATTCTTGATTAATTATAAATAATCCTTGTCTCCTTCACAGGAGAAAATATATGCGTATATATTGTCGATAAATTCTATATATTTCGAATATATTCCCTTTTCGTGTGGGCTAGTTGAATTGAGGATAATTGATAGACGAATTTTTTAATATATAAATTTTATCAAAATAAACTTTCAACAGTAATTTAATTGAATATTACTATTTATTGATATGTGAAAAGATAAAATTTAATTCAACAATCAATTTGAGGATGTTTAAAACAATAATTTCTGAACAGTTTCAGCATTACTGATGTACTAATAAATATACGTAGCAAACATAAATGTGTGTGTGCACATTACAAAAAACTAAATTTTATTATTATGTGAGGTTATAACTGGAGCGGTTTTCAAATAATGATATTCTGAACGGAAGTGGGAAAGAACAGAAAGCATCAGTAAAAAGAAATACATAATAAAAAGGAAGATAAAATCAAGAACGTCAGAAAGATGATAGTGAGAAAAGAATAAATCAATCTCAAGCTGTTTTTACTAATTCTTACTATGAAAATACGTAATAGATCGAGGGATTCTTTTATCGTATAATCAATAACACTAGTTGAATATTTATATATTTTTTTAAATATTTAATATCTACATAGTTTAGGTATAGATTAATATAATGAATTTCAAGTTGTAGACGCAAACAAAACCTCTCTATCGGCCCTGTTCAGACAACCACCCCGGGAAAATCCATCGACCCCACCCAGACATTTTAACAAGGGGTTTTAACTTAGTTGTATACGAATGAAAGTGTGAGTCAGCACACGTTCACGCCAAAAAAATCTACTAAAAGTATGTAATAATGTTGGTAATGTGACAATGATGACTGTATTGGAATACAGTCAAATGGAAGACTACCCTGTCTTAGTTTTGAGAATTTGCATCCCTCTCCCGCGTGCTCGGTAAAAATAATGTCTCCATAGAAACTCTCAAGCGAATTCGGAGATAAGTGAACGATAGGAAAAGAAGAAAAACAATCAGACATACTTAGCTCGAAACATAATAAAATAATAAAAGCAAACCGCTTAACTTATTTTTCTTTTTTATATTCTATTTTGCTGAATTGGTGACTTTAAATGCAACATCCCTGATCGAAAATGTCCGCCATAGTATCCTTGATATTGAACTTACCGTAAAGAGTGATGAGGTAAAATGGTAATGAACTCAGCACGAGATTATCACTAATGAAAAAGATGAATAATAACTAGTAATTGATGATATTAATCACGTACTTGTTGAAGTATAATAACAAAGATGAATAATAATATTTTACGACGAGAATTGAAAGAATACAAATGTCGTTCGACTGGCGAGCGCCGAGTGCGAACAAGGACTGAGTGAAACTACAGCAACTTCTGGAATAGAATGTGGCGTTGCGCGGGGGTGGGAGTGAAGAGAGTGTTTGAGGGGCGCAAAAGAATGACAAAGAGAGGGAAGGGGATAGAAGGAATAGACATTGAACTGCGGGAGGTTAACTTTCTCATGGGCCGGTGAACTCCTCGACTCTCCTCTCTATCTGCGCCGGCTCAACTTTGAAATAGCTGGGGCGCGTGCTAAATCCCTTGAATAGCCGCTAAATTATTGACTCAATTGGGTAAAAGACTCATTCCTCATTATCATTAGTTTCTTTGTTTACATAATTAAATCATTACTATCAGCATTGTAAATAATCAAAATTACTTTGAATCATGTTACAAATTTTAAATAGTTTATTAGATGTTTTTAAGGTTAAAGTTTATCTCACCAAGAAAAATGATTAACTAATTAATTAAATACAATTTTACATACATATTTTTATTCAAATGTACGAATGTATATAAATTTCAGTACAAAAATTAAAAACAAATTAGATTTCAAGTCAATAATGTTATGACATTGAATAAAATAAAAATCATTAATAATTATTGATTGATAACTAATGATTGTTGTATAGTAATTTAATATAAGTCATGTTCTACTTTTCAAGGTTATCATTTCGATATTATACTTTGATTTTTATCAAGTCCACATAAAACTATTAGAAATTTAAATACTATTTTTTTACCTTTTATTTATCAACTATCCGAACCAATAAATAAAGCTTAGATTGGATTATATGATTGATGCAGAAAAATAAACAAATGAAAGTAATGATAATAAATTCTTATAATCTATCAATAAAATCGCGCACTTATTGATGAATTTTGAAAAAATTAATAATAAAAGGATCTAGATTATATTACCAAGTCTAGATAGAATTTCATCGCGTTAATATTATTATAGGGTGTAGATAGGATCACTATGTACATCGTAGAAACATGTTTTTGAACGGAAAAATTCAATCACCGTCTTCTGCTGATTTTATACATACTTATTTGTTTCTTTTAACCAATTAAAAAACAACCGGTATATTTATTTTTCGAAAACTGGATTTAATTTTATCTAACATAGCGTGGACCGTGTCTAATAAGGATTTTCAATTGAGGCTTTGCGTGTTTATAAGTGTTAGAATGTCGACTATCAAGAATAATACTGTTCAATCTGTTTATTTTATCATGGCTATGTGAATGGGATGATTCTAATAAAAAATACAAAAATCTTACACAATAATTAATCACTTCAAGTTCCGGGTAACTGTTAGTAAAACTTGCCAAGTATTGTAAAAGACAATTTAACGAATCGAGATTGTCGACGTCGGCAATTAACGGGATTAATGTCACGAGTCAAATCGTTGTAAATTCCAACGTTAATTTACTATTTAAGAAATCTCTTAATTTCTCCTTTTTTCGTGCCATTGAGTTTCATATTATATTGTCTGAATCTTTACTAATTAGATAAAATTATTTTATTATTGTATAATAAATCATTTATTTATTATTATAATTACCTCCTTTTATAATAATTTTTTACTTCTAGAAATGAATAGTTTGGTGCTAAAATGAACTTTAATACTTATAAGCATTACAAAGAAATAATAAGTTTTAAATCGCAATGTTAGTAAAATGAGAACGACTATTGTTTGCTTCTCAAGAATATTCAACAAAAAGACTTTATATTTTATTAAAAGTAACGGCTGTGTTAATGGATCAGATGATCTTGGCTTTATTTAATCATTCCACTATCTAAATATTTATCGGTCAATGTTAATTAGTTATTAATAGTGAAAAAAATAATTTTTCATAATAGTAATTATACTTTAATTTATTTCATTAACCTCAGACAATTATTGACCATAGTAATGAATGATTTTTCTATTAGCATTATTAAAAAAGGATAATTTTATACTAGTAATAGATAATTATTTGTGAAACAAATCTTTTTTAGTTTCACAAGTATGTTATTAACTATTCAACTATAACCACTGTACAGATATTTGTTAAGTTCATTTAAGCATGAGCCTTTCATTGACATCTTAATGAGCCGCTCGATACTTATAGAAAAACCAAACTCATTTGAGCGAATATAAACGTCAGAGTCACTAACAATTTAAATTACGCATGCAATACAAAAAGTTACTAATTAATTGAAAAAAAAATTAAATCAAAATAATCAATAAATCTCATTTTTTTTTTTATAATTATTCTGATTCGTTTGGTGTTTACTTAATTACAAGTGAATTCTACTCAGCAGATCTAGTTAATTACTTGAAATAATACAATTTTAAAATGAATATATAATTTTTCAAAACTATAGCTAATTTTACGGTTTCAAGAAATTTATACAATTAAATAAGTATTAGGCTTTTATAAACTAATGATTGTACTATAAATATGTGTATTTCGTCATTTACAATACATGAATTGGCTATTACAGAAAGTATAGACGCCGATTGTGAAATTAGAATTCAGAAAAAAAATTATAAAATTAAAATTAGGACGTTCTTATGTGCATCTGCAGTCCGAGCAAAAGGAAGGTTCGCTGACCGAGATCCCGTCAAAGATGGTAGTGAGGGTTTATTTCATGTAGAGGCTGAACGAACAGACCGCAACTGTGACCGTGACCGTGACCGAATTGCGCTTGTTCCAACAATCGCCGAGTCATCACTAGAATTTTAATTCTACACATACAACTATTTGGTGTCATTCTTTTTAATTTTACAATTATTTTGGCAAATTATTTTTTCAATTTATTATTGCTGTATATAATATTATTATCATAAATTGATCCAAAGATTAAATCATTCAATTGCTTGTGCATTCTATGTATGTAGTATATTATAGTTAAATTCACTTGATCACACAACTTGATTTATAATTGACAATTTCGATAAATATTCTAATTACCATTAATTAATTACTTGAACATTTCAATCAAATTGAAATCAATTACTAATACAAGAAATAAACTAACTAAAAAAAATCGATTAATAAAACTAACCACAATAATAATCTTACTTATTAAGAATTAAAAATTTTAATTTATCAATATAGAATATTAGTCAGGTTGAGAAAATTAATAAAATAATAAAACTATATTTATAAGTACGATGATGATTTAATTTCACAAAAGAATGGATATGATTTACTAAAGAATCTTAATGTTAATACTAATAATAATATTAATAGTAATGATATTATGTAAAATTTATATTTTACTTAACAACTGTATTGACGGTGACAGTGGCATCTGATACAAATTAACGTTAATCTAATATTGTTGTTATGTATATATAGTTTTATTGTAAATGTCTATGAAAATTCCTTGAAGTGCACAATCCTTTATTCACTATTTTTATCATTTTTGTTTCTACTACTATTATTATTTTTTCTATTACTTTTAGTATATTGATGGGTTTTTTCCGTCACTACAGATTCTGAAATGAGTTTATTTCTTCTTTTACTCAAAACATTCTTTCAATTAAGTAAATGATTTTTGAAGATACAGAGGCACTCATGTAAATTCAGTTGTATTTTTATTACTCTCTCTCTCTCTGTAGAACAAATATTCATTTATCGAATTGTATTTTATATAACATAATACACATAAAAAAAAATTATTAAATTTTTCACATTCTTTCTTGTTACATTTTTTCTCCTCTTTCATTACAAAAATTCGTCATCAATCTGACATACGTCAAATTAATAAATCCAAAAGGTAATCAACATTTTCTCGTTTTTTTTTTTGTATACAATCGATATTGAATTCTATAAATATTATGAAAGTGTAAAATCCTCAAAATACCGTGCCTACAATTACAGTAAAACACATCTGACGTTTTAAGATTTAATTAAGCCAATTTCAAAAACATCAGATGGATACTTATATTTCTTTTATCAATAATACATATATACTTTTTTATCATATAATCTACTAAAGAAAATTTAACATGGCATCCATTTTTCTACGCATTAAATCGACATAATTTGATTAATTGAAAAAATCATTTTGGCAATTTACTTTTGAACTAAAGACAAATCTTACTCATTAATTATCGAATTAATGAATTAATTAACTCTTTTCATTTCTTTATCTTTAAGGCTATAGGTGACTCAATGTAAATGCTTCACGCAATACATTAATGAATGTAAAAAGAAGATATAAATTTTCTTATAATTTACTCTTTCCAATCTTTTTTAATATCAAATGACCATTCCCATTTTAGATGCTCGTGTTTGTCGTCATCTGTGAATAGAGAACTGACAGTGTAAGAACCACGAGCCATAACTCCTGCTGGTGCATCCTCTGCTGGTGTTGTATATGATTGCACCTCAGTTTTAGGTGGGTATGAACCAACCATGTGCGTCATTTTATCCACTGAAAAAATCAATGAGTTAATTATACAAATATAAATCCGATGAAGGCAGCTTTACGACCGTATTTATAATCATTGGTTCACTTGTTACCTGTCACTCCTTTTAAGGATCCAATGATGCGTAATTAATCATTTTTTTTTGTTAGTTATTAATTAAAAGCCAAGGTTTTGATTGCAATTCATTCAATGAAAATATTGACTTTACTAGATATTTTTATGAATAGAAATTTATGAATATTCTTACCGGGTACTCCAAGCCTATAGGTTTTCTGTACGTATTTCAAACCATGAACAATCTCCCGTTGAACAATAAAATCGATCCGAATTTTGTAACTGACACCTTCTTTGATAACAAACGTTTGTTTCTTTAATTGGCTCAAGTCTTGTGTTAAATCTAGCTCCATGTCCGATCTACCATCAACACATAGTGCCAATTTTTTGACTATTACTTTCCTCGGATCATTTGGATCTAAAATTAAGTTATTTATATAAATGAAATACGTTTTAAGTGCTATTGAAGATATCATCAACCACCGGAATTAAGAGAAATTATACTGTGTGAAGAATCACAATGAAGTTATCATAATGAGATTTTAATATTTTAATGGTATATCAAAATAAGATTTATTTTACATCCAACATTTTACTAACTATAATCTAAATAAATGTATATGTACACTAAATTATAACCAAATATTTCTTAAAATTGATTAATTTCTTAAAATTATTTACTTCTTACGATGTTTTATTTCTTAAAATTAGGTCATTACATTTTTTAAACTGTAAAATATTTCAAATTTTAAAAAGAATCATTTTTTTTTTTTAAAATGTATTTGATATCCGAAAAAACGTATTTTTTTAATTATTATTTTTAGAAAATATAATACAATTAATTTTACCAACAACAATACCGCCAGCTTTTGCCTCTCCTAGTAATGTTTCTTTGTATTTCCGTAGACTCTCATCTTCTTTATCAGTCTCTAAAATTTGTTCAATTGACTTCTCTGGAGGCGGTTTGTAGTTTGATTCAACTTCCAACTCATCTTCATGCTCATCAACATGATCTGCTGAAGAGTCTGCCATTTCTATCTACTTTCTTATCTCTTATCGTTCTGTAGAATCAAAAATTCATGTAAAATACTTGAGTAACATGTTACTGTCACTTGAATGCATTATCGGATTACAAAATGACTTCGACATGGCAATGAACCATTTTTGAAGCCGTAAAATTTAAAAAAATTAAAAAAAAAAAAAGCGAAGACAAAAATAATAATAACTGTTAGAGAAGAGGAGAAAATAATTAATGATTTATTATAAATATTTTAAATAATGTAATAAAAAATAATGGAGAAGGATACACTACTCGAATGATAATGGAGAATCCTGTCATAAGCATTCTACATAACATGGAACACAATAACACTTTTACATACCTTCAAACGAGAAATGACTTGCTAATTTAGCATAAAAATGAAAAATACACCAAGTAGCTTTAAAGCTAAATAGTTTATTTATTTGAAAAATAGTAATCTTTTTCACAGTGACCACACACGGACACTCCTCGCGGTCTTACTCATCAGCTGTACGTCGGCTCCGGCTCTGACGGAACGGCAACAACAACATGGCGGATCCTCGAAGGGCGGGTAACTTCCTGTTCTCACACTTTATATGGTTTTTTTTTCTTTTCATGTATTCATTTTAAACAACAATAACTAAAAATTTTAAGTCTATGAAGCATGTAATTGAATCCCGTTATAAATCAAAAATAATTTTAAAATCAAAAACTTTTCTTTAATCCAATCGTGAAGGTCAAGTTGGTAGCCATTTTGGTTGATTATCGATCCAGTCATTTCCCCTTTTTTTAGTTGCTGAATTTGAATTTTCATAGTCATCGTTTTATAAGATTTAAATTTAAGAAAAAAAAACTCAAAAAGTTTAAGATTAAATGTTATGACTTATTTATTTTGATGTAAATTTCATAAATAAATACAGTCATTTATTCTTTGATTTTCATCAGTTCTTGACAACGCTCCAATAATTTATCGAGACCTTTCTGGTTTCTGAAATTCGATTTAGATTTGACTATTTTATTAATTAGCAACTCAGGATAAATAACTGCAAGTTCTAACAAGGCTCCTGTACAAAAAATAGAAATAACTATAAATCAGTATACAATTTGATTATGTACTTACATTGAATATTGTTCTGACCTAGCATTAAATCCTGAAAGTTTGTTTCTGGATCATCAAGATGAACAATCATTGTTGTATACAAATAATCAATGTGACTTTTACCAAATTGGAGATCATATTGTTTAGATAGAGGTCTCCATACAAATACTAAAGCTTCAACGGCTGCATTTCTAACATCATCAGAACCATCATCTAATCGTTTAATAATCACCGGGTAAATAGCTATAATGTCTTCATCCGTTATACTGGATAATTTGAAACCGACGTTTATTATCAAACATAAAGCTTGTAACGTATAAAATCTAATTCTTCTGGCATTATCATCAATCAATGATAATAAAATAGGTCGCAGTTTGTTGAATACTTCTGAAAAATCCAATTTGTTCGTGAACAATTTCAGATTATCTTCTTTCTTAGTTTGCTCATGTTGGTAGAATCGAAAACTAGATTTATTATCATCATTTTTATCATTTTCTGATGAAAAATCATTAAAAATAGCACATAAACAACCTACAGCAGCAGTTCTGGTTGCTTCAGCAGTTTTACCGGCAGACCAAATGAGCTCTGGTGTTAAAATATCTAACAGAAATCCCTTTATGAACTCACTAGAATTTTTTGTTTGAATTAAAGTTTTATTTTGATGCTGAAAAAAATCTGACATCAAAATCAACATTTTTAGTCGCAATTCTGCATCAGATTCTTTACTAATGGTAGTTTGTAAAATTGGTCTAATTAAGCTTATATTTTTCGCAGAAGCTGTTTTTGCCTCTGACAGACATAATGTGAAAATATAAACTTCAGGACTATATACAGACCAACTGTCTGCTGAATTTTGGATTTTCATTAAGATTTTTGGAAGATGGCAAGCATATAGATCTTCAAGATTAGAATACGTTGTTACATTCTGTAGAGTAATCATCAATTCTTTTGCAAATATTTTATGATTTTCTTCTTGAGTCATTGACCAAACAGTAAAAATGGCAATAAACAGATCATTTGTTATCACATTACAATCCTGAAATTATATTAATAAATTATATCTTTATTATTTATATTAATAATTAATAATGATTAGTCAATACAGTAAATAAAATGAAATAACCTCTTGACACACATTCAAAAGAGCTTCACAACATCGTAAAATTTGATATTGGTAATTGGCTTTTTTACTTTGACAGATGTATGTTTGTTGAATGAAATCGCCTATGTCTGGAAGCTTGTCGACCAGACTATTTCTTCGACTTCCTCGTATAATGGCACTGAAAACTATTAAATGTCCTGTCTTGATGTTTCCTTCTTTCAACGTTGGAAGGATTAATTTACAGTATGTTTGAGGCGAAATAAAATATCCTACATATTCTGCTGCTAATATAATATTTTCTACAACTCTTGAATCTTCATCGTTACAAGCACTGAAATTAAATATGTAATTCTATTAGTTTTTGTATCATTAAAAAACCATAAAAAATTCGTATTACGAATGTTTCGTCTACCGAAACATTGCAGGAAATATTTTCTCAATATGTTGAACTATCTCTATTTCAGCATTCAATGTAACAACAGCGAGTAATTGTGCTGATCGAACTCGAATATCAGCTATCCAATTTTCAAGCTCATTTGATATTCCACTAATTAATTTTTCAGCATTTTGTTGAATGATTAATCGACATCCTAGATTAGGTCTTTTAACTAAAAAAAAAATTTAATGAATTATGATGGTGATAAATAACAAGAATAATTAGTGAGTTTTATGAGAAACTAACTTTTTGGTGGATAATGATCTAGTGTTTTAACTAAAAAATCCATTTTATTTTTAACTTTTTCATCTTCTTCATTCTCCTGAAGATAATATTGCCCTGTAGTTTCCCAAAGTTCTGTAGCTTTCAATCTGATTTCCAATATTTCATCATGAAGTCCAGTAAGCAGCAGAGGAAGTAATTTATACCACCAACTGTATCGATCTCGTAAATTAAGAAGCCAATAACCAGCTACTTCAATGACAGCTGCAAAAAATGATTGAGAATGAAACAAATATTGTAAATATTTTATAATTTAGTTAATCATATTAATTTTTAATATCCACAGTATTCTGTCATCTCACAAACAGTATGAATTAAAAATGATATAAAATTATTGTTGTGAAATGACATTCATAGCTAAAAAATGAATAATTTCACCCGCTCGAACAGCTCCGCTTTGATCGAATAACCGTTCAGCCATACGAGTGGCAACATCATCCATGTGTTTACTATTTCCATATTGGATTACTTGACCAATAGCTTTTATACTAGCTACTCTAACTCGATGATGTTGATGAGTAAAATTACTCAAAATTGGTGTAATCACAACTTGACATCGTGAATAAAATTGAATTGGAGCACTTTGAGCGAGTTCAGAAATAGCTTCACAGGTTTCTTTTTTCACTTTAGGATAGCTATCAATTACTGTCTTAGATAAAATCACAATGAAGTCATCTATATATACTGGCATATATTCTTTGTAGATATTAATAATTAGTCGAAGTAGATGGATGCAATTGAGTCGAACTTCTTCAGCAGGTTCTAGAATTTCTTCTGATCCCAAGCGTCGTACTAATATGGGAATAATATACATAATATTCTTTTCGAGCACTGGTAAACGATTGATAAATATCTTAATAATATTAATAGCACGATCTCGATAAGCTTCTATAGGATCTATGAGAATTTTAGCAATATTTTTATTCACTGTTTGCCACATTTCTAGTATCTCATCTTTGCTCCATTGTTCTGTTTTATTGCTAATGATCGTTTGAAGTTGTTCCAAGCCACCTAAACGTCGCTTTCTCTCTTCTGCTTCAAGTGATAAACAAACTTCGGTTAAGTGAAGTTTTTTTACTCTAGACATTTTTATTTTTACAAATTTTTGTAATACTTGAAATAGTTATTGGATTAATTCATATATAAAAGCGTTCTTCTGATGTTTAATTATTAAATCAAATAACAAAGAGTTGCTTGGATGCCGAATTGATTCCATAGCAACAAACTAAAGTGATTACTTGTGATTGCATAGTTCAATTAATATCTTAAAAATGTTTTTTTTCATATTTTAATCGAAGAGAGGAAAAGAAAGCTTACATATGAATAAGAGTTATATCAAATAATAATTTTATAATATTTTTAGCGTAATGATTGCATAATTATAATTGTCAATTTTCATAACAATATTTGTAAATACTGTGTATTTATTGACATTCATATATTTTGACACAATCTTGACATACAATGATAAGAGACACACAAATGTATTCTAAGTATTACTACATCACTGTATATTTGTATGATACATTTAAATATTTCTATTCTTCATTGAAGAAAAAAATTATTTTTTAATTTTATTTATCTAGTTTCAATTTAATCACGTTTACGAATAAACTAAAGTGCCAAATTAAAAAAAATATTTGTATCAAACTGTTTTTCCATGATTTTTAGAGTTTTAATTTGTAATAATAATAATAATAATAATAATAATAATAATAATAATAATAATAATAATAATAATAATAATAATAATACCAATACTAATTGCAATAATTATAATAACAATAATAATAATAATGAAAAACATGATTTAAATACTAGAAAACTACTACAAAAAATGCATCAAAATGTGTGTGTTATTTTAATAACTTTTCAGTACGAATATTATGAATATAAAGGTCTTATTTTAATACTATTGCTTATGGTGATTATTTTATTTCACAACTATTTAGATTGACATTAAAAAATTTAAAAAGATAACAACACACTTTTGAAAAATCAATCTGTAATGTAAGTAATAATTAAATTTTAACATAAACTTTTATGTTTCGTGCTCATTATTTTTTCATTTTTGTTGTATTTTTTGTAAATTATGTTTTTCAGAAAAAATATATAAAAATATTATAGAAAGATTTCAAAGTGTACATAATCTTGATATGGTCCCCACGACGGAACTGTTGAACGGAATTTATAGGGTTTTATTTGTAAATTTTTATTGATTTGTATAATTTGATAATTATGAAAATTCCTTTACCTTTATTTGTTTTTTAAATAAATGCCTTCATTATATTCCTTTACTTAATGATTTTTTTTTTGCTTTATCTCATTTCTATATCTTCAGAAGTGAATAATTATGTAAAATAATTAATCTTCAGTGGTAACATTTTTAAAAAGATAAGACATTGATTCTTTGTTGTGAATACGACGAATTGCTTCTGCTAATAATATACTTATGTCCACTGTTTTTATCTTCGAGCATTGACTTTTTTGTAATTCGTGTGGAATAGTGTTAGTAACAACGACCTGAATGAAATAAATAATAAATAAGCAAATGTATATGTAGATGAATAAATGATAATAAAATAGAAACCTCATCAATTGGTGATTCTTCAATAAGTCTTGGAGCATCAGAACTAAGAAGTCCATGTGTAGCCAGTACATAAATTTTATTGGCTCCTTGTTCTTTTAAAACCTCAGCTGCAGCCACAAAAGATTGGACATCATCAACCATATCATCCTAATAAGATAATTTCATTAAAATAAATTCAATTATTTCAATATTGTTACTAATGACATTGCACACATCTTGATATCTTGTAGATGTTTTTATCAACTAACCACCATAATAGCAATACGACCACTGACATCACCAACAACATTAATTGGTGGTTTTTCTTTAGCTGGATGAGATGGTACACCAACTCCGACTTCCATAGTTCTTGAAGATAACAACATGGCTGGAGGTGAATTACGTCCATCATTCATATCAGATTCATTCTCCCTTTGTTCTCCATGGATCACAGCTATTCCTACTCTCAGTCGTTCTGCATAGCTAGTGGCTTTTTTAGCACTTCCAGGATTTTTCGCAACAATTACTGAATTTCGATAATCTGGAACCTGTCAAATTTACTCTTTAAAAACTACACATCTATCTATAAAATATCAAATACCAAATATACCAACACTCTCTTGAATATACTGTAAAAGAAAAGGACTTGCTCGCAAGTTATCAACAGGACAATCGAAGAAACCTTGAATTTCTTTTTGATGAAGATCCATAGTGATAATATGAGTTAATCCACTTGTACACATCATTTTGGCCAAAAGTTTTGATACAATACAACCGCGTTTACGCATTTTACATTGTTTGGAGTAAGGTAAATAAGGAATAACACCAATAATATTTTTGGCTGAAGATGTCTTACACGCATATGCCATAATTAAAAGCTCCATTATGTTATTATTAACATCTTTAGTTCCTGTTTGAATGATATAAATATCTTTCCCACGAACGGAGTCAGCAATTTCCACCATTGTTTCACGGTTGGTTTTATGATACGCAAAACAACCTCCATGTTTGACGCCAAGGCGACTGAAAAATGTACATTTATTGCGTTCATTTTAAATATTCTTGCAAATATTTGATCTTGCAAATAACTTGACCTACTTAGCTATTAAATCTGCAAGTTCTGGATGTGAATTTCCAGATACAATAACAATATCTGAAGCTGTAGATTTATCCATTATTTTTTAATAGATAAATAATTAACATTAATAAAGAGACCTTCTTCTCTCTAAATAAATTTAAAGAAAATTTTAAGTTAAAGATATTAATTTAATCACAATTGATTAAAGCACGTGATTACGATTATTACTTTCTTACCCTTACGTAGGACCTCGTGAAGCTTACTACGTTTGATTCAATTATTATCGATTAAACATTCAATTTAAATGTGAAATACTTGAGTCACAAATTTTTTTCCAAGACTTATGATTTGAATATGTTTCAATATCACTATAACTAGAGATATCTTGAAACAAATCTCTATAAACAAATATTTCTTTTGTTGAGGCTATAAGATTATTTATTTGTGGAACTTTTCCGAACAGCTGATTTATCAATCATCCCAACTAGTAAACTAGGAAATATATTCTTGCCCTAGTCAAGGTTGTCGTCTAGGAATTTTCTTAACTTTATATCAAGAATTAATGGAAATTGAATCAAATTAATTTAGCGTCATTTGTTTGACGTACTTAAAATATATAAGGTTTGAAAATAATTGTACTGTGGTTTTTATTAACAAAATTGTTTTTCCTGTTTGTTCAAGATTTCTACGTTATCTACATACGTATTAAAAACGTCCCGTACATTTGATGGAAATTTAAAATGAATTTATATTTTTTGTGACATTATATATTCAAATAGAATAACTAATTCGATTTTTTAAAAAAGACTGTTATTAATTTTTTTTTTCAATTGTTAATTAAAGTCTAACTTACAATTGGTTGTTTAATATCAATTCTAACCTATAATTACATCATAAATAGTGGTACATTTTTCTATATGCCTCTTTCAATTAATGAAAATTCTAAGCTTCAAAATACTCGAATATAGAAATTAACTTCAATTGTTTCTAATTATACACATTTTGGTATCAAAGTGGGTGTTGTTTGATTTATATAACATATTTGATGATTTAATTCATATTTTAAAGGAAAAAAACAAAATGCTAAGTAGCAGAAGTGATACTTCCGAGCGTAGATTTGAAATAGAATGTAAATTAGAGGCAGAAATTGCAGTACTTGATGCTTTACGAGATGCTGAAGAAAAAAGTAGGAAATTAACATCAGGAGTTGTTGCTATTTTAACATCTCTAGAGCAGAGATTAGCTACCCTTAGGAGGACGATTCTCCCAGTTTATAATGAAACTGGAAATCTTCAGACTCAGCAGCATAGTAAAAATCTTAAATTATAAATATATATATATACATATGTATATAGATATTTAGTAAAAGATTTTTGAAATGTTTTATTTATTTTACAGATATAGAGAAAACTTTAACAGCACTAGACCATGCAATTGGCTATTACGGAGTTTGTCAAGAAGTAGAAGGAGCAATTCGAAATGGGCCAACTGGTCCAGGGGGTCTTAATGGCTTCTTTGACGCTATGAATAGACTCTATAATGCCGAAAGATATTTTCAGAAAAATAATCCAAGTTCTGTTGAATTAGAAAACATTTCTTTACTATTTGGAGTTGGACTAGATTCACTTTGTACTGAATTCCATGATATTCTTGCTAGACAAAGTAAACCAATTTTACCTATAGTTTTACTGGATTTAATTGGATCTGATGAAGATACAAGTGGCGAAGATGCACCACAATCATTAAATCAATTATCAGAAAGCACTTTAGGTGATCTCGTTAAAATTGCTATTTGGTTAGATGAAAGAGGACATCGTAGGCATGCAAAAATTTATTCATCAGTACGTTCTGCAATTGTTTTGAGATCACTTCAGCTATTGAAAGAACATCAACGAAGTGCTAGTGGTGGTAGCACACATGCTAATAGTCCTATGCCGGTAATATTTATATTAAATAAATATTATGACACTTTACATTTAAAATATCATAAAAATATATTTTGTAAATTATTTTTAGAGAACTAAATTCGCACATAGACATTCGATGACTGGAGGAGAAACAGTTAGTCGTCGTACATCACGTCGTCTTCAACATGCTATTGAAAAAAAAGCTAGCAAAATGTTAATGCGTGCTTCACAAACTACCGGAATAGGTCTTGCATTTCCTTCTTCAAGGAAGCCTACTCCGTCACCATTAAATTTTGCACCTGAAGACGCAGCCCCCGATGAACAAGAAATGGAAAATTATCTTTTGCTGACTGCTGGTCTTCATAAACTTATGCAAGCTGAAAAAATTCTAATAGCAAAAATTATTCCAACTTCATTACAACCCCAAGTTTTAGAAGCAACTGTTCGTGATGCAATGGATCTTGTAGCTCATGATGGAGAAAGTATTGCAACTCGAGCTAAAAGATGCATTGCTAAGCGTGATTTTTCAGCTGTATTGGTAGTTTTTCCGATTCTCAAACACCTAGGAGATTTGAAACCAGATCTTGAACGAACAGTAGAGGGTTGTGATTATGCATTGAGATCAAAGTTTACGTCTGTGTTGAATACCCTTAATGCTACAGTAAGTAACCCGTTTATAACGAAGCATAAATTTATTAATAAATTTATTTAAATTAAAGTAACAAATATTATCATAAGTTGTATAAAATTATCAAACTAAATTTAAAGTAAATTGTAGTTTATTATATTTAATAGATTGAAAAAATTGCTTTCTTCGAAAATTCAGCTAGTTTGTTTTTTATCATTAGTTTAAAATTCTAACTTGTATTCTTTACTACTTCAGGGTGCAAAAGCCTTGGAAGATTTTGCTGAAAGCGTACGAAATGATTCAGGAGCAGCTTTACCTAGAGACGGAACAGTGGCCGAGTCTACGAGTAATGTCCTCGTTTTTTTAGAACAATTGTCAGAGAATGCAGAAACTGCAGGAATTGTTTTAAAGAAAAATAATGAAATTGATAATATTTCTACATCAAGTGCTCGACAAATAGAAAATACACATCGTGTATTAGTTGGAATTTACATAAGTAATATACTTATTCTAAAAATTTTCATTATTGTTTATTGTGTTTTAATTTTCAAAAACCACATATAATTGGAAAAGATGACAAATGATTAAAAAATACAATTTCAATTAAAAAATGTTTTTCCAGAGAAGGTATTAGCACAATTAAACCTCGCATTAGTCAGCAAAAGTGATGCTTCTTATTCAGATCCAGCATTACGGGCACTTTTCCGTCTTAACAATCATAACTATGTAGTGGATAAATTGCGAAACAGTTCACTGATGGAGCTTTTACTGTTAGCAGAATCCACAGCAGCACAAACATATCAAGACTTTCTTGTTAAAGACAAATGTAATTACGTTGCTGCTACTTTTACTAAAGCTCGAGTGTATCTGGATCATTCACCAGATGAACCTGGTACGTGTTTAAAATTAGCAATTAATCAAGAAGAGGAATAAGTAAAAAAAAATTACTATGCCGTTTACAATTATAAAAAAAAGAAGCATGTAATATAACAATTCTTTTATTTATAGAATTAGCAGCAAAGTCTTTGAAAGATCGTTTTTCTGGATTTTCTCGAGAACTTGATGAAGCTGCAAAAAATCAACGAGCATATTCAGTGCCTGATGCTCGTTTACGTGAAGCTCTTCGTCGAGAATTACAACAGTCTATAGTTCCACAATATACTGCGTTCTATTTGAAGTATCGTAACGTTTCTTTCTCAAAAAATCCAGGGAAATATATTAAATACACACCGGAACAAGTTTCTGCGTTAATAAAAACTTTTTTCGATACAGCCGCATAAATTGATAAGAGTACGTGTTTTATCAAAACAGGGAAAATACGTCTGATAGTACCATGTTAAGGAGTTGATAACAATACCATAAATGTTAATTGTAAACATAATAGTAATAATCAATAATAATTGTAGTTACATGATTAATAACAAGAACAATTAAATATTATTTGTTTTAGTAAACACTCATTTAATAAAGCAAATTTTGTTACATCTAGTTTTATTCAGGCCAAGATTTTTCATGTCTATGAAGATCTACTATAGGCTTTTTGGATTTGATTTTTTGTCATACCCACAATATAAATTGTATAGGTTTGTTCTATTGCAATTAAATTGATTAAACACCATTAGGTTATATATTCAGGAACTTAGCTCGGCCTGATATTTTTGAAACTTTATTTTTTTGTATTTTATTTAAATTTTACATTCAATTATATTATTTTCATATTTACTTATTTTATATATATATGTATTTATATAAAACAAGTAACGTATTTCCGTCAATTTTGTATCAGTTGGTAGCTTACATGATGTATAATAATGACGATAATAATAGGAATAAGTTTAAATTTTAGCAAGTATTTACAATTAGTTATTATTTTATCACTTTCTCATTCAGTAATATATTTATTTACTATTCATTCAATCACACTTTTTTTATTTTTTATTAATATCTTATTTTATATACTTTATCATATTTTCTTTCATTCATTACTCATTCAAACATTTTAAGGACGAATCGAACAAAATCATGTTTAATCTTATTTTTCCGTCAATTTTCATTTTTTTACAACATTCCACCTCTGTGTTCGCGCTCTTAGATTTCGTCTCGATTTCTACGAGTTGTGCGTGAATAAATTTTTTTTCCAATAATTCGTACGAATTTTATAGAGACATTCATTGGGCTCAATTGAAATTAACTTAGAGAGCATCAAGGTTGCACTTGATGTTTTTTCTACAAAATTTTATCCCAATTAAATACACATATCTGATATTTGATAAAAATTCTTAAATTATTTGTAGTTTATTTATCTTAATCATACTTATAATTGAATCATTAATTAAAAATTAACTAATTTATTATAATAACGATAATTTTATTATCGCCAACATCGTTAGTTTTTTTTTTCATTTCTGTTAAACTGTACATAAATGTTATTTTATAATGATTGTATGTAGATTAGCTCTCTTGCCCAATTTTTCTGCTAAATTTCTTTTATCATCAATTATTCTTGATATAAAGCACGACTATCCCGATCGTTTAAGTTTCATTTTTGATTTTAAAAAATAACTAAAAAGTGAAATAAAAACATATTCTTATAAAATAATTAATGTCTAATAAATATAACTTTTAATCAAAAAGTAATTTAATTTTCCTTGTAATGTAATCTATTAATAACGTTGACTTTTTTTGTCTCCTCATCTTTATTTCAATCTCAAAATTTTTTTCGCATTTAAACTGTTGGATTCTTTATTATTGTGCGCTGCATAACCGCTTTACATCTTCATCGATGCAAAAAACTCGGAACGATAGACGACAAAAAATGGTATAATGTTTTAAGTGACACGATATCAATATGTCACTTTGGAGTCTTTTATACATCGTCGTCAAAGCACGATACACATTTGGAGTTAAAACAATCGTATTGACGGAAGCGGTAAACGCTCAGAGTCGATCGGGCGTCGTTTAATAATTAATATTATAGCAGACAACATTTACGCTTCGGTTTTACCTGGGGGACTGGACACAATACTGCACGTATCGCTTCATCAAAAACTGTTTTTAATCCTTTTTGTGTCAGAGCTGAGCATTCAAGATATTTTACTGCACCAATTTCTTTAGCCATCGCTAAACCCTAAAAAAACATTTTGAAATTATTAATAAATCTTTAAAGTAATAAAGTTTTATAAATACATATTCAATTAATATCTCATTATTTGACCGTTATTGAAGCTTTATACTATATTACAACAGCTTAGGGGAAATAGAACACGTAATATTAATGAAAATTTTTAAAATAAATATTTAAATAACAAATGAACCAATTGTAAATAGAATGGATGTATTTGTTTAGTATATTATTATTACAATAATCAGAATAATTGAAATATTTCAATTTTTAAGACTAATTTTTTATTCAAATTATAAATACTTCTGATAATAAAAAAGGATTAGAATAAATAAAAAATATTGTTTGATATTTTTATATCATAATCAACAATGTATACTATTATTTAGATTGAAAGAAGTTAATTTAATATAATTAATTCGATTAATTACTAAATAAGATTATTTAAATATCATTTTTTAACTGTTTAATATTCATCGAAAAGAAGATGAAATGCTTCATCAGCTGTAAAAACAGTTCAGGTATTTAAATGATTCTTGATCATTTCATTCGATGCATATAAAATAAATGATCATATGATGAATGAAAATAATTATATGTCAATAAAATTTTTTAACAAAATTTTATTGCTTATAAATATTTATTTTTAAGTTGAATATGACGTAGAGTGAGTAGGATTTTATAGCAATAACTAATTACATTATCACAATATAGTTATTGATAAAAAAATTGACAGTACTTACTTGAGGATAAGTTATTGGTGCCAGTTTTTTGTCTTTGAGTCTTTCAATGGTGTCTTTATCTTCACGTAAATCTAGCTTAGTTCCCACAAGAATAATTGGAGTAGCGGGACAGTGATGACGTACCTCTGGATACCATTTAGCTCGTACATTTTCAAAACTTGCTGGATTAACGAGCGAAAAACAAATGAGGAAAACATCAGTTTGAGGATATGACAGTGGTCTCAACCTATCATAATCTTCCTGGCCGGCAGTATCCCATAGACCCAGGTTGATTGGTTTACCGTCGACCATAACATTTGCCGAGTAATTGTCGAATACAGTCGGAATATATTCACCAGGAAAGGCATTGGTAGTGTAACTAATTAGCAGACACGTCTTACCCACTGCTCTGTAAATGAAATGTAGTTGTTAAACCTTGTAATTTAATGATTTAAATACATACACAATAAAAAGTAAAGCATGAACAAAAAAGTTAAAAATTAACACATCCAACGGTAATTTTGATGTCACATTTTAAATATTAATCCACATAAACTTGTAACAATTGAGTGTCACAGTAACCCGCGAAAATTTACACCACGCCCGAGCGTCAAACACCCACGGGCAGCATCGAAAGTTGGTAGATCCCCCGGTACGAGTCTTTTTTCCAAGCTTACAACAGCGTCCACGTACAACACCCGTTCTTAGAACTTTAATGTTTCAAGTTCCGTATATCCATAATTTACTATACTTGCAAATAGCTCACCAAATCATTTGATGATTTTTTTACTTACCCGTCACCAACAACGACGCACTTAATGGCCTGCATCGTTTAAATACGTGATCGCAATGGTTCACGTTTGGATTATGAACCGAGCAAGCCCAAGAGAGTAAAGCCTAAACGTCGTCCGTGAGAGACGAGAAATCCTCTGTCGTTATTCGATTCGAGCTGAGAGTGAGCGAGAGATCCGAAGTGAGTACGAGGCTAGCAAGTTGAGAAGAAAGGGAACCCTTTTGCTATCTCACTTGCTCATTGTTCCGGCGACCAACAAGAACTAAAGAGCTTCTCTATTTCGTGTATGAACAGAGATAGAGATGGCAGAAGTATCGAGGGCGGGAAAGAGATAAAAATATGATTTTTCTAAAAGATTGAGATTAATAAGTTGAAAATATAAGAGCAACTTAGGTTAGCTCTCTGTCTTTTAAAAATGTAAGCTCGTCACGAACTATGTTACGTGTTGATGTATAAATATATATGTATATATACATGCCTCAACTACGGTAGGAGGTATAACTTTTATATCGTAACCTTTTCATCTATTTTTCATCTTTCAATCATAATATGAATCGCAAAAAACTACGTAACTCTAGATCGTTGAAGAAATCATGGCTAATGTAACGAAAAATCTTAAATAAGAAACTGGATAGCAGTGATGCATAGTCTATTGTTAATCAGTTTTTTTAAGTGACGTCACTGTGAATGATTACATTCCTGTTGTCCTGCAAAATACTTCATTGTCGAGTAATCAATGGTGCGTCATAAATTTTCTACGAAATCCTTCATTTTTTTATTTTCCTGGCATAACTAGCGCGAATTTTGAAGGTGGACTAGATATTTTTCGCGCTTTCTAGACTTGTCCATTGTTACAAGAATATATTCATTTTTTTTTTCGATTATATGAATAGTAAATTTATTAAGTCTTACTTTAAATATTATTAAAAAAAAATTGAACAATTCATGGATAACAGTGAAAATATGATTATAAAAAATAACAAATTTGATATTTTACGATTAAATCTAACAAAATTCATGTAATATACTGTTAGATTAACAAAATGATAATAAGAAAAACTAAAAAATTTTTATTTATTTGACCACGAAATTAAATTACCGACTGATAAATTTATGTTTTTAACCTCTTTAAAAATAAATTGTATTCTTGAATTTATTTACAGAATTATCTTGTCATAAATTTCTGTTGAAAATAAATTTAATAAAAGTTTACATTTTATTCATAAACAATTACTAGTATTTATAGCCGCTATCATTTATTTAATTAAATGATAGAAAAAATATTTTCCGAAAGTTTAGAGAATATCTTTCCCTTTGGAAGTTAGATTTCATTGGGTGGAATTCACGTATTACATTTGGTGGAAATATTGAATTTATAAATATTATAAATTAATATTCATCTTGATTAACAAAATAGTATATTTACATTTTAATATAAACATATTCATATATGTATATCATCAATGTGGCAGCAACAAGTTCTTGCGCTTGATGCAAAATACAATTCTCGTAGGACATCTAACAATCCTAATCCCAGATTAGGTATGTAAACAAATTATTTTTAATCTAAATAATAAATAAAGAATAAAAAGAATTTGTTAAAACTTTTAGGATTGTTATATCTTCGCCGTAGAAATCAATTATTGAAAGAAAAAGATTCTGAAAATTCAGAGGTTCGATTATCATATTTAAAATTACGATCAAAACTGCTTCAACTAAAATATGGACCAACTTCTGAATGTATAAGCCTCTCTTCTCGTGCATCGATAGACGGTTTGTCAGAGAAAGATTCGTCAGGAGAAAAATTTACAAAAAAATCAACGTCTGAAAGTTTTGCTTTTGCTGGTGTTCATCATGTTTTGGACATCCATAAGTCGGCAGTTACATCTTTAAAATTTGCTAACAATGACAAATCAAAGCTCTGTTGTGCATCTCTTGATGGAACTATTTCTATTTGTGAAGTAGCAAGTACTCCCCCAAAAGTAGTAGCAATTTTGAGGGGTCACAAAAAAGGGATTACAGCGATAGACTGGAGTACCAGTAATGATTTTATAGTATCATCATCTTTAGATGCTACTGTACGACTGTGGGGTTTTAATGAAGATACTACAACTTGTTTAAGAGTTATCGATGATCAAATACGAGCTGAAGTATTATGTTGTGGTTTCGTTCCGGCGAATAATAATTTAGTTATCACAGGCAATTCTCAAGGATTACTTCAAATTCTTAATATTTCTACAGGAATTTATCCTCGTGGTGGGATTTCTAAAATTGGAGGGAAGGTTATGATTTCAAAATTTTCATTTAATTCTAATCAGCTTTAATGAATAATTAAACTCATTAATTATTTTGATATATTGTTCTTATAGGTGCTTTCTCTCACATGTGAAAGAAGTGGAGGTTTTTTAGTGTGGGCAGGTAATGATCGAGGAGTTATAATTTCTCTCCGATTAGAAGCTGGCTCAGGTCGACTGTCTAAACTTAGGCGAATTGATACTTTTGGATCCGCAAAAGTGACAAGTTTGTCTTGGCGTCCGTGGTTATCAAAAGAAACATCTTCACCAATACTTTTAGTAAATTGTGCGTGTAATGCAATTTTTCTTTACCGAGTTGCAGATCTTCAGGGGACTTTAAAAATCTGGAGAAATTATCCATTAAAACATAGGTAATCATAGTTTTTATTAATTCTGACTTTCGAAAATTTTATAGTCTGTTTTACTGCAAACAACATTTTGGACCTTCTTTTTATTATATCTTAATAATATTTTTTTTTTTTTTTATGAAGGCAATACTTGATAAGATCAACGTTCTGTCCACAAATGGGCGCGTGCTTGATAGCCAGTGGTTCAGAAGATGGTTCAGTTCACCTGTTAGATACATCTCGTGAGGGTAAAGCAGCACAGGTTAATAGACTTTATGGACATTCCGCCCCAATTCTCGCCCTTGATTTTAATTACGATGAATCTCATCTTGCAAGTAGCGATCATCAGGGTCTTATTATTATCTGGCGTAATTAACTATTTGATTTTTTCAAGTTTTATTCATTCTTATACAATCAATTTACCCGTAAACATGCAATGATTTTTTATTAAACTATGTCAAATTTTAGAGATTTTCTTCACATTTCAAAGCTTAAAAGTACATTTATCTTAATGAAATTCATATGTTTTAAAATTTATTTTTATAACAACAAAAGTCATTGAATAATTATTCTAAAGTGCACCGTTTTTGTAGTGAATTAGTAATCGAATCATTGATTTTTTAACACTCTTAACAAATTGTATAATAAGTGATGATAAAGATATTGATATTAGAAAGAGAGTGTCACTTCAAGTTTAAAATAACTTCCAGTAAGAAGTTAATGCAATTTTTAATGTCGAATTATCATTTGACATTAAAATTATTTTAATAAAGATCTAAAAAAATTTTACCACAGGGTCTTTTGGGATAATATTTTCTAAAAATAAATACAACTCAAGTATTATAGGATGTACTAAAATATTGTTACTCAGCAATATATTATTCATCCTCTACTGACAAATATACTATAATAATGCTGTCAGTGATAGTACTTCCGGTGTTCTTAAATACAGAAATAATTGTCAGATAAAGCCAAATATTATGTATATATACCAATACTTCATAACTTAAATATTATTTTAATTATTACTAAATCTTTTTTTGAGTCTTTTGATATACTTGGAGTATTTTTTTCTACTCGAGCAACGATCAATGCTACGTATACTTGCACATTAACGTGTGCGTTTTTCTCACTTTTTTCCATTACAAGTAAAAAAATTCCTAGAAAGGTTTTTTTCTTTCACCCCTAATTGCACTGTTCTTCTAATGAAATTTTAATGTAAATTAATAAAAATATAACAAATAATCATTTGAAAATAAAATTATAAATTAATAATTAATAAAAAAACAAATATAGTGAAATATGTTATTAATATTAATGTTGAAAATGTGCAAAAATTTATTGTACTATATTGTTATTATATTGACGAATGAATTTTTTCTGTTTCTAATAAGGTGAACTTATCTAACGAAAGATAAAACATAAAGTTTAAAACATTTTTATCATCACTCGAAACAAAATTATCTTATAATTTCATTATCACAGAGTACAAAATTCTTACGTGATAATTACTTTTTTTATTACTGTTTACTCTTTTTTCTCTGTTAATGTCTTTTTTCTTATTTGTTTTTTTAGTATTTTCTTATTCTATTTTTACATAATACTTCAAAAATTAGAGAGCTGTTAATTCTACAAAGTGGTCACATTTTTTTTTAAATGAATAAAAGATTTAAATACAAATACTTTTTTCTCAAAACTTGTTTGGGACACGATTATTAGTTTAAGTGTAAATTAAAAACAAATTATAAATATTACTTATATAGGCACAATTCTTGATTTGTCTATGATAAATTAATAATTATTTACAATAATAACGATTTAATAAAGGCCAAATATTGCTCTTTAATTTTAGTTGCTTTCTTTCAGATGGATTGAAAAAGAATCAATGATCATCACTGGTTATGCATTATTTTTCCTACTAATTATTTACAAAAAGATAAACAAAAGTTTGTGAAAATTATCGCACACTCGGACGGACTTAAGCCAATTGAGCTCTCCACTAAGAGATTTGATCTCTATTTAGAATTCATTTGCTGTTTATTTTATTTATTATTTACTTCATAAAAACGTTTTTTTTCACTATCATTAATTGTTACGATAAACTTTGTAATTTATTTAAAAAAAAAAAGACCGTATTTACTTGAACTTTAGGTCGACTCACGGACGGACTTTTTCAAATGTTCATCATCCGCTTCACTTGATTTTATCATACAATCTATTTCTGACGATTTTATTACTTGCTCGTCCTCTATTGACGCATTATTTTCTTCTTTTTCTGATGTTTCAATTTGCTTCATTTTTTCATTTGTCTCCGATTCTGTTTTTAAAAAAGTTGATGTTTCATCTAATTTATCAATGGCTTCATTATTCTGCTCTAACGAATCTTGTTTCATTAGAAAAAGTGGTCGATGAGATGATTTTGTAATTTCTTCTTCATTGAAAGACATTTCAAGCTCACTAATTTCTCCATCACTTTCTCCATTTGTTGTACATTTTACATTTTCTTGATTAAAATTTTCGATTAAAGATTCCATAGGTGATCGAATAATAGAAACGATTGATAGTTCATCTTTTGTGGTTGGAGATTCTGTGCTAGTTTCAGTCTTTTCGGTTTTCGAATCATTTTCATCATTTGTCTGATCTTCTTCCTCATTTTTATCCACATTCAAAGCACTTATAGATGTTGAGTTATTATTCTTATTTGATAAATCAAGTTTTAATCTATTTCTAGTATGTCTCAGTTCTCCTAGCTGTGTCTGTTGTTGACTCTGAGGATTTTCACTTGGTTCAGTCTTTAAATTTTTATTACCCTTTTCCATCATATTAACCATCTCTACAGGTTGATCATTACGAGATTGTGTCTCAGATTCTCCGGGAAAAAATTGACTTACATATCTTCCATCTCCAACTTGGAACTGAAACGGTCTATTTCCACTACTGACAAAAAACTCCTCGTCATCTAATTATAAAAGAAAGATTATGAAAATTAATACTTGATTTATGTTTATTGCATTAAATTTTTTAATAAAAAATATTAAGCTTACTATGATTGGATTCTTCATAATCTACCGTGTAAACGTCTGTATTTGGTTTCTCTATCATTTCCTCCCAAGCTATAATATAAATATCAAAAAAGTACAATAAAAAAAAATAATTTGAGAATATAATTTTTAAAAATTAGAATTATTTACCAGCGTAAGTTGTCGGTTCCCAAGTAGTTGTAGATTGAGTTTGACAATCTACTGCTGGAGTTTCCTTTGGGTATTCATAAACACAGTGGTATCTTTGTTTCTTGAACCATACATTTTTCTTTTGATCCTAAAAAAATTCAAATAATGATTAAATCTATCAATTTAAACAATATTTTTTTTGTATTAAAGTTTATCAAACGTACATTTTTATTATTAAAATTTAAAAAAAAAATATATTTTTTTTGTTTTTAAACCTACCAATTCATCCTGACAGCAAGAGTGAAAACACAATTTCTGAATATATATATTAGAAATAGATCAATTTTTATATTTAATGGAGAATAATTAATCAAAAAAAAATTCAAACTTACTCCGGTTCTCAGAGTTTTTTCCGGTGATCTTAAAGCTGATCGATGCGGTGCTAAGTTAGCATCCCAAGCCGAAGGAGTAAATTCTTCTTCATCTTCTTCGTCTTCGCCTTCTTCGTCTATTTCATCTTCATTTTCTTCTTCTATCTCATTTTTTTCTTCCGTTTTTTGTTTAAAATTTTCAATAGTTGATGTTTGATACACTGGACTATTTCTATCTTGATTTTTATTCATAGAGTTGTCATCATATCGCTATAAAATTATCAAATAAATCAATCATTTAAACTTTGGTAAAAAAAATATATATGTATATATAAAAAAAAAAGTGTAAAAAAGGTTACCTTCCAGACGAATTCTTCAGAACTAGAACTATCATCTCCGTCATCTTCAATATCATCATCATCGTCTTGGCTGTCCCAATCTTGTGGAGTGCTAAAACTAGCAGACATTAAATCATCTTGTAGTTGAAGAGGAATTGGAAATTGCGCCTGCCATTTAGATTCTTCTTCAGGACTAGGCATAGGTGCACCCATTGTTTTACCCTGGATTTCTGAATATTTATTCACTACATTAAGAGATTCAAAACCCAGACTGTCATCTTCTGTCATATCACCGTTGGAAGTATCACGATCATCTTCATGATTTTCTGTTGTACCTTCTACCATAACTACTTGATTAGTTCTCATGTCTACAACCAAAACATCCTCCGAGAATCCTGATATTTTGGACGCTACTGAAGCATCTCCCAGTGACTCGGAATTTAAATTACTTTCACGTTCTTCTAATATTGGACTTAAAGGTATTCCATAGAAGTTGTATCTAATAGCAATATCAATATTACTGCCTTCATTTTCTGATGTTTCTTCATCATCTCCCCAAGTTTTTGTTTCATTTTCTGAAAGATTCATAGTAGATTCTTCTCCATCTCGTAATTCTTGAGATTCAACTACTGACATTTGAGCATGTGGTAGTTTTTCTCGAAGTTCATTTCTTATTGCCGTGACAAATTCTTCATCAAGATTAAAAGATACATAAGAATTGTCACTACGAAGACTCATTGTAGAACTGTCTTCATCATCATTCTCTTCATCCTTTTCATTTTTTTTCAGTTCTGTTGATATATCATTATTGGATTTATCCAAATATGCAACATTTTTTAAATTTCCTTTATTTTTCTCTTCTATTTTTACTGAATTTACAACTAATTTAGAATTTATTTTTTCTTCCATTTTTTCATGCTCTAATTCAATTTCAGAAACCTCTGCATCATGTTGTTCAAATTGCACATTTAGTGGTTGCATATTTATATCATTTTCCATAATTTCTAAGTTTATTTTACTAGGTGATAAAGATAGGTTGAAAGTTTCATCTAAACTTCTACAATCTTCAGCATCAAGAATAGTATCAAGCTCTAAAAGAACCTTGAGCTGTTCTTCTTCGACTGATTCTGAGAGTGGTATTGGAGTAGTTGGGAAGACACTATAAGATAATGATCCCATAAGAGAATGAACACATGGGTTTTCCTCTTCTTCACATGATTCTTTGTCTCTGAAGCCACTGTCGGAACTTCTTTCATCATCTGGCGTTGACAAATGTTTACGGTCTTCTTCTTCATCACCGTCAGGAAGTTTTCTTTTTTCTGTTTCTACTTCTTCACTATTTGAAAAATCTTCATTATCAACTGAAAAATCTTCTATACGTGATTGGGGAGTACCTGGTGCAGAAAGAACTCCTAAATTATGTATTAAACTTGATTTACATTTATCTATATCCATAAGCTTGTCAAAATTAATAGATTCTAAATCAAATTTTGATATTTTACGCTCTAATTCGAATTCTAAGGCATTTTTCCAGAGCTCAACATCAACAAAATTATTGGAAACAGCACTTGAATCATTTTTGGGAGTTGACGTGCATTCTAACGTATTTTCATTATTTATAGTAATGTTTTCTGGTTTTTCTGCAGAATCTTTTAAAATTTTTGTAGCATCAGAAGGATTTCGTAATTTTTTTAACGCTTCATCAAATTCATCTGTTAACACAGTGGTTCTTAGATCTCCAACACTACCGGAAGATATTCTCTTTTTTGGTTTCTCAATAGCTTGAGAGCCTAAAGACCACTCTGCTTCAGAATCAGAATCAATGTGAACTAATATCATGAGATCGGCAACTGATTTAGACTTTTGTTTAACTTTTTCTGTATATGCACCACGTTCTACACGACCTCTCCAGCTTTCTTCTTCTGTTTCTGACCCTGATTCCATTGTAAAATCAGTGGCTTTATTGATATATGTACTTTTAACAGGTTCACCAGGACCAAGTTTGAATCTTGCTTGAGGTGTACTAAACATTACTTCATCAGCTTTCCATAACTCAGAATCTGCACTTTCTCTAAGTTCTTTGAGGCTTAAACTTCTCATTGGCTCTTTACTATTAGGTCGAAGACTTTCCCAACGTTGATCGAAATCAGACTGTTTACCCTTTAGAATGCTAATTATGTCAGGTAATTTAGCTCTATCATTAGCTTCTAGTTTCCAACACGATTTAATGGCATCTAAAAAATGTTCTGACGATTTTTGTAAATTTTTGAGTGGTAAATGATCGTAAAATGTTCGTGAAAGAATCATTTCTATCACTTGATCATCGCCAAAATAATCATAAGGCCTTTCTCCCCAGCTACCAATTTCCCAAAGAAGAATTGCAAAACTCCATAAATTAGCTTTTGGAGTAATAGCACGTGTTTCTATGGTAGTATCAGTGCAAACTAAACTCTCAGGTGCAGACCATCTAATAGGAAGCGCTCGATCACCAACAACATAATATTCCATGGGATACTTTTCGACACCGATACCATAATCACCCAATTTAGCTAATAAATCTGATGTTACTAAACAATTTCTCGCAGAAAGATCTGTGTGAGAAAAACCATTACGATGCATATGTTCTAAACCTGTTGCAAGATCAATAGCCATTTTTGATGGTATATTTTCACGAGTTAAAGTTTCCATAGAAGAACGATTGGCTTTTAAGAAGGCTTTTAGATCTCCAGCAGCACAGGATTCAAATAAAAGTAAATAAGGATCAGTTTCTAAACATACTCCAAGCAGTTTTAGGATGTTGGGATGATCTAATTTCAAGTATGGCAAAGCTTCACCAAGAAACCAAGCTCGTTCACTAGCTGAGGCTTCTTCAGTGAGAATTCTCACAACTACGCCATTTGTTTTTGGTATTACTTCTGTTGTATTAAGGTCTTGTGTTCCTTCTACAACCTTACCAAACCATCCTCGACCTATTTCTCTAAGATACTTTAAACGTTCACGAGGTACATGAAGTGTTGGTGAAAACCATTCTTCACAGGGTGATGGAAAATCTTGATTATTTTCTTGATTACAACTATTAATATGTGAAGATGCTGGAGGTTTAGGTGTTCCTGGTCCAGTTTTTGATTCCAGAACAAAACATTCAACTGTTAGTGGTTCAAATTGTAGTTGATTTAACGAAGGCCGTGAAATCTCCAACTCCAAATCTCTTTCAACAATTGTGTCAGTTCCTGCTATACTTCCGTCTTTAAATTCCTAAAACAAAACATATTTATTTTATTCATCTGATTGAATTTTTATTCTAAAATAGAGTTATTTATTGTTTCGACTATTCATTTTCACTAAAAATTTTTAAAAATTACCTTTTGTTTATTTCCTTTAGCATCCTATAATAAAAAAAAGTGTGGTTCACGAAATTTTAATATCGCGCAATAGAGTATATGTTCTAAATTTTGTTTATTCAACTTTTTACAGTAACTATCAAAGATACATTACCTGAAATCCTTTTGTACGCCTGCAACAAAGACATCCTAATAGTGCAGATACCATTACAATAATAAGAACAGTACCTAGAGCATATTGAAGCTCAAATCCCGATGACCACAGTCGTGATTCATTTACGACTAAGTAAAAATATTAAAATCATTAGTTAAAAAGAAATTAACAGCTGCGTAATTATTGTTGAAAATTCTTACTTGGTGAATTAGATGAATTGATAGGATAGCTCAATACTTCTTTAGGAAGGATTTGATAAAGCCAACCTATCCACAAGAGATTCCTCATTTCGAGTTGTGTTATACAATACATCTTGCCATGTTCTTGGCCTGGGTTAAGATTTCCCAGGTATATCTTGCATTCCTAACTGCCAGGAACTTTATTCCCGGAATTTTATAATTTGATAATAAAAAAATTAATAATGTAGAAAATTAGCACAAATGTCGATATATACACAAACGAATACATAAACGATATGCTACGATTGGTGTCCAAAGCACACCTTTTTCGGCTTGAACCAACAACTTGAGTGATATTTCAGGCATTATGTTAACCAAACATCGTGTTTTTTAGTACGTTCATACAGTCCAATGAGTTCTACCATCAGGTAGACGCGTAGGAGTACAGAATTATCAGCTTTTACTAACTTTATTGAAATCTTTTTTTTGTTTCGTCTCTCTTTCTCTTTCTCTCTCTAAATCACTTTCAACGCTATAACAACACTATGAAGCTTCATAAAAAACGACTGACCTAACTGTTGTGTATCTCTCTTACACATATGTTAGCTCTTTCACTCTTTTCTCTTCTTCTCTTTCTTTTAGTTTCTCTTCGTCCCACTAGTCCCACCTACATGATTCATAACATTACATTTTACTTGTTTATAAATTTATTGTTTTTAACATTGCGTTATTTATAATTTTATTATTGATTAAATATATTCTTTTTAATTAGATAGTAAATAGTAAACATATAAATAATTACTCCAAATGATAATGATTATAGCAGTAATAATAATAATATAATTATGATGATAATATCGTCATAACGATAATTAAAAGAAAATATTTTATTTCAAATCAAAAGAGTGAGTCACTTTTGTACAGTTATTTATTTAATAATAATATCAAAAACTTTTTTTAATAAAGTTTTTCTGAGTATTTAAAACATATTACTAAGAATGTATATTTGTTCATGGAATATTATCAATGAAATTATTGAAATTATGTCTATATTTGATTTCAATGATTTTTATAAATATATAAGGTATGTATGAAATTTTAATTTTCCGCGTAATTAAAATTTATTATTTTGTCGCAAGTGGCTCTAGTATCGCTGTTAAAAAAATAATGAATCAAAAACAAGATACATATGTACAATAGCGGGAAACTTAAAATTCATTGTTAATTTGAAAATTTTAATTTATTTATCATGACAAATTGTTATACGACATTAATATGTATAGTTTATTTTTCACATAATAGCTTTTAAAGTTATCAGCAAAAATTAAAATCAATACATTAACGAAAAACTATGGAATAATTTTTTTTAAATTTTATTTATGTTCTTTATTGACTCTTATAATGTTACTTGAAGTATGAAATATATACAAGTGGTTTATTATTTAATTGCTCTTTTCTACACATACAAAAATGGAGCAAGCAAAATCAGAGAGGTTAGAATTATACTACACGAGTAAAAAACATATGCCACGTATACATAACTTACCAAGTGGCAAGCAGCCATTATTGTTGGATGCTTGTAGAGTGTGTAGAGTTTCTGATCTTTATTGGAGTCTACACAGCCACGTCATATTTAAGTGCCGTGTGTCTGTTTTCTGTTGATCGCGACGGGTTGGCTTTGCATCCCTCGCCTTAAATAATTCATTAAAGTCAACAATTTAAGTGGACATCATGAATATATTTCGTTTACTTGGTGATTTATCACATCTACTAGCAATCATTATCTTGCTTCTTAAGATATGGAATACAAGAAGTTGTGCCGGTAGGTGACCATACCATTATTTATCCTAAAATATATTCTATTCATTTATGTCTGTTTTCATAAAATCACCAAGTAACTTTTTATTATCTTTTTACGGAATCAAAACTATCACTATTCTGATCTTTAATAACCACAACTGCCATGCATTTCATTCACCTTTTATGAAAATTAATTGATTGACAGTTATAAATTGCAGGAATCAGTGGTAAATCTCAAATTCTGTTTGCCATTGTGTATACCACTAGATATTTGGATTTAGTGACTACTTATATATCGGCATATAATACATTTATGAAAATAGTTTTTATTGGTGCATCATTTACAACAGTTTTTCTAATGTATGTCAAGTTTAAAGCAACTTATGATCATAATCACGACTCATTCAGGTAACAATAATATTACAATACTTTAACTATTTTTTGCTTATTTTAAATTGATTAATTTCTTTTAATCTTTATTTCAGGATTGAATTTTTACTTTTACCAACTTTACTTCTAGCGGTATTTATCAACCACGAGTTTACCATTTTAGAGATTCTCTGGACGTTCAGTATTTATTTGGAATCAGTTGCAATTCTTCCACAGCTGTTTTTGGTATCGAAAACGGGTGAAGCTGAAAGTATCACCAGTCACTATCTGTTTGCACTTGGTTCATACAGAGCTTTGTATCTTCTGAATTGGGTTTATCGTTATTATGCTGAAGATCATTATGATTTAATCGCTATAATTGCTGGAATTGTCCAGACCGTTCTGTACTGTGACTTCTTTTATTTGTATATTACCAAAGTACTGAAAGGTAAAAAATTGCAGTTACCTGCTTAGCCATTTGATGAGTAATTGAAGTTTATTTTTTAATAAAAAAAAGCCTCTAAGTTGACAATTAGTCGTTTACGTGTTCAATGACCACAATCACATTGAGCAATGCAGTGAATATTGGCATAAATTTATGGAATTTTATACCAGAAGTCATAAAAATTGAGGTTAGAAATCTTTGGAGCGAGCGCACAAGTTTAAATCTAAGCAATTCTTAATAATAATGATCATTAGATTAAAAAATTCTATTATTTCCTTCGTTTCTCATGTAATAACATTTTTTGAAATGATTATTAACTTTTAAAGAAACATAAGAAACGAAAGAAATCAAAGATAAATATTTTTCATATAAGTCTTTGTTTTTTGAAGAGGAGAAAACATCTATATACTATTGGATTGCTAATCTTAATGCTTGTTTCTCGCTCAACATCACGTTTCATATCCGTGTAATTCTTTTTTTCTCCTCTTTATCATTCTATGTTTCTTTTGTAAATATTAAGGCAAAGTGAATATTTATTGTTCAATTCGTATACATCATTACCTAAAACGTGTACTTGTGAATGCCTCTTAAATTGACTAGCCTTTAAATATATAGATAATAAAATAAATTAAAAAATAATTGTAATCATGAATACATGAATGTATGTTTTTGCAAAATTATAACTATTAAGTTGTTATCATAGTACATTTTATTAATTAAACAATGACTAAATGAATTACTTATATATAATTATGATATTGATGAATTCAGTAAATAATTCATTCATATTAAATTTGTTTTATTTATTATTAATAACAACGAGACAACACGTATTTAGCTAAATCAGTTATATGAACTTGTTCAGCAAGAGTTGTCAGACGATTCCAAACATAAACAATACCGTTTTGTAAACTCATGTCGTCAACTGTCACCATTAAAGGCACATGAAATGTGTCCATTCCTTCCAATTTTGTTGTAACTACTGTTTCAACTCCTTTCCCTTTTAAATGATTATTCAAATATAATACCAGCCGTGCTCTATCTGAAACTTTTGAATCAGATTCATTTTCTGCCAAAGTTGGTACATACAATCCTATTTTAAATGGTGCCAATTTAGGATGAAGTTTCAATTGATGAGATGATGATCCTGAAGAATAAGCATCACAAAGTAACGCTAAACAACCCCAATCCAAAGATGCAATACATTCGACGATATGACTATTTTCTAGCTCATTCTGAAAATGTAGAATACAATTATTTTATAGCCAATGTATAGTGATTTTTAGCTAATATTATTTTTTTATTCCAATTTTAAAATTGAAAATTCGAAATTTCATATACCTATATGTATATAATTTTAAAAATTACGGTTGACAAATAAAAAATATGTCTATTGTGTATTATAATGTATTATCTTTAATAAACTTTAATTTTAGGAATCATAATAATAATCAACATAAAAATGATCGATTGTGATTTTTGTTACTTCGTAATAAATGATACAAAAGAAAATTTTATGCAGTAGGACAGTTAATTCAAGAATAAAAAGTATATTTTTGATACTGACAATAATTAACAGGTGTTAATAAAAACATTTAACCTGGGAATTCAATTTTTTGGCATCTTGCTGAAATGATATAGTCTCTACAATGATAGATCCGAAATCAAATTCTGCACTTATTTCAATCGTTTCTTTTTGTTTTGATGTTTTTTTTACTTCTGTAAACTGGAACCTTGCTGGTTCTCGAGAGAATTTTCTCCACCAAACTTTTCGCTCTCTCTGTTTCTTATGATACACATCCTTTCCTTCTGATGCATCAGTTATTACTATTATTTTACCAGTTCGATGAGAATTTATTTTCGGACAAGTTTTAATGAAATCAGTATTCCAAGTATTTTTGTTTTCTTCAAGAACCGCTATTCCTATAGGTTGTTCTGTTGCGCCTGAAGATGAAAGATTTTCCAAAGTTGCTAAAATTGTTTCTGACGATGATAAGAATACATTGTAGGGTGGCATAATAACACAATATCGAAACCAAAGTTCTTCTAAATTTCGGCGGAGTAATTTTCCTTGAGGACCAAATGAAAATCCTTTATCAAAATTTAAAAATGTTGTGCCTAGATCTTTCAGGATTTTATTAACAGTCATTGCTCAAGAGGAATATTTCTAGGTGGTGCTACAAAATATTCTTCTTCTGTAATTGTAGCGTTTTTTAATATTTTTTTACGACAATCGCCTTCTGTTACTTTATCTTCTCTTAATCGAAGATTTTCATTTTCTAATATATTGTACATAGGCTTGACTGAATCATTAACCCGAAGTGTTTTTAAAGGTTCAGTAAATTTAATTGCAGCTTCAAGTCTTTTGATTCCAGCTTCATCACCAAAACCCACTAGAGCTAGTCTTTCCAATTTAAGTATTGTCTTTTTATCTATTTTATTTTTTGCACTTTCTAAATTATTTTGTTGTATATTAAACGTTTTTTGATGTCTTAACTGAGATAAAATAATTTTCAATCCAGATTTTACAAGGATAAAATGATTAGTAAAACGGAGAAAATCCATTTATCTCACAGTTTAAAAATATATTTCATGTTATTAATTCTTTAATAGTTTTGGTTTTTAAAGTTATTTCATTCAATAATTCCTTTTAATTATCTACATAGTACTATATGATAATTAATTTTTATACTGATCTTATAGGTTATAGATTTACACACATGTATACACAAATATATGTATGTACACAAATATATCTTTACAGGTATTGTATAAGCACGCATGCGTTAACTTCGTATTCTGGAAAGCATTAGAAGAATTCAGAGTAAATCATATATATATATATATATATATATTTCACTATCTAAATTATAATATAATATGTCTAAGTGTATTTGAATTGTTTTATTTGGTTATGTTTTAATTGTTTTGTTAAATATAAAGTTACAAGTAATATTTTAGAAAAGAAACATGCCGAGTGATACAAAACAGATGCTAAAAGAAGCAAAAATTAATTTAAGAGACAAACAGCCGATGGAGGCCATGAAAAAATGTCAAACAATTTTAAAAAGTGATAAACAAAATTACATGGCGCTCGTATTGCTAGGAGTTGCTATGAAAGAAATTGATGATCATAAATCCCGAGCTCCTGCAGCTTTTAAAAAAGCCATTGAACTTCAACCTGATAATCCATTAGCATGGAAAGGAATTGTTTCTTATTATGAACTCCAGTCTGATAATAATGAGATGCAGAATGAATTAATACCGGCTTATTGTAAATTACTTGAATGTGATTGGTAATTAAATATTATTTCTGATATTTAATAAATCATAATCGATATAATTATTAAATTATTTTTTAGTGAACCGCAAAAATTTGTATATTATATTGATCAAATAACAAAATTATTAATTTCATCAGAAAATATAAATATGCTAGATCAAGTGATACAAGTGTTCTCAAAAATAAAGTCTGATGAAAAAAGGGATAATAACGATTTATCTAAAATAAATGAAGCACTATTTACAATTTTTTCAAATTTTTCACAAGCTCCAGAACAGTATACAGAGCTCTATGAACAAGTTTTATCTTCATTACTTGATAATGATTGCCCGAGTAAACAAATAGAATATTATAAAACGTATTTAAAGTTTCTTTTTTTAAAAAAAAAATTTTTAGAAGCGATTGCTATTGCTACTGAAATGTATAAAAAATATCCTCGAGAAATTTATCCGTTAGGTTTGTAAAACATGAGATTCTATTTATTAAAAATTTTTCAATATTATAATGAGTTTGTTTTAATTGCCAGAGGGAATTTGTCGAATTTATGCCGAGCAAAACATCATGTGTGAATTCAAATTTTCCGAAGATTTCCAAATAGAAGGGTTTTATAAAGTATTGTTTGAGCTTAATCCGAACAGTTATTTTGCATTTTTTGCTAAAGCTGTACACTGTTGGAAAAACAAAAATTTTATTGAAGCAAGAGATTTACTTCATCAAGTAATTCTTTTACACCCTAATTTATTTTATTGTCATGCTGCTCTTAGTGAAATCAATTCAAAATTATACTGTTGGTCACAAGCAGAAAATTCAGCAAAACAAGCTTTGAAAATAGTTAATAAAAATTCTACTGATATTCGCTATAAATTAGAATTATTATTAATTGAATCATTGGTAAAAAGTGACAATAAGGCCAAATGGAAAAAATCCGTGGAACTATGTTATCAAGTACATAATTTTGTTTTGTAATTAATAGAGTATGCAATATTTTAAATATACTAATAATACAATTATTATTTTATTGTTTAGCTACTCGAAAATAATGCTTCGGATCAATTGAAGATATTTTTGGCACGAGCTCAAGTACTCCTTAATGATAACGAAGTAATTTCATTATTAGAAGAACTAGAAAAAAATCCAAAAACGCGATTAGAAGCTGTAGAAATTCGTGCATTACATCTTATTAATAATGGCTCACTAGAAGAAGCCATTGATGTTCTTGGAACTGCTTTACAAACATCTGAAGCATGGAAACTACTTGGTAAAATTTACTGGTCTATGAATAATTATAGTCATAGTTTAATGGCATTTCTAAAAGCTATTCACGCTAATGCATATAATTGGGAATGCCTTGTTTACCTTGGTCATTATTATCGAGAGCATGGAAATGATTTAGAAAAATCAAGAAAATGTTATCAAAAGGCTTTAAGAATTAATCCTGATTCTGAAGAAGCAGGTGCGGGATTAAGTACTGCTTATCGGCTCTTAAAAAATACCGTAAATCCATTTTATTTGAATAATTTTTTTGATATTAAATTTGAATATCGAGAAATAAAACTCCAACTTTTTGAAATACTTTTAGGAAGCTAACGTTCAAATGTTACATCAAATAACCAACATTGAAGGTGGGGGTCCAAAATGGGCTTGGCTACAACTTGGTCTTCAACAATTAGATCAAGGAAATATGGAACAAGCCATTAAATCACTTCGTTTTGTTATCAGAACAGATCCCAATGACAAGTAATATTTGTTTTTTTTTTTTTAAATCAATCTTTTATTCGTAATATTTGCCTAACTAGACGATTTGAATACAGTCATTGCTGGGAGTCATTAGGCGATGCTTATTGGGCACGAGGGGCGCACACATCAGCTTTGAAATCCTATCAACGAGCTCTAGAGTTATCCCCTGGTTCTCTTTACCCTATGATTCAGCTTGCTAACATTCAATTGGTAAACAAAAACGAAATAAAAATACAGTAAATAAATTTTTTCAGTAAGTTAGAAATAAATATAAAAATTGCAGGCTCTTGGACGACATGAACAAGCAAAAGAAGCTTTTATGCAAGTTCTATCCCAAGAACAGCGTTATATTCCGGCTTTAAAAGGCTTAGCAGAAACATGTTTAGGTTTAGCGAAAGAAAATTCGCGTAATCAATTGTTAGGTAGAGCAAGGAGACATTGTCAGCAAGCAGCAGATTGTCTTACTGATGCTATTATTGAGAACTGTAATTTATCATGTTTGTGGAAATTACTAGGAGATACTTGTTATCGAGTAGCTACGTTACCAGATAAATATAGTTCCATTAAAGTTGCTGCTGGTTTAATGAAGATTGTTGATAGTAAAGAACAGATTGAAATTCATAGAAATGAACTTTTTACTCTTGCAACAAGGTAATTATATATATATCATTTGAATTATTCAATTATTATTTAATAAAATTCAGATCATAAAGAATTTAACTCTTTTATTATAGATGTTATTGTCGTTCTCTAAATCTTACCACTGATTCTGCATTATTATGGCATGATTTAGCGTGCTGTTATTATTCACAGCTCCATTTTGATTGTTCAGCTGATCGTAAAGTAATAGCGCAAAAAAGTTTTGAAGCTGCAAAGCAAGCTATTAAACTTTGTCCGACTAATTGGAGTTATTGGAATATTTTAGGAGTTATTTGTATGACAGAAGAGATAAAAAATTATGCTCTTGCTCAACATTGCTGGGTTATGGCTATCGATAGAGAATCTAACAATGCAATTGTTTGGACAAATTTAGGAACTCTCTATTTGTATTTAGGTATGGTGTTATATACACAAATTTTTTTAATGAAAAAAAGAAATTAATTAAAAGGTTATTGATAATTAGGAGATCCTTATAAGGCAAACGAAGCATTTTCTCGAGCTCAACGTTTCGATCCAGACTATCAAAATAGTTGGATCGGTCAAGCTTTAATTGCTGAATCAGTTCAAAATAAAGAAGCAATGGATCTTTTTCGTCATGCAACACAACTTGGGTATCATCCTCAAGCAGCTGTTGGTTATGCACACTGGGTCCTAACAACGGTTTTAGATCGTGAAGCTAAAAAAGATCCACTGTATAATTACGTTATTGAGAATATGCATGCAATACCTGTAGCAACAGATGCTATGACGTGGTTTACTGGTAAAAATTATTTCAGGAAATAAAATAGATGTTTTGTTATTTACTGCTGTTAAAAATGATTAATTTAACATTTAATTTTAGAAAGAGAACCGCATGTAATTTTTGGACGAAACGCTTTAGGGCTTTTATTAGAGCGTCAGAAATTGTTGAAACCTGCAATTCGAGAATTCAAAGCAGCTTTAGAATTCTCACATAAACAAGATGTAAACTCAGATGATCAAATAGATAAACTTAAAGTCAATTTGGCTCGAGTTTTAGTACAGCTAGGGGATTATGATGAGGCTGTTGAAATATATGAAAATATAAAAGTTCCAAATTTTAATACACATTGTCAACGAGCTTTGGCTTTATTTAAAGGTATCTTTTCGAATTTTTGATCAATTGACTTATAATTAAATATTTTTTTCTAACAATCGAACGTTAATTGCTAGCTACCAAATATGAGGAATCATATGAAGCCTATAATGCAGCGTTAAATTGTTTAGAAGAAGTTGGATCTGATACAGCACACGTGCTTTGTGCCATGGCATCGATGGCTTATATGTTCCAAGATATAGATGATGTAAAAACCCTCCTCTTTCAATGTATTCAAATTCAACCACCAATTGTGTCTGGACTTCTTGCTGCTGCTGCTCTTGGTCTCCTTCACGATGACTCAAATCTCACAACATTAGTTCTTCAAGAATTGAAACCTTACAAAAATGATTGTAATTATAGGCGTCACATTGCTCTTCTTTCTGCCTATTTACATCTTTTACATGAAGAAGATGCTTCTAGTGCAATTCGTGTTATTTCAAAAGCAATTCATCGATATCCAGGTAATTAATTTCACAATTTTTTATTATTAATTTAATAAGATGTTAAATTTCTTAAAATTCTTTTTAGATGATGCTGGTTTATGGATTGGTCTCGTAAGAATTTTGCTTGAAACAGATTCACGTCATTTTGGACATTGTGCTCAAAAAGCTTTGTATCTTGGACGGAAGAATTCAACCATTGCTGCAGCACAAGTTGCATGTATATCATCTCTTGGACAACTAATAGATGATCCTCAAAATCGAAAGGGATTGTACTCTGTACAAAAAACAATATATTCCTTCCCTGGAAGTGTTGAAAGTTGGGCTAATCTAATTGTCGCACTTTTATCAAGGTGAAGATTTGAATAATAAGTGTTATTATTGAATTTTGATAGATGATATCAAACTGTTTATATAACATGAAAAATGATTTTATTTATTCTAGAGTTAATTCAACATCATCAATAAATGCTGAATGGGTGTCTTCATTAATTTCTATAATCCGTAATGAATGGAAAAAAACTAAAATAATGGATGATTGGTTACAGGCAAATGATGAAATGACTTCCAAGTCATAACGCCGTGTTAACAATTTAATTGAATGAAGAAAGCGACATATTTTTTTATTATGTATTTTAAAGAATGTAAAAATGATTTGTATTATTCAAACTTGAATAAATTTTGAAATGTGTTTCCGTAAACATTCAATACTATATGATTTAATACAAACAAATTTTTATCAATTATTATGTTTGATATATGATTTTGGACCCCAATTGTCCGATTCATCATCATAGTCTGCTAATTGTGATTTTAATAATCGTGACTTTTTTTTATCTTTAGGTTGTAGTTCAATTGGCATTGTAAGATGTTCGTCTAACGTCTAAAAATTACAATGAACATTAAAAATAATATTAAAAAAATTTAATTTAATTAATTTTTAAAAAGTACCAGGTCTGAAATGTATCCTCCAAATTGAAGTTTTTCCAATAATTGCAGCAATTCTGGATTTGGTTCAAGATTTCCATTTTTGAATGTTTCTTGTATTTTAGGTATCTGGACAAATAAAAATTTTTATAAAATTAAAAGGCAATTTAAAAGTATAATCATGGAACAAGGACCAATTTAATTGAACTTACCACATCTTTATACAGTTGATTATTTTTTGCTTCATGTTGAAGAATAAATTTAAATTCTACAAAAATGTTTTCCAATCTACCTAATTCAGCCAGAGCTATGAGTCGAAGGCTTTTAACACTGATGTAGTTTTGATTGGAAAATTGAGATAGAATTTCAAGAGTTATATGAGGAGCTTTTTGGTTTAAAGATAAAGCACCAATAGCACTAACTATTTTTTTCAAAGGAGTATTTCCTTTATTTATTATTTCTCTATATATGTTCAAGCCATATTCAAAACTTTCTGGTGTATTCTGAAAATATAATTCAATTTATTTTATAATTGAAATCACTGGTAAGAATTAATGGTTCAGTTTAATGTTACTTTTGAAATATTTACCTCTTTATAGCATGATAACATTATAATTATAGCTACTAGTTTTGGATGAACTGAGTTATTGAGTAAAAGTTTTATTTTATTATAAACCTCTCGTACTTGGTTGTATTTTTTATTTTCATATAATAAATCTTCTAACAAAATAAACGTGGTTATTTGATTAAAAAATGCGTCTGTGTTAGGATTCATAAATAGTTCGAAAGCAACATCAGGCTGATTCAAATAATGAAGTGCTCGCATAATAATTGGGCCTGATCTGATTACTCCAAAACGAAAATCGCTGTTTTGACTATTATATTTTAAAATAAGATTAGAAAGTACGGCTAGTTCTTCCGGTGTATTATTAATCATGTAGCCAAAATTTTTCAAATCTTCTGAAAATACCATTGAATTTTCATTATTTACTATATCTGACATTTTTTTTCGAAATCCATCTGCGCCTGAACCATACTTCACGAGAACACGCTCTCTTGTAATTTTATATTCGTCTATACCCAATCCCGATGCAGTGTAAAGGGTTTTTGTTCCTGTAATTTTGAAAAAATAATTACATTGTGTATGCCATTCTTCTACATAGAAGTCAACATGCGTTTAGTTATAGGTTAAAAACTGTAATTACCACTAGAAATTATTGGTTTCTTAATGTTATTGTTTAAAACACTTAGACCTAGTCTGGTAAACATTTTTATTCTATTCGACATGACTGCTAGCCACTACTAATTAATCTTTAACCATTAATCTTTTTATAAAATTATTTCAATCACTACACCCGATTCTACACATATACACATATGTATATGTATTTCGAACCGACTCTTTGATACATATGTGTATGTATAAATATCAAAGTATACCACGTGAATGGAAATACTTGTCAGCATTCAAATGTTAGAATTTTTACACCATCTGAAATTGAATTTGTAGATTAAAAATTATATTATTTTGCTTTAAAGTTTAGTTACTTTGAATAATTAATTTCTGATTAAATTATTTGACCGTAAAATTTCCTTCTACACAGATAAAAATAAGACTCCATCAAATTTTCAAAGGAATAAAAATACTAGTATAATTTTTAATACAAATAAAATAGTTTATTTAACTTATTATTATTATATATTACCCATACATACATAATCATAAAATTTCATTCAATCTTTTGAAATGTTTTTTATATTCTATTGAGTTGTTGAAAATTTTTAGGAAAACGAACTGATACTTGTTCCTTTTTTATAGGTGATAACAAGTAACGATCAAATATCTAAAACAATTGATGATATTATTACGTTAACAAAGTTTCAGTATATTTAAAATAAAAAATTTATAAATTAATTGTTAAAAGTGTAATAATAGCATACCGATTTTTGAACATAACCATTATTGATTAGGTCACATAAAAGCTGTGAAATCTTTGATGTATTATCAGCACCAACGCGTTCAATAGCATCTTTTATTTTAGGTACCTAGATGAAACAAAATTTTTATAAAATTTTATATTTATTATATTACAAACACCATGAACTTACGATTTCTTCAGATAAACATTGTAATTCTGGATTCGAAGTATTTTTAATGAACTCAAGGTGTTTTTCAACACCATCTAATTTATTTAAATCAGCCAAAGCCATAATTTCTATACATATATGATTTATGTTTACAATTTTATGTAATTCCATTAACCTCAGAGTAACTTCAGGAGATTTTTGATTTAATGCTAATATTCCTAATGCTGCAATTACTTTGGTTACAGAGATATTCTTTTGAATTAAATTTTCATAAAACTTTAAACCATATTCCAAGCTTTCTTGTGTATTCTGTGAAAAATCCAATTTACAGAGAAGCAAAAAAATAAAATTTACTTTGTTACTCTAAAATGAATCTTAATAAACGAAAAATAATTTAATTTAATTAGATCCAATATTTGTAGTTTTATCAATTGTTATATAAATTATTTAACAAATTTTTTTTACTTTGTACTTCGAAGAAAAAATAGTTTTACCTCTTTATAACATGATACTGCAATAAGCGTGCTCACGGAATTTGTAAAAGAATAATTCACAGCCATCGAATCAATGATTCTATCATAGGCTTGTCGAACTTCTCGGAATTTTTTAGATTCAAATAGTAGATCCAATAAAATAAGTTGTGTTAAAGGGAAATGAAAAATATTATCATATTGCGGATTCATAGAAATTTTTAAAGCCAAATTAGTTCCTTTTACATGATGTAAAGTCATCATAATATGTGATCCAAGGTGTGCTAATTGATTACTATCGGTTGAATTGTTTTGTTTAGAGATTTTATGAACCATTTTATCAAGTAAATTTATGTCTTTTGGGTTTTTAGTGATGATACAACAAGTAGCATGTATATCATTTAAATTGACGATACTTTTTTCATCAGCTACTAATTTACCCATTTTAATCTTAAATAACGTTGAATTTGATTTTTGAAACATTTCGTATACTACTCTTCTTGAGCGAACATATTTATCTAAATGTAATGCTCCTTCAGTATAAAGTGTTCTTGATATTCCTGAATAATATAGAAAAACTGAAATAATTATTCTTTAAAATAAAAAAATACAATTAAATTGGGTTAGAATTCATAGTTACCATACAACATTGCGTGTTTCTGAATATTATCAATGGCAATATTTAGGAACATATTAGAAAAACATTTTTTCATATTTGCCATGGTTATTAATCGTTATTAACATTTTTTTAATAAATTTTTGTATCAATGTTACTGCAAAAATCTTTGCACGGTTATGTTGCTTTGTTAAATTATAATATATTGATAATATATTTTATTTATTTATAATTAACAATCAATTTATAAATGATGACTTTATATACTTTTGTTTCAAAAATTTATTGAATAACTTCAATGTTTTTGGAACTTTTTTCTATTTAGAAGCTTGGTAAATCTGCAGTATCTACAACTACTATACTATATATACACTTACTACACATGGACAATTCATAATGAGAATTTTATTATGTATTTGAATACAGTAGAGGGGCTGTGTTAAAGACCAATCGTGTAAACCGATCTTTTTTGAACTGAAATAAACTATATTTCAATTTTAAAAAAAAAATGTCATCTAAATATCTTTTTATTCGACATAAACAATACAGTTTTTATTTAAACTCACTATGCTGTGGTAATACTCCAGAAGTGAGAAAGAACGAGTACATACGAATTTTTAACAAAATATTTCTACTAACTTTTGAAAGGCACTGTACATTTGAAATTCTTTTTTTTATTGTCAAGTTAAAATATTTAACTTTATACTTGTCAAGTATCATTTTAAATATTTTCTTAAAATTATTGTACATCATAGATATTTGATTTTAAAGAATAAAATTTCAATAAAATTAATGCGAAAAATTCTTCTAAACTTCAATATTAAAGTTAATATTTATTATTTTTATAAAACAATTAACATATATTAATTATAAGATACTTTAGTTTCAAAAAAGTTAAACATCTATTACTAAGGTCTAAATTCTAAAGACATTGTAATTGTATATTCTCTTAATAATTAAAATTTTGAATATTTAATGACATGTAATTCTTTTACAGTATAAGATTTATGTTTATTTCAAGAAAATTTTTAATTATACTATTCTAAATATACCTAGATGCATGTTTAGGTCAAAATATTTTCATTCTGTCTCTTACTCATTAGTGCACAATAACATAGGGACTTCAAAAACTGTCATATTTTGGCTCCAAAAGCACTATTAAAGCAGACCATTGTTGTCTGCTGTTGTTCACATAGCTTTACAGACATTAAATTATAATTGTTTTCTTAGAAGTAGTTGAAAATCCCTAATTTGAAATATTCCATTTAACAAAATTGAATAATAATCTTCCTGGCTTTCATTTTTCTTATAATATTAAAAATTTATTAATTGAAGCTAAAACAATAATATTTACTCTATAACCGAAAATATTTTTATTACCGATCAAAAATCATATAAATTATCTAATTAATGGAATAAACTGTATATAGGTTCAGTGTTAATTAAAAATTGCATTTGAATAGAATACAATTTAAGAGGAGTTCCAAGCTAATGAGTCATCTGAATAGAGTTTACACATATAATTTACATAAAATAAAGGGACACGTAATCGTTATTATTGTATTATTGACTTCGGTAATTATACTGTAAAAAATGTAAGAGTTGCAAAATATCAACTCATATTTTCTTTGTATTTAATTTTCTTTTTATTTGTGAAACAATTCTAAATATGTCTGAATATTTTTAATATTTTAAAAAGTGATGATTTTCGTAGATATTACTTTATTATGAATAAAGTTAATGCACAGAAAGTATTGACTTAAACGTTAAATGTTAAAACTAAAGTAATTTAAAAAAAAAAATCCTTTTTTTCGAATCCAACCTAAAACTTCCCGAGGAACAGTTATCATTCGAAAGACAAAAAAAAAATTTAATGGCAGGTGCAACAAATCAGCAGGAAGAACGTGACTTTCATTTTTATGCGTACTAAAGTTCACCTGACCATACTGAAATTAAATCAAATCATTAGATAATACAGTAATGTCACAAAAATAATAAATATATTAATATGTAACAGTTGAATTAACAAACAGAATATAAAATGGGATCAGAAGAAAATTTAGATTATTTAAGCCAATTTTAGAGCTTTTCATAGGATGTATGGGTTTATCTTTTTCGTTACAGTTCGTAATAGAAAGAGAAAACCAATCGATCCAGGAGGTATACATAGTGGCGCAGAAGCCAGTGAGTTTACTAAGGGCCTGGACATTGAAAAGAAGAGGGGATAATCACTCAGTGAAATATTTACTTATGATCCTCATCGTTTTTTGAAGTTACTTTAGTTGACATTTTGCTTAGCTGTTGGTTGCATAGTAGTTGTAGTTGTATTATTAATTACTATCGTCTGTGTTATTGACAGTTTTTATAGAACATTTTTCATTATTTAAGGGAGTGTGAGTGTTGGTGTCATATATGTGCTCTTTCGATCATCATTTTAACGGATTTTTCTGAGAGTTTTTTTTGTTTACATTCATCATTTATTTCATCAATTTTATCATCATTATTCAGTCTCGAAAATTATTTAAATAATTATTAATAAAACATGAGACGATTTTAAACAAAAAAGAAAAAATATCTACCATTTATTAGGAATAACTTTTGATCAAAAAGGTAATTAAACATTGTGTCATATTCAAAATCTTATCATCTATCAATACTAACATTCAATATTAACGAAAAATAAATTTAATGCAACTTTAAAAATTTTATTAAATATTCTGTAACTCAAAAATTTAATTCTGGATGTATTGTATTATTTAAAATAACTAATGCTAGTTTTTATGTTATTGACAGAAAATAAAATAAATATACAATCATGGCTGGAGACAGAGTGGAACTTTGTGGATTTCTTGATGCCAAATTACCTGGAAATTTAATTCGCAAAAGGCCTTTTTCTTCATGGAAAGCATGGCGTCGTCATTGGTGTACTGTTCGTAAATTAGGGCCTGGTTTAGGTGTTGAAGTTCAGCTTGAACGTGGAATTAATATTGAAGGGATGATTGAACGTCGAGATTCAATAAAAATATCATCAGATTCAATCATTTGTCGAACTGAGTCAAGAACTAAACTATATGCTTTTGGAATCTTTCCTCCTAAAGAAAGAAAACCTCTTCTTTATTTGAGTGGGATATCTGAATCTGAAACACAGAGATGGATGGCTAATTTGAGACAGCTTTTAAGACCTAGAAGACATCGATTTATAGAAGGAACATTCAATATTTCTATGGTCGATAACAGTCATTCAAGAACTGCTGGTCTTACAGGTAGACTTGCTACATCATATTATTTTCTGTAAATTTATTTTTATTTTACTTTTTATTCATTTACTCGTAGCGATTATTTGTTTTTGATAAATTGATTTTATTTGTAGTTCTTTTCGAAAGTAGTGAAGGAATTATTTATTAATTGTCTTCCATTTTTACTATAGTATTATCACAAATTATCTTAATTTATCAGTAAATTATTAAAAAATTAATCGAATAAAAAATTAAATTTATTATATAAGCTTACATTGAATGAGTGAATTCTGCATAAAATTCCAAAATGGATGGTATTGTTGAATATAAATTGCTTTTTTAATTTTTTTTTCTATTGTATTATATTTTTTGCTATTTGTACTATATTATTATAAAAATAGAATATCTTGAAAGTATTAGTTTATGGAGTTTGTAGCTATCTCATCGAGTGATCTAAAAGAAGTTTTACTCTCTATAACACTAAATGTAAATTGTTTTTTTCTATCTTTTTTATTCTAATATTAAATAATTCCGCATTCTGAACATGTATATACTGTAATTAATTATTTAATACAACTAAAGACTACGGAACGTCTATAAAGTTGACTATCAATTACGATAATTACTCTGAATATTTAATAACTCTTCCATGTATCATGAAAGAATCATTAACGTATGTAGTATTTTTTCCCCTTCTAAAACAAAATAAGTAATATATTTTCAGAAAACTCCACATGGTCAAAAATATAGCAAGAAATTCAGCATTATGCAATATTATTGATCAAATAAATAATGTATAGAACATTTATAAATATAGAGAATTGTCTTATTACTATTTATGAAATCTAATTTTAACACAAATATGTAAATTGATTTTAAATTTTAATTTTCAGGATTGTATGGAGACTTGGTAGCCAGTCGTTGTGGAGTATTTATTAAAGATGTTCATACAGGGAATATAGTTCAGAATTTAGAATGGAATGAAATGAATCAATTTCATTTGACTTCAATCGGTCATCCGGATGATGTTAAAAGAATTTGTGTGATCCATACAACAAAACATTTTCGAAGTGGTATAGGTCAACTTCACATCTTTTGTATAAATGCTCAACAGCTATTACAAAACCTCGTTACCCAGGGACGAGAGCCACGACACAAAAATGAAGTTTTGCGACCATTAAGTCTAAGCGAAGGAGACTTAAGAATTTCTGATAATGAGACGTCTGAAAATTTGTCCGTAATTAAAAATAAAGTCGTCTCAACTCTTGCACATGCTGGTCTTGATTTGCTGTATCTCTCGAAAAATGAATGTAGTATGAGAAAAGATATTGTTAAAAGTGGTGATCAATTAGAGAAAATGACTGATAACACATTAACTCGTTATACACGAGCTATTGATAATGTTTATGAAACCGAACCTGCTAACTTTTCGAACATCAGCTCAAGTTTGGAAGAATTAGAAGAACCGTTACCTAAACGAATGTCAAACATTTCTTTAGCTTCAGGAATTTATGAAGAAATTATCGATAACTTTAGCATTAATAAATCTAGAATTCCCTCACATTTATATGAAAATTTACATGATTTTATAATTAATGCTAATAAACAAATTCCACCACCATTACCTCCACGAGTGCGTTGCATTTCAGAATCAACTAGGAACGGAAGGTATGTTTCAAAAAAAAAAAATGAATTATTTAAATGAAATTCTCTGTTAAATAGTTTACTTATATTATTATTAAATATTTTTAGCATCAGTGATATCGAGCTGGACTCAGAAGGTGACTCAAGATCAGTAGTATCAAGTACGCAAGAGGAAATAACACCAATTTCTGATGAAAAAAATTCTCTCGATCTCCATTTTCAAATAGAAAATTCAGATTATGTTCCTATGTCTCCGAGGCTTCAAGATATAGTTATGGAGACAAGAGAAAAACCGAATTCATGTGAAGAACAAATTTATATGATAATGCGATAAAACGCACAATAATTTTTTTTTGAATTATTTATTTAGCTAGCTACTTTGTTATGTTTGATCAAATTAATAAATTAATTTCAATGGAATAGGAAAAATTTATAGATAAAATAATAGGTTGAACGCTATTACTTTTTGCAAATATTTAGGCAATAATTTCCAATTTACGGTGCCAATAATTTATTTTAATTGAATGTTTATAAAAATTATTAAAATTTTCATCTAGTGTATATGGTGCAACTTAGTGAATTGATAAAACATTAATTGAATTAAAAATTCTAAACATATCTGTAGAAGTACTTATTCATGTTAAAGTTATTTTGATGGATCTTTAAAAAATACGCAAGATATTAACTTGCCCTACGTGTTCAAGAGTTTTCATATCATTCAGGAATTAAAGTACAAATTTGTCGATTATTCATTTATTATTTTTAAATCTATCACTAAGTCGGTTTACTAATGATTGTAACTGTCGAAAGAATTTTTATATATATATACGAAAATTACTATAACATATAATTTAAAAACTAAACGTCTTTATTATGACAAACTTAATATTCTACTACTAAAACTAATCACTGCCTTTTTATGTGTACCTGCAAATAGGTTCACATTTAATTAATTCAATAATAAATGACAAATATTAGTTTTAAGCAACGATTATTATATCTAACTCAAGCTCTAATGAAATATTAAAAAGTTAAGTTATTGTATTATTAGTATAATTATACGATTTTTAAATACTTTATTAAGATCTCTTGAAAAATGAAAACCCCATTTCGATACGACTGTATTATTAATGAAAGAAATAGATGTATATCTTTTTTTTGTTTATTAGGGATTGTTGTGCTTGTACATTGTAAATTTATATCTTGTTTTATGAGTACTGAGAAAAATGTGAACACTTTAAGAATGATGTCTACACTTGTGATAAAAATAATAAATTAATAGAATTCACATGCTTTTTTATGAAATTAAATAATTTCTAGAAAAATAAATTCTCCCATTTTTTATATATTTGCTATTTATTATAAATTGAATATAAAAATTGGAATGAACTTTAATTAATTGACAATTTTTTTTAATACCACAATATATCTTACATTATGAGATTCTCGGCATTACTTAATTATAATGAATGTATTTAAAGTAAGAAATATGGTTTTTTGTTGCATAATAAAATTGAGATAATACTGGATAAAAATTATAAAACCTCTATATTGTCTAATTGGCATATTCTTGTGTATGTTTACGCGCCTTTTTTTCAAATTCACACTTCTCAAAACGATATTCATTAGCAATATTAGGCATGACTGGATCATCAGGATTTGGATGGCTTAAAAGTAATTGTACAGCAACAAAAATATTCTCTAATGTCAATGTTGGATTCCATCCACCTTTTGGAGGCATTTTTAATAAATCCATACAAATTCTGCCTGACGTATCAATGTTAGGATGATAAACAGGTGTTATAAACTTAATTCTTGGTGGTTCGAAAGGATAAGAATCTTCAATTTTTACATCAAGCTTAAATAATCCACCTTCGTATGGACTGTCTTTAGGCCCCATGATTGTAGTAATTAAATGATTTAAATTATCATCTTTTTGATAACATGCAATCCCTTCAGGTGGAGTTTTAGTTAAGCTCATCAATTCTCTTTTTAGTCTGTTGTTTTCTCTCTGCATACTAATATTTTCTGAAATTTCGTATATTTTTTTTTAGTACATACGTGTTTACTTTTTATTTATAAAATAATAAGCTTACTACCTAAGAAATACAGATGTTTATCCAATGTTTTCATCTACATCCGTGCAAATGTCATTAACAATACTTGAATTGTAACCATTTGCATGTAATATTTGTGAAAAAAAAAACACTTTGAATCGCACTTATGTTTATAACTAAATCGTTTCTTTTCTGTAAAAGATCAATTCTATTGGAAATTATAGTCGAACTGAGAAAAAAGTTCCTTAGTTGCTTCGATGCTTTCGGGCTCTCAACCACTGATTTCTTACCCTTTCTACCACGTTTTTCGCTACTGCGCGAGCGTACAAGAGCACATGAGGAACTCTCTTCTCAGTTCGACTATACTGTTGTTTGGTATATAATAGACAAAAACATAAATTTTATCTTATCTTGTTTCGCAAATCAATTTAGAGGTCACTGCAACGATTGTCTGATTGTATTATTTTGCCATTTTAAAAATATTAACATAATAGGTTTTTATGTACTTTAAACTATAATAATAAATCGAAAGTTTAATATTAATCAAATTGATAATAAATCTTTCGTTATTAACTTTGATATGAGCCCGAAATATTTTGAGAAAAGAGACTTTATAAAAATTTTTTATAACGATTGATGGTAGAATTATTCCTTATCATGTCCGGAATAACTCAACAGGGAGCGCACTATGTAAATATTACATTTTTCATATGGGTGTGCTAGTTGTCACTTAGTAGTTGTTTGGAGTGGATGGGTGTAGTTCTTATAATCATTGTTGAATGTTTTTACTAAAATTTTAATTATATTAGACATTTTTTGTCTAATAAATATATTTATTTTAATGGTGGAAAAGTTTTATAAAATTGAAATTAAGTAAGTAGTAAAAAAGTTTTAGATTGTATCTAAAACTTGGAGTAGCGTCGGCTTACGTTGTTCATTTGTTCAAGCTACAGGTAATTTTGGGCGTTAACCGTTCTCCACTGTGAAACTATAAACAATCATTATATGTAGTGAAATATTTAATTTAATTGATTGTAATAATAATATATAGTAACATATAACTACGTTAAAAATAATAAAAAATTAAGAATTCCTACAAAGAATTTAGTTATCAAGGGTGTGTCTTAATATTCGGAATTTGTATTCACTGTAACATTGACAAAATGAGTCACTTATGAGCGCGTGTACTATAAAACATTTTGCCACGTTAAAGTTTGTCATGTATATTATATATAATATTTAGTTATGAAAAATTAATTATTTATTAGAATAATCAAATTAAATATTCCTATTTAAATACTTATATGAATAAAATAAATCAAGTTCATTATTTGATTCAATTTATATAAGCAACAGTTGGTGTTTTCTATGAAATAATTATAAATAATTTGCATCCAAACCTCAATCAATTGCTTTGATTAAATTCCATAATATTTGATCAGCTACAAGGTATTACAATAGTTATGGTGTACACCTTTGTACAACCGAATAATATAGATATATATTTTATTATAGAAACAATTCACGACTTGAGTTGTTTATGAATTATTTTTTTCAATTTATAAGTTACAAAAAATTTCAATCATACGAGTCATAGTTAATGAAGGGTTTATAATAAATAAAAAGCATTGATGACGTTCGGAGTACATATGTCGTTCATAGCATGAGTCTGCAACTATAAATGACACCTTTATAAAATGTTGACGAATACTTTAATTGAGATAGTTATTTTTTATTATTAGATAATTGATAATTTTGTTAAACCTCTAGTGAAAAGTTTATATTAAACATTTTTAATTATATACTAATTAATAAGTTAATTTGTTATACGGTATAAAGACTTTATACTTTATTTGAAACCAGGATTGATGATAATTTACCTTTTTTGTTTGTTCACACTACTAGTAATTTCGAGCGCTAATTCTCATCCGCGTAAAACTATTAACAATCATTGCGTGGAAAGAAATATTAAAACCAACAAATGTCAATTCTCAAACTATGTGTTCGTCACCTTCCCGTTTTTCTCTAGTGGTAATTCTACCTAGGATTCGAGTTGGCCTACTTTCTTTCTTGAACATCTAATCTTTTAATTTTTAAGCAATTCTAATGCTGATTTGATTTATGTTTCATTTTTGAATAATTGAATTAATTGATCAGTTGCTAAAATTTATTATTAAAATAAATTTTTTGCAGATAAATTAAAAATGTGGTATCTATTACTGGGGTGGTTACTAACCACAGCTAATTGTCAACAACCTCAAGATGACACTTCGGAAAATGTACCATGGAATCGTTATGATGATCAAAATCAAAATCTTTATCCGTCCTATCGAAATCCTTCCGGAAATGATAATATAATTCTAAAAGAAGCGTAAGTTAAAAACTTAATTCTTACTAATTATCAACAATTTTACTTAATTTTAATTTACTGAATCTAATTTTTATCACATACAGAACATATTTTATTGTGGCTTCGAAAATGTGCCGCCCAGGACAAGTGTATCGTATAGCTGTGAATGTTTTACGAAGCAATTTACCAATAACAGTCCGAGCATCTATTCAACGTAATGGTGTAGAAATGGCAGCAGATGATAAAGATATTAAGGAAGGAGTTCCAGAAAATTTAATGCTTAAAATGCCTCCTACTTCAATTCATGGTGAATATAAACTACGTGTCGAAGGTCTTTATAATGGCTTAACTGGTGGACAAGCTTTTTATAATGAAACGAAACTTATGTTTTCACAAAAATCTATGTCTATTTTCATCCAAATGGATAAACCAGTATATATGCAAGGTCAAAAAGTTCGATTTAGAGCAATACCAATAAATACAGAATTAAAAGCTTTTAATAATCCAGTTGATATATTCATGATGGATCCATATCGAAGAATTATGAGACGTTGGTTGAGTAGACAAAGTAATCTTGGAACAGTTTCTTTGTCATATCAACTATCAGATCAGCCGGTTTTCGGTGATTGGATAATTCAAGTTGTTGCACAAAGTCAAATAGAAGAAAAAACGTTTACTGTTGAAGAATATTATCAAACGCGATTTGAAGTTAATGTGACCATGCCTGCCTTTTTTTTCGATAAAGATCCGTATATTCACGGAATGGTTCAAGCAAATTACACATCTGGTGCTCCTGTAAGAGGTAATTTAACTTTAAAAGCCAGAATTACACCACTGAGTAACTATCGAATTATAAATACTCAGCCTGTAGAACGTTACTTTAATTTTAATGAATATTATCCATCATGGTTCAAAAATCCTGAAGTTTACCAAGATTATCCGGTTCTCAGAATGTTCAATGGTACTTATCAATTTCAATATCCAATGCATGAACTACTGACATATGCGTCTATTTCTGAAGGTTTAGAAGTTCAAATTATTGCCACTGTGGGTGAAAGTTTTTTGAACGAAGTAATTGTTGGTTATTCTACTGCTAGAATATTTAATTCTACTGTTCGTATACACTTTTCTGGAGGTTCACCACAAATATTCAAACCTGCTATGCCTTATACATTTAATATTGTAGCTTCTTATCATGATGGATCATCTTTAAATCCATCAAAGTTATGGAGTCCCCAAATGTCAGTACGTGCAGAGATAGACTCAAAAAATGGAGGTCGTAAAACCCTAGATACTCAATACTTGAGACCTTCCGCGGATTCAGCAATCTGGACAATGAAACTTGATTTAAGACAACAATTGAATCTGATAGATAACAGCAAACGTAGTCAACAAGTGTTAAACGATATTACATCTGTTAGATTATATGCTACTTTTGTCGACGGTGAAGGAGAAAGTGCTAGAGCTGAACTTCTTCTTTTGGCCCATGATTCACCAGGTAATAAACACATCAAAATCACTACGTCTTCAAAACATCCTAAAGTTGGTGAATATTTAGTACTCCATGTTCAAACGAACTATTATATTGAAACTTTTAATTATATTATCATGTCAAAAGGAATTATTCTTCTTAGTGGTCAAGATATCATGGAATCAGATATTAGAACATTTTCTATTCCTTTAAGCCCGGATATGGCACCCGTTGCAACTGCTGTTGTCTATCATGTTGGTAAATACGGCGAAGTAATTGCTGACTCATTAACAATACCAATTAATGGTATTTCTGGTAATAATTTCACTATTTATATTAATAATAGAAAAGCAAGAACCGGAGAAAAAGTTGAAGTTGCAATTTACGGTGAACCTGGTGCGTATGTAGCTCTTTCAGGGGTTGATCGAGCTTTTTATTCTATGCAAGCAGGTAATGAAATTAGTTATGCTAATGTTATTTCGCGAATGGCGGATTTTGGTGAAGAAACCAATGGTACACATACTCATTCTTGGTTCCACCATAGTGGTGATCCAGATCATGCAGTTTTCTTTCCGTCATCAACTCTTGGTATTGATGTTAATAGAACTTTTGAATATATTGGATTAGTAGTGTTTACTGATGCTTTCATTTATCGAAGATCTGATTTCTGTAATAGGAGTTTGGGTCTTGATGAATGTTTAAATGGAAAGTGTTATAGGCTGGAAAAGAAGTGCGATAATGTTGTAGATTGTGAAGATGGAAGTGATGAAGCAAGATGTGTAACTCGTAATGAAACTGATTTAGCACTCTTCCGTAAGAATCGATTTAACCGAATCCAAAGACAATATGAAAATGTCTGGTTATGGAAAGATGTTAATATTGGACCTCACGGCAGATTTATTTTTGATATTGAGGTACCTCGTCGACCTGTCCATTGGATGGTTACAGCATTTAGTATGAGTCCAAGTCGAGGTTTCGGAATGTTGCGGAAAGCAATTGAATATACTGGAGTTTTACCATTTTTCATTAACGTTGAAATGCCAACAGAAAGTCGTCAAGGTGAACAAATTGGTATTCGTGTCTCTGTTTTCAATTATTTAAAATACAATATTGAAGCTACTGTAGTGCTAGCAGATTCTCCTGATTATAAATTCGTTCATGTTGAAGAAAATGGGTATGTTAATTCATACAGTCCGAGAACATCTTTTGGAGAACATCAATTTTTCATTTGGATTCCTGCTCAAGATGCAGCAATTGTATATTTACCAATAGTTCCTGTAAGATTGGGTGATATCAAAATTACAATTTATGCCCAGACAATTATTGGAAGAGATAAAGTAGAACGAACTCTTCATGTTGAAGCCGATGGGCTTCCGCAATATCGCCATCAGTCTATATTATTAGATTTAAGTACAAGGAGTTTATTCCACCATTATATGCATGTAAACATTACTGATACACCTATTGTAAAATATGCTGAAGATCGTCTATACATCTTTGGCTCTAATAGAGCTACAATAAGTGTAGTAGGTGATGTTTTAGGGCCTATCTATCCCACAATGCCAGTAAATGCAACAAGTTTATTACATTTACCAATGGATTGTGCGGAACAAAATATGTTTAGTTTCGCTGCAAATATGTATGCTACGATGTACATGCGTTTAATCAATCAACGAAATCTTACTCAAGAGAAAGAAAGTTTTGAATTTATGAATATTGGTTATCAACGACAGCTATCATTTATGACTTTGAATGGATCTTTTAGTTTATTTAGAAGTGATTGGAACCAATCAGCATCTAGTGTGTGGCTAACAGCATTTTGTGCTCGAATATTTCAAGAGGCTAGTTTTTATGAATGGGAAAATTATTTATACATTGACCCTAAAGTAATTTCCAAGGCTGTAGAATGGGTTTTAGCACATCAAACCGAATACGGAGCTTTTTATGAAGTTACGTGGTTACCTGACAGAAAAATGAATAACACGAAATTCGATGAATATGATTATGTCCGTTACAGAAATATTAGTCTTACAGCTCATGTATTAATAACATTGGAAACGGTTAAAGATCTTACAGGAGAGCTTGGTACTCAAGTTGCATTAAGTGCATCAAAAGCAGTTAAATGGCTAGAAATAAATCTGAAACTTTTGGAAACACAAGGAACACCATATGAATGTGCTATTGTTGCTTATGCCCTTTTACTTGCTAAATCTTCAGCTGCTGAACAAGCTTTTAATATTCTTGCTACATTTGCCAAGAGAGAAGGAGAATTTATATATTGGGGTCGTCAAGATGTTCCTTTGCCACCTGTGAAAATGGAAAATCAAAAGCCGTATTCTTTACCGCGTTTGCCTTACGAATATGACTGTGAAAATGTTGAAACAACAGCTTATGCTCTGCTTGTTTATGTTGCTCGTCAAGAATCTAATCTTGAGGGCATAGTTAAATGGTTAAATTCACAGAGACTCACTGATGGAGGTTGGGCATCTACTCAAGATACTGTGTGGGCGATGAAAGCTCTCATGGAATATACAGTTAAATCAAGAATTCGTGACGTTAGTAAGCTTTCTGTTGCTGTCGAATCAACTGCATTAGGTGGAAGACGTCATACGTTCAATGTGAATGATCGTAATTTGGTTAAGCTTCAAACTCTTGAGGTATATATTTTTAATATTTATTTTAAATTACTATTCGAATTATTTCTTTATATTTTTCTTTTTTTTACAGATACCCGAAGCTTGGGGAACCGTTAAAATTGAGGCTACTGGGAATGGTTATGCAATTCTTCAAATGTCGGTGCAATATAATGTCGATTTACCAAAATTCCAGACTCAACCTCCAGTTAGAGCTTTTGACTTAAATGTTAAACATCATCCTTACGGAAGAAATCAGTCTCATATTACTTACAGAAGTTGTCAAAGGTAATATTTTTTTTATTAAAAAGAATATGAATTGATTTGATTTTTAGTACATACTGAAAACTTTCAGTATTTCTATAATTGTTCTTCTTTTGACCGTTAGCGAATCATTGTACTACTTTCGTTGGAACATAAAGTCTTTACTTACTTTAAATAGCATTTTCTTGATCACTACATATTTTTAAATTAATATTCTTACATTGTTAATGGATATTAAATTTTTCATAGGTGGACTAACACAAATGAATCCGTCCGGTCTGGAATGGCTGTATTAGATGTTACAATACCAACAGGTTATATTATTCAACAACAAAATTTGGATAGATATACTCGTTCTGGAATAGTGCGAAATTTACAACGAGCCAAATATCAAGAACGAAAAGTTTTATTTTATTTTGACTATTTAGATAGTGAAGAGACGTGTGTTAATTTTACTGTTGAACGCTGGTACCCTGTAGCTAATATGTCGAGGTTTTTAGCAGTTAGAGTATATGATTATTATGCTCCTGAACGATTTAATGAAACAATTTTCGATTCATTATCAACATATCTTTTAAGTATTTGTGAAGTTTGTGGTAGTTCGCAATGTCCATATTGCCCAATATATAATGCGGCTACACTTCTCTCTTCACCAACATCAACAATACTTATTGTTTCAGTATTTTTAGTGACTTTAAGATATGTCAAAACACAAGAATTCAGTATAGGATAATGTTTAAAATAAACAGAATAAATTAAAAAAATTAAATGTTAAGAGTACAAAGTTTTGAGGGTCGAAAATTGTAACATACTGTGATGACGAGTTTAAAAATTCTCCTAGAATTGAAGATGCCTTGTAAAGAGTAACATTTACTCGAATGTATTTTGTAATTGTAAATGTTATTACAAAAAACCGAAAACCGTATGTTTAAAGCATACGTTAAAACCTTCGTATCTTTAGTAACTTTCATACAAAGTTATATACAATGTTATATTCGCAGTTGAAATTATTTTCGATAGAATTATAATATAAGACAAAATTTATAGAGTAACTGTGTTCATTTTTATGTTAATATTTAATTATTTTAATGTAACATGTATAATACGTTAAACTGTATAGCGAAAGAAAATTATCTATATGATTAACTACAGAATACAGTTAAGAAACTTCGACTTTTAATATGATTCCGTCCAATAATCATGACTATTTTTAATTGATTTTTATAATTTTTGTATAAATAAAGAGAATTTAAAGTTAATAATATCCATTTTGTTATTTCATCGAATACTAGAAACAATTTGTTACAATAAATACATTAATGTTATTAAATGCTAGTAATTGGTTTTAAAGAAGATAAATCAATCGAAAATTTTTGAAATTATCCTCTCCTATATTATAATTTAAAATAAGTAATAAATAAGTATAGATAATATTTCAATTACATAAACTAAATAATTATTTACTCAATTCATTAAAATGAGATTCTATAGCAATAAATAATAGTACTATCAGAAAATAAATGATTGATGATTGATTTTAGAAATGACTGAATCTTTTATTTTTAATCATATTTATTAATACAATATCTTGTAAAAATGAATTAATTTTTTATAATCATAAATTTTATCTTCAAAAATTATATATTGTTGAAAATTAAGTTGTTTTCATTATTATTAAAAGGAATAAAAAAAATAATGTTCACAATTGATCTACTATAACATAATCATGTTCAACATTTTTTGCTTGGAGTTTCGGTTTCTCTAAATTATCATGAAGCATTATGGATGTATTATCACGTGGTAACTTTGTTGTTAGAGGAGTACGTCGGCCCTTTTTTTCATATTTATGAAAAGTTTCGAAAAAGGTTCCCAAACCAAAACCACAAGTTTTTATATAAATATAAGTTGGTCGTCGAGCTAATACATCTAATTCGGATTCATGAATTTCAGTGACTTTAATAATTTCCTGACAATGTTCAATACGATATGGTTTATATAATTCTAAACGTTCTGCCCAACTTTTATCTTCCAAATTTTCCTTATGTAATTCTATCACGTCAAATACAAAATTACACATACCTTTTACAAAAACAATAATAGTATAATTTTTTCCCTTCTTAGCTATTAATTGAACTGCTTCATCACTTTCATAATAATGAATACTTTTGGTATTTCTTTTGTACATATGAAATTTAGAAATATACAATGATTTTAAATTGCTATTGATATTGAAGGATAATGGAAATTTACGATAAATGACACGTTCAATATCTAATCTTAAAATATCAAAAAGTTGCATATAGTCTTTATCCATAATCATTTGTCTCAATCGCATTTCATAAACTAATTGTTCATGGCGTAAACGACTACATTTAGTCACATATGGAATTAAATGTTCTCGTAAAATTGAACAACATGATTTAGCATAATCATCATTTTGAATGTACATAAATAAAACTGTGATCAATGCACAAGGTGAAATTTCAAAAATAAGTCTGAATAAAAAATTCATAGCAATAGTAGAATGACTCATCACTTGACGCATATCTTCTGATACCTTTTTCCGACGACTTATAAAGAAAAATTTGTTGCCGAATGAGTGATATAAATTAAATAATTGATCTATTAAAGGCACAGATATTTTTTTCAATAGCAAAAAATCAATGGTTCCATTTTCCATGATTAACTCGGTATTTTTGTAAGCTACATCTGATGATCGATAAATGTAACTAATAAGTTTTAATGTTTTGATTATTAGTTGTCTGTAACTGATACCACTGGCCATCAGAAGTTGTTCATCATCGTTATCATCTGTAACGAATCGTTATTTCATATAAATTAAATTAATTTATTTAAAATAGCATGGATTTGTAGAATACAAAGGAAACAAACCTTTTTCAGTGATATCATTGTCATTCAAATTTTTTCTCATTTCTTCATCATTGGATGCAATCTTGAGACCAATCATAGCATTTGATGTTGCAATTTTCTTCTTTTTCTGCTGTCTTTTGCCTTTTCTTAATCTTTGTGCTACATTTTTTAACTTCAGCACTAGTTCATTGATGAATCGATGAATAGTCGGTAGTATGTGCATATTAAATCGTTGATTATCGAACATTTCGTCCATTTTTGAGCTAATCTTAGTATATATCTATAATTAAAACAATTGAGAACAACGTTGAAAAATGTCGAGCTTTGACTGTGACAATTAATCGTTTTGATAACAACTTAATTGTTACCATGAGAATAAAATGACATTATTCATAATAACATTGTCGTATCTTAAAGATGTATCTAAATTCTAGAATTAATTATTTAAAATTACCACAAAAAATAATAAATGTTTTAATATATATTAAAAAAAAAAACAATTAAAAATAATAATAATAATTTACGTAAATATTCGATAGGATATATTTTAATTTTTTTTATATTTATTTTGTAGTTTTTTTTTAAACTTTTCAGATATATTGCCTTCCAAAAGTTAGTTGAAATATTCAGAAAGAAATTATCAGGTATTTTCTCTTTTTTACTTTTGGAGTATTACTACAGCACCGTGAGTTAAAATAAAAAATGAATTGTTTATGTCGAATAAAAACATAGTATTAATGATGATTTTTTTTTAAAAATAAATCATCGATTATTTCAATTAACTTTTGGAGAGTACTGTATTAGATTTGAGAAATTACTAAAATTTTATATTAATCAATTAAATTTCCCAAAAGGTATTAAATTTCTAGAAACTTACGCAGTTGTTTAAATTGTATGTTATCAATGTCACTAATTAACAAATAACTCTAGTTGTAGGTTTTCAAAAAAAATCATTTGTAATCATTTTAAATACCTTCTATTGATGAGCACTTTGTTATATTATTAGAGCTAGTTTAAGAATTACGATACGTGTTTTATTTTGTCTTATATTTTGTTTTACAATTGCTTTTTCTGTTTTATCTATGCGACCGATGATACATTGTTCAATGTATTGTCACAAAATAAAAGGCCACTTGTGTATTTTGTTACATACGTAGTATCTCGACATCACTCGATTCTTCTGAGTAATTGTCGCTAAAACAAATACTCTTTTGAATTTATTCAAAGTGTTAACATTCTTTAATTTTTTCGATCGTAAAATCAAGATCATTTTTGTTATTTGATTTGTAGTTCGAAATAAAAGATTACACAAAATTGGAAGGAATTTTTCATTTAAATATTAAATAAATTGGGAATATTATTATAAAAATTTTTAATTTAAAACTTTATAAAATATTGATGGATTTGTGATAAAAATATGGAATTCGAGAATCAAATGAATTCTGAAGAATCCAGCAATAAAACAAATAAAAGAAAGATGGAAAAGTTATATGAAATTGATGACTTTTGGTTAATTTATACATTACATTTATATAATTATCTTAACAATCGGTTTATAATTTTCAACTGTCACTGTTATCATCGATTTTACAATTCAATTGATTTTTATGAAAATATATTTATCAAAAAACAATCTTACCTGGCATGTATCATTTCCAACGAAGAAAATCGATTACGACACATGTGTTTCCCGATAATGCTTGGCTCAATGATTGATCTCCATCTAAGACCACACCATGAACTAGATCCAGATGTTTTTGGTTGTTTCATAATTAATGGTTCATTGAAAATTTTGCCAAATTTTCAAACAAATAACCTCAACTCAATGCATATATACAGCTACAAGAATGAGCGATGTGTAAGATGGGTTATTAAAACTGACAAAAGCATCTGTCATTTATACTACTCTAGTGCAAAAGAAGGTAAAGTTTTATCAGAATTTACTGATACTCCAAATCAAATAAATGCATCAGTTGATGATGATTGTTTTTTATCACTATTGGATATAAACAAAAATGAACATAGTCCAACTCGTTCGAAAAAAATATCTGCAAATATTGACAAAAATACTTGTAACAATAATTGGATTAACTTTGTTAATGAAGTAAATCCTTATAATTGTAATAATATTACTACTGACCAATATATTGATGTTTTTCAATTACTTTTGAGAGATTATCCACATATTGACGATTTAAGTAATAAAACCATCATTACTGCACCAATGATTCTTTACCGTGTGGTCACAATGACCAAACATACAAAGTTGAAACAAATTTTTGAAAGTGGAAATCTTTTCTATGTACTTTCCAAAAAAAAGCATATGACTTTAATAAAAGATTTTGCCAATATGTATCTTAATATTGAAGGCCAAAAGCATGATAAAATTCGCTTTATGCTTGATTTAACTAAAAGATCAATAAATCGACAGACAAGAAATAGTCGAGCATTGTTATTTCCTCGTGATGCTGACCGTTATATTTGTTATTTAACTTGTAAAGAAATGAAAGATGCTGGAGAAACAATTAATTTTTCTCATTATGTTACAATTACATTACCGATTAATGAAAAAATAATCCAACAAGAAGTTATAAAATCTGGTAATTATTCAACAGGTGATTTACAAATTATTATAAATGGATTTTTTACCAATTGTTATGTTGATAACACATTAGAAGCATTAGTTGAATTTAAACGTCGAATTCCAATGATAACCTTCATTCGTTTGGATAATAAATATTTATTTACCTACACTAAAGGTTATGTTTTAATTAAATATAGTAGTAAATATAAAATTTTTGTTTCACCATATGAAGCACAAAATCTCTTTCCAGACTGTTTTGATCATTATGGTCCATTTACTCGTTTTGGTAGTTTTGCAAGACAGTTGTCATCATCAATATTAAAAACGCCTGCACCAAAATGTACTGTTACTATTAATAACATTCGTGGAGCTTGTAATATCATTAATACTCGATTTAAAGCCCAAGCTTTCTTGACATCCATTGGTTATAATAGTGCCATCATTTATCAACGACGTGGTAACAAAGAAATTCTAACTCCGGGAGTAGAATACTCACGAGTAACTTTGTGTAATAATAATATTGATGTTCAGTCTTTGAACAATCAGAATGGACAAAGCAGTACTATCACAAATACCACTATTGACAACAACAAATTTTTGCCAATTGCTAGAGAAAAGCGTATCGCATTTGAGTGGTTAAAATTTGCAGAAAGATGGGATATTAAACCTAAAAACCAACAAGTAATCGATAGTTATTTTGAGAAAATAGATAACAGTATATTTAAATCAACAAAATCCGCTATACCTCAGGATAATAGTGGATTCTTTGGAGTCGTTACAAGCATGATTGATCCTAACGCTGAACAAAGTAATTATTGGTATTTAGAATTTTTGAAAAACACCTTTCCTATAAAATTTTTATGCATTGATAATCGCTATTCTATAATCATGAACAATGATAACGATGAAGTTAATTTATTTCATAATGCTTCTGTGAAAATCATTACAAATGGTGATGATTATAAAAATTTCCTTTCAAAAATTATGGAATATGATAACACTTCCATTTCATTGTATAATTATACACCAACAATCATTCAAAATGTTGATATGTCGAGTGATATAAATCCAGATGCATCATTATATGAGGTACCAAAGAAAAAACGGAAAAAAAAGAATGGACAAAGTGTCAACATGGTTTTACAGCCGCAAAGTAAATATTCAAAACCTACAAACCCTAAAAGAATGCAAAATACTTCCATGTTTAAATCATTTGAAATTATGATGAATTGTGATGAGTACTATCAATTATATACTCGAAAACTATACGGTTTATTATGTAGTGATCACTACGAAGATCGACATACAAATCAAGTGGTACTTTATTGTGCATTTGGTGATGTAGAAGGTGGATGTATTGAAGATGGTATCGTACTAGATGAAGCTTTTGTAGCAAATGCACCAAACAAATTAATATCTGTAACGTTAGCAGTCAAGTTCTCGCCATATGATTGTATCAACGATCCCGTTACTGGAGAACAGTTAACTGAATTCAAATCTCGTAAGAAAAATACAATTCGTAAAAATCGGAAAATTAAAGTTCCACAAAATGCAAGTCAACATGACAAAGATACTGATGGAAATGAATGTAATAATTCATCTGATATGTATTATCCTCCATTACATATAAAATATACTCCAATTAATAGGGAATTAGATCGAAGTTTGATCTTTGGGGTGGTTTCAAGTAACCAAAAGCTTCTTACTTTTAAAAGCAAAAATGTAAATATTATTGAAACTAATTTAAAGTCACATAATTATTATGTTATTTATTGCGTAGAATTCACTAATTATAACAAAGTTATTGAATCATATTATAATGAAGCTTCAAGTACAGTGATTATTCATTATCGATATTTACGGCCAATTGGTGTTGATATGAAATTTTGTAATAAGCATGGCCAAAAAGCAATCGTGTCTTCTGTACGTGATTTGAGTTATTACCGAGCTTGGACTCGATCAGGGAAATGCGTTCATCCTCAGATATTATATAGTATGCAAAGTTTAATTGGGAGAATGGCTGCTGGACAGGTACATGAAATGTTGGCTAATGAAGAATGTGCTTTTGGTGAAAATGGTGAAGTCGTAGCACCGATGTCATTCGTTATTCATTCAGTAGAGTCATCAGTAAAAAGTAAAATTACTTCAGCACTACGAATCGATTTAATGACTCAACAAAATGGATTTGATGCTAATATGTGCAGTAGTTTAGCTTTGATGCACACTATGCAGCATTCAGCTAATTTTACAGATAGTCATGCAAGATTGCATTACTTGAAAGAGTTGTTTAAATTGAATGGAATCAATTTTGAATTTCTCTAGAATAATTGTATGAGTTTTTAGTGAATTTAATAAAGAAATATATACTATCAAATTATTTACGTTTTTGATGAGTTAATAAATTTATTTCGTCTCAAAATTCAATCTAATTGATAAGAGTTTTATTTCAGTTAAAGTAAATTAATAATTGTACACAAAAATTTTCAACTAAATGGAAAATGAAAATTAATTAAAATTTTTTGAAAAGAATTAATGTATTAAAAAAATATATATATATATATATATATATATATATATATATATATATATATAATAAATAAGTAATAAAATTTCCATAAAATACACTCATAAAATTTTTATTACTTTTTATTGTGTATTTTGTACATTAGAGTGACAAATTTGATAAAACATGACGATTGGATAATTCTGAATATTGTATACTAAAGACAAATTTAAAAATACTTCTTAAACATTTCGATAAAAAAAACTCCATTACTAATTAAATCACAAATTTTTATTTTAAAATCATCAGAATATAATAATGACATCAGATATTGACTTTGTAGAAGGTATCATTCAACTACCTTTAAGTGTGCTAACTTTTACTGAAGAAGTAGATTTTATAATTGATACATTTATAAAAATAGACGTTGCTGCTAATCATCCAACAGCTAAATTTATTCATCCGTTACAGAAAGCTATACATTACGGTGTTTACTTGACGGTATCATATCAAACCTGTGATAAATGTACTGGTAAAGACATTAGTGAAGATGATAGTGACAATCATCATCATAAGGCACCTTTATTAGAAATCCCTCCCATCATTTATGAAAAAAATATCAAAGTTGATGAGTCATTAAACATTATGCATGATGTTTATAAAGTGCATCCTGATATGCCACTAGTCAGTATTGGTGCGACAGGTTTAGGTTTTTTGTCTACTGAAGACCAAAAAGTTGATATAAAAACTAATTCGAATATCTAAACTGAAAACACAATTTTCAACAATGGAGACTAATAAAGAGAACGAAGAAAAAGAACAGCCCATTTCATCAGAAACAACAACTTATAGAACAATGCTTAAAGAAAATGCTATGCTTGTTTCGGCATTATTTGAAGCATATCCTGAATTAAAGAATTTCGAACGTGATGTCAAAGCAATAGTTGAAACTTACTTGTTGACTTACGAAAATCGTAAAAGTTTGCCAAAAATATTAGAAATCCTCAAAGACAAATCAATCGATCCACAGACAAAAGCAGATTGGTTTATCAAAATGAAGAAATTAATTCTAACTCAAAATAATTTGAATTGTTTAGATGCTATACCCATTGGAATCATCCTGTCTATCGACATGCATAGCCACGCAGCACAAGCTGCTTTAAATGTCAAGCACACCAAAATCAGACAGGAAGAATTTAATGCAGCTGGTATCAGTACTCACGAAAAAAATTCAGATATTGAATTAAAACATCCTATGGTTCCTGAAATAGATGTAACTGTATTGCATCAAGGTGGTAAATTTTGTTGGTTTCGTATCAAGTTATCATGTGTTATTGACGTATCTCAATTAAATCTAGCATATTCTCCAGTACATTACTATTTTTATACTGATCGAATTGTTGAGCTATATTATTACCGAGAAGTTCGAAATTATAAAGATTTTTATTTGACAACAATGGCTAACTTGAATAGTTCTGAATTTGTCAGTCATATTTATTTCTTTTCTGATTGTCGATTGGTTGAGAAATTGGAATCGAAAGTGAATCAGTTTTCTAACATTTTGAAGTTTTTATACTGTTATAGAATGAACTCAGCGAGTTTCTCAATTACTAACGAAGATGATCAAGAGCATGTTTTTAAACTATTAATTCGTACAACAGTATTTTTGTACAGACGTAATTTTAATATGGGCAGTGAAGAATTAGATACACCATTTACAGCTCTTACAGGAGAAAGAGCACATATTAATGTACGTCGGTTTCTTAGTGAAGATACTGTGTATTCAGTGAATAATGCTCGAGATGGGTTGATTTTGGGTACTGGTACTCAACTAGGGGGTATTAATCCTCATGAGTTAGTATTTTTACATAATGGTCATGTAGAGTAATTATTTCAAATGTTTTTTCAGTAATATTTTGAGGACATTAATAAAATAAAGTAATGATCTGACATTAACTTCATTTTATTCCTGAATATCGACTTATTACAATCAAAAATACTACTTTTCCAATTTATATTTCTTTATTCCAATATCATTAAAAATTGTCAATATGTACATATATATATGTATTTAGAATAAATATGTTTTAATACACTAGTTGATAAACAATAATAAGTTCACTTACTCCTTACGTAAGTTTTTTCAACGTATTCATGAAATACTTTGAAAGCTTCAAAAGTTTCAACAGCAATAGGATTTATCTTTGAAGGGGGTGGATCAAATCTACCACCAGGTAATTCTATTGTATAAGACAAATCAGCTTTACCAACTGCCATCACCCAATCATCACTTCCACCAGCAGCAGCATCTAAGGCATATTCCAATTATTAAATTCAATATGTTCTTTGTTAAAATGAAACTAATGAAAATGATTTTTATAATTATTTGTATAAAAAAATAATTATTATAATTTACACAAAACATTTGTAGAACTTCCCACGGTGTAACGAGTATCGTATATTTGTGCTATTGCTTGAGCTGCTTTTAAACCAACTGAACGCTATAAAAACAAGGAAATGTTACCTTTTAGTACAGTCATTAGTTCAAGTATTTATTCAAATTAGAACAATAATTAAAGCAAATATACGCAGTATACTTACAAGTGTTGGTTCATTACTTGGTAATGCTGATGTCCATCCCCATGGATGTAAAAGATACTAAAAACAATTAATTAAAAGATAAATTGAAATTGTATTCCTCTGATAAAAAAGATCATAATAACAACTAAAACTTAATTTTAGCGATAACAAATGAATTAGCTACTATGATAAATGTAATTAAATGATTAGCAGAAAATAACTTATGTAGTGAATAGAGTGACTCATTTTATAAAATATATCTGCTAAATATTTAATACGTAAATCTTTGGAATTTTAGATAACTTAGTTTCATTATGATAAAAAATAATTTCGAGATTTTAGGAATGATATAATCATATTTTATCTGATAATGATTATTGATATTTTTTTTTATGTCTTATCTTTATCTTCAGTGTTTGAAAAATAATTGCCTTAAGACGAACCTGTCCGTATGAATGTAAAGTTAGATAAACTTTGACATTTCCTTGAAGAGATTCCACTAAGTCCCTTAAAGCTTGGGTCTCTACCTCTGAGAAGGGTTTCGGACCGGCATAGGTTTCTGAACAAGGATAGCTAGATGCACCGACAGCTATGGTTGAAAATTTTTACTTATTTATCTCAAATATCAACTACCGATAGCATTTTTCTGAAAATTGTTTATAGAATATTTTTTTCTGAACATAGACTTACTCATCCACTTGTAATCAAAATTTCGGTTCGCATCAGTACCAATACAATTCATGTCATTTTTTACTGAGCGGGTTTTTCTCCAAAATCGATACTGAAAAATGTTTTTTCTCACTTAAGTATATCAGTTGAAATATTGAGGTACAAATTATTAGGTATTATCTCTTTGGAGTACAGTGAGTTTGAATAAAAACTGTTATTTATGTCGAATGAAAATATATTATTTATAACTGTTTTTCATAGAATAAATTATAAGTTATTTCAACCAACTTTTGGAAGGTACGGTATATATGAAATATAATGGATACCAGAAGTAAAATCAATTTAAATTTAATTATGAAACATTCAAAAACTAATATTATTCATTCTCTAGTACTTACAGATGTGTGCGTATATTCATAACCATCAGGATTAATGCTAGGTATGATGTACCAATCAACATTTTGATAGAGATATGCATTGCTCTGATTATACAATAATTGATGAATGGCATACAAAGCTGTGGTTGGTGAAATCCATTCGCGAGCATGAATTCCAGCATCAATAAGAATTATTGGTTTATTACTACCACCACTGGAGATTTTTACTACATATAGGTCTCTTCCTTCATAAGTTTTTCCAAATGATTCTAATGATGCTTTTTTACTGTTTTCTGTGACGACACGTTTAATGTACTGAGAAATCTAAAATGGAAAACATGTCATAATTAATTTCCCGACTTATAATGATTTTAAATGATATCACATTCTAGTGAGAAACGTTTTACATCTGACTGATAAAAGTTTACATTATTTCGTTTGAGATTTAATCCATTACAAATTAATATATAGGTATAATTACCTCTGCATAACGTGGATAATAGGTAAATGGAAATTCAAATCCAGTTGTTGCTTTAGATTTTAAACGAGCATACGTGTTAGAATTCAATTCTTCTTGTACGGCGCGTTCAACATTATCAACAAGTATTATATAACTGATATTTCGTAATTGCAATGTCTTTTTAAATGTGGATAATTCTTTTGCTGTTACTAAAACGTCGATTGGATCTCTAATTGTATTTGAAAGCTTAAGAAAATCAAAATTTATATTGTGTACGTATGATTGAACAAACGACAAGTCTGAAGTAGTTTCACAAATTATAGAAAGACATTGCATGCTGTAAAATAAAAAAATACATTTATATATATATTAAATATTCCATAAAAATTAAGTAACATATTACATTACATACGATTGAAAGAAAAGTAGGCTCACTCAAACTACAAATAAAATTGCTATCCAAAACAGAGGCGAATTAATTATTTGAAATAGCCTAATAGTCTTCTCGAGGTTTTACATAGATACTATTTTTTGAAATATCAGTTCAAACATTCGAGAAAACTTGAGTAAAAAAATAAACTATACATAGAGATTTAGTGAAAAAACTATTGGTTGTTATTTACAAGTAATGCTCTAGCTCTAATCTGTTCCAAATATATTTGGAGCAAATCTAACTAAAATACCACGAGTAAACATTTATCAATTTAGTAATATATTCAATTTTTTAAAATGCTGACAGTTAAATTATAAACTTCAGTCGAGAATGAATTTAAAAAAAAATCTCACCCCTTTAAAGGACGAACCAATTCGCCACTGGTTAGAGTACCAAAAACCAATATTGATAATAAGATGTTCCAATAAGCCATGATGAAGAATGACAAAATCTTTTTTGTATCAATACTTTAATACATCTTCAATTATCGAAAGATTATTGTATCATATAAATGATAAGATATATTCATTTTTTTTAATATCTTTGCGTAAGTTTGCTAGAGATACGAAAAAAATTATAATTTATAATAGATTTTTTCTATTAATCTATATTTCAATGTTTAACTTACCTTTTTCATGAAAGAAATATAATACTCATAAATTTAAGTAATTACTTGGAAAGTAACAATAAATTAAAAAAGATAATCATGTTAAATATTTAAATTTGATACGAATATCAAGATATAAAATTTTTTTTCATTATTAACTTTATTTAATAGGTATACATAGTAGGAAATAAATAAAGGTTACTTTGATTTAATTGAAAGAAAAAATATTTTATTTTACCATATTTATCTTTTATATAATTTCGGCCAATATTTTTCAATTAGTCATTATATAATGTAATCGAATCATGAAGATAGTTTGATTTCCGCAATATTATCATATTACATTTATATTTTTTTTTCTTACATTGTTTAAAAGATTGCAAAAAAATATAATTCTGTTATACATAGTTTGTACTGTTTTAATTTAGCCCTTTTTCCAATATAAATTATTTTATTGCATCATAATAACAAGCATTATATTTTGAATATTTTTTCCATTATTCCATTTTCAAACAAAGTATACATCGTCATGCAATATTAATATCAATTAGTATTTTTGTTTTTTTATACATGATTATTTAATCATATTTTACTTAATTTTTTGCTAAAACGAACTTAATTATTATGCACATAACATTAGCCATTTATTGAGATTATTTACTAACATTAACGATTTTACAAATCACTAGGGCCAATTAACAATTCTTAATGCAATATTATATTTTTGTCGGAAGTGATATTATTTACGGTAAAATTATTGATTACTTGAATATGATAAAAGATCAATTAATTGCTCACAATTTTTATCATTTAATGCAATTATTATCTACAAGACTTTATTGTGTCAATATTTATTTATCGATTGCAATTCTCACATATGAATTTTTGTTAATTATTATTAAAATTTATGAATCAATTAGTAAAATTAACGATTACTTTAAAAGATAGTATCTTAATTACTAACTTTAATTTTTAATGACAAAAATAATCATACTATACGAAGGAAAAAAAAGTGTTAGAGAAGTTCTAACGTACTCACAAAAATATGAAAGATATGTTTCTTATTGCATAGTTTTTTTTTTCATTTTTTTGGTTTGATAGTAAAAAAATTGAGGTATAGCTGTTATCAGGTAAAGGAATTTAAAAAATTTATCTGATTTGGCTTCATAAAGATCTTAAATACTGTATTCACTAAGAATAATATGTAATTAATAATACATGTTAACAAATTGTTTGTTAAAGATAATCAATCATGTAAAAGCCCAAAATTTATTCTATTTATAAGAATAATTGTTATGTCTTCTTAAATATATTCTATATTTTATCTCAACTTTAATCATTATCATAACTTATTACTAAACAGAATTTATGATGCGAAACATGCTAATTACATATTTCCATTTTGTACTATTCGAAAAAAAAAAATCTTATACTTAATTCAGCCTATTAACACTTGTCAATACTTTATAAATGACATTATAACATTTCATCAAGCATTATTAGTTATAAACAATCTAGTTGTAACAATGACAATGTGCAAATTAATTTAATAACACAATTTTCTCTCATAATGTTAATGAGAATCAACAATATTTTTGATTTTAGTTCTGCTTTAAAATCTTTTTTTTCCAAATAACGATATTTAAAATTAAATGTACAGTTGAAAATACTGATTGTAATCATCGCTCAAATTTTAAAATTACAAGAAAAAAAAATCATTACTAACACGCGCCATCTAAAATACACAATAAAATCTATTTACAATTAAAATCCTGATTTATTAATTATGTTGATCGATTCATGCTCAGTTAATACAACAGAAACTTGACTTCCTCATTACTTTTAAGTCAGTCTTGAATCAGTCTTACTGTGAGAATGCATTCAACCATCTTTTGCTATTTAAAATACTAACTCTGCGCGTGTCGACTGCCAAATAAAATCAAATTATCTGAAAACTAATTCGTATGTTTTTTTTCCCTAAAATTAGTATTGACATTTACAATATAAAATATTAAATCGATTTTATCAATATGTAATTAGTTTAGTAAATCTGTCATCATTACTTAAATGTTTGTTCCCTAAATTTAATTTTTAATGTCATTTTCATTGCATTGTCGCAAAAACATTATTCTCAATCACAATTAATATTTCTTATTTCTTAAAAAATTTTTATCAACTTTCAGTTAACTCAAGTATTTTTATATCTATAAATACACTGGACTGTTGATAACACAGCCGAAAAATTCAAAGTATCCCTTACGAATCTAATTGTATAGTGAAGAGTAAGACTGAATGCTTACTTTAATTATAACCATAATTATTAAACAATACTCAAGTCGCTAACCCAACCCTTTTAGGCTTATTAAACTAATATTTATAGTATTACTGATAATTTGTTGTCAGTTTTACTTTAAAACGATATTATATTTTCTTGTTTTTTTCGCGATTTTATTTTCTTTTAGATACTCAACTCTTAATTTTTTTTAACTTCTTAGGTCTATAATTTTAAAAAGAATCCAATGAATGAGTTAAAAATGAATAAAAAAAAATATTATTAACTAAATAAGACATTTAGCGTCTCACGCATTTACTTACTGTATCAGTAATAAAATATGGTAATTTTTATCGTCAAAATGAAAAATCATTAAAAACTAAAATCACTTACTTTGATTCGATTGCTGAGTTTTTTTCTATTAAAAAACCATTACTCGATTATTACCAAAATCGACGGCAACAATTTTTCCATTTGGCAACAATGCAACGCCAGATGGACGGTCCATCTCATCACGACCGGTTCCAAAGGCTCCAAATTTCCATTTTAGATTCCCATTCGAATCTATTACTTGTATTCTATGATGACGTGAATCACATACTATAATTCTTCCTTCATCGTCGATTACAAGACCTTGGGGCCTTGAAAATTGTTTATCTCCCATAATAACATCAAAAGCAACAATTCGAGCTTTTAAGCAACTGTAATCGATTACTACGAGACGATGGTTATTGAAATCTGTTGTTACAATATCCCCCTTTGGGTTGAAACAGACTCCACGTGGAGAGTCAAAGTGTTTCCACATACTTGGCGATGACTCAAAACCGTATTTTCGCAAAAATACTCCATCGGGGCTGAACAATTGAATTCTATGATTGCGAGTGTCTGAGACGGCTATTTCACATGCAGTATTGGTTGCTACATCCCATGGGTAATTGAACTGACCGGCACGAGAACCTTTTTCTCCGAAACACAATAAGCACACACCTTCCATAGTCAATATCTGAATGCAAAAAGTATAATAATTATTTTTTTTATTTGTTTAATTTTAAATAAATAAATTATATTATTATTTTTTTTTCTATTTACAAAAACTGACTTTTTAGTCCATAATAAAGCTATGATGAATATTGGAATTTGTATATTTTTGTATACATAGCAAGTAAAGTTAAAATAATCATAAATAAATTGCATAAGAAATATTTTATTCTAATTAAAAAAGTTTTAGATTTCAATTTTGTAATAAAAATTCCAATAATTACCTGTATACGATGATTGTCTTTGTCAGCCACAACAATGCGATTTTTAGCGTCAACAGTAATTCCAGCTGGTCGATCAAATTGTCCGGGTCCAGTTCCATGAACTCCAAATCTTCTAACAAACGTGCCATCTTCTTTAAAGATTTGGATACGATTATTTGATCGGTCAGCAATGATGATATGACCATCTCGGTCACAAGCAACTCCCCATGGTCTACAAAGGCCATCATTCATATCCCCTTCTCCAATGATACAAGTACTTGGTAAGGTCGGTGTATATGAGTATCTGCCTGACTTAGTAACTACAGGATAGCTGTTGGCTGATACAGCTCTGCCACGTGGATTTGGTTTGTCATATAAAAATGATGACCAATGAAGAGGAGAGCTTACATCACTTTTTAGATTTCTTCCATCACCTATTGAGCCTGGAGGACTAATCATTATTTTACCCAAATTAGCTATTGCATTAAGAACATTCGTTTCTGAGCCGGCAAATGAAATCCAATTCTCATCTTGCAAGGAAATATCTAGCCAACTTGATCCATTCTTGAACATCTGTTATAATAATACAATTAATGTCAACTATTTTTTTCTAATTTACAAAAATTTAATTTTTTTTCAATTTACTTACCTCATTCGAAGCAATATCTGTAGCTAATATCAGTTCAGCAGGATTGCATTTGAGACCTGATGCTTCCTCAACTCTACCTAGTTGTTCAGCTGCTTTTGATAGTTTTTTTAGAGTTTTCCTCAAATTATCCTCTCGGCGTTTCAACGATGAATATTTCATTAATCGCATTGTCTCAATGCGTTCAAGGAGCTCTTTTTCGCGAGCTTCTAAAGCTGTTGCAGCACGTTGCACGCATGACAAGACTTCTGTGGTAGCTTGATGAGCTTTACGATCCAGATTCTCAGTAGTTATCTATGAATCAACAATTCATCTTTTTATTAATTATATAATTTTTTTAAGGTATGAATAATTTAATAAAAATGAAATAGTTACTATTCGAATTAAATAGTTCTAAAAGTAATGTTGTTGAATACTAACCTGAACCATTTCCAAATCTTTAGTTAACATATTAATACGGTTATGAAGATCATCGGCAATTACATGGCTTTGATCACCAATAAAATCCATTGCCTCCATCAAGTGCATAGTTATGTGATTGACAGTATGCTGAGGATCGCAACCATGACAATAAAAGTCAGCACAAGTCAGACAATATATTTTCTTACTTTCATCGTGAATTTTACAATTATAAAACTTTGGGGGAGCACGATAAAAAATCGGTGAGGGTACCAGGTAGCCTGGTGCTGAGTTGTGATGCACTATTGTGGGATTTGCAATATTTTTTGGACACTGCAAAAGTCAATGACAGAGAATTAAAAATGATTATTCTTTCTTAACAATAAATCTAATAATGAAATATTAATAAATATATCTTACTTCCGTGCCTGATGGCTGCTTTTTAAAACAGATATTGCAATATGAATCTGTGCGATCTTGGAATTCATTATTTGCAGAGTTACTAAACGGAATCTTGAATTCGCTTGGGGATTTATTCTCTTCGCAATTAACTTCTTGAATGAAATTATTGATCATCAACTCTGCGCTCAAATCTTCAAAAGACTTATTACGGTATTCGTTAGATCCACTACTACTCGATGATGCAGTGCCTATTGGGCTGGTGCTGTTAAAATATGAAGATGGCGGATCCCATGAAGACTCTTCATCCTAAAAAATTAAAAGTTATATCATTATAAGATATTTAATAATAAATTAATTTATTCCAGTAAAAATTAAATTATTTTTATAGAACATTAAATTAATTCGATTATATAGATTCTAGAGATACATAGAAGGCTATATGTACTTTGAAGTGGTTTTGGTTCCAGCTAAAAGCTCTCTATTATGAGGATACAGGCAAGTATAAAACCAATATGTTGATTATAGAGACCAATTTTATAAATAAATAAAAAATAAATGTAATCTACCTGCCAAGATAGAGGTCCAAACGGAGTCATCGAAGTAATCGGTACGCTTTTCTCCGATGAATTCGAACTACCTGATCCAAAAGGAAGTTCAGGACTAAATTGACGTCCATAATCCATTGTCAAGCTCAATTTAGTCACTTTCGCGACAGTCTTTGTATTGAATTATAATTTAGAGTGTAATCTGTAATCAAACGAAATATACATTTTAGTTTTACATAAACCAATAACAATTGTAAAATTTTTTCTAACTAGTTTTCTAATTAGTTTATTTTTCAATGAATGCCTATTGTAATTGTACTTAAATAATAAACAAATAATAAACTATTCGAACTCATCAATCAAAAAATTCCGTTCGTGAGATAAAAAAAAAATTTATAATTGATACAAGGATTCGAATTCATTACCTTTATATTATTAATTGCGTGTCATAAATGATACAAAATTCAGTTTTATCAACGATAAATCATTTTATAAGATATTTATGATTGTAATAGTTAGGGTATTATATTGTGTTTGATTTTATCTCAAATTTGATACTTTATGAACTTCAAATTAATTAATTATTATAAACCAACTATATTTACTTCAATATAATAATTATAGATAAATTCAAAAGTATGGTATTAAAGAATAAAATAATAGAGGTTTAAAAAAAAAATTGAAATAGAAGAGTAAAGATTTTATTGAAGATCCAATGAATCTTTAAAACCTATATGTACTTGCTTTTCAAAATCGATTTTTTGTACTCCGTCTTTCACACCCAAGGAATCCCTTTATTTGTTGAAAGGACTGACAATCAAAAGTTTAACGTTTATATTTCTGAATTCAATCTATAAGAAAAATAACAATGTTCTTGACACGTTATTAATTATTCGGCTGTTTCTATCAAGATTATTTTTGGATTCTTCAGGCTTTCAAATATCATGATAACACATTAAACAATTACGTCATAGAAAATTAAGAGAATTCTACATGAAAAAAATGGTACTTTTTTTACTAAAAAAATTTTTTAATTAATATCAAATCAATACATGATAAAATATTTCATAATCGAATATTTTTATTATTAAATTGAATATAAATATTATAGAATGATTAACAAATAGTGTCAAAATTTTTCATATAAAAATAAAATATATCGGATTTTTGGCTGTTATATGAATAAGTTTTGCTATATATATGGATATAATAAAAGAAGAGAATTCTTGGAAAATTATAACACTTAGGTTGTATCAAAACACATTCATCGGCATGAAAAGGGATTGTGAACCGTTGATTTTGGTTAGAATTCATGACCTGCAGCCGGCAATGATTCACTGAGTATCAACACCACGTATTGGTGTATTTAGCCTATTTAAACCCCTAACTGTAATTACTTATCTCTAAATGAGCAAAATACTTGTAAATTTGTATTGTCTATGGTCATGTACTTCAATTAATCATTCATTACTTAATACCAGAGAAATACATGTTTATATTAAGTATTAATAAATTCAATGTAATGAAAATTTGTGAAAAGCTTCTGGAGTATCAATTTGAATGAGATAAAAATAATAGATAGATTTCAATGTCAATAGTACTTGTAAATTTATCAGTTTACTATATATTCTGTTTAAGTTAGTTCTAAATCTCTCAAGGTCAAATCTTAGTACGTTTTTCTACTCCATCTTCCACCCTTATCGTTATCCAAGTTCTTCTCCCCTCTTAGTCTTTCCTCAGAGTCACACAAAAAAAAAATCGTACGGCCAAGTTTAAATCGATCGACGTTTCAAAATACCAAATAAAAGTATAAAGTATATACCACTCTTCATACATACATCAATATAAGAGTGTGTATTATAAAATATATTAAGAAGAAAAACATTCAAGAAAATATTGGAGTATAAATACAATGTCAAAGTAATAGTGAATTTGATTAGAAAAGTATCAATACACTAAGTGCGATCATAACATTGCCATCCAAGTTAATTCTTTTATATTATTTATAATCGCATTTTGATGTGATTTATAAAATTGAAACATTGTGGAGAATCATAAATATTAAAGAAATAATAATAATTTAATCAATCATAATACTTACATAAATGAAGATTAGAAATGAATAATCAGCACTTTCACTAATTCAAATGTTTTTCCATCAAAATAATAACGTTATCACTAAATAAAAACGACTATAAATAAACGAAATAAGTTACCGGTAAACTACTTGTAACTATTGACACAAATTGATAATTTATAAAATAAAATATTATACGTTTTAGAATAAAAGATGATGTAAAAATATCACCGAGTTAAAGTTTTTTATTAAAATATTTTTTGGTTGAAGATTCAGATCCAAGACAAGACTGTCGTCGCTTCGAACAATCCTCCCTCACGTCAAGTCAAAGACTCGTGCAAACTAGTGCGAACGTCCTCGGTTGATGGTTGTAAGTAGCAACCCCCGCCGCATCCCCATTCCTTTCCATTCTTCGTCGTTTATTCAGCCAATCGCTGCGCTCGATTTTCACCTACCAACGCACTTACCATGACGACAAACGCGCGCCCTTCTAAACTCGTTGACGTACTTGCCGCCCACGATATGAACTCAACCCCTATTGCTTTATTTCTTTTTCTTTACAGCATCTCTTGAATTAAATCTGCTAAATTACTTCTTCTAAAACATAGTAATTGTCTTTTATCTTAACTATTTTATCATATATTCATCATCAACTGAACTAGGAAATATTCGATATTATGCCTAAACACAATACTCTACTAGTATGTACATAGCTTAGTTCATATCAGAAGATGAAAAAGTTTCTCACTAAAACATTATTTATTGATATTCAATTATTTAGTTGAAGTTTTATTCAATAATAATTAACACTTGAAATAATTTTAACTTAACGTAAAAGAGTTTATATTATTAAAATAAATTAAATTAAAGCTGTAATATCAATGACATTCACGAATAATGTGGCAGTAGTTGGGCAATGAAAGTCAATAAGCATCAATATCATATAAACCTCATACATTTCAATATTGTCTATAATATTCGAAACTTTTTCGACAAGTAATTAATTATTAATACCTAAAATTCTTTGAATTTAATCAAAGTATAAATAAATCAACTCATTTAAATTGTATATAAATTTATTATATATTTATTATTTAAAAATTTTAATCGACTCTATTTATAATAAAAATAATGAAATTCATTTAGAATGAGTTGTATTATAACAGAAAAATTAATATAGTTTTCAGGTGAAATTTAAAATCAAATAACCAACTGAATTATTATTTTTATTCTTAAAAATAACGAAAATAGAAGAAAAAATTACCACTACAACGCCAAGAATGGAATAATGTGGTGGTAGTGGTGGTAATAGTGATGCGCTTGCGCCTCAAATCTATGAATGGGGTTTACTTCGCTCAATGTCGATATTAGCTATATGGATAACAAACTTTTACTTGCCGCGTAAGAGCCCTCCCTACTTCGGGGTGACCTTGAGACCTTGAAAGTCTGACGACTGGAGAAAATTTTATCAACCAGAAAAAACAGAAAAACTCTCAATATTTAACTGATAAATATAATTATTTAATTAAACATGTTGAGATATATTATTTTATAAACTGGTGTTATTATGACCTTAAATCCTATCAATTTCAGTTGAGTTCGATGTCCATCAATGACATCCCTTATCAATGACGATTGTCATAATGACTTTAGAATAATATTAAAAGAGATGTATTCTATTATAATGATTGAAAAATAAAAATTAACCATAAGAATTAGAATCAATTGAAGTACATAAATATGTGATAAATTCATGAATGAACAGATACGCATTTAATGTGCGCATGTCACATCCCTTGAAGTAGTAAATGCGGAGGAGGGAGGTCAATCGACATGTAGTTTCTCAGTATTTTAATGATCGAATTTTCAACCCTCTATAGAAAATGTTTTTGTTACTCACACAGAGAAAAAATTAATAAAACATCTTCACAATAAAATACGTAGTTTTTTTTTTACAATATTTCATGTATTATGACGTAGAAAATAAAACCCACGTTACAATTGGCATTTATTGATTTATCAACGAATGTAAATTAAACTAAGTACAGACAAAAAAAAATTCTGATAATGTATTACTTACTAAATATTTTTGACAATTGAACTATTACATGAAGTGTGTAAAAAATTCACATACATAGTGTGTGTGTAGTTTATTAATGAATTATCTCGAATTTGTAGTATATAACAATGACTATTAAAGATTTTTAGTAAACTATTTTAAAATTCATTTATTATTAAAATTAAAAAATATTGGTCATTTTATAATTAAACAAATTTTAAAATAATTGAAAATTATTAAGATATTTCAATTAAAGACAAATACATGGATGCATCCATTAATTTTTGATAAATGTAACAAGTCGATAATTTTTATTCCAATTGATAAATAAATTTAATTTATAAAATATTTGTTTATAAAAATAAAATATTTTGTTGCATGATTTATTTATAAATTATCAGGGTGTATAGTCACAAATAACATATGGAAAAATAATAGAATTATTTGATAAAAACATTGAATGATTCACAGATCAAGTTAATTAAAAAAAGTCATGTGTAGTACTATAACAGCTACCCTTGACATTGCAAAAATATTTCTACCCACTGCGCCAACTCCTGATCGACTCTCTTTGGTATCATACTGCGTGGGAGCTTTCAAGGTCGATTCAAGATCAACACGAGACAAATAACGTCGATTCAACGCAACGCCCACGTATATAGTGTAGGCGATAAGCGTTGGCGGGATGACGATTCGCAGGATCTGTATCCTTCCCTAATTCGTAGATAGATGTGCTTTTCATTGTGTCACAAACGTAACATACTCCAATTTTTATACATTTAATTTTTAATAATCATCAATGCATGAATTAATTTTTTTTTGAAACGAGCATAATTCATATTTTTAATAAATAAATTATAAAAATCATATTGTCAACTCTCATAGGAAAATTTTAATTCTAAATATTTATTTCAAATACGTAAAAATACATTGAAAATTATTAAAAGCTAAGTCAATGGAGTAATTGAAAGCTGAAGCAAGTAATAAACATTAAGACAATTATTACTTGGCTCAACTGTCTAAAACTAACCAATGAAACTATAGCTTAAAATTAAGTTATTAAGTTCAAGAATGTCCTTCATCTTGGACAAAGTTTATCTTCCTTTGGATATAGTTTTATTCATCAAGTAATTTACTAACATTTGTATCTGTCACAATAGAATTCGTAGAAATTTGTGACTCATCGGAAATGAGGAAGAAAAGTCTACAGTTTTCATATACCAAACTGCACAATCGGTTTTAGACTACACTACAATGCCGTTCTAATAGCTTAAACTTGACTTGAGGCAGTAGTTTTGTTTCATTCTGTAGGTGACTTTGAAATTTCGTTGAATGTCTGACAAATTTGACTTAAGGGTATAGTCAAAAAAGCACTTTAAACATTATACCAGGTGAATTATTACAATAGACTTAGTTGATGCACTATTTGATATTGCTTTTGCAAAACTTAAACCCATAAGTAAAAGAACATTAGCTTCAGTTGTGGGAAAATATAGATTCCGTATTGTAAAATATTCTTATAATATTTAATTCTGTTTGAAATCAGTTTTAGAAAGAAAAAAATTTCTAATAAACCATAATCCATAACTAACAGTTAACAGAAACTAAATGCTTCCTGAGTATAAGTCACGGAGACTTTAAACATCTTAACAGTGAATTTCCATATGCTGTATTAAATTGAAAAGATGTGCTGATACTCGAAAAACCTTTACTACAAGACTGAGAAAATTATTTACTTTACTTCAAAAATTGATTGAGTAGAAAATGTTAACAACAAAAAAAACAATATAATATAAATAAATGTAATGACATAATTATTGAAAAAAAGATTATAATTTTTATATATATATATTAATTACTCATTAATAATGATATATAGGTCAATACATTGTTTTTAATAATATTGAATGTATAAAAAAATACTCCACAGATAATGAGCAAGTTTCAAATTGTTTTTTACTGATATCTTCTATTAGTGAGTTTTCCAAAAAAAAAAAATTCTCACTGACTGTTTTTCATAGTTTCCCATTTAATTCGCGAAAAGATATAGGCAATAAATAACATTTAGGCCCCAAAGATGCGGGTACTACGTGCTCTTTGTGAAGTTTAAGGTATTAGTTGAGATATACCTAGAAGGACTAACTGACAATATATTCAACTCCAAAATCTTTCTCTTTTTTCAACCGGAAAATCGAACATAAACAGAAAAGACTATGCATTTCTATCATGTATTTTGTTGAGTACACTGTATAGGCATATAGAACTATGTCTAAAAACATTTTTAAAATATATTTTTTCTTATTTTTTAATTTAAATTTGTCATTTGAAGCAAATGTATCTTTCTACAATAACTTGACAAGATTAAATTTTCAAAATAGCATTGGAAACGACTCTTCTAAGCACCAGACAGAATTTAATGTCAGGTAAAGATACTTGATCGATGTTGTTTGATAAATAACTAAACTTGTTACTAATAATTTATAAAATAAAACTCACCATCATAAAAATGAAAAAATTAAGAATTTATTATTCAAAAAAATACAAAAAATCTAAAATATCTAAATATCTTTTGAAGTACAAAGTACTCAAGATTTGTAATAAGAAATAATGTTAAAATATTTATAAATAAATGGATATTTAATTTATTAAGTATAATAAACAAATGAAAAATTAAAATCATTTGAGTAATCCAGGATAAGTGAATTTAGCATATACGAATAGTATTTCTACCAACGACAATGATGACACCATTATCTTGAAGATCTTTTAAAGAATCTTCAAACATATCGCGAGTAACCAACTAAAATAATAATGATAAAATAAAAATAATAACATCTTTACAATTAATACAGTAAATTATGTATAAATAATATTAAAAAGAATACTTACCACTTGCATAGATTCCTTGAGCTCTGTAAAGATCTTCTGATAATTGAGCGTAGGAACCTTTCCTTTGCTCTCTATTAATTTTCTCAATGCATCTGTTAATTCATTTCTTCGTTTACGCGCCGCAGCAGAAATACCTGTTGTAAGAATACTGACATCAATTTTTCCACTCAAAGGATCAATCGCTGATTGTTTAAGAGCTTCTCGATGTAGCCTGAAATAATGTTTAAAGAGTACATTTAAAAATATTTTTCAAGTTGGCTCATTAATAATTTTAAAGAAATAAATACCTGCAAGCCTCCTCAACATCTTGAATTTCAACAACTTGGCTAAACCTCACTTTGGCATGAGCTTCAGATAATCTGATAAGTGACTCCAATTGCCTTGGATACGCTGTAATTTGCCCTCTACCACTACCAACTCTTCGCATATCAACATAAGCCTGAACAAGTCGCTGCTGAGCTTCTTCACTCAATGTTGGTTTTATATGTTCTTTTGCAAATGCTATGTAGTCTCTTAAAACACTCAAGTCAAAAAGATCATCCTCTTGTTCTGGCTCATCTTTGTAATATAAACTAACCAAATGTTTAGCTAATTTGCGATCAAAATGTTCACTTTGAGGATCCAACATCAAAAAAATAAGATCAAAACGTGACATTAATGTATGAGGTAGCATTACATTTTCAATTACCTGTTGAAACAAAAAAAATCCATCATTACTAATCTTTTAATTTCTTACCATGAACAACTTAAAAAATTTTTTTTTAAATAATTGAAAGAATAAGATGAATTAGTATGAGAATTAAATTTATATAAATTGCAGTTATTCTAATAAAATATATTTTTAAATATTAACTTTAACAAAATAAGATGTATAATTACTGTTTTATTTTTATTCCACTGTGATTCACATGGATTGGCAGCCGCTAAAATACTCGTTCTTGCATTTAATTGACAGATAATTCCTGCTTTGGCAATACTCAATGTCTGCTGTTCCATGACTTCATGTAAAACTGAGCGAGTACTATCGTTCATCTTATCGAATTCATCAATACAACAAATACCGTTGTCAGCAAGAACTAAAGCTCCAGTTTGGAGCACTAATTGACGTGTTTCTGGATCTTTTGTTACATAAGCAGTCAAGCCAACAGCACTAGAACCTTTAATAAATGAATAAAAATAAAAAATTTTAATTATTTCAAAGTTAAATATTTGCAAAATAGTAGCTAAATAAGCAACTTTGTTTTACCTTTTCCACTACTATATTGTGAACGAGGTACTAAATTGAAAACAAACTGTAAAAGTTGAGATTTACTTGTACCAGGGTCACCACATAATAAAATATTAATTTCTGATCTATAGTGACTTCTTCCTGATGTTACATGAGTTTTTTTGGTACCACCAAACAGCTGAAGAAGTATTCCTTTCTTGATGTCTTCATTTTCATAAATACTTGGTGCTATACAACGAGCCAATCTCTCATAAACATCATCTAACTGTGATAATTTCTCTAAAATTTTTAACCTGTCTAGTGGAAATGCATGATCTTTTCCTTCTTCTTGCTCATATAATCTAATAAAACAAATTAATTTTCAATAAATATCATATTAGTACTAAAATTTAACATTACAAAATTACCTTTTTGAGTCCTGTTTCCTAAAGTGTACAACATCGATATGTGTTTTATAAATTGATCTAACATTAGACATTCTAGGATTGACTTGAATTGGAATAGCTCTGTAAATACCAGTGACAGCAACACGATCACCAGGAAGTACAGAGTCTACCAAATCATTATGAGCAAAGCAAACAACAGTATGAGGCGTTTGGCCTGCTGCCATATCATCTGGAGACTCTTGAAGTTTGATCATTTGTTTATCCGAGAAGTGACTGCGATTATGAATGAGAGTAAAGCAGTAGTTATTATTACAATGGGTACAAACAGTAGGTTCAGCTATTCTGCCTTTATCAACTTCAACTACAGTTGAAAATGAACATATAATGCACTTGAAAAAAGCTTCTCGCATTTCGGGAATAATATTTGATGTCCTTATTACCATTCCAGAAATCGTGATAAGTTGATCTATATCCTCAGGATTTAATAACCGCATATTTTTTGTCTTTTGTACATTAAATGGTCGCACCTGAATTTGATGATCTAAAACAGCAGCGGGATATTTTTCAAAAAACATTTCATTGGCAGCCATATCCATTGTAGGAATAACTTCTTGAGGATAACAAATTAATTGTTGATACAATTGCGCATCAAAATTTTCTAAATGTGCACAGTTTATGTTCAAATAAGGCTCTTCTAAAGTATGAATTTCTTCTAATTTTTGAAGATATAATGGCTCTGTGAGAATCAATGAATCTGGTAATTCATCATTTTCAGCTTCAGGGTCAATAAAACGTAAAATAAAATGCTTGAATTGCTCTTTGCATCGATTTACTACAACATTTGTACCCCAAATGACTAATTGTGGGCCAGCTGATTCACTTTCTGAACTCTTTTGTCCATTTTCTTCTTCAATAATCTAATTTGTAAAATAAAAATTAATTATTGATACATAAAAATAAAACATTGAGTTTTGATAGTTCAACATTACTTACTGGTTCAGCTAAATTTACTTCACGTAATCGCTTATCAGTTCTAATATCTGGCCTTTGTCGAATAGGAGTTCCTCGAATTCCACTTCGAGGAGTTCTGATGGAGCTAAGGGAGCTTGGTGTTCCATAATTCAATGGTGAAGAAAGATCTATTTCACCAGCACCACCGGCAATGGGACTTGTTTGAATTCTGTATGGAGATGTTGCAGGGCGTGAAGATGAAGGTCCTTCAGATGATGCTGTGATTGTTTCTTGTGTCCTTCGACTTCCCCATCTTTGAGGAGTTGAAGCTACGCCTAATAAAGCATAGTACATTAAATCTACGTAAGTTGATAATTTTATATTTTTTTTAATTTTTTCTCTAACTTTTATTGATTAATCACATGTTGTATCTCCATAATAAGGAAACCAATATACTTTTAAAAATACTAACCCTGTTTATTGGGAGTATTTTGTGAGTTAGAAATATTCGTAGAATTAGGAGTTCCGGGTTGAGCTGTTGGTGTACCATGCCCTGGATTTTTGTCATTTTTAGCTTTCGGAGTCGCTGGTGGTTTCATGGGACTAGACATTGCCAATGATTTTACTAGACGTTTTCACTGATTTATTATAAATTAAAGTAACAAAAGATTACAACACTTTTACTTTGTAAGCCTGGACTAAAAATTTTTCCCGCGCAAATTAGTACAAGCTCGATCTATACCTCAGTAGCTATAGTACATACATGGTAGTGATGGAAAATTACCAACCTTTTCTATTTATAACCGTTTCAACGGCTAATTTACTGTTAATTTACCGGCTTGTTATTTATCAAAATGGTGACTATTGCGAAATTCAAAAAGTACGTTTTGATAAAAGAATTAACTTTAGATTTACTAGTTTACTCACTACTTAAATAATAATAAATATTATTATAATTTTTTATTATAAAATTTCAAATTTATTGTGTATTAATGCAATTATTTTGATCTCAAAAATATAATAAAATGCAGAATGAAATATAATAAATATTACTAAAATTTTTTCAGAAATAATGAATTTTTATAAAAATACTGGAAGAATAAAATAAATGTCTCAAATGTTTATAAACTAATGTCTATTTAAAAAAAAAAAATATGAATATTTAAAACATTGGTGAAGGAATTAATTAAACACATCAACTATAATTCGTTATTTATTATAATAGAATAGTTATATACAACTTAATAGTAACATGTAAAATTAAATATTATTCGAAAGAAATTTTTACAAGAATTCGATTGTTACTTTCGATATTAAGCATCGAATCAATCAATTGATTTTCTATAATTAAAAGTAATCATCAATACAAATTGTGTATCTCATTATCATTACAATAAATTTTATAAGTAAATTTAGAGCTTATATTATCCAATATATGTAAAAGAAAAATTTTTATGAGATCACAAAATTGTTGGAAACTTTAAAACTAACTTTTATATATATATATATATATATATATATATATAGATGTATATATATAATGTAAAATATGATAAAGATAAATTCGTATTATTAATAGCATTCAAAAATATTAGTTCTTTTCCTGTATTTAAAATCATAGTTTTAATAAAAATTGTAGGTAGAATTTATCTGAAATAACATCAATTGATGTAATTCACACAAAGTTAGACAATATTTAACATAATTTAATTGGCCACTTTTTAGATTCAATCATTTATTATTGACCTAAATAGTAGCTTCCATTACCATCATTTGTATTATTTCTCCTATATCACACGAATAACAATAATGTTAAACCTTTATGAAATTTTAAATTGAAATTTTTTTTTTTTCATTAATATAAGTGAGTAACTGACAAAAAATAGAATCATTTTTAAAATGAAAAATGAGAAAAACATTCAATACTTGTAATTAACTAAAATGAACAATGAGAATTTTATCATTGAACAATATTATAGAATATTTTTCAAATTTTTCTTAAAATATTCATGATCATATAAAAAATCTGAATATAGCATATAAAATATTTTAATGAATCATATTTAATTTCTAATAACAGACGATTCGTTAAATTTTTTATCATTGCCTCTAATTATATTCATTGATTTTGTGTTCTTCGTTCACCGATAAGATTTTCAATTTTTCGTGTTAAACAAGAAGAAGTTGATATAGTCTTTTTAGGAGATGGACCTTCGGTTGATGTATCGACATCCATTTCATCGGACAATAATCGTTTACCCACAGATTTTCTTGTTTCAGCAGAGATCATCATTCTATTAATAGCTTCCAAAGCCTAAAAATTCAATAATTTGGTAAGTTCAACATTCAAAATAAATATTAACAATAAAACATTATTTAAATTAATTATGTTTAATCACCTTAGCAGGGCTACGACTAAAACAATAGCTAAGTTGAGGTGCTGTGAATGCAGTTATAGCTTTAGGATCAAGCGACCTTGTCAAGACACTATGACTAACATGCCTGACAGGTGAATTCATTAAAGATTTATTTTTTGGCAGGGGACTAAGCGTAAGAGTAGAATTATTACTCCGAAATAAATTCGTAACTTCTTTAACTTGAGGCACATAAATAGTGTTATAAAATTTAATGAGATCTCCACGAATTTCATCACCGAAACTCCGAGAAGTTCCTGCCATATTTGAGGGAGTTGGTGGAGCCGCATTATTTTCTTCAACCTCCATAGCTGTTTCTGCTTCTCCTTTTGACTCATTTATACCATTATTTTTATCATGAAGTGCATTTTTAGAAATAAGAACAGATCGATAAATATGTGATTCAGCTTGTGGCTGAAATCTATAGCAACGCATTATTTCAGTAAATGTGTTACGTTCAATTTTAGCAAGTTTACAAACAACATAAACAGCACACATTAAAATTTGATCTAAATGTCTGTCTTTCATTAATTCAGTACGATCTTTTATTGAATATTCAAAGATCGTCCATATTTTTTTCTTAAGATCTGTTTCGATAACAGATAATTCATTGCACAAATTCTGCATACGACATGATGCAAGAGTATAAAATTTTCTAAAAAAGAGAGCTAGAGATCCAGTTTTTCTGGACCTAGTCTGTTCTCGATTGATACCAATAACTTGTGCATTAATTATCCTTGGTTGATCTGATGTTGATGATGATGCATTGTTGCTATCAGTAACAACTCTCGATGAGCATTTATCTTTAAGAAGGCTTTGGCCACCAGTCCTTGTCGTATCATTAAACAGTCGTTTCTTAACTATTCCAGTTGCTGCTCCAGGTGATTGAAATCTTTCAGAAGCTGAAGAAATTGGACTTTGTTCTATGTCATGGTGTATAGTACCTCTGTCTAAAGCAATTCTTCGCAATACTGGTTGACCTGGTGTGTTAGGATCCACAGAATCTAGCATTCCCGGAAGAGATACTTCCTCACAACTTGGAACACCTCCAGGGGTACTTTCAATAGCCTGCCATAAGGGACTATTTGATCTCCACGCTTGTGCTTCAAGAATTTTTTCTTCTATATTATTCATATGCTTTACTATATCTCTTGGCAGTTGCTCCGCACGGACAATCACTTCGATTACTTTGTAAAAATAATAAGGCTCAATATCTAAGGCATTTATAATCCATGGATATGTACGGTCTTTATTTTTATAAGTCCATATCACAATTTCAAGACAGCATGCTAAAAGGCATTGAACGAAAACTTCATGTAGAAGTAGATTCTGAAATAATATTACATTAAAAGAACATGTAAAACAAGTAATGTAATTGTATTGTAAAAACATTAAACTTACTGTTATATCATAATCTGGTTTGATTTTTTTTTCTTCAATTAAAATAATCTCCAAAATTTTATAAAACAATGTTTGCGCAAGAACAAGTCTTTTTTTTCCAAAGTCTAAATTAGCTGTTTCATGATTTTCTGTATCTGAATTTTGTGTATAAGACAAATAAAAACGGTCACTGACATCAGAGACTTTACTTTCGACAAAAGTTTTAACATCTTTTGAACAATTTTTATACATATCAAGCAAAACTTCACTCGGTGCGGCATTTCGTCCTGTAACAAGAGCTTGAAGTCGAGTGACACTTTGTGTTGCAGTTGCAACTGGTGTTATATTAGGTAAATCTTTAGTTTTAAGATATTTGCGACCAGTTAAAGGAGTTAAAGGTTCTAAATGACGTATTTGATCTCTTTTCAAATGAAATTGTTCTTGTACATCTCCGGTATTCAATATTCTTGGTGAACCAATATTGTCACTTGCATCTGTACCTAAAAAATTGATACACAAATAAGTAAGTACATTAACACCCATTTATTCTACGGTTGTATATAAAATATTCAGAAGCTATATTTAAATAAAAAAATTTTATATATTTATTTTATCAGGTTAGGTTGATTTTTAAAAAGATACAAATGTTATTTTTGATTAAATCTACTTGCCAAAGATAGATATTTGGAAAAGTCTTTTTCCCAAATATTTTAATTATATAAAAAATAATTTTTTTCAAAGAAATAACATGAAATGTATAATAATATATAATATTAAATATTGAAATAGAAAAAGGAACTAAATAATTTATCATATCAATTGAAATTTGAAGCTTACTTTAATCTAATAATTTCTACTATTCCGATCATTAATAGTTAATAGAACAAAAAAACAAAACAATAAAATCGAATAGAAATTACTTATTTAAAAAAAAAAATTTACAAAAATAATAAGACATCGTATTTTATATAACGAATTTATATTATTCATTGATATACTCACTCAGAAAAATTCTTTCGTCAAAATCTCCAACACTGAGTACATGTTGTTCATATATTTTATTTAAAGCTTTATGATTGCCATCAAAATTTAAAGCTTCAAGAATTCCGGTAAAAGTTGATTGCTCTCCACGAAGAATTTTATCATTAAAAAGTTTATTAAGGTGATTCCTTAAAGACCATTGCTTTATGACTAATGCTTCAAGAGCAACAGCTTCATGACGATCACATAATAGCCCTACAATGCATTCAGCAGTTTTCGGAGGTTCATAATTTTCACTATTAAAATTGGCAGGTAGACCTGTAAAAAAATTAAAAACAGTTAATTTTACAATATTCCGACAAAGTGATGAATACAAGAATTATATGTAAAAAAACAATCTTAAAATTACCTGGGAATTTTGGATTTAATAAGTCTTTTCTGTTAGCAACCAATGCATTGGCATAAACTAAATCACAGCAAACTATTAAGAGATGATAAGAATTAACAAGATCATCAGAGATATCAGAAAAAGCGCTTTTAACACAAATAAAAAGTGTCCAGCAAAATTCAAATACTTTTGAAGGTGTGCATGGAACTGCTTTATGTCTTCGTGATCTTTGAGGACGTATTATATCTTCAGTAGGGCTTTTAAAAATGTCCGTAAAAATTGGCTGGTATTTTTTGAAGATTACCATTGAAACATTAAAATTACGTTCTAATTTATCAATTTTTGAACGAAAATCTTGGGGCATATTAGCCATATCAGCCCAAAATTTACATTTGTGGAAAAATTGTATTAATGAAAGATTACAGAGTTTCAACAAGCGAGTTAACGACACACAGTTGCCTTCTACATTAGATCCAGTCCTGCCTACTGTTGGTGTTGATGATTCTCGACATGCTACGTACACAGCACATCCTATCCAATGCATTTGATCTCCCTTAACAACCAAAATAATTTATTAAAATTCTACCACGTCTATTTTAAATATTCGAAATAATAAAAAATAAGTGTATATTACAATATAATATTGAATAAAATAAAAACTTAATTTTATTATTTCTTAATTAAAAAAAAAAAAAAAACAAATTGAAATTTCCAAATAATACAAAATGTGAATGTTGTAAAACTAATATTAATTAGATTTCAATGTAAAATTATTTATAGATTTTCAAATACTAAAAGATGCATATTTATAATAAAATATTTTATGAGTGGGGGGAAGCGATGCTATAAACACTGAAATGAAATTTACCTCCAGGGTATAATTTTGTCGAATAGTTGAATAAGATTTCCATGCTTCTGATGCTGCACTAGCATCCATATTCAATTTTTGACACAAATCTTGATGCTTGCTGTATGTAGAATCCTCAGTATCATCGGATTGACACATTTTTCACGATTAAAATTCACAATAAACACTAGCAAACACAATACTTCTCTTCAGACTGTGAGGTGAACGGGGTGCGCCATGTAATGCTTACAAGATGTCTTGATCTTGGCGGGAACTGCCAGAATAGCGCCGCCATCTTTGCCAACTTGGCGGGAAACTTCCTCTATTAGCCTTGAGTACTGTTATTGATAAACATTTGTTAACCATTTTATAAATTTGCAGAATTAAGAATATTTATACTCAATTCATTATATTATAAATTATAATATATTTTTTTTTATAATCGTATACTTCTTCATGGCACTACTTTCAATGGTCTACAGAAGTATCCACGCGCTTTTCGCTGCAGCATGCTAGTCCTCCTTTCTAAAAAAATTGATTGGTAGATTGACGTCAGAATTACGTCATATCCGTCGCCTTTTTATTCGTTATTTGATTAGTCGTTGAATTTGTTGGCGGTAAATAGCTTTTATTTGAATTTGATTAATTTGAAAAGAATGTTCGTTGTGATGTGTTATATTTATTTTTCAATTAGATTATATTATATATTTATAAATTATTTATAATTTCAAATTGCGAAGAGTGTGCTATCGAATTCTAGTCTCCTCTCTTAACAAAGCCATGGCCAGTTATCGTCATGTCCATCATCACTTTATTCGGGTGTTGATTGGTTGTTAAAAGTAATGGCGGGAGAGATTATTAATTTAAAAATAAAATACAATTTTTTTTGCTTATTAACCTGTTAGTTTATATAAAAATGACGAATTTTTACGCTCAAAGGTATGCAATGTAAATAATGGGATAACGTGTTACACTCATATATATCAGCTTGGTAAACAATGCTTCTTGAATATTCTTCTACAGTATCGGAAATTAATACTGTGTGATTTTCTATAGGACGGTATAGGGAAATCGTATGTATAACCTTTGAAAAAGCATTTATGCCCGGTACTGTAATCATGATGTTTTTCAACCAATAAGAAAACTTACCAAAAACAGCCCTACGGACTGTAAAAAATTACGCGCCAAGTTTAAATGACGAGGACGATAATCGTTGTACTTTAAATGCTATTTTCATCAATATACGTAACTTGACAGATTACAAATGTGGTCTTGAATTGTATTTTCCAATCTTATCAGAGTTAACCGCGTGATATCTCCAAAATCTGAGAAATTTTACAAACTACGCCAACAATTTATATTTTTAAACTTTAATTAATATATATTGAAACGTTATGAATTTTTGAACAAATGATTGTATACGTATTTATAATATGGCGCCTATACCTTATTTAGGTCTTGTCAAGCCACAGGTTGCTAATCGCTCCCCTCCCCTTTACGTTCTGTATGTCATATGACGGCTTTTTGTCTCAGTTCACGAACAGTGTTTATATGAGTAACTTCTTTGATGTTCTTAGAGTGATTGAATAAAACTAAGACTAAATCTTAAATACTGAGTTGAATTCATTTCATAAAACCCTACAAATACTAACAGTTATAAACAATTGTTGAAAGTCATATCTTGTCATAAATAACATTATTTTGTCAATAATATTCAACTCTATGTGATATACGCATTAGTTAATCAATAAATAAATTTTCCAATTTTTCATGACAATTTCATATTGTTATAAACAATGCGTCACTGTTAACAGTCAGACCTCGTTATAAATAATGTTATTTTGTTGAAGACATCTAAGTCCATGTGATATACGAATTAGTTCATCAATAAATACAATTTTCCAATTGTTTATAACAAATTCATGTTGTTGTAAACAATGGGTAATTGTTAAAAGTTATATCTTATTATTAATAATATTTTTCCGCCGATCGTATTCAAATCGGTGCGATACACGCATAAGTTAATTTATTCATACATTTTTTAATTGTTTCCAACAATGCGTAATTGATAAAAGTCATATTTAGTTGTAAACAATAATAATAAATGTGTAAAATTGAGTTAAAAGTTAGGTTAAACACTAAACCCAACGGCACAAATTTCTTGTCAACAAAACGATCGAAAGTTTCATAATTTTGTAATAAATAAATTCTAATTGTCAAGTTTTCATTAATATCAAAAGTTGTTATTTACCTTTGACTTCAATTTTAACATAGGTTTTTCCTATACTATACTATTAGTCGTGCAAGAACCTCCTGAAGTCGTTGAATTATATACTGCATTATTTACTTTATGAAATTTCATAACCTTATAAAATAAGGTGACATAGTTTGTAATCATCCTATTATAATTTCAATTTTTACCATAATTCTATTATAAATTTATTTATTTATTTTTTTCAGTAATATTTGACTGAATAAGCTCCATATGTTTGTCACAATCGATGCGAAATCATGTCGAAAGATATTTTCTATCTATTTACTATTGAAAGAAATTATAAAAAGAATTCAATAATTTGACCAAAAAAATATCTTTTTGGAGTAAAAAATCCTTGAATTGACTACGGAAACAGCTCAAATTTTAAGTAAATGTTCATGATTTTTTATATAAAGATAGAGAATTAGCAATAATGACAGATAAAGTAAATAATGATGATCATGACGAGTACATTCAAACATGCAGTAATTGTAAAAATCGTTTCGAATCATGGTACTTTTGTACTAGCTGCAATGTAAGTATTTCATTTTCGAATCTCTGATAGTGATGATATTTTTATAACTTTATGATTTACAAATAACATCATTTTTTATTGTACATTATATTCATTTTCAGGATTATCGACTTTGTTTACGTTGTAAAGAAAAAATAAACCATCCTCATCCTATGCGATATACATGGCCAATTATTCATTTAGATTCAGAATCACCAATTATAATGAAATTTCCTGATGATATAAGAGCACTCCTTTTTAAGAGATGTTTGTTAATTCTTATACATGCATTTTATTGTCAAGATTATGACGATTGTGTGATAATTAATCAATGCCATAATATGAAACGACTATGGAAACATACTGTGTATTGTCAGTTGCCAGGAAAACGATGCTCGATACGACAACATGTGAAATCGATATTATACTGTCATATTAGATTATGCAAACAAATGATTGGTAAATGTGTCGTACCATTTTGCACTACAATCAAGCAGAAACATAAAATGATTCATGGTCTTTGACGATAAAATTAGAAAAAATTTATATTTGAAAATTTGACAAGGCTCAACTCAAAATTTATTCTGCAAGACGGTAAGGAATTTATCAAACCTTACTGTTATCAAAGATGTTTATAAAATGTTGAAGACAATATTTCGAAGAGTATTTTATTTATTCAACTCTCAGGGAATACTCAAGTTCGTATGACTGTTATTAGATTTATTCAATTAAGTAAAATTTATTTTTATGAATAAAGATAATTCAAACACGAGAGATTAAATTTAAAAAGTGCTTTAATTTAAGAAAAAATCAAAAACATCATCAAATAATATCTTACAGCATTTTTTATAACTTTATTCTAATTTTCTAACAAACTACAGTTCATTGATACAAACTTTTATTATCATACAGAATGTAAAGTAATACGATCTTATGTTTGTAATAAATACATTCCTGTTATTTATGAGGCATATCTAATTTTGATTTATAAGTTTCTTGTTAAATATACAAGTGAGAATGAGCGATGAGTATTTCTGTTTGTAATTTTATAATAAAATTAAGTAATAATTTGAATTAAATTCCTTATGATTATTTCATTTCATCTATGTGCATTACTTATTACATTGGTTCATGTATCTTCATTTTTCCGGTACATTTTATAGTCATAGTTACCAACTCGAGAGTTAGGTTAGGGAATTTGTAGTTTGAGACAAAATACCGGCTAAACACGTCAACAGAAATTTTTTCTTCCAGCTACTGGAGTTATTTGTATTATTTATAATTTTAGTCTTGATATATCTTAGTTAAAATTATTAATATGGATTTAATTTACCGAGCACCGTTTTTTGTACTTGAAGTTCCAAATTTAAAACTTAAAAAACCATCATGGTTTGTAAAACCAAATGCAATGATTGTATTCTCGATCATACTTTTATCATATTTCATGGTCACTGGAGGTTCGTATTTATATTTACTAATATATTTTTGAAAAATTAAAAAAAAAATTAAACGAATTGTTTACAAACCTTTTTTTTTACATTTTAAGTAATAATTGTAATATATTTGAAATTTTTTAATATTAATTTTTTCGATGCGATCAGGTATTATTTATGATGTAATTGTTGAACCACCAAGTGTTGGATCCACAACAGATGAACATGGACACACAAGGCCCGTACGTAAAGGTTTCAATAATTAAAGAACTTTTTTTCTTGTATTCAATTTCTTGGTGCAATTTTAGGTGGCATTTATGCCATATCGTGTAAATGGACAATATATAATGGAAGGATTAGCTTCTAGCTTTCTGTTTACTCTTGGAGGTCTCGGTTTTATTATTTTAGATCAAACACATTCACCATCAACCCCAAAATTAAATAGAATACTTCTCATTAGCGTTGGTTTTATTTGTATAATCGTATCATTCATTACTTGTTGGATATTTATGCGCATGAAACTTCCGTAAGTTAAAGTATTCAATATTTTATTAATCTTAGACAAGATTTTACTCCAATTTTTTTTTACAGAGGATATTTTCAGTGGTAAGAGATAGTATTTCATTTTTTAACTACTTGCTATCTATCAACAATCAACTTGATACATTATTCAGATCTGCATCATTTCAAAGCTGAAGAGAATCGAAAAATGAGATTTAAAACAACCATTTTTTATCAATAAATTTTTATCATTTCTATAATACATAAATTATCAAATAATGATTCATCAATTTTTTTTATCCTATAAACTTACATTCATTTCAATAATATTACAATATTCAGATATTTTTAATATCGTTTTAATTTAATAACATAATATAGAATTATTGTTTAGTTTCTTATAACGCTGAAAAATATAATAAAGTCTATTTTCTATATGACCAGATGAAAAGTTTTTTCTGTTTGTATTCAAAATTTTGGCATCTGAAACAAACAATACATAATAATTATTTATTAACAACATCATTCAGTGAATTATAAAAATTACACATATAGACTATTTATACGTAATAATTAATAAATAATGTTTGAAAACTTACTCTTGTCATTATTAATAATTGAAAATCAGTCTTATATTTAAAAAAACAACAATAGATATTATTGTTATTTACAAACGAATACGAAATGTTCTGCAAAAATATAAATTTGAAAAGTTTTTAGTAAAATTTCCTGTAATGATAATTTAAGAATTAAATAATTTTATAAGGCCTTATTTACTTAGAGAAGTCACTGCTTTTTTCAATTATATGTTCGAATTCTGCAAAGCTTAATGCACCATCATCATCGAGATCTGCTTCTTCCAAAATATATTGAAGTAAACGTTGCATTTCATTTTCATTTAATCTGTGTGGAGCAGTAAGTCTATCAATTACTTGGCGTAGATCACCAACACCAAGCATGTCATCACCATCAAAATCTATAAATCAATTGATGAAGCTTCTTCGTTTTGAACTTACTTAACTTAAAGATAAATTTTATTAATTACCAAATATTCGAAAGGCATGTTCAGCTTTGACTGTTTTTGGGGCAGAGTCACTGAACACTGACATCATATCCAAGAAATCTTCAAAGGTACAATCTCCATCTTGACTTGAACTAAATACTTTGCAAATTCGATCACCAAAAGGATTTACTCTTAGTTCCGCATACTGAAGTATTTTCGACATTGGTAATTTTGCATTTTTATTATGGCCTACTTTTTCTGGAGCAAGAGCTTTAAATTTCTTGTGGGTGCTACAAAAATATTTAAAATAAAATTTAGAAGAAATAATGCAAAGCGATCCAAATATATATGATACATTTAACTCACTATAATACTTCTTTTTTTGTAAAATAAGTTAAATCCTGCAAGTGAAAAATAAAGATTAAAGATGTACACTTTTTGTTTAGTATAAAAGTGATTACTAAGGTCAAAATTAATTAGGTTATTGAACTTACTTGATAATCTTGTAATTCTTCATCAGTAAACTGACTTCTACTCGCTCCCATTTTATTTGATTAAGAAAAATCTAATCAATTAGCTTTATTTTTTCGACACTTTAATATTTAAAAACGTAATATCACAAGTTAAATAATAACACAAAAACTGTTGTGGAATTTTAAATGTACAAAGAAACAAAATATGTTGAACCTGGAAAGATACATATATATATATATATCAGAATGAATCACCTGTCAAAAACATCATGAAGTCGTCTGTAGATATCTGTGTATTTTTTCTGGGTTTATCTGTCGGTTGGTCAGGTGTTTGTCATATCATCGCTAGTTTCAATTTTTCTATCAATTTACAGTGAATATAAAATACTTTCGCAATTATAAATAAAATTGTAGATTTTTTGATTGTAAAAAATAAAAATAGGAATTAAAACTAAAAGTTTACTTTAATAAATATGACATAAAAGCACTTTAATTAGAAAAAAAAATTAAATACCCGGAAGTGAATCAAATTTGTTGTGTGCCCTCTGCAGGTGATATGCGGTGTTTTTACTGTCGTTGGCTGCCCTGGAAATGCATATAATGTGCTATTTCTAGGAAGTAAAGTGTGCGCATCTGCAAAAATACTTTTTGTTATCTAAAGTAAGAATATAGAGTAGTGTGAATGAGTATGCTGAACAGTGCTTAGATTGTTTAGAGTGCGACATCGATTATTTTTTGTGTTATAACCGTCTCTATAAAAAGAAAATTGTAGGCGCATCAAAGAAAAGTTTATTAATACGTGATCTTTTAAAAGATTTGATAATTCATTAAGTATTCGGGAGCAAAACTTTAAGCAATAATGACCGACAAGAAAGGTAACTATAAGACATGAACGCGGCTTCTAATTTTGAAAAAAATCAGATGAAAGAATTGGAAAATAGTGAATATATATCTATACACAAATATTAATACTTGAAAGAAGAATTAATTAAAAATTTCATATATAGATTTTAAGAAAGAGATAAAAAAATTAGTAAATTGTGTGACTATTACTTGTCACTTGATGGAGAATTGTGTGAATTTTTTTACATTACAATAGCAATAAATGTATAGAGGAAATTTATAATTTAACCATGTTGTCAATTAGAAAACATATAGCATAATTTTATGAAAAATCCGCGCATTCAAACAAAAAAGTATTCGAATTATTCGACTAAATGACAGATTAATCAATACTATCTCCTGTGTGGGAAATACAAAATGGCTTCCCACGTTTAGGTTTCCATTATTTTCTTTTCCTCCGTCTGCAGAGCTTCCGTCACTATTCAAGTTATGCACTTATTTTCAAACTACTATTATTATTTTGTCTTTTTTTTATCATATAACACATGAGTTCTTTAATTCTCTCTCAAAATTCATTATTCCGTAATAATTATTTCAAGAATTAAGGAAATCATTAAAATTGCAATAATTTCCTTTTTTTAATCAATACTCGGCAATTATACATTAATGGTGTATCTTTCTGCTGCTTTGCCACAATTTATTTGTGCTTTTTTTTCAATGTAAAAATTTATTTTTTATGTAATTTATCAATTATCAGGAACGAAAATCCTTGAATAATATATATATAATAGAATTTTTAGATACATTATTTATTTAAATTATTCTTGAAAAATTTTCTCATAAATTAATTCAATAATTCACACATATTTTTTATTAAAATAAAAATATTAATTTTATTTTTTTGAACATAAATGAAATAGATAATGAAAACGAATTAAACAAGATAAAAGGGATAAAATTTATTGAAAGAAATGTGACAACATTGTAACAATGTTAAAATGCTCGCGTTTTGTTAATTATGTGTAATAAGAATCATTAAATCAATTAGTCAAGAATCAAATTTTTAGCAAATTATTATATTTATAAAATTTCAAGACTTATCTCATTATTATTTTAATTTATAACTTTTTTTGTTTGACGTCGAAATGTTAATATAAATTTAGATTGAAGGGAATTTCAATGCTGTAAACTGCATAGCAAAAAATTTTCGCACTATTGGCATTATTGCCACGTTAACATATTCTTTTTTCTTATTTAAATTATCGAAAACTTTATTTATAGAAAATGTTTGCATTTGCCCCTTAAAATTAAACGTTATGTTGTTTAATTATTTCAATGACTAAAATGTGGCATTTCAATTAAATGCATTAAAAATATGCATTTATTTTTTTCTTCAAATTAAAATAAAAAAATTAATTTATTTTTATGTTAAATACAACATTATCAGATTCGGAGCAAACATTCAATTAATAATTACCACTATCGAAACAAAATTTTTTATATAAAGTTAATATATAAATTATAATAATTATTGATATGAATATTCATCTATTTAAAACATGATGAATGAAAGCCAATAAAATACAGAATAATGTTTTGGTAATTTGGCTGTTCATTCAGTTTATTGACATTTAGTAGAACTATTTTTATGTTGCTAAGAGATATTTTTTTTTTAATTTTATGCATTTTCTTTTAAATAACAATTCCAACATGTTTAAATTTTAAATCAACTTATTGGAAAATTAATTGTATTCATTGGTATGAATTAAACGTAGACACTGGATTGTAAACTTTGACGAATTTTATAAAGAATAATCTTTAAAAGAAGTATCTGTTATGACAAAGCTGATCAATACTTGAACATTTTGTGTGATTGATGAAGTCCTCCGACCACAAAGTGAAAAGTTTTCAGTTAACCTGTCTGTCTATAAATGAAAATGAGTATATAAGAAAAGAAATAATGAAAAATGGACCCGGCTACAGTTTCGGCTATCGATATGATTCCAGTGGACGATTACAATGATGATGATTTGAACCAAGTCAATAGGTGGAGCCTTGCTGATCAACAATCGTGCAGTGAAAGCCACGTATCTAACTTCACCTTCTATATATACCTTGAATCACTTCGTGTTATATACTTATAATCTTATATATATATATATATATGTATATAAATAAATATATAATTATTATTTTGTTATGCATATATAAATATTTATATACATATGTATTTATGTTAGAAATGAGTCAGACGACTCTCGATTCAAAAAGTCTAGTAAACCCATGAAAATCAATGAATTAACTTAAAACAAAGTCTACGACTGTTATTTTTTGAATTTTTTTTCAGACTATCATCATTGAGAGGAGCCTTGGCATCAGCATTCACTGAGATTAAATAGTAGTGATGTTTTTCATTTTTGAAATTGAAACAAATAATTTATACTTTTTGAATTGGAGACGTCGGCTGCTATATGTCCAAATCAATATGAACGTAAGATATTGATATGGGTGTAACGACATTTCGTACTGAAAACGTGGTATTGGCTGATTGCTTATTTTGTTCGTTTTTTCTTTTTTTCTTATTTCTTATTTTTTACATTATTTGATTGCTATTATTCCTTATTGATATTTAGCACCTACAGAAAGTACAACATTATATATATATATATATATATATTTTGTTATTATCAATTGAATTAATATTAATAATATTATATAATAGAATCGAATGTACTTTAAATGCTAAATATAATTGAGATAATAGCAGATCAACGGGGTGGACACGAATGCTGTATCTGAGCTCGGCGTATTTATAATATTTCTATTCAATAGTAAATTGGTAGCTCACTTTTAACAATAGTGCATGTTGCTTTTAATTGGCCACAAGTTTAATAATGAAATATTTTCATTAAATCTTTTGAATTAAATTACTTTAATTTATTCAAAATTTATTAACATTTATAGTTAAATCTAAAATTTGCCGATTTTAAAAATTTTGAAGACGAAAACTCGTGGCCATGTTTGATATAAATGTAGTTCATTAATACATTTTTAGTTGCTATTTTAGATTTCTATTTTAGAATGTTCGCTTTTTAAGATATTTTTCTAATTTTAAGAATTTTATGAATAATATTATTCTTATTTATTTACATCATGCAATGGTTGAAATAATTTTTCAATTTATCACTGACATAATTTTATAATCTGCGATAATTTTATTAACTTAAATAGTTTAAAAATCGAGTTTAGAGTTGATTTACTTAAATACAAAACTAAAATTGAATTAATTATTTATTTTCGCTATAAAATTATGTCAATAATTGAATATAGAATATTATAATGTGTTGTTTCGAATAGGTTTTCATATTTTTAATATGCATGCTTAGAATTAAAAATTGTAAATTTTTACATTTTACAAATAATGAAAATAACATTCTAAGAGGCTAAAAAGAACCATTCACTATTTAAAATTAAAAAAGTATAAGTAATATTAAGAAAAAAAATTCAATAAACAAATATTCTTCATTATTTGTAATTAAATATCTTATTTTTCAAGTTTGCATGAAATAAATTTTTTTTTTAACTGTAAAAATTTCAATGATCAAATATTAAAGATCTCTTTCTAAATAGAATAAAAATAATCGCAATAAATTGTCTAATTTTAGGGGAAAAACTAATTTAATCTTTAACTTTTTACCTTAAAAATCATGAAAACCCAAAAAATTCTATTTACGAAGAGATCTTATAGTTTAGTAGTTAATATACTCTATTTATGCATGTTTAAAGTTTAATTTTAATGTTTAGTTTTAAAGAGATTCTCCTTTGTGTTATATTAGAAAAGTCATATTTAACGTACAAAGATTATTGGAGATCGTACTTAAAAATTTTACAAACTTATAATATCAATAAGTACTTTGTGATCTAATTCTATTACAAAACCAATGAAATTAAGTTCTCATCGTTCTTGTGTGAAGATGCAATAAATTCCATTTAAAATCCACAAAACAAAAAGTTATTTTATAAAATTCAAAAGAGAAAAAAATTGTAACATAATATGCAGGATGAAAATTTTTTTCATGAATAAATAAATCGTATTTTTTAATTTCTTTCAAGCTTAATACAAATTTTTGAATAATAATTAATTTTTCGTTGTAAACAACTTTTATTCATAAAATCAAATGAAAAAAAATTCGTTTTTTTTGTAATTTCATATGTCATTGAAAAATTTGATCATAAAAAATACTCCAAAAAGACTTTGTCAAAAACTATACAAGAAACAGGAGAATTTCTTTTATAACATGATAGGCATGCGCATGTTAATAATACTAATATACTGTTAATAGTGAGCTTAATGGAAATTGCGATTTTCATAAAATGATTAAATAAAAATAAATCCTGAGTTTCTAAGCTTCGAAACAGTAGCTTCTTAACCATTTTAGACAACCGAATGCTCAAATTATATTGGTGTCTAAAACGATAAGAAGAATCTGTTGTTCCACCTAAAGCATTTCGATTAAAATTCCCGAATGAACAGTTTGAATAATAATGATAATTATTATTATTAATATAATTACATAATAATTATTATACATATACATAATACAACAGTATAAGAAATGTTCAAAAAGTATTCATAAAATTCGTGAATTATTTATTTTATTTGTAATAAATCGTTTTTTTTATATAAAAATATATTACAACTTCTATGAAAAACGGACAAAAATATGTTTAATGAACTAAAATGCGTTGTAGTTGCCGTAATGGGAGAAAAATCGAAAGCAGGAAATTTTCAATTATCCAATATTAGTGATTATTAATATTATAATCAATTGTTAATGGATTCAATAATTGTTTGCACCGTGGCACTGACACATAAATAATATTTTAGAGTGTTGAATGATATTACAGAATTATTTAATGCATAACGTTTTTTTAAAATACAATTCTGGAATTTAATACAACACTCATTAACCATGGACAATTGGATGTGGGCTGACGTCTATGTTAGAGTACAAAATGTCCATTTACTGCTGCCGAGCTTGAGCAGAAAAACTAATCAACAAAAATGATCTTTAACTATAATAGCATAAGCAATTAATAACATACCTTTATAAAAACTTTGAGATGACTTTAAAATGAATAACAAATACTTTTTGTTGATGTTTCGATGCTACGGCAGTTCATGTAATTTGAATTTATCTATATAAAAATAAAATGAAATTAGGCGTACTGCATCAATTAATAATCATAGGTAGGCACATGATTTAAAATGTTTAATTAATTGTAGTTGACGTCAATTTATGAGTAAATGTTGGATGACACTTTTGCATATATATATATATATATATATATGTTGACAGATCGCCTAATTTTATTTAATTAATATTATACTAAGTAATTATCAAAAATAATTTGTAATCCTCTGATGATGTTTGACATTTATTTATTGGACATTTAAGAAATTTGTGGTTTGCTGAATCTTGTCACGATTTTTTAATGTATGGAATGCTATATACATATATATATTATATATACACATGTCATAAACATGTAATATATAATGCCTTATATGTATATATTCATCATATCGTTTGTACACATTTGTATAAATTACACAATTTTTCACTTTTAAAGTACAACTAATAGTCAAATTAATCTGGTGAATTGAGAGATAATAATTAATACTTTCATTCCCGTTTTAATTTTTTCTAAATTTCGAGTTTTGTCTCTCACTAATCTTCTTACTTATACATAAGTTTTATTTCAAATTCTTCTACATGATCGATCAATGTTTTCATCTGTCGTTTCTTATTCATTTTTTAAATGATAAAAAAAAGACCAATTGATATTTTATTATTATGGCTTTCTTTTTTGCTTTTTTTGTATTTTTATTTATTTATTTCATCTCTAATAATATCGGATCCTTGAGTCCATTATTTTACTAAACAGTTTATTCTTTCAACAAAAACAAACTTTATAAAAAGAGTTAAATTTGAGAAAATAGTGTTTTTTATTAATACTTTTATTAAAATTTACTCTCGGATCCGAAAATTTAGACGAATGTATTTTGGGTAGTTCTTTGATTGCGTAACGCTATTTGCTTTGAAATTGATTTTGTATTCTATTATATATTAGTTTTAGACATAATTTTAAGAGTAGGTTTTTTTTTCTTATCAAGAGTTAAAAACTGGGAATAGAGTACATGAGCTTTATTATTTTAATTAAATTCAAATAATAATAATAGTGACAATAATAATTATTGTTCAGGATTCAGCAATAATAATAAAGTATACATATGTCAATATTTGTTCATTATATTATTCTTTATTTAAGCGATTATTTAGTTATTAGATTGCTCGGAACACTATTCTCTAGTTTAACTCGCACCAAAGTAACGTTTATATGCCTCTGAAAAATTAATGGTTTATATCCACGTTTATGCTCATATTTATGTTTAAATTTATATTTATAATGGTTATTTAAAGGCACGTAAACATTAACATTTGATACGAGCCCGAATTGTATCCGCAAACTTATAATCGTTATTTCAAATATATATTGTTAGTCTTATTAAAGCTAATATTGATTTAAAAAAAATTATCAATGCAATAGTAATTTTGCTAAAGATAAAAATTAGCGGTGACAAAAGGGCATCGTATGGTTGTTTCGGTTACTACCATTTCTTACCCAATATAATCATTTAGTGACTAACATTTTTGAGCTTTAATTAGTATCTTAATAAAAAAATACTGTATGTCATGTATAAAATATATCCGTGGATGTGGGAGTACCACTCTTATTGTCGTTTCTTTTTCAGAAATATGTATACAAAAAGTATTCATATTCGTTAATTTATCTGAAAAAAAATCGATACTTTGATAACGCGAATTCTGTATCTTATAATATAAAAGTATATTAAATGTAAAATGAAAGCATTAACATATAAAGAATAACCGAAATAATAAAAAGAAAATATAAATTTACAGATATAGAAAACGCATTATCATTATTTAATGGTGGTACTGTGTATTAAAGGATAGGTCAAGCTTCAAGAAACTGGGTCTGTAAAAATAGTACATTATTTTGGTTATTGTGTTACAGCATATCCTGTGGCTCCTCATCCACCTACTGGTTTTGTTCCAGCACCAGCTCAACCTGCAACCTATGGAGGTAATCAATAATTTCCAATGATGTTGTGTGCCATTTATTCCTATTTTTATTTGTAGTATAATTTGTCTAAACCATTTTCTATGTGTCAACTCAATTCAGTTGCAGGAGCTACACCATATGGAGTATTTCCAAATCAACCCCAGCTTTATGCAACGCAAGGACCACCTCCACCCGCGTATGATCAAACGTTGACACATCCAATGGTAAAATTCTAATTTACATATTTCAATGTGTTCTCAATATTTAGGTTCACTTTGGTAATTTCATCGAAGAATGTTTTCTAAGTAGAAATAAATAGAATTTTTTATATCAATATTAATTAATTTAGGTTTATTTAAATTAAAAAATCACAAAAATTGAATGAATCTTTTGTTTTAAGATGTATCAACCAATGTATGGACAAGGTTATCCAGGAGGATACTTAACTGGCTATCCTGCAGCTTATGGACCACTTCAGTATTATCCACCATTGGCAGCGGCTGCTGCGTATTATCCTGCAGCTGCAATGCAACCAGCACCAGTGAGACCAACTATGCTGGTACCAGTATGTATAACCGCTAAATTTGGTTAGGTGTTTTTATTTTCATGTTCTATGTTCCAATGATCTCTTTAAAAATATATTTTTGTTAAAAATTATTCTGTAACTCTTCAATTTTAATTGAGAAATAATTTCAAATTTATTTTAGATAAATATTTACATTGAATATTGAATAATTTTTCATTACATCTAGAATGGTTTTGATGGCACGCGATTTGATGGTATTTCACAACAAGTTCTACCACCACCTCCACCTGGAGTAGCCGCAAATGCAGCACAATTGGCAGCTATGGCAGGTCACAGTGTTGCCCTTTCACAAAAAAAGAGCTCGTTCTTAGGAGGTGGAACAGAAGGCGGCTATACATTTTGGTAAATTAGCAGGATACCCTGTAAAATTAACAGCTAATGCATAAAAAGCAAAAACCGTAAAAAGAAGAAAAAACAAAAAAAAAATAATTAACGTTAAGTGATTTAGCCTCCAAATTACTTATCGTTAAATCGTAACTTGTAATTATCTATGTAGGCAAATTTATTTGATATTTATAATGATGTATCATTGTCAAAAATAATGGAATAACTTATTTTATATATTTTTTAATGAATTTCAAAACTAATTCATCATGATCATCTAATCATTGGAATAATCAAATCAAGTTAAATTCTATCATGTCAAACCAAATGCATTTACATATATATTTTCAACGAATTCCAGAACATCGAACGATAGTTTTTACAAAATTTTTTGCTGCATTTTTTCTATATTTTAACAATATATTAAAAATTATTTATTATTTGACCTTAAAAATATACTTATTGGATACTTATAAATTAGTGAAATAATAAATAAAAATGAAGTATTAAATTTTTTTGCTTACAAAGATAATACATTAACGGAGTTTTTAGTAAATGAGGAATTCCTCTAGGTGACTTAGGAGAAATTAAGTCGCTGACAAGAAAAGTAATTAATAATAATAACGAAAAGAACTCGATTGTACTAATAAAGAAAGCGAATTCAAAAAAAAATCTTGAATCTCTTACCAAAATTTTGGGCTATTCGCAATATTTTTTTGACGATTTGCCCTGGAAATTTCAGGATGAAGGTTGTGAGTGTAAAACAAGAGTAAAAGATCTTAAGAAAAATAGAATGAAAAATAAAAAAAAAATAAAAATAATAGGAGAATGAAGATGATGAAATAAGTATACTCGACTTTTTCAACTCAGAAATGAACGGGAAATAAATTTTGATAAACAAAAAAAAAATAATAATAAAACGAAACACCATACAAAGTGATCATAGAGGCAAATTATAAAATAAAATAATTAAAGTAAATCTTTCAATTTTTAAATTATCATTTTGATTATTGAATTGAACTAATTCATTCAATTCCTCTGCTGAAGTAAGAGTTACATGAAAATATAAAAGTATATTTTGGTGCCAAATAACCGAAAAAGTACTCAATTTTCCCGCTCGTTTCTCTCTTTACTAATTGTGCTGTATTTTTATTTATATAATTACAAGGAAACACGTAAATAAAACATCAAGTTGATCACAAAAAATAGTTGAGAAAAATTAGTCATTCCTTGATTAAGTAACAATTTTCTCAACTATCACTAGGTAGGAAAGCTAATGATTCAAATGAAAATTGCTTAAAATATTTTGAAATGCTTTGAAAGAAAGTAACAGATAAAGTTTGATATAATCATTGAATAAAAACAGATAAACCACGTAAAGACACATTAAAAGTATTTAAAAATTTAAGATAAATTTATTTACGAGGTATCAAAATATATTTTAGCAATTTTCTTAATGATCTATTGATATTAGGTAATGTTAAACGAAAATGATACCGATTATAAGGAAAAAATCCTGGTGTTTTTTTCTTTTATAATCTTGATTGAAAAAGCAAGAACAAATAAAATATTATTTAAATAATATATTGGATCGAATAATTTAAATTTCATATTACTACGAACTGATATTGAGGTGACTTTTATTGACAAAGTTTCTATATGACGACAATATTTTTGTTATTATAGTTGAATCATAAATCAAATTTCATTTCAAAAATATATAAAACTCAAACGTGACCAGATAAATTTCCTTTATTATCTTGACAGGTGAAAAGGAAATAGTTTAACTCTAGTCCAATTTCATTCATATACATTAATTAATAATAATATATGATATAACTGAATTTCATATACTTCACTCAACCGTTTCATACAAAAAATGGATCAATAGAACTTTTTCACATTCTATCATTGTCGTGATACGTAAAGATGCAATCAACGAAGGTTATTTTAATTTATGAGCTTTGTCTGTTTTTATAATGATTTATTTAAGCGTCACGTTTGAGTGTTTGATTTCTCTCCGAAATATACATTGCTAATTTTATAGATCGTTTAAGTTATTTTTATACAACTGAAAACTAATTTTGAATGAAATACCATATTTTTTCCATTTAATATTTTTTGTCATCAATTGAAGTGTGTGGTAATGAAAGTTAAAAACAAGAATTGCACGAAAAAAAATATCAATTGGCTTTTTTTCGTATCACAGTTAAAACAAAAGTAAAACCGTAATATTGAAATGAATATTGGTTAACTTATTTGAATTATGTGCAATAAACTATGAATTAAATTATTGCAATCCAAACAAATTACTGTGGAAAAGTATAAATTGTAAAAAGTAAATTGATTCATTTGTGGATCTTACAGTGACCAATTAATAAATACCATGACGATAAAATTTGTTTTAATTAAGAATTTTTATTTTTATGCCTCATATCTCGTAACAGTCTCATTGCTAAAACATGCAGATTTGTCATTTTCGTTTTTAACAATAAAGAAACGAATGCCATATAAACAAATATGTTATTATGTACATCATTAATACATTTAAATAATTGCTGATTATCTGAAAGATACAAAAATAGTTCATATTATTATTGGTTAACTACTTTATATCAATAAAAATAAAGTAAAATAAAGAATTTTTAAAGATAAAATTGAGAATGCAAAAAAAAATCGTACTTTTTGAACACACTCTAATTATTGGTAGGACCAATTACTGATGCTGATCAAATTTTCCACTACTTAAAGTTTTTTTTATCGATTTCTCCAAAGTCGGAAGAAGATCGCAGTACGAATCAACACATTTGGTGGCACATTTTTCAAAATCTTCACTCAATCTATTAACTTCATCTTGAGATGGATCGTGACTCATTTTATCTTTTATACTGTCATTACACTCCATAATACATCTTTGCAGTCGATTCTATTAAATTATTATTCTATGAAAATAAATGCTTATGAAAAAATAAACGATGTAGCAGTAAAAATAACAAAAATTTTTGTTTAATGAATAATTGTTTTCTTAATTGCTACATTTCATTGTTTTTTTTTACCTGGCTTCGTTCAAATTCTGATTGAACATATTGTTGAGCATTGTTCAGAGATATACTACAAGTTTCTATACATTGTTGAACTCTCTGGAGACTAAGAGATTGATTTTCACAACAATTAGCTGCACATCGGTGCATATCAGCCTAAAAAATATAAATTATATTCAAGATGACTAAAGTTTTCTACACACCTATAGTAACAAATGGTATCTAGTTGTAAATATATAATACAATTAGTTCATCTGAAACTACGATTTTATTCTTCTCCAATGTGGTTTGAGCTAAAGAAAAATTTTATGGACGCTTCAAAAAGGCCGAATAAATTTTCTGATTCAATCCGTACTTTAATGTAATATGGTTCATTTTTCAAGTTTTCTTCATAAAATTATCGATAGCTACTAGTTTTTTTAATTAAATTTGTATTTGAGATTACGAAAAAAATAATTATTTGGTTTTTTAGTAATATCTGCAGTATGTAAACATTTAAAATTCAACAATGAAAGTAAAAAATAAACCTCTCTCATTTAACTAATATATAAGACACATTTTTAGATCTGATTTTTTATTGATGAGATAGATGACTTCATTTTTTTTTTATATTTAATTATTTACACCAATTTTAAGAACAAGAAATAAACAATACTAGTATTGATTATTATTGAAAGATATGACAAATAACAACATTCAAATGTTAATGTATATACAGATATGATGCATGTGGTTTTAATAATTTTATCAAGTCATACAGAAAATATTATTTAACCTCACATAAAAATTGTAGGTTATAAATTGTATTAGATGAAATTACCTGCATTTTACGTAAATAAGATTTATCAATTTCTTCAACAATTCTTGTCATATTATCTTCAACCCTTCTTCTTTGTTGTTCAACCATGTTTATTTTAATAAATGCAAAAAAATTTGACTCAAATTAATAAACTTTGCCGGCGTGTATGTTTATTCAACACATTTGTGTTCGAAAGCGAGACCCCATACCATACATATACGGCTGGATTCAAATGATGTATAATAAACTTCCTTTTATTGTACATCCGGTTTTATCAATTTGACCCAAATACAATATCAAATTTAGGTTAAATACAGGACAAAAATTTTGCGTCAAGGACAATCATTATGGTCAAGGCCATATCAATGCTGAATTCTGAATGCACTGAGAAAATAAAATATATATGCATAATCAATAAGAAAGTAAGAAAGTCTACGTTGACATATAGCATAATTTCATTCCAATAATTTTTCAGAGAAAACAAGTTCAACAGCAAACATGTAAGATGAATAATTTAGATTAGAATAACGAATATAAAAATCTAGAGTCAGCTTGCTTAATTATCCTATATTAATATTTATAAATGATAGTTTTATTAGACTGATTAAACGAAGTAAACATCAAATTATGATTAAAATTAAAAATGATTTATCAGTTTCAGGGTTCTGACAGATAAGTGATAGGTTGAAAACAAATGATAAGATAAAGAAAATTTTAATTTTGCGTGAGTTAGTTTGATTTCAAATGTTAAAAACATTAATAGAGTTGTTGAATAAGGTTAATAAAGAGTATAATTTTTATTTATCGTTACAAAAAATCAATTCTAAATTTAAATTGAAGGAAATGGATCCAATCTGTGTAAAAACATTGAAAAATGTAAAAATTGATCACAGGGTTCTTCTCACCCCTTCTTTGAATGAAATAAAAAATGGTATGTCATTAAAACAATGGTATATAAAACTTGGCGTCTTGAAATAAATTCTGAACGCAGAATTTTGAAATTTCTAATTATTTTAGTTATCACTCCTGCTCTTCAGAAAAATTTTAAAGAAATATCAGTTGAAATAGTTGATTGTCCAGATTTAACAAAGAAACCATTCTCATTAGCCGCACAAGGTATGATCCTACCATTACATTTATAATTATGATATAAATAGTACTGCATCATTTAATGTATTACATTTTTTAGGTCTTGAAGGAAATGCTCAAATATTGGAAGTTGGTGGACCATCTTATTTATTACCTTCTGTACAAAGAAACAAAGTTTATGATATACAATCAATATTAAATTCCGTAAATTTTGATAGAACAGCCTTTGTAATTGGAGCAGGAGCTGGGCCATGGCCACAACTATCACGTAATTGTGAAGTAAATACATTTATTTTTCTCAAAGACAATTTCCAACTTATAGTGTTTAATAGTGGTAAAAATATTAATGTTATTCTAGATGATGATGAATGTTTTGATTGCTCCAAATAAAGTAACCAATGAAACAAGATTGGCTTGGGTTGATCAAGAAGATCAATGTGTACTTCAGAAGTCTGCTGAAAATGATACTAGATTTGCGTTACTTGCTAATTTATTTATTTCTGAAGGAAAAACTGGAAAAGTGATTAAAGTTTATGCTAAAAATCGTATTGGAAAGTTGGATTTTATAGCCACAATGCAGAAGGCTTTGGAAAAATATTACACAAATGATTTAGTGGGTAAATATCTTTATTTAAACATTTGTGTTTTGTATTAGGCTATCAGTTAAAATGTATGTGTAGACATAAATCTGCATCGTACAATATTTTGTTTTTCCTAATTTAATTATATAAAAATCTGTTATCTAATGATATTATAATTGATTTTTTTAAGGCTTAGGTGGTACTTTTATTTTAAAAGAAGGAAAAGTTAAGCAACACGTAATGCCAGATTTTTCATCAACTCCACTTAATACTGAAAAATCCTTGAATGATTGGTTGAATTTTTATGATATGTCAGCACCTTTGATTGCTGTTGGAACGTTTGTGTCATCAGAGACTACAGACCTAGATCTTCGTGTTCAGCATTTCCATAGTTTTAGTCATCATGGCGAAGGTGGTCATTATCATATTGACACTACTCCTGATACCGTTGAATATTTGGGATATTTTAATGTTGCTAATTGTCTTTACCGTGTTGATCAACCACCAAGTAAAGTTACTTTTGGCAAAGATTAATTGCCTCTTATTGTTAATATTCAATTATTAAATGGACCAATTTTATATTCGGTAAAACTAGATATACCAATGATGACTGAAATATCGTGATAATCATCGCAAATTAAAATTTTAATATATTTTTGATGAAAAAATATACAAAAATATTTTACATTGTTTAAAAAAAACCACTAATATAATTAATGTTATTATATATAATATGAAAGATAAAATAAAATAATATTTTAATAATCTTATAACCAGCTTACAAAATTCAAGTTTTTTATTCTCTTTAATTGAAAATTTTTTAGCTTTATAGAATCAAATAATAGACTACAAAATTTTGATCTTTAGTAACTAATAAATTTCAGTCTAATCCTTCTTAAGCTTCAACAGAATATAAATTAATATGTTAATCATGAGTCAATATGTTGACCAGACACATTATAAATGTATCACCATTAAATAGAGTAGTATCATCTCAGTGTTCCAGAGTTAAAAAGCAAGTACATAATGAAATTTAACATAGAATCAACGACATCATACAATAGTATTCCACCAGTTTATCAGCATACCGAACAATTCAACAATAATATCGAACATTACCGAGAACGTACAAAGTGGTTTGGTATTTTTCTTGCATTTATATCGGGAGCATTTTTTACAATCAGCTCAGCTCTAGTTAAAGCTATTAGGAATGTTGATCCGATGGTTTTGCTCGGTATTCGAGCTCTTCTACAGATGACAATAATGCTTATCAGTGCAATAAGACATGGAAAAAATTTATTAGGGCCAAAAGGTTCTCGACTTTTACTTCATTTACAGGTAAATACGAAAAGATTTTTTTTCATTAAGTCAATATAAAAGGCATCTTTATTTAATGATTACTATTATTATCAATTGATCGTTATCAAAGATAATTGATTAAAAATTAATTAATTAAAAATGTTCTTTTTTAAATTAATACATTCTGATAAATAATTTCAAAAATATCAATAGAAGAACCAGATACTTCTATTAAGAAAAAATCTTTGTTTATTTTATATTTTTGATAGTTTAAAAATATTTTCTAGGGTGTAGTAGGTGGCATGACCTTGGCATTATTGTATTATAGCTTCAGAAAACTTCCTCTCGGAGATGCTACAACTATAATTTTCAGTTCACCAGTGATTGTCATTGCATTATCGTTCATCTTTTTAAAAGAACCATGTGGACTTCTTCGAATCGTTGTAATATGTATCTTATTTGCCGGAGTGGTTCTTGTAGCGAAGCCACCATTTATCTTTCAAGTAATAATAATTAAATTTATTATATATAAAATGTCTGTTACATAGCCGTTAATTTTTTCAACTTATTTTTTGTCATCGATAATCATCATTGACATTCAGAGTTAAAAATTCAATGACAAATTACATGACAAAAAATTATAAATTTTCATTTTTAGTAAACCTTCTATAATATAATTAATCTAATTCATATAATTTTTATAACAGATGCATCATATGGAGCATTATGATGTTATGGGCTATATTTGTGCAATTCTTGCAACAGTTTTTACAGCTTTAAACATTGTAGTGATGCGAAAATGTTCAGAAATTCATTATTCTGTTCTTGTTTTCAACTTGTCAAGCTGGATTCTTTTATCAGCTATTTTCTTTTTCTTCGTCGTATCTGAAGCTCATCATCACATTGATGCCTTTCCACGAGACTGGATAACTTGGGGATTAATATTCTTAGTTGCTGTTACGGGACTATCTGGTCAAGTGCTTGTAACCAAAGCCTTAAAAATTGAAGGTGCAGGCAAAGTATCGGTTACTAGGTCTTTGGACATCATTTTAGCTTATATAATTCAAGTGTATTTCTTTGGTGATGTCCCCAATTCAACAAGTATAATTGGAGCTTTATTAATATTGGGGTCTATTATTACAATGGGATTTGAAAGAGAGATTTATGGATGTTGTGATTACATACCTTAATAAAAGAATTGAAGTGATTTGATTCAAAACAAATGGTGTTATTGTAATATTAATTTTTTTTCTCGAAAATGTTTATAAGTAAAAAATGAGACACTAAATAAGTCATTATTATTTAAACTTTGGAAATATTTAGATAATTTTTTAATAAATTATTCGAGTTAACAAAGTGAAAAGTGCAAATCCCACTAACATGAATAATTGTTAACTATGTAAGTTATATCAATGCTGAATTGGATCTTACAGGCTTATCATTCTTCACATTACTTTTCTAAACATACTTGGTTTTAGAACATATCCTTGAAAATTTTACTAAATAAAACATGTTGATGAAACAAATCAAAGAATACCAAGTGTTAATAATGGAAAAAGAAACAGATTTAGAGATAAATTTTTGGAGTATTATACCATGTTGAATATTTTTAATCCTTGATAGGTAAGATCATAATTCAAATAAGCAACAAGTGGATTGTATTATATCTTACAAATGATCATAAGTCTAGGTACTTTAATATTAAATTATGTAGGTAATGCTGTTGAATCTAACATTTAGTTTAATTTATTTATGGTTTATTGAAAGAAAAAATACAACTACCATTAACAGCAAATTGCGTGATACCAAATATATGATAATATGTACAATTTACTATGCAATCCAAATGATAAATAATAATATTACATTTTAAACTTTGTAATATTTTTTTTTCAAATTATAACATAACAAAATTATCATATTATTCATTTTATGACTAAGATTATCATTAATATTAATTAATTTTATTAGGATTATCTTTTGTAGCTTACATTACAGCTGTATAATAACTCTTTAATTAATATATAATGAATAAGATTTTTCTTTGACTTGAATTTTATATTTACCTTTTTTTTAAATTTAGTAAAATTATAACATGCAATCAATCACTACATGTTAAATATTATACATGTATCATGACTAAAATAATTTATGAAAACAAAGTTTAAGTTATACAATAATCAATTTTTCATAATAATAATATCGTAACCACTATAAATAAATTTTTTATTTTACTTATTCATTTTTTATTATTAATTATATGCAGTATATTTCTCCAAATATTTCTTTTTTGTTTATATATAAGTTTTCTTATAGTTATATAAAAAACACAAAGGTTGATTATTTATGTCAATTATGTAAATTTATATTTACATATTTACTTTGTAGAGAAATTATTATTATTTATATTATTATTATGAATATTAATAGTTCACGACATTATTTTTTAATTTGCTTTTGTACAATTAAGGCAAAGTTTAATTTTCATATTAAAAAATTTATATTTGATTTTTATTCATAAATATGTGTACAACAAATGAGAATAGTGTTTTTTTTCTTGGAAAGAAATTTTAATTATAATTTTATTATTATTAACTATTTTATGAAATAAAATAAAAATATACTGATCAGTTAGAATAACTGAGAAATTTATCATAACTATTTTTTATTATATAGATGATATTAACACGCTATTGTCCCGGGCATTTGATTATGTTAAAATCAATTAAAGTTTTGAAATTTTTCATTCATTTACTCAGCACATAAAATAAAGACTGATACCAATTATTTTTTATCTAATGAAAAATTGAAATTCATGGGATTACGAGGTGAAAATAAAGATGAAATATCATTAAAATTTTGATACAGATTATAATAAAAGTTATTTAGAGTATAAAAAAACTATCCATACATTGTTATGTTTGTATCTATTTTTATTTTCATCCTGCAATTTTTATTTTTTCACGATAAAAACACTATTGGAACTTCATTCGACAATTTTTAATAATTTTCAAATGTATGAAGAGATACTAATTAACTATATATGTTTATTCACTACGTACTAAACGATATTATGATATTACTGATAGCTTCACAATTTATGTACAAAACATTACATTATCGATTCTTTCCATCTCCATTGTTAATTAAGATAGTATTTAAAACACCTCAGAAATTTCATTAAATCACGAATTTGTTTTAATATTATATCAATTAATTAACGAAAACTATTAAAAATAATATTTACTTATAGTTTCATAAATATTTATGAACAAATATACAAATTTGCTCTTGCAAGTATACATACCAAACCAACAATTAACGAAAATCGTTCATTTAAATGATTTTTACACACAATTGTTGCTAAAAATAATTCTATTGAAACAGCGATTAACAGTGTTCAAATGATTATTGTTAAATAGATGCAAATTATCAAAAAACTTTTTTATAAAAAAAAATTCAATATTTCATTTGGTTTATATAACCATCAATGAAAAAAATTAACTAATACAGAGTTGGTGTTTTTCAAACTTTTAATAACGAAAAAAATATTTAACATTAAGGAATTTCTTATAAAATAACAAATTTTCAAGTTTTTTTTTTTTTCAAATGTGAATTCCATAAGTGTCTTTTACAATGTAGGAATATTACATTACTAATAAAAGAAAAAAAACAAACCTTGTATCGATGAAATTACGTTAACACATTGCTTGGTATATATCAAGATTTAACATACCATAACTGAATAAAATCAAATATGTATGGGTACATGGATTAAAAGCTCTGCACGAGTTGCAAATACAGCTGAGCACATTTCACACGTATACTCGACAGCATCAGGTATGATAGTTTCTGGTATATCTTGCGATACATTTTGAAGAAGATGTTCATGTTGTAATGTTGACTCTACTTTAACACTCAATTTCATTTTATTACTATTCGACACTTCTTCTGTATGATTTACGTTATCTAAATCAGGGAGAATACTTTCGTTTTCTGTTACTTCATCTGCAATAACATGCGCTTCAAATGCAACTTCCATATTGTTACCATCAATTTCAGGTTGATTAAAAATATTTGATGTTTCTGGCTCTTCATTTTCGTTATTTTGCACTACTTCGTTTGTTAATATCTCTTCTGGTTCTTGTTTAATATTCATCTTTGTTCGTCTTAAAGTTCTTCCTTTAACAGGAGATTTTTTCTTATCATCATGAATTTTCGTATTTTCAATATTACCATTTTGACTATCATAATTACTTGATTTGCTCGCCACTACATTATATTCCGTTTTAATTTTTACATCGGAAAATGATTGAGTTAATGGTGCGATTTCTGATGAACCTTTTGCTCGTGGAAAAGTCGCCGGAGTTACTTGAAATTTACCTTCGACATGATAACTCACATTTTTAGTTCTTGGACGATTTCTTTCGCCTCCTGGAAATATTCCAAGCTTTGGTTCGCCAGGTATTACTTTAGGTGTTCTTGTAACCATAGTTTTTGTTTTTTGTCCTTTTTTGACACCATCACTACCTAACTCTACAGGAACACGAGTTTTTTGAGTATGAATCATCTTCGGCCGACCAGGAGGAGCTTGAGGTGGCGTTTCTGGAGTCTTTTTCTCTTCTTTTTTTATCTTTTTCTTGGAAATTTTTGATTTAGCTGTACTTAAAGCTTTGGAATTTACTATTGAATTAATATTTTGCAATGAACTTTCGAAACTTTTCAATACATTTTGATATCCTTCTTCAACATTCGAGCGATTTTGTTTATTTCTTTTACCAAGTTTTCTTTTTGTATTATCATCAGACTCTGAACCTTCTATACTATTAAAATTTTCATTCGATTGTGAAACAAGAACTGGTATTGATGATTCATGAGCTTTAATTTTACGCCTTCGTTTATATTTTCTTGGTCCCACTTGAGGTTGTCGACGTAATGCTGTATTGTCATCGCAATGTTGAACTATATGTAAAACGATTTCTTCAGATGTAGCGAATGAATCACCACATACTTTACAAAGGTACGGAGTTAAACTTCCATGACATTTTGGATCAGGACCTGAATGATGAGCACGTACATGTTCTCTTAGTACTACTCGTTGGTTGAAAGCTCGAGGACATATAGCACATCCGTATGGTTTTTCTCCGGTATGTATTCTTTCGTGCTTTCTTAAAGTACCACCATCGGCAAAAGCTTTCCAACAAAATCGACAACCATACGGCCTTTCGCCAGTGTGAATGCGTATATGAATTTGCTGTGAACTGCGACTACCAAACGTTTTACCACATTCTCGACAAGGAAAAGTTCTTCCACCCAATTCTTTATTATGTGAATGACGATGACTAACAAGAGCACGACCATCAGGAAATTCTTCGCCACATTCATCACAAGCAACCATTTTATTACGATGTGATACCATATGTCGTCGCAGTCTTGCTTTACTATGAAAACGTTTTCCACATTTAGTACAACCAAAGGTCTTATCAACATTATGAACCCATGAATGTTTTAATAAACTTCGCTTATCTTTACACGTTTTACCACAAAGCGTGCAGGTATTAGGAGGTGCATCTTCAGCATGATTTTGACGAACATGTTCAGCAACTTCGGCATCATCTCTACACCTTTCTCCACACAATAAACATCGTCTAGTGGGTGATCGAGCATGTAACTCAGCGTGTGCAAGAAGAGCAAGAGCTTCTTCAAACCACTCACCACAAACATTGCAAACATGATGATGACTTGATTCTTCTATTGATTCATCAGTTTCTTGTTTGATGTGAATTTTTCGATGACGTTTAAGAAGATCCATTCGATGAAATGGAACACCACATGTATCGCAATAAAATTCACCAACTCTATCATCACTGGTAAAGGATTCATTGGTTTCATACTCTACATTTATTCCATCAGATGAAATAATTCCATGTTTCGTTCGTACATGTTCACGAAGAACATTTGCATCCCAAAACATGTCACCACAATTTGTACATTCTAGTGGACTGTCACCTCCATGAATTCGCGCGTGTGAAGCTAAAGCTTTTTCTCGAGCAAAACCAACTCCACAATATTGACATACATAAGGTTTTGTAGGATCAGTAATTGGCCATCGTGGAGCATGAGATTCTGTAATCATTGAATCATTCCATCTTGAACTTGAAGCAATACTCTCACCCCGTACATCTGATTCCTGTTCTGTATCATCTTCTAATAAACGCATGTCTTCGACTACATATTCATAAGATTTTGAACTAAATTTGTTACCATCTAATTTAGTTAAACCATCAAGATTAATATTTCGTTTCATCATTCCGGTTGTATTATTTTTACGTTTCCTTGCTGATGTTGAAAGCTGAGCTTTTTTACGACGACCCTTTACAGTTTCTTCTTCATCGGGAACCATAGAGTCTTCATCATTTAATTCTTCTTCTAGACCATCCCGTGACGGAGCATAAGCATGTATTTTCAAGTGATTCATTAAGTCACATTTTCGAACATAACGGGCGCCACAAAGATTGCAACCATGTGGTCGATCAGTTTGATGAGCAACCATGTGATTCATAAGATTAGCTTTTTTTCGAAATCTTCGACTACAAAAATCACAGGGATATGGTCGTGTATTAGTGTAGGAATCTTGATCAATTGGTAAAGGTATTTCCATATCATCATATTCCAATAAATTGTCATGTGACACTTTTGTTTCTGGAATTTCAACGCTAAAACAATACAAAAACGAAAGATGAATGTTAATCAATTTCAATGGTGATCGAATAAAATTGATTCTTACCCATCATCTGGACCTGATCGATCCCAATTATCACTAATTACTTCCTCTGTAACTTGAATATTAAGATAGTCATGTCCTTGATCTTGTGGAACGATATAAATTGATTCCATGTCACTTGATTGTGGTACCATTAATATTTCAGTATCCGGAGGAAGATTATGAGATGAAGAATTGGTATCAGGTGAAGTTTGAACAGTTTCTTCAACACATACTTCTTCACAAGCTCCAATAACTTCACCTTCTTGGGCAAGATCAGCTTCTAATCCACATATTACTTCTTCGTGAATAACATTTCCTACCTCTTCAACCCATTGAAGAGTCAAATCGCCGGAAACATCCATACTCTGACGATTAATTACTTCATAATGCGATTCACTGTAAATGGAGAATGAAAAATTATTATGAGATTCGATTTATAACAGCATAGAATGAAAATAGTAAAAAAATATCAGTGGATAATGATAATTAATATACATGTGTAAATATAACGTGTGGTATTTTCTATTTTCAGTGATAGTCCATTGACATATACGAGGTTATATTATATAGGTTATGATTCGAGAGGTTATACGATGGGTTTAGCAACTGTGACGACAAATTGCATAATGTCTATGACCGGTGGTGCGACGTAGGATGGCGGACAATGGTTTTCGTATTTCCAGAAAAATAAACAATAAATAGTGAAAGAAATTATTTAAAACATATTCTAAAAACACAATGACTATAAACAACTTCAACTTCTTCTTCACCAATCAACACAAAGTTTACCCACCATCTACCTACGTCGTTATCTTCCTCGTTTTCGCTGCTGTCTCGCGCGTTCATTTTTGCGGCCCGCCACCGCCAAAGTATTATTTTTTTATATTCAACGTAATTTCACTCATAAACAATTAATATTGTTAATGATGTACACTTTTACTTATTACTAAATTACCCTACACGACACATAACTAATAACCTAACCAAAAATACTTTTATAGAAAATTAGTGGAGTATGTATCGCAGCGTCGACCTTCGGTTGTTTCAATTGGGAGGGGGATGTAGACTAGGAAACAAATTCAACAAAATGGCTGACATAAAAAAGAGAGGCACGAAAACCGCGCCAACAAACGTGTAAATGAATAATAACATACCATCAATTATTTCTTTCTCGTTTTATATATATTTTAATTGAAATCTTTTCTCAAGTTATTATTGTAATCACTTCAAATATATTTAAGATAATTAAATTGTTGCTAAGCACTTTTAACACAATAAATAAAATTTAAGAAAACGGCTTACTTTGTTCCTTTAAATCTTGAAAGTAGCAAATACAATAGACAGAACGACACTCTAACTGTAGTAAATCTTATTCTTTTAAAAATGAAGTGGCTCCATCTAGTCACATTACCAAACAAATAAACAAAGGAAAACTAGCTGTCTTTGTGGCGGTTTTTACAAATTATTGAACTGATGATCTTTGTCATTTTGTATTGTATCTACGTTTCTCTGTTTTAATGAATTATAATTTTATTATTTTATAAATAATAATTATTTTTCCTATTAATAATATACTTAACATCTTATATCAATTCTTGATTTAACATTAAAATAAAAAAGTTCAATTGTTTCTCATATACTGTATCTTTATTTTAAAAGTCGTTTTTAAACTGTAAGAAAGTGTCATAATTTATTCTGTTTTCAGTTATATCAGCTAGGATGTACGTAATAACATGGTAATTAAACGAAATATAAAATATTTAATGAATTCATGATAACTGGATAAATCAATGTATCATTAAATAATAATCACAAAACATGATAAATCATAGTGAAACAAAAGTTTTAAGATAACTTAACGCATTTAGCGTTTGATGACGATTGGATCTCCATTCTCTTCTTTTTTTTCCTTCTTCGACCATATCCAATTAATGCGAAATCAAAGTCATCTAAAATAAGATATTCTTCAGGAAAATAATATTCATAATCTTCATCATCATCACCATTACAATCTGCAAAAACGAATGAATTTCCTGTAAGATCTACTGTTTTTTTTCTAAAATATGTTAAATAAAAACGATTTCGAATCGAATACTAACTTTGTCTATGACGAAGAACGTCTGCAAATATACTGTTGAACATGTCACGAAGACCAGGAAATGCAGCTGATAAATATGATCGATGAAGAGGTTTCAACATTGCAAGGCATTCCATTTGTAAGGATACAGGTACAGAACAGCTTTGTGTTATTCTCATCTTACTTTTGGCAGATGTTGAGCAAGCCATTGGATATAGCTCAACACCTTGTAATCCTGTAAATGCAATCCCAAGGGGTTTACGATTTAAGAAAAATTGTAAAGTTCCTCTCCAAGTATCCAAATGAATTCCTATGACACTTCCTTTACCAAAACGAGGAGCATAATTTTTACTTTCGCCATTATGTTGAATAAAACCTTTATAAGACAACCCCCATGATTCTCGATCATGACCCAGCAAAGAACAATATTTATTAATTGCATTCATTTCAGCCTTTGAAGTACCTACACCAACCATCTAAAATGAAAATGTTTTTATTACTAATCATTGCTGATGGTTTTAATAATTATTCATAAATAACTTTTAATTGTTATAAAAATAACATGAAAATACATGTATGATTTTACTTACCACATCTGTTCCATATATCAGAGACAGCATCTTAACTTCCCAATAGTAATGTCTGCCTTTTTTCATCAATTGATTTCCACGTATAGCTGCTGTTCCATTGCTATAGAATGGATGAAATTTAACTTCAAGGTTGTCTTCCGATAGTCGAAATGTGGTTCCTGTCAATGTTTCATCCCAAGTCCATTCGTGTACTATAAATACAAAAGTACGATTAAAATAAAAAATTAACGGATTGGCTACCGATAGTTTTAATTTAATATAATGTATTTACTTACTGTTTTTTTCACCACACGTGCAACATTCAGTACAATTGCACAATTTTTCAAGTGATTCTGGTGATGTCAATAATGAATCGTATTCTAGATTCATTTTTAACGAATTTAATTACTTAAAGTAAAAATGCAGAAATCCTTCACTGCTAATCATATATACAATTGTTTTAAAGTGCTAGTTGCAGCCTTATATATAAGCTTCGGATCGAATGTTCGAGAGTTATCTAGAAATGTTTATAATTGGTAACAAAACTTGTTTCAAATACATATTATTTTCAAAATTTACATCAATTTCTTGCTAAATATTTTTCCTTATACGCTTTTCCGACATAAACATCTATATTAAAGATTAAAATTTTTAATTGAATCCATTTTTTTTTAAAATGGCTGACACAACAAAAGAAAAACTTTTTGAAGTGAAATTGCTGACAATCGATCGTGCGAAATCGATAGAAATAGCGGGTATTTCGAGTGTGTTTATTAACAATATTTGAAATGAATACTTTTTTTACAATATTTTAGTAAAAATAATATAATAGAAATAGTAATTATTGTTAAATAGAAATGCTTATATAGTTATTTATATATTTTAATCGTATACTTTGCTGAACTAAATTTTACAATACTTCCTCTCTGTCCTGATTTTTTATACCTACTTATACTCGATACTTTTTCAAGTTAACAATTCGTTTTTACTACTACGCACATGAGTCTATCGGATTGTTTGCAGCCGACTTTCGCCCTAACTACTGCATCACGTTTGTGCGAAAACACAAGGAATCTGCAAAAAACCTGTGCCGATACAGTCAACCTCAATGAAGAGATCTCTTAATCCTGGTGATCTTTAGATAAACCATATTCTGCTCACATAGTTAATATGACTGATTTTCAAATTATAATTCAATTTTTATGTATTTATTCAGAAGTACATGAAAAATAAAGAATAGTGTTTATTAACAAAAATAAAAAAAATTTTTAGCTATTTAATATTAATATTTAACATATAAACTTTATTTACAATTTGTTACATAAAATATTGATAATTTATGAACTTTGCATTTACACACGTTTGTTTTTCAAGAGTAACATGTTAAATCTGATATTCGAGAATCAAACTCCAGTTCTTACTATGTGATTAATAATATTATTTATATATTCATGCACATTTATATACGGATACATATTGAAATTCAATTTCAAAATGCTCTTAAAGTATAGTTTTACTTATTATCAAATTTTTTTACACATAATAAGGAAATTACAACTATATGTGAACTTTAACGTGCTCCATGAGAATATTTTTATCACCAAATTCGTCTCCACAAATTCCACATATAAGTTCATCATCATCATTATCACTATCTTGCTGTTCATAGTGACCAATTAGCGGAGAAGATGAGTTCGCTTGATCTAAAACTAAATTCTGTCGTAAAGAATCAGTATCAGAAATGTCTATTTGTATTTCTGTATTATTTTCACTTGAAAAATTAAAATTATTCGAATTAGGAATTGTTAAAATCGGTAAAGATTCATTTTGTTTAGTAAGAAGATGTATTGTATTGTCTTGCTTATGATTTGAAATTAAATGAAAAGTCTCACTATTTTTTGTGGACGGAATGAACAGAGTACCTAAATCTGAATGTTTATTTGTAATCGAATGAATAATAGTTTCTTGTTCAGCAGGAACAAGGAAAGTAGTATTATCTTTCTTTTCAACAGCTATTAAATTAAGAGATTCTGTCTTATGAAATCGAGTATCATTAATACCATTATGTTCTCCGTTGACATCAGACATTAAATCTTTATCAGAAGTTACTAATAATAAAGTGTCTCCTTGTTTTGTATTAATTATGTGACCTTTAACACCCTTTTCTCCTTCTACAATTGATATTAAAGTATCAGTTTGATCATCTTGGGCATTAAGCTTTCCTTGTTTAACTTGAATTGACTCAGTCTTTTCTTTTTTTTTAACAGGTTTAGCTTTAGATCCATTGCTATTAATTTTCGCTTTCGCTTCAGCGATCATCTTATCAGAGTGTTTGACAATATGCGCACATAATTCATCCCTGTCTTGGTTCAGCGTTCCACACAGTGGACATGGAAACGGGGGTCCTGTAGTTTCTGATTCATTTTTACTAGCTGCGTGAACCCATCTTACATGTTCTCTAAGTACGACTTTCTGATTAAAAGCACGAGAACAGAGTGGACAAACATGTGGACGTTCACCAGTATGAATTCTTTCATGTTTTCTCAATGTTCCACCATCTCTAAAAGCTTTCCAACAAAATTTGCATCCATATGGCCGTTCTCCAGTATGAGTTCGATGATGAATAAGATAACCTTGTCTAGAAGAGAATGTTTTGGAACAAGTATCACAGTGAAAATGTGCTGGACTACCTGCGTGAGTTCTTCCATGCTCCCATAAACCTTGTCTAGATACAAAACTTTTGCCACACTCATTGCATGTAAAGGGTGAGTCTCCAGGATGAGCTGCAAGCCGATGTCCGTCTAATTGGATTTGTTTCTCAAATTGTGTACCACAGACTTCACATGAGTGTGTTTTTTTTCGATGAATCCATTGATGTCTAAACATTTTTTGTTTCGTTGTAAATTTTTTACCACATTCAGAACAAACATGTTTACCCCATTTATTATTAAGAGCTCCTTGATCAGAGTTATTTTGCATTAATTTTTTTGCACAAGTAGTTTGATGCGATGCCAAATGATTTGAATCTTGAAACTGTTTATCACAATATTCACACTCAATCGGCATAATCCACGTCTTTGGAGCATGAATTTTTTCATGAACTTTCAAAGCTGTAGCTTGAGAGAAATTCACGCCACATTGTTTACATGTGTAAGATTTAGTATCTTTTGTTTCAGTATTGACAAAGTTTATTTGATTTTCTTCAGCAGAAGAAAGAGTTTCAATTTTGACTAGAGAATTGGGATTTTCAAAAGAGTTCATATTTAGATTATATTGTTGTGGTATTTGATTAGATGAAATTTGTGCATAATCAAATGAAGCAACTTCTCCATTTAACATCACAGTGAATTCTGGTAAACTAGAATTTATTTTATCAGAACTATTCACCAAAGTTACGTTTGTTTGATCATTCTGAAGTGTGTAAGAAGCCGGCCATTGAACTGAAGTGATATCATAACTTTGAATAGTTGAAACTGAAGAAGACGAAGATGAAGACATATTTTGAGACTCTGACGTATTTACTTCAGGCCATTTTTTAAAAGAATCTGCTATTTGAGAAGTGTTACTTTCTGAATTTTGACTAATAGCTCGTCCAGCAATGTAGGTATGTATTTTCATATGATTAGATAAACTCGACGATCTCTGAAAATCCGCACTGCATACTGTACATTTATGAGGTTTCTCCATGCGATGTGCTTGAGACATGTGAGTTTGAAGATTAATTTTAGAGCGAAATAAATTACCACATATCCTACAAGCATGAGGTCTATCAACTTGGTGGCATACAATATGATTATTGAGATCAATTTTTCGTTCAAATTTTTCTCCACAAGTTGAACAATTAAATTTTTTAGCTGAAAGCCTACATGATTCTTGATGTTTGCTTATTTCTGATTGAGAGAAAAAATATGTACATGTTGAACAACTTATCTTTTTATCCTCAAAACAAGGATACATTCCTCCTAATTGACGTAAAGCTTCCACAGCCATGGATTCATCATCGCCAGAAGTGTATTGTTGTTGTTCTTCTTCTTTTATATAAATCGGATAAGCTACGGAATTTTCTCCATCTTCATCAGATCGTTCCGCTAAAATTTCGACTGTTACTTGCCCTTCCGAAATATCATCATCAACATTGTTTACACAAATTTCTGTTAGTTCATCTTGCAAAACACAATCCTCTATAGACTCATGGATTTCCTCATTTGATGCGATATTTTGCTGCATTGTATCATGCACCCTTGTAACAGCGAATGTAATAAATTGTTCATTATCAGAAGCTTCCAAATCCATAATATAAAATAAAAAATTACACAAGATTAAAAAATTGGATAGAAAACAGCTGTTGCATCATAGAATGTAGTATTCAGTTGATTTAAATTATGGTTTTTCAAGTATCTACAATGTTAAAGGAAAACATTATATTAATTATTTAATAATATTTTAAAAACAACAATAACTAACATATACATATGTATATTTTACCTAGCATATAGTTTGTTGATCATCAAAATAAATGTTTAATTCAAAAACACATTTATCAATTTGAAAATATTATCTTCAATGATTAATAAATTTATGTAATTTATTAAATACTATTTAAAAATAAAAATTATTGAATAAACAAACTGTTTGATTAATAAAATACCAATGAGGTTAGGTTAGTTTTGCGAAAGATAAAGTGCATAATTATGTAGGTATTTATAAATATACAGGAATCCGTAAACATAAACTTGTCTTCTATAGAAAGAATTTATTAAATAATTGTTTCGTACTACGGAACTCCATCTGACACATACAAAATCACACAAATTTACCATGTCTCGCAAAAGATATCGAAAAAATTATGAATCGTTATGAAAACTATACATACATACATGTATGTACATACAATATACATATATGTATATGTACATGTATATATCACTTTTTTTCTATGCATGCATGTGTCTACATATGTATGCATATGTAACTATAGTTACTTCTACGCCCTCAATAAATCTTTTACAACAATCAACTATAAACTCATATGCTTTGTTGATGTATTCTATCGATAATATAGAATAGCATTGTACATTTTGACACAAAGTGTGGTTTATGATTGATGAAACAAACATTGGAAGTGTCAATAATATTATTTACCAATAAATATGTCATTTAAATTATTAAATATCTTAAAAAGTTAAATATTTACGTAATAACAATTAATCATATTAATAACACTTCTGACAGTGAAAGGCGTAGAGCAAAAGAAAAATTGAAAATAATGATGATTAGAAAGTAACTTACATTGAATCAATGGGAAATAGTAACATTTCCGAAAAAAGGGAATGATTGAATTTGTAATTCTTTAATATTTCATTAAAATGGATAGTTTCTGAATAACTCAAGATGAACTTGAAATAATTTTTAAATTTTCGACGTCATTACACTTTAAAAGTGAAATGAATTTAACTAAAATAATTGTACCTTGACAGATTAATGCGTTTTTATTAAAACACATTTAAAGACCAATTCCTATTTTCAAATTAATTAAGTGTACAATGGAGAACACGATTAATAAGGTATTAATTATTTATATACAATTAAATTTATTAAAATAATTTTTATTCATAATATTAGAAATTAATAAAATTATTTTAGGATGATCAAGAGAATCAAGATGATGCTGATTCTGGAGTAGATGAAGTAGAGCCTCGATTAAAGTATGTTCGAATGCAAAATAGCATTAAAAATATTCTCCAAGATGATGCAGCAAGTTGCATAGCAGTCCATCCAAAGGTAAGGTATTTACATAAATCTAACCTCAAAAAATTTTAATGTTAATATAAATTTATTTTTAGTTTCTTTGTTTGGGCACACATATGGGAAAAATTCATCTCCTCGATCATCAAGGCAATATAATTCCATCACAAACTCTTCAAGCTCATTCTTTAACGGTGAATCAAATTTCAATTGATTCTAAAGGTGATTATATTGCTTCATGTTGTGACAAAGGAAAAATTTTTATCTATGGCTTATATACTCGTGAGAATAATCATATAATGAATTTAGAACGTCAAGTGAAGAGTATAGCAATAGATCCTAACTATTCGAAGCCAGGCAATAGTAAAAAATTTATAACTGGCGACGATAAACTAATTCTTTATGAAAAAACATTTTTATCTCGTATGAAGTCAACAGTTCTATGTGGAGCAGAAGGTGGAGTTCGATCTGTAGCTTGGTCAGGTCAGTTTGTAGCTTGGGCATCAGATACAGGAGTTCGTGTTTATGATCTAAATGCTCGATGTTCATTGGGTTTGATGCAATGGCCTCGAAGTTCAGACGCACTCCCTGAAAATTATAGATGTAATTTACGATGGAGCGGAGATCGAACTCTATTTATTGGTTGGGTTGATACTGTACGTATTTGTCAGATACGTAAACGATCAGCTCAAGAAATGATCAACAGAGATCTTCCTGAACTTGTAGTTGATCCTATTTCCACTTTTCAAGTTGACTTTTTTATATCTGGAATAGCTCCTTTGGAGAATCAATTAGTTCTTCTCGGCTGTTTAAAAGAACCTAGTGAAAAGGGAACCAGTCAACGTCCGACCCTTCATGTTGTAGAACCCAAATATCAAGATTTTATTGATATTTCAGCTAATTATTTAGGATTAAGGGGTTACGATCAATATCATTGCAATGATTATCATTTGGATTGCCTGCCAGAAGAAAACCGATTTTTTATTGTAAGCCCGAAAGATATAGTTGTTGCAAGTTTATATGATGCTGATGATAGAATTGAATGGTTATTATCTCACAAAAAATTTGAACAAGCCCTTGAAGCTGTACAAATGAATAACGGTAAAGACTGCAAACATACATTGATTTATGTTGGCAGGGTTTATTTAGATCATTTATTGGCCTGTGGAAAGTATAATGAAGCAGGAAAATTATGCCTCAAAGTACTTGGTCGTGATAAAAAATTATGGGAAGAAGAAGTTTATAAATTTGCACGTGTACATCAGCTTCGGTCGATTTCTTCTTACCTACCTCGGGGAGATGTTACTCTGGATCCTCTCATTTATGAAATGGTTTTATATGAGTATTTGAAAATGGATCCTGACGGATTTCTTCAACTAGTAAAAGAATGGCCTCCAACTCTTTATACAGTTGCTGCAGTCGTCAATGGAGTATTAGAACATTTACTTGTTCATAATCAAAGACAGAATGTTCTTTTAGAGGCTCTCGCTATCCTTTATAGCCATGATGGGAAGTACGACAAAGCTCTAGCTATGTATTTAAAATTACGACATAAAGACGTATTCCAATTAATTCAGAAATATCAATTTTATCATTCCGTTTATGATATGATTGAAGGATTAATGGATCTCGATACTGACAGAGCAATTCAATTTTTTTTAGACAAAAATCGAATTCCTCCTGACATAGTTGTACAAAAATTATCCAATAATCATCGATATTTATATCTATATCTTGATGCGTTAGATAAAACTGATACAAAAGATTCAAAAGGAAAGTATCATGGATTATTAATCAGACTTTATGCAGATTATTCTCGGGATAAGCTGCTTCCACTGTTAAAAAGATCAGATAATTATCCCATTCAAACTGCTCTTGATATCTGTAGCCAACGACATTTTTATCCAGAAATGGTTTATCTGCTCGGCAGGATAGGAAATACTTCAGAAGCTTTAAGTTTAATGACAAAAGAGTTAAACGACATCCAAGGTGCTATAGCTTTTTGTCAAGAACACAATGATGAAGAGTTATGGAATGATTTAATCAATTACTCATTGCAAAAGTCAGAAAATATCACATTTTTACTCCAAAAAATTGGTACTTACGTTGATCCAAGACTTTTGGTTCAGAAGATTGAACCTTCAATGGAGATTCCTGGTTTGAAGAAAGCCTTAGTTAAAATGATGTGTGATTATAACTTACAAGTATCAGTTCAAGAAGGATGTAAGAAAATTTTATCAAATGATTATTTCAATTTACACGAGAAATTAGTAAAATCTCATCATAAAGGATTTTACATTGACGATGATCAGATGTGTGGAGCATGTCATGGAAAAGTAATAGTTAGAGATCCAAGAAATCTAGTCGTTTTTTACTGTAAACATTTATTCCATGAAGATTGTTTACCAGATTTTGAACGAGTTGAAAATTGTGTGATTTGTAATCCACAAAAGAACCAAATAATCAATAAATAAAAAGATTGCGGATGAGATTTATATTAATAGTACATTGCTGTGCGTTTAAGTTTTAATGTAAATATAAAATTGCTTCTAAATTTTACCATGATTATTACTAGAACTATTAATAAATACTGAAATATAAAACTAAAAGATTTTAGTTTTAATAATAATTATGATAATAATTAATTAAAATCAATATGAAAAGTAGGAAAATTATTTTTTTATGCTTCATCTTTTTTTATAATATATATATATTATAGTATATATATATATATATGCAAAAATAAGTATTTAAAATTAATTATTTAATTACGAATAATTATGTAAATATGTATTTCTTGTAATTATAAGAGACAAATTATATGAAATAATTCGTAAAAATAACGAATAAATATACTTTTTAAACTTGAACAAATTGATTGATAAACTATTCTTGAAAATTGTGTAAATTTATTAATTAATTTAAGTGAATATTTTTAATACTTTTTAAAATTGTTAATAATTGTTTTGGTTTAAAATGAATTTTTACAAATCATTTAATTGTATCGACTTGTTCTGTCATATCAACTAAGCAATGTGTATCATCAAGAAAACATAACCTTATAATTAGTAAAACGTTGTTTTACGTGCGATACATACTGTTAAAAGTTTTATTATTAAGCAGTTTCATTGTTTTAACTAAAACTATTTTAATACAAGAATAAATAATTAATATTTAAAAAATGGTAGGGCATGAAAAAAAAACACGTAGAAGCAGATCAAGAGAACGAGAACGTGATAGAGATCGAGACCGTGAGCGTGATCGTGAACGTCGTCGACGTTCTCGAAGCCGATCAAAAGATCGAATAAAAAAAGAACGAAAACGTTCAAGATCTCGTGAAAGAGACAGATCAAGAGAACGAGATCGAGAACGTCCAAGATCACGCGAAAGACGTGATGCCAAAGATAAACCTCAAGAAAAAGCTCGAAAACCTAGTCCAATATTCAACATTGATGAAGAAAATGCTAAAAAAGAAAGTATCAAGGCTTCATCTTCAACAACAGAAGTCAAGAAAGATGAAGAAGAAGTGGAAGAAAAACCAAAAGAAATTATTAAAAGGGAGCCTTTGAGTTTAGAAGAACTTTTAGCAAAGAAAAAAGCTGAAGAAGAAGCTCGAGCGAAGCCAAAATTTCTCACTAAAGAGGAACGAGCAGCTCTAGCTCTACAAAAACGTCAAGAAGAAGTTGAAGCTATGAAAAAGCAACAAGAAGAAGCTAAAAAATTAGTTATTAATCAGAAAGACCGGGAATGGGATGATCGTGATCGTCGACGAGAAGGCCAGAGACTTAGAGAAGAAGAAGTTAAAGATAAAGATAAAGAAAAAGAAGTAGAAGCTATCAAAGAACGATATCTAGGACTTGTTAAGAAGAAACGTCGAGTACGACGTCTAAATGATAGAAAATTCGTATTTGATTGGGATACCTCTGAAGATACTTCAGTAGATTATAATAATATTTATAAAGAGCGTCATCAAGTACAATTTTTTGGTCGAGGAAACTTAGCAGGAATTGACATTAAAGCTCAAAAAAGAGATCAAAGTAAATTTTATGGAGAATTGTTGGAAAAAAGACGTACGGAAGCTGAGAAAGAACAGGAAAAAATGAGACTTAAGAAAGTAAAGAGAAAAGAAGAAAAACAAAAATGGGATGATAGACATTGGTCAGAAAAAGCTCTAAATGAAATGACTGAAAGAGATTGGCGAATATTCAGAGAAGATTATAATATTACTATTAAAGGTGGTAGAATTCCAGACCCTATAAGATCATGGAAAGAATCAGGGTTTCCTAAAGAAATTCTTGACATCATAGACAAGGTCGGTTATAAAGATCTTACTCCTATTCAACGTCAAGCTATTCCAATAGGTTTACAAAATCGAGATATAATTGGTGTAGCTGAAACTGGTTCTGGTAAAACTCTGGCATTTTTGATTCCCCTTCTGCTGTGGATTACGAGTTTACCAAAGATTGAAAGGTTAGAAGAAGCTGATCAAGGTCCATACAGTATAATATTAGCTCCCACTCGTGAGTTGGCTCAGCAAATTGAAGAAGAAACTAATAAATTTGGACAACCTTTGGGAATTAGGACTGTTGTCGTTGTCGGAGGATTATCAAGAGAGGAACAAGGATTCAGACTTCGGATGGGTTGTGAGATTGTTATTGCCACTCCAGGACGATTAATTGACGTGTTAGAGAATAGGTAATTTATGAACATATTTTATTGATTTGATTTTTTAATATGAATATTAATACAAATAATTAATGTTTCAAACAGATATCTAGTCCTGAATCAATGTACCTATATTGTATTGGATGAAGCTGACAGAATGATCGATATGGGTTTTGAACCAGATGTCCAAAAAATTCTTGAATATATGCCGGTTACTAATTTAAAACCTGATAATGAGGATGCAGAGAATGAAGAAAAATTATTGGCCAATTATAATACAAAGAAGAAGTATAGACAAACTGTGATGTTTACTGCTACTATGCCAGCAGCTGTAGAAAGATTAGCAAGAACTTACTTAAGAAGACCTGCTATGGTTTATATTGGCAGTGTTGGTAAACCAACGGAACGAACTGAACAAATTGTTCACATTATGGGAGAAGCTGATAAAAGGAGAAAACTTATGGAAATTCTTAGTAGAGGAGTTGAACCTCCTATTATTATATTTGTTAATCAAAAGAAAGGAGCTGATGTTCTCGCTAGAGGACTTGAGAAACTTGGAGTGAGTTTTTACAACTTAAAAATAACTTTCAAAAATATTTTTTTAATTTACAACAGTAGTACTATATGTTATTTAAATTACTTTTAATTTCTAGTATAATGCTTGTACTCTTCACGGTGGCAAAGGACAAGAACAACGAGAATATGCATTAGCATCACTTAAAAGTGGAAGTAAAGATATTTTGGTTGCTACCGATGTTGCTGGTCGTGGTATAGACATCAAGGATGTGTCTATGGTTATTAATTATGATATGGCAAAAACTATCGAAGGTTAAAATTAAAAAAATTGTCTTTACAAATAAAAAAAAATTTGACTTTCAAAAATTAATAAATTTTTTCTGTATTTTAGATTACACTCATCGTATTGGAAGAACGGGCCGAGCTGGAAAAGCAGGTTTAGCCATTTCCTTCTGCACGAAGGATGATAGTCACTTGTTCTATGACCTTAAACAAACTATTTTAGCAAGTCCAATATCAACTTGCCCACCGGAATTATTAAATCATCCAGAAGCTCAACACAAGCCTGGAACTGTAGTGACCAAAAAACGACGCGAAGAGAAAATATTTGCTTAAAGTTATTACAATGTGAAAAGTAAGAGCATTGATGTATTAGAATATTAAAATTTTTAATTAAACAATTAACAATTAAGTTAACAACAATTAATAACACTATTAATAATTAAGTTAATTATCTTAATTAGGTAAGTAGAATTAATCGAATTAATGATTAAATCAATCCAAATGATTAGTTTCTTAAATAATTGACAATTAATCTATATTTTAAATACAAGTTCATTCATTAATGATTATTTAAAATTAATGATATTAAAATTATATTAAGTTACTATGTAAAAATATTAAAGAATGATTAATTGTCAAAAAATTTAAATAAAACTAATCCTATATTTTTTTTTGGACTGGTAATTCTCGATTAATTCAATTAATTCTCAAAATCACAGATCATTTTTTTTCTAATATTTTAGTCAATCTAATAGAAGTTTTTTAATTATTTTCACGCTGGTGGTGCGTTTGGAATTACATAATTAGGGTCGTCTACTTTACATTCTTCTTCATAATTTTCTGGAATTACTGACTTAGTAGCTTCTATAAATTCGTCTAAAGTACAAGAGGTACCACATCCAGGAATATCAAGCGGTTCAGTTTTGTAATCGGGAGAATTTTTATAAAATACTTGAACATACCATTTTTCATGATTTTCATGGAGTTCAAACAAAATCATAGCATTATATCCTGGATCTTTGCGATCCCATACATTTAGTGCAGTTAAAATGTTGGCTAGAGTATTGTCATGAGCAATATATGCGTACATTTTTCTTTGTGGAGGCTTTAACGTTCCCTCAGCTTTTTCCTTCATTTTGCGAGTTAATTTTTTCAAAAATGGCCCACCTGCTAGTCGTCGAAGTTCTTCATTGAACACGTTCATAGCAAGGTGGAAGTTTGATAATGGCTCCATTTGTTCGGGATAGTAGTCTTTAGTCCATTCCGGTAATTGAAGACCCATAGTTTCCTGAATAAAAAATTTAATTATATTAGATAAAACATCGTAATTATGTTACATATAAAAATATAAATGAATTACTTACTTCTGATTTTAATGTACCATAAATATCACTAATATCGCTCAGAGAATTCATTTTTTGACCAGACAAGTGCTCAACTTCTTCGAACATTGGTTTATACTTTTTATTCATATTCTGGACTAATGTTTCATTCTGGATTTTCATACGTTCCATAGTATATTTGGGACAAGCATTCCAGATAATTAATAGCTTGAAAATAGAAAGAAAATTTCTTTTTAACACTATATAAAAGTTATGAAAAATTTTCACAAAATTATTGTATTATTGTTATTTTAGATAGTGATGAATAATGAATTGGGGATATACACCTTATCTTCAGTTCGTGTCCAATAGTGAAGTACAACAGGTTGCCAATTAACATCAGGTTTAAATGTTTGTTTTTCATCTGGCTTCCAGAGAGCAGATGCAAGAATCATTGCAGTCATTTTGGCTCTATCTGCTGAAGTACTTTGAAGCCAAAATTTTGTTGGAGTATATTCAGAACCCAGAAAATTTCCATAACGATCTCGTAGGTATAAGCCTTCGTTATAGACATTGAGTCTACCTTTCTGATAGAAATAGAATTGATATAAATAATTGAAAGTAATAATTAAAAATAAGCCATTTAAAAGAATGTTTTTTTCACTACAATTTAATTACCGAATAATACAATAAAAATATTATCAAACATCGAATAGTTGAAGTGAAATATTTAAAAAACACTATTTTCTAATTTTTATGGAAATTTTATATATACAAAAATTAATTAGAAATTTTTTGATTTATCAATGTATAGCAATAAATGTTAAAATTTTCAATTATTGAAATAATTAACTATACTCTGATAGTTTATTTCAGTATTTTTAGCTGAATCTAAAAATTAACCATTAAATTTAAAATGAGTTAAGATTTTTGTAAATTAAAAAAAGACGAAAACGTCAAGTGATTATCATAGATTAATTTAACCTGTAATTTATTTTATTTCAAAGTATATGAAAGTTTATTCAATATTTGATTCAACAGTAAAGCACATCTCATTCTAATATAAGTATTGCAATAGTGTATTTAAATAAGTTTTATTGAATTTACGATTTTTCTAATTAATCGCTTTATTTTTACGATTTTATTGAATACTGTAGGATTTTTGAGTGTTATAAATAGTGAATTCTACAATCTCTATTTAATCAGGAAATATCGATAAAATACCAATAAAAAAGAATTGATAAATTCTTCCATTTTTTAAATAGCTTGTTAATACTTATAAATATCTTACATTTGTAAGTTGCCCCCATCCATAAGGTTCCATTGTAGAATTCAAGTAAGGGTCATTTGGATATGTACTTACTGGTGCTCGTTGTCCATGTCTCATTAACTATATTCATAAAATCAAATAATTAATTAATTTTTTAATAAACAATAATTTTCTTGAAAATTGCTAGGTAATTGAAAGAAAAAATGGCTTGTGGTTTTTTTTAAATATTTGAAGCATTTAAATGCTTTGTTTGATATGACCAATCGATTGTATAATAAAATAGTAATCCTAATATAACTATTATTATTGTTATTATACAACAGCAACGTGTTAGTAAGAAGCACAGCATTATTATATGTAAGAAATTTTTATTATAGAAAAAACTATAAATCAACGACAAAAATAAGAGCAACTTTCTTTAAATATATTAACGATGTCATAAAAAACTGAATTTATTTTTTAAAAAAATAGTTTTTTCAATGACAAAATTTGTTTAACAATAAAACAATGAATGAAGTATTTTGTTTTTGTTTACATTTGAAAGTTGTAACATATTAAACAAAAAATAATTCATGCTCTTAAAATACAAATTCACACTATAAATAAAAAAATTAAGTGATAATATTTTTGAACTTAATAAAGAGTTGTTTAAGTACATACTAGTGTCACTTGTCGGAGAGTTTTTTCATTTAATTTTTCATTTCCAACAGACTTCTCATCATCTTTCGGTAGCGGAGATGCTAAAAAAATTAATTTTTGATTAATTTATTAAAAGACACGTATTTGTTTGTGTACTATTGATTTATAACTTCATTTCATATATATATATATATTGATAAAATTAAAAGTTTTTTAATATATTTACCTGTTGTGGCACCTAGGAGTGTAAGACTAACCCAAACTACTCTAAACCGAAACATAATAAGTAAATAATATTTTGAATAGATAATAATAAAATGAATGTTATATTAATTAATTGACGATCTCCACGTGTTTGTGCGAAAGATTTGAATTTCACACGCGGGAGATCGTATTTACACTGGTCTTATTCGACAGACTCGAGCTTAGATAAGACTCTCCCCACTCTAATAACTGAAAAAAATTGCGGAAAAAGACAAGAAAAACACATTTAAAAAATGAAGTGATGAGTATAAGAAAAAGAAAAAAAGACGAGAAAGAAAAACTATCAACCATTAGATCAATTTATATGTATAAAATGATTTCTCTTTTCATCGACTGTAACTTGTATCATTGTATATGTTTATGATTAATTATTTTTTGAATAATGCATAAACCGCAGTGTTTACATTATCAATGGACTTATGACATCTTCAACTAACTAAAATGACCTTGGATCATTGGAAATAATAATCTAAAATTGATAATTAGTGTACTTGAAATAAAAAATGAACTTGTAAATTTTCACGAAGAAAACCACTAAGTCTTCCTTCTGTTAATTATCAATTTACTGTTTTGATTAGATTACTTTTTTTTTTTACTCACTCAAAATATTTTGCAATATTCAATAATTCATTCATTGGTTTATAAGAATTTTTTTTGTTTTTTTTTTTCATTTCTTTGTTTATTTCATAAATAATCTTTTTTTTTAATCCTGACGACTTATTTTTAGTACAAAACAATTAAACTTTCGATCTACGAGTTAATCCAGGTTATTTTTAATGTAAACAAAGTATATTTTTAATATTTTTTATGAAAGAAAAGAGTTGAATATTTCGTAATATATTTTTAATTAATCATTGTTAGGTGAAAGGTATTTAAAGTAAATAAATTAAAGGTTTCTTTGTGTCAAGTTTATTAAAATTCTTGATTGTTTCATGATAATTATAATATTATGTAACAGAGCTTAGAAAATATTAGATATTATTTCAATGTCTTATAATGATATGCATTGAATAATTACTTATAGAAGGTCAGAACTATCACGTTTTTTCAGAATACCGAGACATGAATGTTAATATGGAAGGAACTTTAAGAAAAAGGACAACAGGAAATAACCCAAAACGCTAATTTTCTGATAAAAATATATTCTAATCTATATAATGTGAAAAAAATATAAATATTTTTATACCATCACACATAAATTTATTATTAATTAATAAAAGTAAATGTATTTGATGCTCATAATAATCTTGCATTCAAGGGTTGCATCATGAAGGTAAAAAAGGATTGAAAGTTGACCAAGGTCGAAGGAAATGCCATAAATAAAATGGACCTAATTGTAATAGAATTGTACCGAGAAGTGATAATAATATTCTCGTGTAGATAACTCGTGATTAATCATGAGAAACTAGGACTAATAGAATTTAATGCGGGTACAAAGATCCAATTTATTTATTTATAGTCGGATTAAATTATTAAAACAGACATAATATTTATAATAATAGAAAAAAATGATAATTTATTGATTAATAAAACAATTTTTTTTAAAGAAATTTTATTAAAATTATAATCATACTTAGAAATAAATATTTCATATTTAATATTCAAATAATCTCATGTAATATTAGATATAATTGACTCTGGTATTATATAATGATTATAATAATTATTGTATAATCAATTAATGAGATGTTTCTATCTTATGTGCCATTAAAAATGATACAAAATCAGAAAAATTGTAAAATCTATTATATTCGTGATTAAAATGAAGTAAAAATTAATTATCTATTAATATACTACAATGAATTAAACAGTATAATAAAAACAACATTTCTTTTGTAAAACAAATATATCGAGCTATACAAGGGGAACGAGTAGTTTTTAAAAAGCTTTTTGTCTTCTTTTCACGATCGTCATTTATAAAAGTTATCCATCATAGTAACCACAGATCAACAAATTTGTAGATCATTTCAACACATAAAAATAATTTTCATTATAATTTATAGAGCATATTAAAATATTAATAATCATATACAATGAAAGTTAAAGAAAATTCGTCTAAGAATCAATTAAATACTAATAAAAATTCACCAGCAATGGACCGTTTGAGTGAAGATGGAGGTCGAAGAGCTGGTTCAAAATCTTCTAATAGCCGAAAATCACGTCGTAGAAAGCCTAGAAGTGCTACAAATGAGTCTAAGGTATTTTTTTTTATTGATACATTTTAATGCATTCAAATATTTTCTTTTGTTGTTTAATTATCCATCAGACAAGATCAAACGTTTATTTGGATAACAAAAAAGAATTATCATCAAAGTCTGCAGAATTTTCCTATCATCAAAGTTATCCATCAGCATCTAATTCAGCTCCACATATTCAAAGTCAAGGCAACAATAATCACGTTACCCTGAGACCTCGGTCACTTTATACAGTTCATAGTTATCATCCAGTCCCAGAAAATAATTTTCAAGTAAGGAATATTTAGATGAATACTGAGTTATTTTTTCATAAATACAAAAAATTATAATGATGTATTTTTATTTTGTAAAAAAATATTTATACCAAAAAAGAAACGTAAAAAAATAAAACGAAAATGAATGAGACATTATTATAGACATCTTGGACATTGTTTTCGTGATGATATGATAATGATTTAATAGCTTTAATTGCATGGTTATTTTATTAAAGATAATTCCGCTGAAGTTTTCCTTAAAGTCGTATTTATAGATGTAATTTTGATTCTATTTTTATTTTTTATTCATCAAAAGATGTTAGCTAATAGATAGATCCTTATCGTTAAGATTTATTTATGTATCTTTTGAATAAATTATAGAGATTCAATGATTATACCAAGTATTTGGAAGTTTCTCCATCTGATCAGTGGCCAGGAACAGATAATGAAACTTCTTACTTAAGTCCAGGTGCAATTTGGAGACAGAGAAATCTTAAAACTCCAATTATCAATTCCTACTACGGTAATTCTGAAGAAAAGGGTATTTACTCGGATTGTTGGCGAGAACAAGATAGCGAAAATTTGTCTGTTGGTGCTGTAGCTACACCTTATGGCACTATTTCTTTAAGACTTCACAACAGAATTCGCGTTGATATGACAGTCGATCGAGCTATCAGAGTGATTAATTTCAAGGTAAAAAAAATTTAATACTTCAAATGCAACTAAAATTACCATGTAACTGTTTTTCAGAATAATATTGTATTGAGTTTGAGTGGGTCAGGATCAGCTTCAGCTCTTCTTCATCCAAATGGACGAATTTACCAATATGGATCACGCGTAGAAATTCTAGCTCATGATTCCAATGGAAATCATAAGTTTGTTTTTTTCAATTAATTCGAAAAAAACATTAATAAATAGATAAAGCAAAAATATTTTTTCACAATTTAATATAAACATTTTAGTAAAATACCAAACTTTTATTGTTTCGTGTTTTTATGAACCATTAATTACTAGATTTTTTTTTGAGACTTTATTTTAAGTGTGAATAAATATATTTATTCATATTTGATAATTGAAAATTAGGTACGCAAAAATGTGGTATAAAGGGATAAGTTTCACTTCGGAACAGTGTGCTTTAGTATATCTTGTTGATGCTGCCGGAACAAGGACAACTACAGATTCGTTCTCAGATATGAGTCAAGTAAATAAGTCATTAATTGTTATTTAAAATTATTTTAATTATTAAATAAAATACTTTTATGAGTTTTTTAAAATCATATATATAATATTTACAGTGGATACATTAATTAGTTTATAATTACTTTTATAATATTTGACTTTTTCTTTATTGATTACAGAATTTTTCTCTCAGTGTATTTTATTCTGAGTCTCGTCACGGCCCATCGTATGTTCAAGAGGCAACATCAGCTTTGTCGTCTGCACAATATTGGTTAACTGATGAGGGAATTGAAAATTGGATTATTAATAATGTTCGAATATCTCAAACACCTGATGGACTTGTCAGGTATTCCAATTTTACAATATTTCAGAATAAAAATAATGAACTATTTAGCATCTATGAAAAGTTATAATAAAAAATGATATTTAATTAACTTTTACCTGAATTTGTTTTGATATTCTCAATAAACGTTGTATATGTTTATACTGAATTTTACTTTTGTTTACAGGATTGCAAGAAACAGTAACAAATATCAATTAAGAACATCACCAACAAATGGAACAGCTTCTTTAACTACTCCATTTCTTCGCTGTACTGCATCCTTAGGCCAGACATCACACTTATTTGTACGTCGCGGTGAAAGACGAATGCATTATGACGGGACAAGTTTTATTGTTAGAAATGCTGGTCACAGTGCAGGATTTGATGACAATAATCAGCTAAAAGTTTATTAGCATTCAATTTACTTTTTGTTGTCATGTTTTTTTGTTCCCCTTTTGTCAAGCTTTTTCAGTAGACAAAAATCATTTTGTTTATTTTTCTTTGAATATTTATTAAATAAAATTATGACAACGCTTATCTTTATTAATCTCTGAAAAAAGATAAATAATACAATTTTTTATTTCTTCAAGTTTCTCTTTTATACTTTTTACTTAATCGTACTTTTTTATTTAATTAATCTTTTGAAATCATGTTTTGTAATTAACATTCAGCAATTGGATTTTAATTTTTTTAGTTTTTGTAATAATTCATTGCAATTCATTAAAACTTTCTTTTAATAATATTGATCAGTCATCTGAATCGGACGATTCCTCTGATGATTCTGTGTCACCACTACATTCCATCTTTAAATTTAGAGTGTTTCCATTATCTTTTGATGTAGAAGGTAATAAGTCTTCGAAATTTTCATGAGAAGTTGATGGCTTTGATATATCAATTTTTCCACTGCTGCGTAAGCTCATTGTTGTTTTAACTGGTACAGTTGTTTTTTTTGAAACAACAACATTATTTAAATTCTCTATTTCTCCAACCATTTTTGTAATATTTTCCATTTTGAATAATCTTGGTATATCTTCACCTGTCATCTGTTCTGATGCATTCTTTAAATCAACATAGTTCTTACTTTGTTTTTTTAAATCATCAAATATACTGATAAGATCACTTTTAGGTTGTGGATCTCTTTTTATAAACTCTTTCATGGAGTAGTAATTCTCTAATCTTCTCTACAAAATATTTATATGTTAATGCAATATTTATCTATAAAACTTCTAACATAAAATAATTTTATAACTTACCTCATGTTCAAATGTACAGTAAACAAAAGCATTGTTTTCAATTAATTGATTAAGAATATATACTGCTTGATATTCATGGTGATGAATTAATTCAGATTGTAAATTTAAAACAATTTCCCAATCGTTCATTGTCATACGAATTTTTGGTCCTCCTACGGGCATTCTGTAATATAATCCGTATAACAAATAAACACCACCAATTTTTTCTTTTAATTTTCTCGACGCTAAGAGAAAATTTTTAGCACTATGAAGAACTTCTTCACAAAATTCCATTAATTCAGGTTTTGTTGATCTCTCACTAATTGTATAAGTAATAAAATTAAAATGACTAACTATTGATAAAAATTAACGGTATTTTGAGAAATAAGTATTATTGTTTTACTTACATAAATATCAACGAAAATCGCATTTTATTCCAAATTTTAGAAAATTCTTTAAAACTAGTTGAATCGGTATTTTCAAATTCTGAAATAAGAATATTACAATCTTCTTGAAAACCTGATGCAACATAAAATGACCGATAATTTTCCATATTTATCAATAAATAAACATTGTACACAGAAATTGAAATAAAAATAAAAATTTCCAAGTTTTTTTATTGAAATTACATAAAATACAGAGTAATTCCAACTGTTTCTTCGATGAAAAGAGGTTAGAATGTGTTTCAATAGAATACATTTATAAAATTTGAATTGGCTTACTTGCAGCAAAGAAAAGAGATAATATATAGAAGAACCATCCCAATGAGAGCTGTTGGACGGTAATTTTTACCTACTAACAGGTTATATGGCTGGGGATACAAAGCAAATGCTAAAATTCCATATGTATCCCCAAGAATTTGTCCAACGGATCCTTATGCGGTGGCTCTTCTATATTATTTCTTTTCTCTGCTTGCAGGTAGCAGTCAAGATGAATTTGAAAATTTAAAAATCCCGCTTGGAATAAGATTAGTCACGTGACTGAATATTTAATATGGCGACGTTTGTCCCAGCTGTCGCTAGAGTTCAAGTGATTGACTGAAAATTTAGGTTATTATCATCAGTTTATTATTTTTATGGTCAGAAATTTTAGAAAATTAATGAAACTAACAACAAAACTATTAATTAATATGATACACTGTGTAAAATAATAAAAAATTAGTATCAAATCAATCTGATAGGATATTGGGAAAATCAAATCATCAATTATTTTCTTTTGTGCATATTATGGCTGATAATCCACCTGGTAATACGAACGAAGCTATTATATCCCAAATAAAAACATTATTATGGGGTAATAATGTTAAAGAAGATGTATTTAATCGTTGGGCACAAGGTTAGTGTAAAATGTTATTTATTTAACCTTACCGAACATCTTCTCTAATTGAATGTATATTTTTTTAGGATTTCTATTTTCTCCAGATGAACCTACAGCTTTAGTTCAACTAGAAGGTGGACCTTGTGCTGTAATTGCACCCGTACAGGCATTTATTATAAAGGATCTATTGAAGGAAGGTCCTCCAGATACGTGGAGTAGTATTTCTAGTGATAAACAAGATGATTTACTCATTAAAGCTGCTGTAGAAATAATTTCTCAAGCATCCAATCAACATTCTCCACAATATTCAGTTGTTTATTTTGCTGAAACTGGAGATGATATACCAAATGGTGAGGGTACAGATGAAGAATCTAGTGGAACACTTGAATCTCAAGAGATTTCAAATGATAACGAAATTAAACGTGAAGAATCAGTTACATTAAAATTAATTAGATCAGATTATTATCATTCAAGATTGAGGATATTTACAACTATGAGTTTAGATGACGTTAAGCGATATTTAACTATGAGAATTGATACTTTAAAAGGACCCTATGGAGTCTTATTACTGTTATACACAGTTGTTAGTACCAAAGGAATACCAGGAATGCGATCAGAAATGTCTGACCCTAGTGAACCAGCTATTGATTCTACTTACGGATATGGTAGTCAAAGTCTAATTAATTTAATGCTTACTGGACGAGCTGTTGGCCATGTATGGGATCACGATCAGGATGTTGGTGGATTAAGTAAATATTTTTTTATGAACAACTAAATTATAGTGAAATCTGATTAAGGGGAATCTAAACGTACCATTAATTTTGTCTCATTTATGATAGAAATATAATTTTTTTCTGTTATAGAGGTGCTAATATAAATATTAACAATATACTGATTTTTTATTATCTTTGTGTGTTGATATCATTAGTTACACTTTTTGATATTGAAAACGTTTAAATATTTTTCAAAGCAAGACTAAAAACAAAATAAGAATATTTTCAAATAAACATTTCACAACATATACTAGAGGTATCTAGTATCTATTAATAGAAGTTTCTAGATGCCTAAAAATGTCGGGATTTTTTATGAAAAATTGCGATTGTAGAGATTTTGTAAAGAATCAGGTTTCAATGTAATTGATAAAAGAATGCAAAAACTTTATTGATTTTTAATATTTATTTTTACAGAATTACGAGGAATCGACAAACAGAATACTGTAGGTTTTTTAGCTTTTCTTGAACACTTACGTTTTTGCGAAGTCGGAACATTCCTCAAATCACCGTCACATCCTGTATGGGTTCTTGGATCTGAAACACACTTGACAGTTCTTTTTTCAACGGATGAACGTCTTGTTAGTCCTGAAACTCCCGCTGAACAAGCAAAAAGAGTATTTAAAAAATTTGATCCGGAAGGAAATAATTTTATACCTACAAATTTGCTTCAAGACGTTCTTGCTGAATTAGGATTAGTTGCTGATACTGAATAGTAAGTTGCTAATTATAGTAATTTTTGAAAATAATATTTTTTCTAAGTTAATTAATGTATTGTGTTAATTTAGTGTGGATATAATAAGGAAGAAGTTGGACAGTGAGTCATTAGGAATAATATTATTGGCATCATTCATGGATGAATTTTTTCCAGAAGAGCCACGTACGTGTCCTGATGTATTTCCATTATATCATTACAATGGTTTACCTCGTAGTAATCCTGAAAATCGTATTAAATATCACCCTGGTCAAGCAGTGTTATTAGAGTGTACGGTTAAATGTATTTTGGACAGTAATCCGATGCTCACGGTATTACAAACCAAGTGGCCAAGCATTGAAGTGCAGTGGGATAATAATATAACACCGAGTTTGAATTAAAACAAAATTAACAGTAAATATTAATTGATAAAAGAAAGTTAGATTAATAATAACAATCGGAATAATATGAGTAACAATACATAATTAACAACAGAGATAAGAAAAAATGTAGCAATTATTTCTATGATGTGATGTTGAAGAAAAATCGTCGGAAGTGAGTTTTAAATACGAGAATAAATTAAATTTTTTGACAACTCATTAAAGTCATAAAGGAAGAAATATAGATTATAATTAAAAAACGATTTTAAGATTAATTATTAAAGGAAATGAATACAAATAATAAAACAAAAATTCATTTTTATTTTTCCGTTAACGTGATAACAAAAGAAAATATCTAGTAACATGTACTATCACTATTTTAAATTAAAACAATCATAATAATAATAATAATCATAATAATAATAACAATAATGACGATGGTGGTGGTGAGAAAATTAAACGAAATTGATACCTAATGAGTAGATCAATTGAAATAATATATCACGATGAGCGCCTTCTTAATTAATAGATATTTATTGAATAAAAAATAATAATAATAATGATAATAATAATTAAAATTTACATGTAATTAAATGTTCAAAATTAAAAATTACAAGCAAAAGTACATAGATACAAAGAATAAAACTGTGAATTACACGTTTATTAAAGCAATACTTTTATCGATTGCATTGATTATTTATGAATTTTCATTATTTTTTCTTAAAACTACTGCTATTACTATCGTTATTATTATTAAAATTATTATTATTATCATTATTGAAATAATTGTATCGTACTATGAATATGTTATAATATTAATATATTTTTTTAAAATTATTATTTTCATTATTGCATCTCAGTGAATTTTTTTTCATGACAGCAAATTATGTATAACAAATAAGACTTTAATCGTTACATTATTATTATAATATTAATCATTATTGAAATAAATAATTTAACAATAAACAATTTCAATAAAATTTACATTCATATTTAATATAATGAAATACAATTTTGCAATACACCTTCATTTATAGAATTACAATACTGATATTAAGGAATATTGATTAGTGATCATAAATTTCTTATTGTGCTAATGAACATGTAATTAATTTTTTTTCATAAATATTTATATAATAAGCAAACAATAATTTGTTTATGATACACTAATTTTTATTTATTTCATATTTTAATTATAACAATATTAATAATATTTATCACATTGATAATTAATTACTTGACAAGATTAAGGACTTTTATTATGGTAATAATTTTACTAAGTAATTAGCATTATTTATAACAATTTAAAATGAACTGTAGAACGTCAATTTTTTTTTATCAATTCATCTAAATTTACATTCTTTATTTTCTTTTATTTTTCAATAATTTTGTTCATTGTAATATTTAGATTTTTAGGAAATACGATAAGTTTTTTTTTTTTACAAATTTATTAGAATGTATAGACATTTAATTTTTATTATTTATAATATCTATGAATAATTGTTTTCAAATTAACTTATTCATAAAAATAAATCAGATAGTGTCACTCATAATGTGCGCGAATGTAATCAATTTAAATTAGATGATTTTAAGCCTGATAGTGTAAAAATGTTCGTCAGTTGTTTGAGCAATAATTCATATTTCATTAACGGACTCGTATTATTCATTGGTAAAACCATATTTTGGTATATATATAAATCAATTAATAAATAATTTAATAATAAAAATTTTCGTTAAATAGATGAGTGGTAATAGCTAACAATTTTATTAACTATACTCAATAAATACAGGAATATTATCCTTGAAGAATCAATTTAATTAGACAAGAATAAATATTATTTAACATCACCAATAATCTTTTAGTATACAAAAGAGGTTTAATAATAACCAAATTTGTTACCTTTCAGATAATTGTTTAAAAATTGAAATAATAAATTTACTCAATGTCTGCTTCTTTTGTCAGGATAAAAAAGACGAGGATAAGTCAAGCTTCTTAGTCGAATAATACTACTTAGGAATAATGTTATATTTTGAATTAAATTCAAATTATATAAATTATTTTTTACATTTTGCATAACTTGTTTATAACAATGAAAATTTAATACTTTATGTAATTAATGGCGAAAATAGGTAAAAAACAATGAAAAAATAGGAAAAGTATAAAATTGTATTTAAGCTCCTGGAATAATTTATTCAACTTGTGGTTTAAGTATACTATCACTTACTGTACGTGTTAATGGGAATGTTATGTTAATATTATCATCACAGCTGCCGTTCCAATCATCAGTATTCAATGAGAATAACATAGCACCTTTGAAGCCATTTGATTTAATCCATTCAGCCTAAAAATAATTGAATAAATTAATTTGATTCAATAAAGTAAAAATCAACGATACTTGATTAATTCGTTTAAAATGATAAATATGAGTTAAAAAATGAAATGAAAAAACAGAACTCAAAAACGTTTCATAAAAGTATACTGGACTTACTTTTTCTAGAACACTAATGCGATCATCGTAAGAAATCCATTCATCATATCTGTAAGAGTAAAGTGTTCGACTGTCTTCATCAAATACCTTATTAGCGCCTATGCTTAGAAACCAACAAATTGTTGGATAATATACAAATCCTTTCTCCCCAAGTCTTCCGAATCCTTTAACTGGAGCCATAATTTCATGATTCAGTGAATTATAAAGTTGATAAGAATGGCCATAAGTTGGAATACCAATGACAATTTTTTCTTTAGGCATTCCCTTCGATACCCAGTACATTGCTGAATAATTAACATTTAAGGTAGCTAAATATCCTGTTTCTTGTCTTCCTGGATATAATGGTGCATTTAATCCAGTAACTGGCAAATACCAAACATAATAATGATAATCATAAGCCATTATGTTGATAAAATCAACATGTTCTGCTATTTCGGGAACATGATAACTAGCATCAATAATAGCAGCTGGTGCTCCAACAGCCGCTGACAATATCAAATCTCTTCCTGATCTAACAAATTCTTTTTTAAGTTCTTGAAGAAGTTGAACATAATAAATTGTCTCTCTTTTATTACCACCTAACCAAGCTGGAAATTCCCAATCAATGTCTAAACCATCAAAATTATATACTTTAGTTATGTTCAAAACCGAACGAATAAATTGTTTTCGGTTTGCATGAGTTTTCACCATTTCTGGAAATCCATAATTGAGCTCATTTATTCCACCTGCGGATATCATAACCTTCAGTTTGGGCTGGAGTTTTTTTAAATTTACAACCTCCTGATATATCTCCGAATTCGCGCCCAAACTGAGGTTACAGTTCACCACACTCGCAAAACCCACGATAATATGCGTACAAATATCAGGGTCAATGTGAGCTGGACTGAGCTCTTTCGACGTGTTCAGGACTCCCGGTATGGTGAAGTAGCAGACGACGATCTTACTGCAAAATACAATATTTATTATTTTATGTAACTTTATTTTTATTGTATTTGAAGTTAATTATAAAATTACTAGCTAAATTTATATTAATTAAAAACATGTGAGATTTACCTACACATGTGTGTTATTACCTTGTAGAAGCATTGGAGGATAATTCTGACGTGGTAACGGTGGTGTTCCGGTCAGCATTTTGGTTTTCCTTCGTCGATTCGGCGTACATCCTAGCCCTGCGTGCCCACGCAGCAATCGTGGCATCTTCAAAAGCAATGATTACACTGGATAAAGGACCAGATTCCAAGTTTCTTGGCGAAAGAATGTCCAACCAAGCTCGTAAAAAAAACAAACTTCCCACAATTATAAATACAAGAGTTAAACAAATCACTGGTGACTTCCAACGAGATCTAGAAATTATTAATTACTTTTATTTGCAATTCTTAAATGTTATAGTAATTCATTTAATTATTTTTTTAAAGTTCTTTAGGACTTTGTTACTGGTGAGTTTGAATCACACTAGTGTACTGAGAAAATTGATATGTAACTAAATGAATTGAAAAAGATTCTTAATAATAGATAAAATCAATACTGACGCATTGACCTGATAAATAAAAAAAAGGGTATAAAGGTAAAATAAAAAATAAATGAAAGCTTCTAAAATAAGAATCGTGGAAGATAAAATTCAAACTTTACTTACTGATGTACACTATTTAATAACTCGTATTTTGCCTGAGGCACCGGAATTCGGTTAACCATTGATTGAAATATTTAAATAAATGCTTAAGAATATTTTTAAATCAATTGCGTTTACTGGTTTCAATTTATTAATCGTTTTTCAAAATGCACAATAAATTTTAGCCTAAATGTTTGGTCAACATGTGTTTGGCATGGAATTGTTGAAGTGACTGACATTTATTCAAAATGATTTGCGATTTCGCAATCAGATGACTTGATCACTGTACTTGAAACATATTGGGGGTTACTTTAAACTGGTTTTTTTTTGTTTTGAAAATTGTCAGTGGTACAAAACATGACAAATACAGCACTGAATTAGATAGTATTAGATCAAATGTATAGATGTATACATATGTATACATATATTGTGTATGTAATACGACACTATTGTTCGTTAAATCTCAGAATTTTTTTATCTTTAAAAGTACACATAACAATATTTGATTACATAAAATGATCCGAGAACTTATGAATGAATTTATAAAAAGTGGTGATAAATAAGAATGATTAAAAAATAATTAAATATGTGAATTGATGTGTAGATTTTCAACAGAAGGCAATCTATCGACATCATAATCTAGTTGATAGTATTCCTATTCAAGTTTATCAATGTCTGAAAAAATAATTCAATATTTCTAAAAATTACATTGACCGACTCGAATAATTTTTTTCTGATAAAAACATTTTATTGGAAAATGATTTCAAATTATTATTCCTAATTTTAAAAAAAATATTGAAACAAAAGATATTGTTCAAAGATATATTTGTTGGATTTACAACCTATAGGTTTATAAATTGATGCTTGTTTAGTCATGGAATAATAAGAAATTACCATAATTATTAGAATCAATTATTAATTATTCATTGAAGTCAGTAGAACAAAAAAGGAATATGCATTTCGGAGTACCTATGTGTAGAAATTTTTGAAATTATAAATTAATGTACTTGATCTTATTACATCATTATTATATCTTATTATTGTTAAAATAATATAAATTTTATTTTACGGTATTGCATTTACTTACAGTAATGAAGGTTTCCAATGATATAACAAAAAAGTTTCCAGCTCTCATCTCTAATGGATTTTTAGCAGTTATTAAAGACATCAGCATTAGAGACTTCACCTCAAAATCAAGGTTTTTTTCCCAACCCGATAACCATACACCATCACTTACACAATCGCTCTATTAATTATGTTAAAAAAATTATCTTAAAATTTAGTTATAATATAAAACGTGAATGTTAAATTAAAAAATTAAAAACCCAATGCTCTATATTAACAAAGGATTATTTTTCAAGTGTTGATGAGAGAGTTTAGTTTATTGTATTTTCTAGAAGTAAATTGAAGAATATTCATTTTTTTGCAATGATTTTATGTAATTTTTTCCAGGAAGTAAATAAGTTACCATTTAGAAATGATTGAAATGAATATTAAATTTATAATTATTTTAAAATTAAAACAATTAAAAAAAATGACTGCCGATTTATAAATAGTTGTTGATTTTTAGTGATTTTTACTGATTCATACTGAAAGATTCCTTTAGTAATGTCAAAGCATATACTTAAAATTATGTATCATAAGAACTATATTGATTCTACTTAAATATTTGAAATATTTATTATAATTAAAAAAGAATAAATTCTTACCACTGATATAAGTTCACTACCAAACCAACAGAAGTTAAATAATTCTGTCAAAGCTCCTCCGAAAAAAAACAATAGTTTGTATTCACTTTTCAAATCTCCCTGAAAGATAAAATAATTTAGAAATATAAATAATGAAAATCAATTAAATAAAAGTTGAAAGTAAACGTTATTTTTTTTATTCTAAGACTTTTCCTTAAAATTGAAGGGTAAAATAAAAATAAAAAAATTTACTTACCATAACTAACTGAAAACACGTAAGGCAAATGATACAACAACTCGATGAAACTTGTACTAACATTGTAGAATTAAAAATTGAATTTAACTCAGTAACAATATCATTCAAATAAAGATGATTTTTAAAACATATTTTTAATTTATAAGCCACATTACTACTTTTTCCATAATGATTTGAATTTCTGAATGATTCAAATGATGCTGATTCAGAATTGATTATCTTTGCCAAAATATCTTGAACAAAATTTTCTTCATAAGCTATTGTAAGTATTCGAAATTGGCTATTTATCCATCTAATATATGAAAATATGAGTTCATTCATTGCAGCGAGTGTTATTGAAAATACACTTGCAGTACCAGTTTGAATGATTGTAGCTATTACATAAAATGGTAAATGAGATGTGTCAAATGGAAATGCCCCTCTTAGAGGTATTTCTCCAAAGTTTATGAGTAAAACAGAGAGTAGACCCAAATCAAGACCAATAACAAGCCATTCAACTATGTTTTCAAGGATATTTTCATAATAAAGGGTATCTTCTATAATGTTGCGTATTTCTTCATCTGTTAAACATATTATTAATGTATGGAATATTTGAATATTTTTTTAGATTAAATAAAATAGTCACTTACTTGATGATTGTCGAAAAATATCCAAAGGCCTATAAATGGCTTCGGTAAGTCTCTTAATACGTTTATGTTCTGATTTAAATGTATAAAGTTTGAATACCACCATAAATACTATGATGAGAAACAATCCATCCTCAATCAAAATCGAAAAATTATTTATATTAAGTATAAGATCCATCATTACACTAAGAAAGTAAAGAGTTGTGACTAAAAGTGCAGCAATATGGTTGATGTGATAAATTAATTTCATGTAGAATGGAGTACATAATTCTGGACTCCAAAATCCAAAAAACCTGATGCGTGAAAAACAATTTATTTAAAGAAAAATTGAGAGTGGAGCTCTTTGCAAATAGTTTTGTATAATTTCCCCAGTTCCCTCCAGAAATTTGTTGAAATATTTAGATAAAAATTATCGGGTACTTTCTCTTTATTACTTAGATGACAGTCTTTGTTAAAATGAATCATAGCGTATTTCAATTAACTTTTGGAGGGCACTGTCTTTTATACCACATTTTTTAAATAAATATTTTTAGTTTTATAATAACATAACATTTTAGAAAGAAAAGTTTCAACAGTAAAATAATTCAAAATATTTCATTTAAAAAACACTTTACTATTAATTGTATTGAAATAAGAGACTTGAGTTAATTAGATAAATTTAAAGTCAAAATGGATACCTGAGTCCTGATATTTTTAAATTCAGAGCTTTGCGATGATCAATTTTGACTACTCTAGTCATAATATCACCTTTATGAAAAAGTTTATAATAAACTGCAAGTGACTCATCTTATTATGGATTGGAAAAATTTTGAAAAAAAGAAATTTTTTTCATGGAATTGAAAAATGATTGCCGACAATTACGAGCAATTTTCTTTATATAAGCAATTTTTCTTATAAATACTAATTATAGTCAGTTGATATGTTCTCATGCGTACTTCATTTTTTCGCCCGCCTATGTTTGCTCAAAGAATCATAAATAAATAATAAGTTTTTTTTTCTCCGCTACAATGTTAACCCTTTGTCAGTAAGTTATTGATATCCAGACTATAGACAGGTGGTTGAATTTTTGTTTAAACAAAAATAAAAGATAAAACAACGTAAGTAGTAAAGGAGTGTGTAATTCATCTATAAAATAATATCAAATATTATTATTTTAATAATCATTATTTTTATTTTAGACGATTTTATAACTATATTTTAATGTTAAAAAAATAAAAGATTTATAATAAACAAATAACACTAATTCAAATTGAAAAATATACTAGATACATCTTTGTAATACTTTTTAATAATTTTTTAAAACTATTTTTGAAGTGTAAGAGAATATTGATGACTATTATTGGTCCAAAATTTACAAACATCGTTGACTACTCTTCGTTCACTGAAGAAAGTAATACAAAGAATGAATATGCACTCTTCAGTATCTAAAAAAAAATTTTTTCATTCTATTTCCGAAGAATTGTTTGTTTTTTTAACAATATATTAAAATAATTAAAAATATTTTCATTATAAGTGATATACTAATGAATAAATGAAAACAAATTTATTACTGTATCATGAATCTAGTTATGATAATTATTTTTCTAAGTGACTATAAACCAATTCTCTTATCTAGAAATACTAGTATGGCGAATAAAAAATAATTCAATCAAGTGCATGAAGATATCATATTTAAAACAAATAAGAGTATTTTTATCCGAATCGGACTGGATAAGAATCATTCTAACGATAAATTTCTACTCAGGGTGCGGTACCTGCTACGGCATATTTTGTTCATAAAAATGTTTTATTAGGTTGTTGCATAATTATTTTTCCATTTTGAAATAATTTTGCTCATTCTTTTGCCTGCCAGCCATTTTTTCCTGGACTAAAAGTATTGAAACCTTGCATTGCAGACAGCTAAATATTTTTAATAATGATGGTCACTATAGTGTCAATTAATTGGTTGATTAAATAAATATCAAAAAAATTCAAACTACTTTTGAAAATGGAAACGAAATTTTGCAACAACTTAATATCTTCTTTTAATGATTCATTACTATGAAAGTCTATCTTTGTGTATATTTATAAATACCACGATAAATGTTTCCAGTGTTACAACAAAAAATCTTCCTGCTTTGAGTTCCAAAGGATTTTTTGCAAGTATTAAACTCATTGTCATAACTGTCCTTATTTCTTGGCATAAGCTTTTTTCCCAGCCAGAAAACCACAATCCATTGGTTACATCGTCACTCTGAAAAATAGTTAAAAATATTTATCATATTATTTTATCGTTTTATTTATTGGTTTGAGTTTATTTATTATACCATTGCACGAAGTTCACTACCGAACCAACTGAAAGAGAACATTTGAACCAGACATGCTCCAAGAAAAAAAAATATTGTCGTCTGCGTTGATCGTTCACCCTGAATTAAAAATCATTCTTTTCATTGATAAAAGAAGGTATTCTTTTTTTGATTAAATTAAAAAAAATTAAACTAAATAATATACCTGCGAAAAAATAATTAAAGTCCATTTGTCAATTATCTTACATTTCAATTTGGCTAATTCAGACAGCTTCTAAAGTAGAATAAATGTCTCGATTTCACCAAGTATAACATTCAATAACAAAAGAAACGAAGTTATTCTATTTTAAATTTTTTTTTAATTTCACATTATTATCAAAATTTGTAAAAATTGATATCTTGTAAAAAAATATGAGAAAATAAAAACATTTATTCTACTGCGACGTTTGTCTCACAAGCCTCTTTTGACAATTACCACAGCTACTTGGAAAAGACCCAGACAAATCATATAACATCCACTTAATACTTGCATTATTAGTGCAGAACTAAAAACAGAATTTAATTCTTTAACGATTGAAACTAGATGACAATATTTTCTAAAACGGAACTTGAGTTTATAAACAATGAATTGATCAATGGCCTCCTTATGTACTTGGTCAAATGATTCAGATTCAAGCTCTGATTGCGGAATCAGATCAGGCAAAATATGTTGAAAACTATAAGTTTCTTTAAGATTAGAAATCAATATATGAAATTGGACAATAATCCATCTAACATATGAGAATATCATTGAATCCATTATAATGACTGCTGAAATTGAAAAGCCCGCTGCTCCAAATTGGATAAAATATGCCAATGCGAACAACGGGGGATATGATATATCAAAAGGGAAATCTCCTCTTGTTGGTAATTCATGAGGATTTATCAAAATAACAGCAAATAATGTTAAGTCAAATAAAAATGCTAATATTACCGAAGCTCTGTCGTTTACACTTTCATAAAAAGTCGTATTTTTTATCAATACTATTATTTCGTTATCTATAAAAACATGAAACTGATCAAATTAATAATCATCTTAAATTGTCTACTTAACAACAATTATTATTATTATTATTATTATCTTTAAAACTTACCTTTCGAGTTATGGTATAAATAATCTATTGGTTTGTAAATAGATTCGGTAAGCTTGATGATACGTTTATTTTTGGATTTGAATACATATAATTTAAATAATACCATAAATAACGCCGATAAAAATAACGCGTCTTCAACTATGATTGCAAGATTATTTAAATTTTTTCCAAGGTCTCTAATAGCACTAATAATGTAAGCAATGCACACTACTATTGAAAAAATATAATTGAATTGATATAATAGCTTTTGACGATTTGATGAATTTTCGTCTGGAAGCCAAAATCCAAACAATCTATAAAAAAAGTATGTAAATAATATTAAATATTTTTTAAAATTTCACTATTTACTTTATCTTACCTAAGACTAGCAATTTTTATATTTAACGCTTTCCGATAATCTTCAACTGTTTTCTTTGACATGACTGTTCTATAAAATGGTTAAGTGAAATATCTGATAATAGATTGGCAATTAACTACTCATGTTCGATTTTCTTTGGAATAGAATTTGTTTTCAATATACAAAGGAAAATAATTATTTTAGTCTAACAATTATTATTGATAATCATTTATGTCTCGTGTATTGTTAGTGTATAATTCTGTGTTATACATCACCTCTAGTGGTAATAATTATTAACAGTTGTTGATTTCTCATCAACTATACTCCTCGTTAAGCCGTGTATAGAACATTGATCTTTTCTTCTCTTGAGTGTTAACTTCATGTCAGTGAGTTATGAAGATTTCAATTAAAAACATCTTAGTGAAATTTATTAAAAAACAGTATACAAGGATTTTAAGTTTTAAAAAAATTCTTAGTTTTATAGAAGAAAAAATAAATTTAAAGAAACAACAACGTTATATATTTGTATTGAAATAGAGTAAGTAAATATCAAAAAAATTGATACAAAATTTAACATTTACATATGTATTATGTAGATCATTTTTAGTTGATCTCGTTTTAATAAAGTGAAGTTTTGTTGTGCTCGTAGAAATATATTTAATAATTATTGAAGTTCAATATATACAAATTACTTGAATTCATCAGTATTTAATGTTGATAGTAACACCAAAAATGAATATGCATTGCGTAAAACCTATAAAATATAAAAAATGTGGATATAATTATTAAATTATTTAATATTGATATTCTTACTACAACGAAGGTCTCAAGGGACATAATAAAAAATTTTCCAGCTTTTATTTGTAACGGATTTTTTGCAAGTGCCAATGCTATCATCATGGTTGATTTGACATTGAAAGTAAGGTTTTCTTCCCAACTAGACGACCATAGTCCTCCCGTCACAGAATTACTCTAAATATATATAAATGAATTTTCATTAAAAATTATTTTTTTAGAAATAAATAAATATTTGATAAAGTTGAAGTAATTGTAGTGCTTAATTTTTTTTTAATTTGAATCAATATTTGCTATTCGTAACAAGTAAATTTAAGGGGAAAAAAGTACTTTCCTACTCTTGCTTTAATAAAAATTTTGATAATTTTTTAGTTTAGGTTGCATACGTTTGATTTCTATAAAATACCATATATCAAATTAATCAGCATAATTTTCTCTACAATTGTATATTAATATACTAAAATTTCAAAAAGATCGGGCATATACAATCTATAAACTGAACAATTACCGAAAGTTTGAATATTAAAATTGGTGGAAAACTTTATCTGTGAGTAACAATAAAAATTAAAATACAGTTGATTTACCACAAATATAAGTTCACTTCCAAACCAACAGCAACTAAACAGTTGGAATCCAGCTGCTCCAAGGAAAAACAATATTGTTAATTGAGTCTTCAATTCACCCTTTGAAGATTAAAAAACAACTTTAACTATTCATGATTAATATTTATAAAAAAATAAATCAATGATTATTATTACTATTAGAATTTGAAGACTACCAAGACAAATCATAAAACATCCAGTAAAAACTTGCATTAACATCGTCAAATTAAAAATAGAATTAAATTCAGAAACGGCACCAACCAGATACCGATGTTTTCTGAATTGTACTCTTAATCTATGAGCTATCAAATCATCTTTAACGTGCTCATATGCTCCTTCAAGAAAATGAAAATTTATTTCTGATTGTAAAGATCCATCGACCATAACACTCTGAAATTCATTGGATTTTTTGTAATCCAAAATTAATACACGCAGTTGAAGATTAATCCATCTCACAAATGAAAATATTATTCCATCCATAATAACAACTAGTGTGAGTGTAATTCCAGCAGTTCCAAATTGAATAATTACAGCTAATATATAAAATGGTAGAGTTGATGTATCAAAGGGGAAGGTTCCTCTTACTGGTAATTCGCCGAAATTCAATAAAATTGTTGAAAATAATGTTAAATCGAACATGAAAGCAACACTTGCATAAAATTTATCATTCATATTTTCATAAAAAATTGTTTTTTTAATAAGTTTCACAATTTTTGTGTCTGAAAAAAGATGAATTATTAAATGAAAATTTTGTAAATTGTAAAAAAAAATGAACAGTCGCAAAACGTGAAAATTGCCAATAAAGTTATGATTATAGTAAGAATGCCTCTTGATTACCATTTTCTTTATGTTAGTATTATAAATGAATTCTGTTCTAATCCACAAATCTGATTACTACGATCACAATCTCATTCGTAATTTTAATGTTTTATAGATCCGTAAAAAGTTAGCCAAATAATAAAGAAAAATTATTACCTGAAGATTTACTAAGAATATCAATGGATTTATAGATTTTCTCCGTCAATGCCATTATTTGATTATTTTTAGACTTGAACGTATACATTTTGAATACCACCATAAACATCGTAACGAGAAATAATCCATCTTCGACTATGATTGAAAAATTATGCTTATGAACAATTAGATCTGTTATTACACTACTGATGTATGCTATGACGAATAAAATAGCAGTAAAATGACTGATTTGATACAACAGTTTTATATGTATAGGTGTGTTTGTATCCAAATTCCAGAAGCCTAAAAATCTAAATAAAAACGAATTTCATTAAACTTTTACTCAACTTAATGAATATTTTACTTTTTATTTAATGCTACAAAGTTCATTTAGTATTTAACTTTTTTTTCTAATTACTAATAAAACATTTAGTACTACATCTTTTGTCAGACATGTACATTATAATGGAGAAATTTGAATTTGCAGCAACTGTGCAGCACACTTTGTAAGAAGTACAAATTATAGTGAAACTGGTGACTTTTTACGATATTTTGTAGTGCCAATTTTACATTACAATTTAGGCTCAAAATTTCAGAATCACACAATACTTTGGTTTCAGATTGTGAGTATTAGAAAACAATATCATTTGAGCATTTCGACTAATTATTGAATTTAAACGAAGCTGAACCATTGAATCAAAGTTGGAAAAGATTCAAATCAGTGAATCCAAGAGAAAAAATTATATTAGCTTAAACATCAAAAACATAATTCAACTTGAAATCTTGTTCTGAGAGACATGAAAAATGAATATGACTGTGTGAGACTGTTTTATGATACCATGTTAGACAATTTTACCATTCTAACTCGTAATAATTAATAATTTGAAGCTTTTTGTTTCTTGCGATCGGTATGATTTTCTGGTCATCATAATGGTGATCAGTGCTCATTTTGACATTCCTAAAACTCTCTTGGCGGTGCTCATCTCTTTCGAATCGTGTAGTGGAATTTTTCTACCATAGTGTATTTTTTGACATTCATGAAAACCATATTAAGAACGTTTTGTATCTTATTAATTGGCTAGTGACATTTATCATAGATGTTAAAGTGATTTAAAAAATATCTTTTATTCTAAAATTTTAAGATAATCTTAATTAACATAATCCAAGAGTCATTTTTATTGATCATGAAAGTAAAATTTACTAATATTATAACATAAAGAATTTTTTCCGAAGTACGATTTAGGACTCTTGAAAGGATAAAAATTAAAATAGTAATAGCTTTAAATGTAGTACCTTAATATTGATATTTTGACATTTAGTGATTTACGATAATGTTTAATCGAAACTTTTTTCATGTTTTTCTTTCAATCTTATTGTTAGTGTAAAATACATAAAATTGATTGGAAAGTCGGAATTATACTAGAGACGTGTGAAGACTTCTTTAGATAAACATTTATTTCTTCCGGTGTTATAATTGATGAAAAGTGGATTTCATTATTTGTAACGATTGTAACCAATAATTACATGCAATTTTCTTATCATCGACATCGAAATACTATATTTCTCTGTATTACTTTTATGAAGGAAAGTTGCAGTTGGTAGTTTCTCATATAGTTAAGTGAAAAGCTTCTATTCCACAATAGAGAAATAATACCTCAATAATTAATTGATTTTTCACCACCATGACGTTTCTCATCATCACTTTACTGTTGATAATTGAACTGAAAAGGTCTTATGAACAAGTTGAATTCAATAGTTATTTATAGATTACAATTCAATTTTTGAAGGTATGATTTTGTTTTTTGTAAAAAGTGAAAAAATAGTGTTAACGACTCAATTTTTTAAAAATTAAAATAATATATGTAAATAATAATTACCAGATAAATGATCAATTAGATGACTAATATGAAAAGGAAATCCATTACAAACAATACTAGTCAGAAAAAGTAAATTATTTGCATCAACTTATTCGTCAATTGATAAATAAAAAGAGGTAATTTTTTTAAGATACTTTGAAAGGTCATTTTGAGTTTTCTGAAAATTTTTGATACATTTGTTGAGATAATATATGATACAATAGTTCACGGTAGGAAGTCACATTTTATTCAACATTAAATAATCATTGGAAAAGTAATTATTTAATAAAATAAATAAAAACAAGAACAAATGGTAAATTTATATAGTTAGCTCAATGATCTGTGACTTGTAAACTGATTAATCTAATTATTATCGGTCAATGTTCATTGTTGACAAAAGAACGAAAAATGAATATGCATTTCGAAGTACCTGTCATTGAAATAATAATTATAAATTAGTAAATAATTTTATCATAAAACAATTAAAAAAGTTTTCTATTACAACTTACAGTTACAAATGTATCTAAAGATATAATAAAAAAACATCCTGCTTCAATTTGTAATGGATATTTGGCAATGACAGTTGACATAAGCATAAAAGACTTCATTTGAGAATTAAGATTTCTTTCCCAACCTGATGACCATGTTCCATCACTTACAATATTGCTCTAAAATGTCATTCATTATTTTACAGTGCAATTCATTTCATATTAATTTAAAATTATTTATAAAATTAATAATCATACTACATAGATGAGTTCACTACCGAACCAACAAAAATTGAATAACTCAATAACGGCTCCACCGAAGAAGAATAGCAGCTTATATTGATTTTTTAAATCACCCTAATTAAGAAATTAAAAATAATTATCAAAATATTATAAATAAATATACAACTTACTGTTACTAATTGAAAACAACTAAGACATATGATGCAACAGCCAGTTGAAATTTGCACCAACATTGTTGAACTGAAGATAGAGTTCAATTCACTAATAACTTTATACAAATAATGATGACTTTTGTAACATACTTTTAACTTGTAAACTTCTGCATCATTAATATTTAAATTATGAAAATCTTTCAATGATTCCGATGAATAGCATTTCAAGTAATTTTTTGTGGAAATATTTTTATTGGATTCATCCTCATAAGTTAATATCAGTATACGAAATTGACTATTAATCCATCTGATATATGAAAATATAAGGTCATCCATTGATGCTAATGTCATTGAAAAAATAGTAGCTGTTCCAGTTTGAATAATTGCAGCAAACATATAAAATAGGACATTATTTAAGTCAAAGAAGAATTTTCCCCGAAGAGGCAGTTTTCCAAAATTAAAAAACATTACAGAAACTAGACCTAGATTTATCCCAATGAGTAAAAACTCAGAAATTTTATCAATCAAGTTTTCATTATTAATTGTGTCATTTATAATATTTAAAACTTGAGTATCTAGCAAAAAATTTAAAAATCGGCATTAAATATTTATCAATCAAAAAGTAAAAATAATGATATTTTGTATTACCTGGTAGTTGCTGAAGAAAATCCAAAGGTCTATAAACTGCTTCAGTGAGTCTTCTTATTTTCTTATTTTTAAATCTGAAAACGTACAACTTGAATACCACCATAAATACGATGATAAGGAATAAACCATTTTCGATTAGAATAGAAAAATCATCCAAGTTGTTCAGTAGATCCATGATCACACTTAGTCCATACATACTGGCCAATAAAACTGTGATCAAGTAGTTAAATTTACAAAGTAATTTTATATAAAATGGAGTACATGGTTCAAGATCCCAAAAACCAAAAAATCTGTGACATTATAAAGAGAATACTTTATAAATGAATTTTTGAAAATAATAATATTAATTATAATTGTATACTTGAGTACTAGAATTTTTGAATTTAGTGGTTTACGATGGTCTTTGATAAGCATTTTGATTGTAACTCTTTCTTAATAAATTGTAGTAAAGTACAAAGATTTGAGACCAATTGTGATTTTACGTTTTAATATAAATGATGAAAAGTAGAAATTGCTTCGAAGAAAAGTTGAAATTTATATTTTAATGTAAAGATAAAGGCAAATAATAATGCATAATTATCTACGAATACAATTTGGTTTCTTTCTTTGAAGTAAATTGTTATCAGCTGATATTTTCTCATAACATTACGTTCTCTTTGTATTTTAAACTCTTTTATTCGCGCGTAAGCAAAGCATTAATATTTAATAAACCCTTTCTTCACCTCAACGTTAACCCTTTGTCAGACAGTTATCAACATTAAACTGAAAAACATCCCACAAATAATAACACTTTTGATAAAATATGCTAAGATATTTATGTATTAAATAGAAATTAGTAAAAAAATTAGTACAAGGTGTTCTTTTCAATCAATGTAATTATTCTTAAAAAAACTCATTAAATGTGTATTGATGTTATTTTTGTATTGGATTAAAGATAAAAATAGGTTTTGTTCACAATCTTAATAAATTTTTCTGAAAATTCGATAAAAATTTATCACAAAAAGAGCTTGACTAATGTTTATATTTTAAAAGCTTTTTATGCCAAAAAGTAAGGTATATAAAATTCATTGAAATGATTTATTATCATAATTATTCATTACACTGCATACTTAAAAACATTATAAAATATCATCGAAATTTTTTTTTGTAATGTAAGATTGAAAATTACTAAGTAAAATGAATTTTTACAAAATTATGCTTTACATGTTGAGGTGAAAAAATTTCTTTAAAAAATATTCAATCTGTATTCAGAGATGAGAGTAGAACGAAGAATGAATATGCAGTTCGTATCACCTATAAATCAAATTTCATTACTTTTACTATGTAAAAAAGTCATTCATAAAAACTCGTTAAAATTTTGATACTCACGGTAATGAAAGTTTCTAAAGACATAACGAAAAATTTTCCAGCATTTATTTGAAGTTGATTTTTTGCAAGAGTCATTGTCATTATCATAATTGATTTAACATTTGAAGAAAGACTTTTTTCCCAACTAGATGACCATAAACCGTGCGTTATTGAATTACTCTAAAAAATAAAATAACATTTAAATTAAAGCAAATAAATAATAACATAAATATAATTGGCTATAACTATTATAAAAAAAATATACCACAAAAGTCAGCTCAGTGCTAAACCAACAGAAATTAAATAATTCGACCATTGCTGCTCCCAGAAAAAAAAATAATTGCAATCGAGTTTCCATTTCACCCTGGTAAATATAAAAAACTGATTCAAGTAAAATTATGACTTTATTAAAATACATTTTTTATCGTTTGTTCAACTGGCATTAGATACCGATTGATTTTGTATAAATTAAAAGATTGTAGAGTTGATAATTCGAAAGTATAATGAAGAATTCATTTTATTATTGATAAAATTTCTTATTACTAAGTTTTAAATGAATTTCTACGTACCATGACAATTTGGAAACAGCCCATACAGAGCATGCAGCAACCACTAAAAATTTGCGTTAACATTGTTGTATCGAAAATAGAATTAAACTCCGAAACTATTGATACTAAATTAAAGTATTTCTTAAAACACATTTTTAATTTATCAGTTATTAAATAATCATAAATATAGTTTTTATTTAGAATCTCTTTATTCATATTTGTTGAATGAGAATTGTTGAATAGATTTGAGATGGTATTTTGAATAAAATCAGAGTCGTAATAATTTATAATTAAAATTCGTAATTGAGTATTAATCCACCTGATATAAGAAAATATGATTGCATCTATAACAACCACTGATGTCAATGTGATACATGCTGTTCCAATTTGAATAGTTACTGCTAATGCATAAAATGGCAGTATTGAAGTGTCAAAAGGAAACGCTCCTCTCACAGGTAGACTTCCAGAATTAATTATTAAGGATGATATTAGAGCAAAATCAAACATAATTGCAAGTATTTCTGAAAATTTGTCTGTGAGATTTTCATAAAATGCTGTTCTTTTCAAGATTTTCTTAATTCGTACATCTGTAAAGATAAATTATAATTTAGAAAATTATTAAAAGAACAAATGAAAAAATAAATTTTGAAAATCATTTTACCTGATGATTGATGTAAAAAATCTAAAGGTTCATAAATTGCTTCGGTGAGTTTTACTATTCGGTTATGGTGAGTTTTAAATGTGTATAATTTGAAAATTACCATAAATACTGTAATGATGAATAGTGCATCTTCAATAACAATTGAAAAATCATTTATATTAATTGCCAAATCCGCAAACACGCTGCTTAGATAGACAGTTATTAAAACAATGGTAATAATGTGATTAATGCTATAGATGATTTTTTTATAGAATGGAGCAATTGATTCAATTCGCCAAAATCCGTAAAACCTAATTTATAAAACATATCAAAATTGGTAAAAAAATTGTTTATCATTTTTTTTTCAAACAGTTTTCAATATTAATAACTCATGTTGAAAATATTCTTGATTAAATTCAAGTTCACTAAATGTAAATCACTTTAAATATAGTTTTAATATTCATTGATTTTTACCATAAAGTAGAATAAATTTAATCAAAAATAATTTTTTTAACTTTCTTTGTAGCTCAATTGTTGTTTTATTACACTAAAATTTTTTCACAGCTTATTGATTGAAATAATAATAATTGAAAAAGATTTGAGAAAATATATCAAAACAAAAAAAATTAGTCCACCAAGTTCAAATTAAAATATATTTAATTGATAATTTACTTGAGTATAGAAATTTTAAAATCCAACGCCTTACGATGTAACTTTCCTGATGTTTGAGGCATAACTTTATTTTTTAACATTATTATATTTTTAAAAATACTGACCACTGGTCATTTGAATAAGCTTGAATAGAAGTTATAATATGCTCTAACAAAATTTAGAAGGGAGACTTTAAACTTCCACATAACGCATAATAATTACTATCAATTATCTGTAATATTCCATAGATATAAATTTTCTTTATACCTCTAAGTTTAATTTTAGCGTAAATTATTATCAGTTGGTGAGTTCTCATAACGAACTAAGTTCTGCGTCAAAACCCTTTTAGAAAATAATTGGAATAGTCAATCAATTTCTTCTTGAGTTCTCCACTTTAGAGTTTATTGACTAATGTTATACAATTATTGACAACCAAACCATCAGCACCTATAAGGTAGTACTTTTATTAAATTCAGTTCTGTATGTATTTACATATATAAGAACAAAATACTACGACTGATTTACTTTGTCATTACAGAATTTCTCAAACTATTGAATATAAAACCCTTAAAAATTAGTAATAGATTCTTTGTATGGAGCAGAAATCCACTAAAAGAAAATTTTGACTTGAGGTGAAAGAAGGATTTTAGAATTAATGTTAAAAGAATATCGTATAATCAATTTTCTCTTATTTTAGTTAAAGTATTTTAGTGTTTTCTATAAATTTATCAATATGTTTTTCCACAAATGAAGTTGTGAATATCAGCTAAAACCTGATATAATTCATAATAAGTTTAATGCAGTTATTGAATTATTTAATTATAGAATTCTATTAAAAGTTTAATTAAATTAAATAAAAAATAATAAAATAAATATATATAAATAATAATCTATATATTCATTATTATTATATATATAAATAAATAATATATCTCAGTAATACTTTTTAAACACTAATAATTTTATAAATTTTTCAGGGATTTTCATTTATTATTCAAAATAGAAAGTCGAAATGAAATGATTTATATATTGAAACAAGCTTCAAGTAATAATAATTGTGGTATCTAGTAAATGATTGACACATTAAACTTTATTGAAAAAATTTCATAGATTATTTTAAACAATACAGTATGAGGTAAGTGTTCTTTTTTTGGAATAGTAGAGAAAAGTGGGATAAAGTGTAACACCAAGAAAAACCGTAAACCAACAAATTAACCATTATTTTATCAAATGTTAATAATTTTTAATACATTCATAAATTGAAAAGTTGATAAATAAAAAGTGCAATAAGCGTTTTCAAAGTTATTTTAATAAGTTAGTAAATTTTCACTTTTCCCTCCTTTCCCTTACATAATTAAGGGATAGTCAGAATCTATGGCATTTCGATATTCTGAAATTAAAAACAATGGAAGATTTGCGACATTTATTACAATATATTTTAGAACATTACTATTCAACATAAATCAAACAGTCGACAATTTTATTTATGTATATATATATATATATATATATATATATATATATATATATATATATATATATATATATATATTTATATACTTTTTAGTTTAAATTCTTACTTCATGGCTGGTTCTGATCGAATTTGAAAAAAAAATGATCCTTTAGAAATGGTTTAAGGTGCTTTATTCATACTTTAATTTTTAATTTTCATTATTACTAAAAAAAATTCATAATAAATTATATTGAATTTTAATTTCGATCTATTTTAGACCTTATTATGAAGGAGAGCTAACCCATTCTTAGCTTAATATTGGACCCAATAAACCAATCTTTATTTCTACAAAAAGAGTTACAACTAAGAATTGCAAAAATAATCTAAATGCCGAAATAAAATTTACTTAAAAATTTTCTGTTGTACCTAATTTTATATCTGGATTTTTAATATATGAAAAGTAATTTTAAAAGGCATCAATTGAAGATCGTTTTAATTCCAAGTAGAAATGCCCGGTGTTTGTCAGACAGGCTGCTTCCTTCTTACAGAAAGTTCTCCTAACTGTGCTAGTATAACAGAAAATAAAACTATATCCATTACGATTACTAAAAGTTTGCACAATTTGTCAACCAAATTTTCATAAGGAACAATCTTTTTATCGATTATAATATTAAACTATTATTTCTGACTTTGACAGATTGATATTTTCATGGGTGCATCAATTTACTGGAAGATATGTGGAAAAATCAGTATATAATATTATTACACTAAAGAACCCATTTTCAATAACAACTTGAAAAATTTTCTTTATTCATTACAAGGTCTATAATTCCACTAAAAATGTAAGGAACAATCAATAAAATAACAATAATATAAATAGATATGGTAGAGTAATCTTAAGTGTCGAAATCCAAAAATCTGAAACGACTTCATTATAATTATAATTCTAAAAAAATAGGTTTGAGCACACTTTATCTGTGCTAACACGATAAACTTCCCATTAGTAACTGTTTATAAGAAATTTATATTGTTATAAACAATGTGTAATAGGTAAAAGTCATATTTAGTTGTGAACAATAATGTCTAATCAATATTGACTTCATTTTCGAATAAAATTGTTATTCTTTCGCTTAAAAGTATTTTAAATAGTTTATCTTTTGATTTATTATTAGTTTTTTGGTTATAAAAAGAAAAACGCCTTGACCGAATTTGTTCAAATTTCACTAAGATCTTCTTTATAATAATATCTTTCGAATTAATTTTAGTTGAAGTCAATATGTATCTTAATCCGTTCTTGAGATATCGAAAATGAAAAAAATGCTGACATCTGTGCATACGTACGTGCACACACACCATTCTAAAAATTGGTCAGTATGTTTGCAAATATCTTGAAACGTGGAGATATGATGAAAATTTAAATTTCACCAATCTACCTAATTTTAATAACTTCCTAATGGGAAGTTAAAAATATTAAATTTTTAGGCTACCTAACTTCTGGAATTTTTAAATTTAATCTTTTTTGGTGAATAAACTTTTGAATCTTTCATAGATGAATATTGATTTACTTAAAAAAATCAATTCATTTTTCTTGACGTGATGATAATTATAAATGATAATACTTATCTTTCCACATGTCCTAATACGTTTCTTTGTCAATTGTTAATTTCTCATGTATTATTGAGCTTTATTTCACATCTATGCTTATCATATGTATGTAATAAGGCTGAAAAAATTGATAAAATTTTTTTCTCTATAGCGATAACATCACGCCATTCAATTTGTGCGATTTGAACATTCGATATTTCAAAGACAGTAGCTTTTGTGTAGTATTTGTGAAGTATTGTTTTGTATGTAAAAAAAAGTTACTTGATAATGTGAAATGTTTTAGATTAGAAAAATATAAATATTTATTTTCATTTATAAAATAAGTGCTAAAAAAATATATTTCTTTTGAAAAGTTTAAAACTTTATTTACTCTATTACTCCATTTTTTGCATTGTCGTTTGGGATATTGATAATCATATCACATACTATATAATTATAAATTATACTTTTCAATGATAAACATTAATCAGCATTTACTGTAGAAAGCATAACGAAGAAAGAATAGGCACATCGTAAAACCTGTAAACCAAATTTTATTACTTCATTAACAAAGGGATAATAATTCTCATAAAAGAATATTATTTGAAAGTGTAATCTCTTTTTTTATCAAAAATAAATGTTCATCTTGAAATTAAGAATAACTATGTGATAAATGTCGAGTGAATGTATAAAAAAAAAAAAATAAATATAATTGTTTGTTTAAATTTTTAGGATTCAATTTTATGTTAATTCAAAAATTATCGAACAGTCAATAAAATACAGTCAGTCAGACAATATGCTGAGTAATGATATTTGATTTTAATAAATACTTTCAAAGTAATGATATTCTGTTTTAAATTTATCTTTAAGTGTTTTTCAATTGATTTACGAGATAAACATTTACTCAAAAAATAAGTAAAATATAAGATGATTAAAAACATTAGTAAATATTCTATCTAAATATTATTCAACAATATACATTATACAAATATTGATCATGTGAAGTAATTTTATCGTTACCGGATTTTAATTCCTTAGAGAACACTTGCTGTATCACAAAGCAATTAAAATGTCATTGAATCATCTATTATTTTCTTTGTTGCACTAATGTAGCCTACAAAAATTATCCAATATCTTACGTAAAAATATTTTCAAACCGGTTATTTTACACCTTCATATCAAATATTTTATTAATTTTTTATTAATGTTAATTAATTTGTGTTAATTTTATAATATAAAAGAAAACTTCTTAAAATTTTGATGACTTTTCTCTTGAATGATAGAATTGGTACTAGAAATCAGTGAATAGTTACTGATTCACTAAAAGAAAGGTACGCACTACGTATGCTAATTATCGTAAGCTACTTTAAAATGTATACTAAAGTGTGAAAAGAGTCTAAATCATATAAATTTACTCTATCTGATTTCGTATTATAACATATGATGATTCTTAATTAAACATGCAAAAATTTATATTCTCTTACAACAATAAATGTTTCCAATGACATGACAAAAAATTTTCCAGCTTTGATTTCCAGTGGATTTTTCGCAATGGTTATAGACATCAGCATAAAGTTTTTAATATCAACATTAAAATTGTTCTCCCACTTGGATGCCCATATGCTGTCACTCATATGATTACTCTGAAATTAAAATTTACATTCGAAGTTTACTTTTGATGGAAAATAATATGAAGGAATCTAATATTTATTATTCTTTTATACCACATCTATAAGTTCACTGCCAAACCAACAAGTGCAAAATAATTGCATCAAAGCAGCTCCAAGAAGAAATAACATCTGATATTGAGTTTTGAATTCATTCTAAAGATGAGAAGATTTGAATTTTTTACTGTAACATACTGTATTCTGATAATGTATTTTATTATCCATACCATAGTTATTTGAACACAAGCTAGACAAATCATACAACAGCTAATAAAAACTTGTACACAAGTGGATATACTAAAAATAGAATTCAACTCAGCAATAACGTCAATCCAGAAATGATGAATTTTAAAGCATACTCTCAATTTATGAGTCATATCATCAAAATTCACATCATAATGTCTGAGTATTTCTAATAAAGTACATTCTTTGGATTTCGAACTATTCCTAGATAAGAATTCATCTATTAAATCTTCTTCATAAAACAATTGCAAAATTTGAAGTTGACTATTAATCCATCTGACATATGAGAACAATAATTGATCCATTAAAACAATAAAAATTGAAGTAATTATTGCTGTACCAATTTGAATAATTACAGCTAGTATATAGAACCCTAATTCAGCTGTATCGAAAGGAAATACTCCTCTTACAGGCAATTTTCCTGAATTTATAAATAATACTGAAAATAAAGCTAAATCAAAGGCAATAACAATAGATCGTGAATATTTGTCTATTAGATGCTCATAATAAACAGTATATTCAATGATATTTACAATTCGTTTGTCTGAAAGAATATATTTAAAATGAATTAAATAACAAAAATCTTTCTACAATTTTCGTCAATTACTTCATCAATGATTGACTAATCGATTTTATCCTTATATTTTTATTCAATAAATATATAGTAATATTTCAATAATCATAAACTATTTTCAAACTGATAAATGAAAATATGGTACTTACTTGACAATGATCGTAAATTATCGATGGGTTCGTAAATAGCTTCAGTAAGGCTTTCAATTTGGATACTTTTAGTTTTAAATGTATATAATTTGAATGTTACCATAAATACTAATATAAGAAATAAAACATCTTCTATAATAACAGAAAAGTTCTTCATGTTAATCATGAGATCAGACAACACACTAATCACATAAAACGAGATAAGCAAAATTGCAATGACGTGATTTATTTGATAGAACAATCTCATGTGAATTGGTGTACTTGGTCGTGGATGCCAAAAACCAAAAAATCTGTTTAAAAAAATTTGGTAATAAATTATTAGAAATTTATTGTAAACTGAATGGAATTATATATCACTTTTAATAGTATTAACCTTAATCCTAAAATTTTTAAATTAAGTGCTTTACGATAATCTAAAACTGATATCTCTGACATGATAATAAAGTCAACAATGTTCAAAAATGAATACTTTATCAAAGTAAAGTTTTATTCAAACTGTAAAGATTTTCGCTTACTATAGTTTAAAATCGATTTAGTATAAAAAGAAATAAAAATCACTTCTTTCATGGTAATTAAAATAATTATTCATAATTATCCAGACTCTGGTAGAAAATATTATCAGCCGTTATTTTCTCACATTAGTATACAATATAATATTTACCCTTTACTTCTACTTTCGTATACAAAGAATTATCAATACTCAGTAGTAATAGCTCTTTCTAAACATAATATCTTTATTTCAGTTAATTGTTAACCCAAAATTCACATAAAAACAAGTCTTTATATTTTACAAAATATTATTTTACAGATTTTTTAGCCAAAATTAGTTTACGGAAGTAGTTTAATGATTTTCGGAGTTTAATCTAGATAAAAGTACAAAAGAATTCTACTCTAATGCACTAATTGTGTTAACAGAAGTTTTCAAAATCATAACATCAAACGAAACATTTAAAATTGAGAAAAACAATTGTGAAGATAAAAAAAAACTAAGAAAAAGAACATAAATTTCTTAAGCCTTTTATTACGTAATAAATATACATAAACAGGATGACTAAGTAGATTTGTCAAGGACTTTGTTACTTTCTATGATTAATGCATAAGGTATTCATTATACTTTTCATTACATGACTCAAAACAGTAAAAAAGTAATTGTTTATGAACTTCCTAGTAAGAAATTATTGTAATGGGTTTAATTTTCCAAATTGTGACATCCCCATGTTTCATAGTTCCTAGAGACGAATGATATGACTTTTAAAAAGATGTCTATACGCTTCGTTATCAATTTTTGTCTCGTGTATCTTGAGAATAAATGATGATAATGGTATGAGACTTATCTTATTCAATGCATAATTACGTCACTTATTACTTGATTAAATGTTTAGCAAAATTGTTCAAGCCATTTTTTGTACGAAATTAAAAAAAATTAAAAAAAGAAAAACTAGTCGATATCCTCTCATGTTATAAGTTTCCTATATTTCATGTTTTCTACTGGGAAGTTAGTCATGTGGATCTTCTCGGTCATACCCAGATCGATTTCTTGAAAAAAAAATTCAGTACTTATTTAACACTAGGGTTTAAGTTTTTTTCGTGGCAATTAAAAATATATGATTAACATCATTCTTCGAAAAAAAATACAAGTAACAAAAATGTATTTAGCTTTGTATTTTATTTTAAAAAAAAACAACTGCATTTCGAAAACATTGTCATCCAGTATTTTTTAACAAATTTGTGTATAAATAATATAAATAATTTTTTAAAAGATTTTAATGACACAATGAATTGAGATAAATGCAATAGCAGAAAAAGCAGTAGTATGAACAGTGAGCTTGCAATATATTTCAATCTATCTGAATTATATAGATTTGAAGTTTAGACTAGACTTATTTGTTAATAATGAATACAGTGATAGAAAATACCCCAATTCAAGTTGACCGTTCACATCGGTAATAGAAATTAATTAAATTAAAAAAAATCTGAAATTCGATCAAAGTTATGATAAAAATAGCACCAATATTACTAATAATACTATTATTAACACTTATAATTCAGTAGATTATTTGAAGTAAATTCATTGTTTTTGGTTATTTTGTTAATCATAAGTAGAGATTATAAGCACCAGATGCAGATATTATTTAAAATGGAATGCAGATAAAACTATTGTGATTGTCCAGGTATTAAGCCACTATCTTCAGGTTGAGGTAAACGTCTGTAACGTTCCTGGGATACGAGATAAACAACTAATGATCCAAAAATAATGAAGATCAGTCCAATTGTATTAATTAAAATTCCTTCAGTTACAAATTTAGAATAACTGCCTTGTAGTTCGAAAAATGCTTTTTCACTAAGCCCTAAGAGGCAAGATGCAATAACACCAATAAATCCTGCAGTGCCAAAATAAACGTGGATTGGAAGGTATGCAGCTCTTAAAGTCTGATGTAGACCGGGGTAAAGAAATGAAACTAATCCAGCAACCCACTAGGAATAAATCAAATAAATTATGGTAAAAATTTTAATGTTTAATCGAAAATTTAAATAATTTTGTTAAATTCACAAATTCATTTTTACCTGGCAAGCAAATAGAATAACACTCGATAGTCCAACCCAGCTATGCAATGAGTACATGTTAGGAATTGGTTCTTTACGTAAATTATGCGAATCAAAAACTGCTACAAGGGCTATAATAGTTAAGAGCATCGCGAAAATCATCATTCCACCATGAATTAATTTCAGTTTCTTCTTGCGCAATGATCTTTGAGATCTATAAATCAGCATACCTAAAGAATGTAATCATGTATATAATTTATAATGAGAAATTAATAAAAGAAAGTTATTCTACTTATTTGAAATGATTGAATTTCTAATTTATCTTACCATTGCCATAAATATATACGAGTCCAATAGTCATTAGAAGTGGATGCCAATTAAATTCATGACCTGGATCTGATGTCCAAGAAAATCCTCCTCGAAAATGAACAGTCCATACTAACATCAATATTATAAGTAGACCTCCAAAAAATTGTACAAGACCAAAAATATATTTAAAACCCTCAAGTTTTTCTGAATTATGAGTTCCTCCAATTTGGTCCATATCTAGAAATAATATATTGTTTATAATACTTTTCATATTTGATTCTAGATAATGATTCACATTTTGCCAAAAAATAAAATCCAAATAAAAAACAACATATTTATTACATATAATTCCTTAACTGATATATTGAGTTATATTGATTTCAATATTTTGCATGCTAAAGAACAATACAAGATAAGTATGTAAAATTCTTTTTTCTATTAACACTACTATAATTTTTTTTTTGTATAAACTTTTCCTCCGATAAAAAAATATTAGCTATCTTTAGATATTTTTTTTAATTCATAAAAATAAGAGTCGCTCTAAAACTTAAGAAGAAAAAACACTCCAAAGATTCATAATTAAATTAAACTACATAAAGATTCATTGTTTCATGGGTAAATAAGGTAATAAATCTTCATAAAAAATGAATTTTTGTATTCAAATTTTCAGATGATCTGTTTACATCAATATAAAAGAAACTTGTGTCATACAATCATGCAGAGAAATATTGTTTAAATATATTTTAATGCATATTGTTACACGAAAATTACCCTGATATTCAGTACGAGGAGCTTGATCGGGCAATAAATATTGTTTCATTTTCTGAAAAAAAGTTGTTAATTTAACAAATTTAATAATTACCGAGTATTTTCGTTAAACATGTGATTTGGTAATATTTTGGATATTTTAATTTAATATTATAAACACATTATAATAATATAAACGAAATTTTATTGATCATTCATTTATTATTCATTTATATATAATTTTTTTATTTTTAATAGAAAAAAAAATTGATACGAATGCAATTAATCATTCATAGTACTCTAAAAATCTAGAAATATCTTTATAAAATGTAATTTCTATTTAAAAAAGTTTCTCTGAAATCCTGTTAAATATTTGTATTTTGTCAATTTTAATTGACACTATACGTAATTCATAAAAGAATAGTGAATGGGAATGAAATAAGTGAAAGAAAAAGTTCTGATAAATTTCTTAATGAAATATACCTTGACATACATGATACTTGTAATTCTCACGCATTTTATTGTATGAATAATAATTATATCTAACAATTCACACACAAATCCTTGATAAACTTATATTATCTAATTTTTGAAGAGGTACTTGAAGAAACAGGAAATTCCAATGATTCACAATGTTAAAAATAAAAATATTCACGTACACTTTTATCAATACAAAAAAAAAAATAAAAAATCTAAATTTTTAAGCAAAATAAAAATTTTTACACCGTGATACGATATTCTTTGACTCTTTGAAAAACAGAATAAGAATGGAAAACAAATATAAACCATATGGTTTATTATTATCTGAAAATCTAGAATATAGATAAAATTATCTAAAGGAATTTATTGAAAAAATAATAAACATATGTTTATAAAGTATAAATGAATAATACGTACTGTTTTGTTAATAATAATATTGAACAGCCTCTAAGTTTTGTACTCATCAACAGGTAACTTAAGAAAAACTCAACGATTGTCCGCGGGATTTTGATGTAGTCTATTGATTATTTATGACAAGTAGTGGGAGTAAGAATTCAAGTATAGTTTTGTAAAATAATTGTACATGTACACAATGTCGATAATATAGAAAATTGTAATAGATCATTATCAATCTCAGTAGAAATATGATTTACATTGGTGATAAATTACTTTTTAAGTGATTATTTATAAATATAAAATCATTGACATTATTAGTAACGTAAATTTCATAGGGAAAGAAACTTTTAGGGAAGTTACAAAAAATCCTTGCCAACAAAAATTCTAGAAGCTTTTATTATCAATGTTGTCATCCATTGCCATCCGCGTCCATTATAGTAATGGCATCAAGTACTTTATTTTTTAATATTTTTATTGAATTAAATGTTATATCGGGGTTATTCCTCGATTTCAGAAATCAAGATATACAAAACAGAAGATTATTTTCAAGTGTAAGGTACGAGTGATTCATCATATTGATATTTTTTCATAATATTACGGCTAATATTATACGGCTAACCTATACAAAAATGTGACAACCACGCTGTCAGTTGTTTTTTTTATTGTTAATCAAGAGATTTAATTAAGCATCATATTATAGTGCACATAAGTAATGTAAGTTTACCTTATTCAAACTTCAATAAGTAATTATTGAATTAAATCAAATATTTTTTAACTTATTTTTGTGTAGAACAAATGTCGTATTTTTATAACCTTCAAATATTTTTTCTCTTATTTTAATAAACACATTAAATATTTAATTGATTAAATAAATTCGTGTAAATAAAATTTATTAATTACTTACTTTAGCTTTTATCTCTTCAATTACCTTGACGTTGACATATGTTGTAAAAATTATTATACTGAATAGAGTACAGGTGTCTATAAGCTATAAAAAATTTTCTTTAACATAATTTTTCAACTTGTCTTAAAAAATCTTTAAGAGTTTTAAAATTTTCGGCACTGATAGCATTTGTTCTGGGTGTTTGAATTTTAGAAAATATTAGAATAAACGGTGAAGGTATTACACAGTAATTCTACAAACAGTAATTGAATGTTAAAAAATAGAGTATGTAATAGTTTGAACAATGTTTTAATGAAACTAACTCATATATTTCACGTATCAAAGTCAAGATCATTCCAGAAATGAAAGCTAAAGTAAATAGTTACTTTTTATTTTTTGAATTTCGATATTTTTAAATAATAAAATATTTATTTAGACAATTTCATAAATGAACACATCCAAGGATTCAACAGAAGAACAAGATCCGGAATATATCACAACAGAACCAACTGAAAATATCCAACAACAACTCTATGAAGAAATAGGTACTTTATGTTTATAATTACTTTCATTAGTTATAAGTCTATTTCATATTATTTATTAGCTATTAAATAACAAAGTTTTTAAATTCATTTTTTGCAGCACGAAAAAATGCATCTGAGAAAATAAAAGAAATTATTGACAAGGAATTTTCAAGAGAAATTGACGAAAAAGAAGAAGAACTTTTATTAATACAAGATCGTTTACATAGTGCATTAAAAACACTACATTTGTTACGATATGTAATAGTAACAGATTACTATAATCGTAAACAATGTATTGCTGAACAAACAGATGAACTGAAACAAACAAGAATACATCCTGCAATAAAAGAACTATTAGGAAAAGCTCCAAGAAAAGATGAAAACTATATATTCGATCCTTCTAAGCCCTCTACATCAAAAGAAAGTTTTTGTTTTGATGAAACCTTCTTAGAAAATGACTTAGATGCTAAAAATGTTTCAGATAATAAGCATTTTATTATAAAGAATAACGTAAAAAAAGAAAAAAATGTTTACTGTAAAAGAGAAGTAAATAAAAATGAAGAATTGGAAGAAAATTATGAAAATAAACATCAAAGAGAGTGTCTGAGAAATAAGGACAGTAAAAATTATAATTCGGAAAGTGGTGAAAACTTTAGAAAAAAAACTCTGAATGAATACGAAAGTGATGAAGGTCCACCAAGAAAAGTACCTCGTTACATTCCACCAAAAAGTAAACTTCCAGAATCTCCAGCTCCTTCACGAGGTGTTCATCATAAAGTCAGAAAGAGAATTGTCGTGGGTAATATATCTAAATGGATACCACCAGAGTGGCGGGAAGATGCAGCGAGTCATAAGTGGACAATGTATGTCCGAGGAAGTAAAGAAGAAGAGTATGAAATTAGTGAATTTGTGTCTAAAGTGCGCTTCTTTCTTCATCCAAGTTATCGACCAAATGATGTTGTTGAAGTAACATCTGCTCCGTTTTATCTGTCACGACGTGGCTGGGGAGAATTCCCTTTGAGAGTTCAATTACATTTTAAAAATCCTTTAAATAAACCAATGAATATTATTCATCATTTAAAGTTGGATCGCACGTACACAGGACTTCAAACTCTAGGTTCAGAAACGGTAGTTGATATTTGGATTAAAAATTCCGAGTTTATTGAGTCTAAAATTGAAAATTGTGATGATAATGATATTTTAAAAAATAAAAAATCTAATAATGAAATAGAGTACGATAACAAATTGTGGAAGGAACATCTTCATGAAAATTATCACCATGTTTTTATGGAGCATGATTATACAAAAAACAATAACTTTTACTTTGAATGTACAGATGTTGATAATAACGTAACAATAGCACATTCCCCAGAAAAAAGAGAAGAAAAATGGAAGAAAGTAAATTATACAAATTGTTCACTTGTGTCAAATATAAGTAGAAATGATGAATCTGTCGAAGAATCTGAACATTGTGAAAAATACATCACAAATAATAGTAATAATTCAAACAAGAGTGTAACGGATGAGTTGATAGAATCTAAGGTAAAAAATGGATTTTCCGATTATTTTAAAATGGATAAGGATTCGAAATGTATTTTAAAATCAATGCAAAATAACTTGGAAACATTAAAACCATTGAAAATAGAAATTCCTTCTCCACTTGAATTATTAAAAAATTCCAGAGAATCAAATAAATGTTTATCAAAAAAAATTGTTCTCGTAAATGATAATAGAACAATTTCAACGAATGCCCAAAGTTCTAATAAAAATATACGACCTGTGAAAAGTGTTAGTTTACTTAAAAATTCAATCAATAGTGCAAATAACAATGTTAAAAAAAATAATTTTATCAATATACAAATAAATCCAGCAAAAAGTGTTATGTTGGACACAAATTCATATACTCCAGCATTACAAATCGCTCATCCTTTACATGTCGATGTAAATAATACTGAAAAAATGAATAATCGTAAACAAAAAATAGTAATAGGGAAAGATAAATTAAAAATTTGGTCGAGAAAAGAAGAATTTGAAAAAATTATTAAGGAAATAATTAATGTAAGAATTAAAGAGACTGAACCTTTAATGCGATTTATTTTACGCAGAATTCCAATTATTACTGAAAATGCATCTGATGCAGAATACAGAGAGATGCATCCTTATGTACATAAGAATGAAAAAGAATTTTTAGATTTTCATCCAGCTAAACAAAGAGCTCTTGAATGGTTCAGAGCAAAAAAAGTCCAGTCTTACTTATTGGAAAAAAATATTTCAGAAGATAAAATTTGGACAATTAAAGAAATTATCTGGTGGTGTCGTCTTCATGGTTACACACCAATACAAAATTCAATTGTAAATATTAATACTAAATATTCCAAAAGTTATAAAAAGTTGGACAATTTTGATTTTTTCAATACATGCACTGAATCATCTCTTTTAAGAAATTGGATAGAAGATTTTAGAGATTCGAAAAAGATATTTACATGCTTAGATAACGAAATTATTGATGTAGAAAGCATTGGTGATGATAATAAAATTAACGTTACCGAAAATGATAACAAAACTCTTATAATGGATGAAGAAAGCAATTTAGAAGTTATTCAAATGCCGAAAACAATGATACCTATGTATTCATACATATGTGGAACTGCAAGAAAAATTGGAATAACGATTGGACCTGAAGAAATTGTTCCAGGAGTTAGCGATTGTACTTCAGGACGAATTATTATTAAGGTAAACTGAATGAGTTAATTTGACAGATATTATTTATTTATAACCAAGATATTTATAGATCTTTAATTTCAATTTTAGAAATATTTCGTCAAATACAACAATGATTATTGTATTTGTTGAACAAATTACTCGAAAAGATGTAGATTGTTATTATAAAGAAATTTTTATTTTGTTTAATGTTAATCAATAACTTTTTGAATGTCTATACTGTTTGAATTTTTACGTTTAGAGGTTATCAATACTATTAAGTTTGAGGTTAAAGGTGCTATTTTATAGTAGGGATAGTAATTTTAAATATTAATATTATATTAATTTTTTTCATTATTTAGGTTGTGGAATGTCTTATGCAGGACTTGTTACGGCTTTCATTAGCAAAAGCATGGGAGAGAAACGATGGAAATTATCCAGATGTTATCGTGATAACTGATGTACGTAAGGCAATTTTAAGTCGTGAAGAGTTTGATATTTTTACAAATGCGGGCCTTGGATCTTCAACAATTCAGTAAAATGATTGATTATGTATGCCAATTAATAACTTATAATCGATCATTTATGGTGATGAAGTTGATCTCAATTGTCTTTATATCGGATATTATAAAAATTTTTTTTTTTTAATAATTTTTGAAGGATTCGTCAAAATAATGAAATTATGTAAAACGTTTTAAGTCTTGAAGATAATGAATTTCGTTTATTGCTGGTGATTTTTATAATTATCTAAGTAATTGATTAATATTTATACTATTTACATTATTACTGCCGTATTGCATTGTGAATCATTTTGTGTAAAAAATAAAAAAATGAAAATAAAAAATAGTATTATTAAATCAAAGTATTTATTCATTTATTTCTAATTGATTTGAAAGTATAGACAATTTTATTATCAATTAATACATAATTTAAGTTAATTGTTATTCAGATAGTTAATCCAAATTATATGGATAAGTTACTTGATGAAGAGTAATTTATTTAGATTGAAAATTTCAACGTAAGAAAAAATTGGTGGCCCTAAAAAGGGCCGTTTGGTTTGATGTGAGTTTAAGCGCTGCTCTTCTCAGTTTTCTTGGGCAAAAGTACTGCTTGTATGTTAGGCAATACACCACCTTGTGCAATGGTAACTCCAGAGAGGAGTTTGTTCAATTCTTCGTCATTACGAATGGCAAGTTGGAGATGGCGAGGAATAATCCTCGTTTTCTTGTTGTCACGGGCAGCATTACCTGCCAATTCGAGAACTTCTGCCGCTAAGTATTCCATGACGGCTGCCAAGTATACTGGAGCTCCAGCACCAACACGTTCAGCATAATTGCCTTTTCGGAGCATTCGATGAATACGACCAACTGGGAACTGAAGTCCAGCCCGCGTTGATCGAGTCTTTGACTTTCCCTTCACTTTACCACCTTTACCACGACCAGACATTTTGATAATAGAATTACGATACTTTTCAGTCAAAGTACTGTGAAACGATACACTGTGAAACGAAAGACTATAATATAATATTTATCGAAATCTACCTCCGAACCAATCATATTTGAGATAGGAACAAACGAAAACAAAACATCATTAACTCGTACAAACATGATGTATCTCCGAACCAATCGCGTTTGCTTTTTTCATTTGCTCAACTATGATTGGTTCGGACATCTGCGCTTGAAACTAATACAGCTGTCTGTGGGTAAAGTTGGTCACACTCCTCAGTTTCTGTTTGAAAGAGTACGTGTATTCTATCATGCCTCCTAAAACAAGTGGTAAAGCTGTCAAAAAGTCTGGCAAAGCCCAGAAGAATATTTCTAAAACTGATAAATCGAAGAAGAAGCGTAAGAGGAAGGAGAGCTACGCTATCTACATTTACAAAGTACTCAAGCAAGTCCATCCTGATACTGGAATTTCTAGTAAAGCAATGAGTATCATGAATAGTTTTGTCAACGATATTTTCGAACGTATCGCCGCTGAGTCATCCAGGTTGGCTCATTACAACAAAAGATCGACGATCACATCACGCGAAATTCAAACAGCTGTTCGACTACTTCTACCTGGTGAGCTAGCTAAACACGCTGTAAGTGAAGGGACAAAAGCTGTTACCAAATACACCAGCTCCAAATAAATTGACCCTAACAATAAACAAACGGCCCTTTTAAGGGCCATCAAATATTCTGCACGTAATAACTTCATTCTAATCCTATAAATTTGATACCTTGAAATGTTGATTGAAAATTCCTACAAATTTGAACTTTGGACAAATATTGTAGACATGTGAACACAGTTATTGTACCATTATGTTATAAATACATTCAGTTTAAGTAATGATAAAATTTATATAGTCGTCTTCAATAATATTAATAATACAACCTAAATGGTAATAAATATAAAATTGGATATCACTATTTATATCTGGTTAAGTCATATATCATTATCAACGTGACAACGATATAATTAGTGTGTTATAACGACAAATAAAATGAGTATTATTGGGTGTATTGATTACTTATAATTGGAATTGTATACATAACATGCTTGATTTTAACAAGAATAATGTTATGGAGTACCATATTTTGATAATCAAATGGAAAGAATGGATTGTTATATTACAAATAAAAATATTTATTAAAGTAGAATAATTGTAATTTAGAGTGTACATTTTAGAAATTCAGTAAAACACAATGTAAAATCAATATTATCAAAGTTATACTTAATAATGGTATATTTATTTTTATATTACTAAGATGAAGAATATAATAAGATAACTTCGAATTTTTATTTTTCTCTTTTAATCTCATTCGTGATTTTAGACTGTTTTGAGTTAGAAGGTTTAATAGGTGTAATTATCTTCGTCATTGATGTATTAAGATAGGAATATAGAATATAAATAATCATTTATACATTTCAAAGTTATAGTGATAAAAATAAAACTTTTAATGAATTTTTCGTTTTTTTGTAAAATAGTTACGGATAATAATAATATTATTTTAGTAGAATCAGACATGCATAGTCAGACATATATCTAACTAATAATCAATTATTTATATCCTCAATACTTTGATACATTAATTAAATTGGTGTAGTATTTAATTGTTATTAGTAGTTAGTATTTAATTTAAATTGTGCTTTCAACTGTTTTATTATTTTACATTTTAGCAATTTTTAATTTTTATACCGAAATGACTTACAATAGAATGGACTTGTATTTAATTAATTCAATAGAATTTGAAGGAGTTCTGTTTGATAATTTAGTGGCCCTGAAAAGGGCCGATTGTTAGATAGGAAAAGCTTATGCTCGTTCTCCTCGAATTCGCCGTGCGAGTTGAATGTCTTTTGGCATGATGGTGACTCTTTTGGCGTGAATAGCACACAGATTTGTATCTTCAAAAAGACCTACAAGATAAGCTTCGCTAGCTTCCTGCAAAGCCATTACTGCTGAACTTTGGAATCTCAAATCAGTTTTGAAATCTTGAGCGATTTCACGAACAAGTCGTTGGAATGGTAGTTTACGAATTAAAAGTTCAGTACTCTTCTGATACCGACGAATCTCACGAAGAGCTACAGTCCCAGGTCGATATCGGTGAGGCTTCTTTACTCCCCCAGTAGCCGGGGCACTCTTACGAGCAGCCTTCGTGGCAAGTTGTTTTCTCGGAGCTTTACCTCCAGTCGATTTCCGAGCAGTTTGTTTAGTACGAGCCATGACTTCGAAAAGTTCTCGTTAATCGTTAGTATAGACGATTTGAAGGAGAGTGTGTCTGTGCTCCAAAAATATCCACTTTTATACTCTTATTTGCTGTATTGTAATTGGTTAATGTTTCTTAGGAAAGGGAAACTAAAATGTGGATGATGATTGGTTGTAAAATAAGAGAAGGGATGACCAACGGAGTATTTATAAGAGCACGTTTCGAAGCAGTTCATTATTCGAAATTTTGTCTATTGTAAAGTACAAATCAAGTTTTATTTAAAATGACTGGTCGCGGTAAGGGAGGAAAAGGATTGGGTAAAGGAGGTGCCAAACGTCATCGTAAAGTGTTACGAGATAACATCCAGGGTATTACGAAGCCAGCTATTCGTCGTTTAGCACGACGTGGTGGAGTCAAGCGGATCTCTGGTCTAATTTATGAAGAAACTCGAGGTGTTTTGAAAGTGTTTCTCGAAAACGTTATCCGTGATGCAGTCACATACACCGAACATGCTAAAAGGAAGACTGTCACGGCTATGGATGTAGTCTATGCCTTGAAGCGTCAGGGACGTACATTGTACGGATTTGGAGGTTAAGTCAGTTACTCCTAACTAAAACCAACGGCCCTTTTCAGGGCCACTAAATATTCAATACGTAAATTCTTTTCATCTTTTAATATACTATCCTTGCTCAATTGTGTACTTATATTGATTTTGAGTATTTGTATTCATTTAAATCATATACTTGTAAACCATAACCTCTAACTGTTATCTTAAACTTTGAGTTTATTGTGTATATTTAAGTATATTAATAAGTGTAGTTAAGTAATTAACTTAGAATTAGAAAATATGTATTAAGAAATTTTATTTTAAGTATTATGGTTATTAGTAAATATATTCAAATAATAAAAGTTGATTGTCTATTGATTTAAATATTAAAAACATGTTTCCATGAACACCAAGACTCCTGAATGTAACAATGATATCAAAATGTGTGGCTATTTCAGACGATCGGATATGACTTTATACAGGTTCTTAATTGTGATTTGTACTGAATCAGCTGTATGAACATTAGGCTATTTTAAATAAACAAATTAAAATCAGATCCTTGATAAGCGTTTATCTAATCAAAATTATGTTTATAGATTTTTTGTTTTATTATATTTGATACATATCTTATAAAAAAAATTTTTATTTCGATTTATCAAATATATTTTTATAGCGAAGTTAAAATAAACTTATTTTTACATCAAAATCGATCTATTTGTCTTAAAAATTAATACATTTCTTAAATAAACGAAAATGGTATTTATCATTACGAAATGGTATTTAGTTTATTAGTTAAAATTGATGATATTGAGAAAGGAATGAATGTTAATTTTAATAAATTCAATATATCGCATTGTTTTTATCAAAAGAATATTGATGATTGGGTATTGGTTTAGGATACTTGGAATTATAGCTTGATTATTTATACGTTAAGAAATATTTGTTTGGCCCTTAAAAGGGCCGTTGGGTATATTTCGTGTGAACACGAAGTTTTCGATACGGTTGACTAATCATATTTATTTTTTGGCAGCTGTTGCTTTCTTGGGTGCTGTTTTGGCTGTTTTTGGTGCTGTTACCTTCTTGGGTTTTGGAGCCTTGGGTTTGGCTGTTGGTGCCTTGGTTGCTTTCTTGGCTTTAGGTGCAGCAGGTGTTTTAGGTTTAACTGCTTTAGGAGCAGCGGTTTTAGTTGTAGTTTTCTTCTCAGCAGGTGTTGTTTTCTTAGCTTCTTTCTTGGGCGTAGTAGGTTTTTTACCAACTTTTTCCTTGGTTTCAGTGGTCTTCTTTGGAGATTTCTTCGGTGCTGCAGGTTTTTTAGCTTTGACTTCTTTCTTTTCTGCGGTCGCTTTAGGTTTAGGTTTAGCAGCTGCAACTTTAGTTACTGCTAGCTTGAAAGATCCATTAGCTCCTTTTCCTTTAACTTGGACGAGTGTTCCATCGGTAACGGCAGCTTTTAAGAATTTCTTGATGAATTGTGAATGCTTTTCAGTGTCAACCTTGTAGGTACTGGCAATGTATTTCTTGATGGCTTGAAGTGATGATCCATTGCGCTCAGCAAGAGTCTTAATGGCTGTTTTAACCATTGAAGCAGTACCGGGATGAGTTTTAGGTTTGGCAGCAGTAGCGCTCTTAGCTTTAGGAGCTGCTGCTTTCTTCGGTGTTGCAGTCTTAGCCGGAGTCTTCTCTTCAGGTGCTGATGTAGCAACGGGTGCTGCAGTCTTCTCAGTCATTTTGCGATAAAATCAAGCTGAACAGTAACGAACAAATAGAACGATAGAATATCCTGGGTCTACGTATAGAATCAAGCGGATAAAGCGCCACAAGTCAGACACTAGTATGCATACCAAAGCGCGGACCATGAAGAGAGTCGGTAGGAATTTTCGACACAAATTTACTAGCAACTGCCATTGAGAGGTATTCATTTGTTACTGTTTTTTTAGTTATAATAAATAAGCAAACGCGTAGATGAGCATTATAAAAGTTAAAAATTGTAGCTAAAAGATTAATGATTCTAATAGAAGAGAAAGATTATTAATTAAAAATAAGGTTATATGTTTTTTAATTATCTATTTAAAAAGGCATTCTTCTTATTATCGTGACTTTCATACTTAAAGTTGTTATAAATAATACAATACTAATGATGTTATTAAAAAAATTATTGAATGATGTAATGAAAAGAACGTTTGATCAATAGAAATACGTAAAAAAGCTTTATATTTATTAAATACATAGAAAATAATTTTATTAGATCAGAAGATGGACACACAATATTTACAGACTTGGCATATTGATGAATTTTTAAAAAATCATTAAAAATGTTGAATAATGATTATTACAGAGATATAAGATGCTTTATTTTATTTTAAGAGAATCATTTGACGATTATCGAGCTAAGTGAGTAATTTTGAAGCTAACAAAGTTACATGTGATGTACATGTACAAACGTGTTATAGCTCACCAGAAATTGAGAAGCTTGAAAACGGACTGCTATACCGACCACTCTTATAAGAAAAAAAAGCAACGATCCTTTATAACATACATCTAATTTTTTGAAAAATATATTCGATAAGTTATATTCAAAATAAATATATATTTCATTGATTTCTGACAAAAGTTTCCTTAAAAAGAAATCATTGTACATATAACAGAAATGATGCCAGCTGCTTCCCGCCAATTTTAAGTAATTTATTATTTGGGCGGGATTTTTTTCCTTTTATCTAATGATAATTTTGTATACCAAAAATTATAAATAATTGTCAAGATAAACAACAAGAAAATATTAAATTGTCAAAAATATTATATCAAAATTATTTTGTCAATAAATTTGTGTCAAACGAATCAAAATAGCGGGAAAAAATGAAGCATAGGAAATAGATGAAATATTTTTGTTGACTATTGTTAAAACAAATTTTTTTTACTTGATCGGTTTTCTTACAAATAGATAATATATGTTTCTTGCTGTACAAGTTTATTTTTCAAAACAGTATTAAAAATGTTTTTATCAAAAACTATTTTCAGCAATTAAAAATAGACTGAAATGAAAGAAAAGATTCTTTCGATGTATGGAATTAATTTTCTTCGCGTGTATGTTAATTGTATTGCACAAAGGACGTTTATTTTTTTTATTTCTGTTAACTTAACTATTACCTAGGTAACCTTTCTTTAGATTATTTAGGATATTATTTGAATAGTGACGATTCAATAAATAGGAGTGATAAATAAAAACAAATATTTTTTATATTAAAATAATTCATTTTTTATATAGTAAGATATACATTAATTATTAACATTGTATTACGTCACACGAAAAAATGCTTTTAAATTGTTGTAGTAAGATTCAAATTACTTTGAGATTCATTAAAAATTGTTCACAGTATCATAATAATATAAATCATACTTAAAGCACTTGATAATATAAATCATATTTGACAAAAACAAGTCTTACAATTTAATGATAAAAAAAACATAGTGACTTTTATAATTAAATGTAGTACATCACACTCACACTTTATATAATAGTTTGCAAATATTATCATGTATTATTCATTTGTTTCTGTACAATTAAGAATTCGTCGGATTATAATGATATTGATATTTTTATGATTTTAAAATGTTCGGCGTGGAAATAGATAGTATTATTAATATTATTATATATGAATTTAATTTCAATCAAGTTAGTTCTTGTATATTTTTAGTTATTTCATCAAATAACATTCTTGCATAATTTTCGTTAATCTTCGATCAGAAATAATATTATTCATTCTTAATATGGCAACATATAAATATTTATCGATCTACATTCTATATTTTTACAAACAAATATTTAAAAGCTTGATAATAGTTTTATTCTACAAAAAATTGATAATACTTAAAGAGTTAAAAATTCTTTGTAACTTCTTATTACATCAGATGCTTTGGAAAACAGCACCAAGTTTAATATTTTTTTGTTTTTAGTTTTACATTTTATCTTAACTTTTCAACTATTCTAACAGTTTACAACAAGAAGCGTTTATAAATTTCACGAACTTTCATTTTTACTGTGCAAAAGCGAACTTAAACTGGCCATTAAATTGTAAATAATCCGTTTGTTTAGTTATTAAAATTACCATCACAATAATATTAAAAAAAAATAAAGAAAATTTTGCAACTGAACTATAAATATCAGTACATGATCTCGAAGATCTCTCGACAATTGGAAAAAAATCTAATTTATTCACTTTAAAATACACATTTATAAACAAACTATTTTGTTGTTTTTTTTTTATTTATGTGATTGTTAAAGTTACTTAGATTAACGGCTGTCAATATCAATCATTAACTTTTTTTTCATTCCTAAAAATTCATGTGGTTGTCACGCATAAGTGTTGTTATTTGTTTCATCAGTAGTAATAACTATGCTTTCTTGGAGATCTAATTCTCGAACTATCTCAGCCCATTTTTTATTATCAGCAAGTACCCTGAAAAAGAGGAAAAAATATTAATACACAAATGGATAAATATTTTGAAAAAGTATTCTTTATTAGAATTAAATTTTTCATAATAAATGCTTTAATATTTACTTTCTTGTGTTGTCACTAACAACACTGTCAGGTGCTCCGTATACTGGAGGGTTTGCATAAGGATCATATCCTAGGATAGAAAGCATTGGAGCTATATCAGGCATGTCTCTGACCACATCTTCTGGAATGTGCCCTACCCACTTTGTTAAGGCTTCCAAATTTATCGGCTTTATTACTTGATCAGATGATCTTTCTACTCTGAAAATGATCGTTAAAAATTATTTTACCATTTGTTTACTATAATAAATATTTTCATCTTACTTTCTTTCTTTAATTTTCTCTTTAATCAATAAGTTTAAAAGGATCTTACTTCGAAAGTGGTACACCACCAGGTTTGTTGATGTATTCTTCATGATGAAGAACTGATTCATTCCAAGGAACATCAAGAAAATTAAGGATTTTTTTCATCCAATCTCGAGGGTGCAGCACAAGTTGTTCGTAAGGTACCATTAGACATCGTTTTGATCCCACTTCTTTACATTGCTCATGCATCAACGAGATTGCGAGATTCCACCGTGAAAGACATTGTCTGTATGACGAAAGATCAAACCCTGTTATCGTTACCTGAAATTCAAATATTTTAAATTAGATGAAAAAATATTATTCATGATTTACATCAAAGGATTTCTTAGTTAAGATCTTTTACAAATCAGCAATCAAATAATATTTGAGTTTTTTTTTTATCAATTAGATGATGAAAATTCACAAATGCAAATGGATGAAATAAGGTTAATGTTATTAGATTAAAGTAAAAGTGATTGAGGGAACTGATCGATTGAGGTAAATTACCTTACCTATTAATAAATAGATTGATGCATTAATAAATTGATCTTTGTGTTAATAGTCGGATGGTAAAGTGATAAGTGATAATCAATTAAAGTAATGAGATTAAATTTCTTAGAGGATCTTCAAACATTTTTGAATGGATAAATTGTTAATTTACCTTCCTTGATATGATTGAATGAACAGTTGCTCGGCCGTCCCTGATCATAAAGAGAAATTTAGCGTTTGGAAAGAGCTCAAGCATGTAAGAGCCCATCTTCAAAGTCAAAGGATCTTTATTGCATAATCTCGGTGCTGGTTCTCCATGTCTTGCAATTACTTCAAGACAGAATGCTGCAATCGCACTATCTATTACCTGTGAAAATCATCAAACGAGGTTAGTAGTTGTGAGAATAATAATAAACTATTAAATTTAAACTTTTAGATGCTTCATTTGTTATTTAAATTACTTACTTCTTTGGTGATGCCTGCTTCAGCAAGTCGTAAACTTTCACGGTGTGATTTTAGCCAGTGCGAACGCATTTGTAGTATTCGAGGTATAATTCGTGTTTCCTGACCACACCTACCACAACAATTCATCTTCGTTAGTTTTACAATGTAACATTTTTTATTAAATTATTTTAAAACGAATATTTTTGAAATAATAACTTTAAACTTGTAAAAAGAGAATTTTTATTAACTATTGTTTAAGAGTTATTTGTCTCTATTAATGAATTTATTTGAAAAGCTTTCTGTTTTATTCTTACCTAACGTCTGGATGAGCATCTAACATAGCTCGCATTAAAGTGGTGCCTGATCTGGGTACTCCACCGATGAATATTAATGGCATATTTCTGTCATACGTATATGCTTTTTTGTCCTGTTCACCAACGACATATTTCTGAAATGAATAAATTAATTAAAAACTCGTCTAAATTTAAATATCTCATCACAGCTTTACTACTATTGCAATTTTTTTCTATAACTACTACACCGTATTGTAGCGTAATACAAATTGAATTTACACATGAATTTAAATATAAAAATAAAAATTATTAGTTCGAAGTAGAAATAAAATTTTGTGTTCAAATAAAACATCTACAATTTTGTTGAAATTTTATCATTATACCTTAATAAAAAATAGTTGAACAAAGAAAAATATTATATCGAGTGTATTTTGAAATTTATTCACTTAGATATTACTGCTAAATTTGATTTCACATACTACTGTGTACTACAAATAGGTATTAATCTATTAAGCTATATGGAAATTTCCCTTTATAATTACATTATCCCGTAAATAATATTCTGTGATGTATGATTTCAGTCCTGAGAGAAATTAAAACACTAACAAGAGTTGAAACAAAAATTCATTATACCAAATACACATACTGATTTAATTATCCGTTTCGAAATTTCTTTTGATTATTCACCGATTTAATTACATTTCAATTTAAGCTCTATTTAAATTTATCGAATGAACAACTACATGAATAAAAAAAAGTTATTTACTGAATGGAAATTACTTCTAATAAAAGTACTTCAAAGTAAAAAGTTTAGGCTTTGAAATTCTTTCAGGCATGATTTGATTATTTAACTTTTTATTAGTTAATTGGGTTTTCGAATAACATATCTTATATCATTCTAAAACTCTAGATTTTTTAATGAAAATTCAAAGATGAAGATATCTAGTTCTTAAACTTTCATTTACTTACACTGCAAATCCAAATACATTTTTGTTACACATCTAAGTGTATAAAAAATGACGGCGTTTATTTGATTAAAATTGTAGTCACTTCTAATGCGTTTCTGAATGTGTAAAAGAGTACCACAATGCTAATTAAATGGGTGACGTCATATTTAACACATTTAGATGTGTAACAAGAATGCACTTGGATTTACAGTGTACTACTGATACATTTATACTTTTCACTGTATATTCTCTTAGGTTTTTACCGTTTTCTCACTACATCTTTATTTACCTACTGGAAAGACCACTCTCTCGATGTGACCTTCCAGGTTTAGTTGTGTCGGCAGCCAACTTACACCCTAACCCAAATTATATCACGTTTTCAAAAGGACATAGGGAAACTGTCAGTCGAAACAACTACGTCGATATAGCCGGCCCTTTTAGTAAGACTTTCCACTCATCAGTAATTTTTTTCTTAGTTCGAGATTTGAGGTTTAATATGCTCACACTTTGACCACTCTGGCGATTTTATTTTCTAATAATAATCAACAGATAAACTGTTTATTTAAATAAAAACTTTTAATATAAGAAATAGTTATGGTAATAGACTAAGTAAGGATTGTCTAGAACTCAGCCGGGTTATCTTTGGATAAAAAAATCAAACTGTTATTGAGAAGTTGATCAATGGAGTTAATCGTAATACGAGTGACAATTCAGCCATCTCTTCTTTGTAAATACTAAAGGCGCTTTGAAAAAGATTGGAATAAAAATCATTTTTACCAAATCAATAGAGTTATCGTGATGAAAAACAAAAAGATGCTGTTGTCATAACAGATCGCAGATCTGTCTTTGGGAAAGTTTAAATTTCCCAACTAGAAAAAGCTGTTGAAAATATATCTTTCTAAAGATGTCTATGTCTATATACTATTTAATAATCTTATAGTTGTCTTATTGACATCCAAAAAGATGTCTATTTCTGTGTAAAACTTTGTTCAAATAATGTCTTAAATGATATCCAAAATGATGTCCAAAAGAAAGCCAAAGAGTTCTTTGGACATTTTTTAGAGATCATTCTATTTATCTAAAAATTAATCTCTATCGATATCTTATTGATGAATTTTTGAAAAATTAACTGTTAACTTCAAAAATTTTTTTTTTTAGTTGGGTTCGATTGTATCTTTAGAACAACACATGAGAAAAATTCTGTTCAATAGCCTACGTGAATATCTGCTTTATGAATTTATCCCACATCTAATGAGCCGGCTTTTTTTACTAATAATTTTTAATATTAATACTCAAGCAGCAGCAATTTGACAATTTTTCTAATCGTACTCCTAATCGAACTTGTCTTACATCCATGTACATCCACTGAAGATAGGATAAAGATTAGAAAAAGTGTTAAATTACTGCTGACCTGCAGACCTGCAAGTATGTACATATGTGCATGCGTGAGTGCGTATATCATCGTTCTCGATATCTCGAGAACCACTGAAAATATCGACTCTGGACAAATTTCATTTTAGAGATAAGACAATGAAGAACAAATTCGATCTAGCCGTTTTTTTTAATAGCGAAAAGAGTGTAAAATAAGTTGAGTAAAAAAGACATTTAAAATAGATTCTACTTTTTAGATGATTAACATTATTAATAATTGAGGTCAATATAATATGGTTGTTAATAACTTCATATGACTTTAAAAAATTATGTATTATTTATAACGAATTTAATTTGTTATAAACAATCAAAAATCGTTTTAATTTATTGAATAATCATTTTTATGATAACATTCGATAAATATCTATGAAATATTGTTATAAATAATTGTATGCGATTAAACAATTGTATATTGTTTATAAAAATAGTGATTTTTTATAAACAAAAAAACTAAAAAATGTCAAAATTACAGATTTCAATTAATGAGAATTTCGTCGTCAAGGTACAAAATCCAGACCTATTTTTAAAGTTAATTTCGAAATTTATACAAAAGTAACAAGCTCCAAAAAATTAATTAACTTTGTCAGAATAGTAGTCCAATAGTAAATAGTATTCCACTTTTTATTCACTAGAGGAATTAATGTAGTGGATATGAAAATCAATGTAAATGTTTACTACATAAATCAACGTTACAAAAATTATTAAAACGACTTTCAAGAAAGATTTTTTATTATAAATAAAACTTCTGTTTTTTTTTGTCGTAGCAACATGACAAATCGTGTTAAAGTAAAAGGACAGTGTTTAATACTTGCAACAGAACAGTTATATTACTACGGCAAAATAGCTTTGTTGTGACAACATGACACCGTCCTGTTGTAGATGAAATTTCCTTTTTATGTAGAGTATCATGTAGGATTTTCGAATAATCCGGAGACAAAATATAGATTTTCTTATTTTTGGTTTAGCGTTGAACGAAAATTGGTCGTATCTTTGTATCTAATTAGGAACTCTTAAAGCGTAAATCAGTAAAAATCACTGTGAATATTGAAAATATATCTGCCATTACGCAAACGGATAAAATTATGAAACAATTACATAATTTGTATTAATGGAAGTTAATCTAGTTATAAAGAAAAATTTACAATAAATTCTAATTATGCGGCAATATTTTAGAATTTTAGTTCTTGAACAAAATTGAATAATTATTTTTCATATAATTAAATGGGTTTTATTATTTTTAATTAGCCCATTAATATTTTGTTAAAAGTTGTGTTGCATAAAAGCTTTTTGATTACTCAGTAATCTGTGGATTTATGAATAATTATTAATTCTTTCTATTATCACATTAGACTAGAAATTTTAGTATTAATTATGATAAATTATAGCTCTATTATTAATTACAGTTGATGTACAATCTAGCGTAAAGTTCGAAGACATACCTATTAATAACTCGAGCAAATTTTATATCTTGCGGGCTATAATGATTATTAATTTCCCCTGACAAACATGAAACTTGAGAAGAGTCATTTATATTCTGCACCTAGTTTGTTCTTAATTTAAATGAATCTTTTACTTTTCTTTTACCTTTGACTTGATATATGTGTGATCTCTTTGACTTTTGCTTTGTTTCAAGTTAATTCTGTATCATCTATTCAATTTTGTGTTTGCACTTATCCACCATTCAACTCAACATGAATTCATACTATTTAATACATGTCTGACTGAAATAAATTTTTATCACTTCTGTTTGTTTTCATCTTCAAAATGTTGGAAGATTGTCAGTATTTGACGTAACGGTCGAGACTTGAGGATATTTGATAAGCGAGTTCAGATACCATGGAGCAGATTCAGCTATGACCTCAGGCGATATGACAAATCTCAGTGTCGTGGGCAAACGTGCAATGTAATCCGAGACTTAGTCAAACTAATGCATCAAATTGTCTTTTCTTTTGAGTCTGTTTTTTTCTTTAGAAAATTCAAAGCTTGAGAATTCTTGAAAGTTAAGAAATTTCGAAAGATAGAGAGAAGAATCTCAAAGAGGAGATGAGTGATCTAATAGACAAAAGGCAGAAACAACTTTAGCAGTTCTATTCAATTAATTGAGTAAATAGTTTGAAAAGAAGATATAAAGAAATTTCATTTTTTATGACCTATTTGAGCTTTTTTGGCGAAGATTTCATTAAGATTTGATAAGTTGACTTAAGCCCTTATTAAAATTTACTAAGCAAAGAAAGTTTCTTTAATTTTCTTAAATTCTTTTACTTGAACGAATCATTTAAAATTAAAATTGAAAAAAAAATCATATAATTTTGTAACCTTGAATGATTTCTGTAAATGTATTCTATCACTATAAATCGAGGTATGTTGCAGTGTATCAATTCATAAGTTCACTACTGAATTATTCAAACGTTTCAACTTTCAACCAAACCTGTACGAAGTCGTATTACTTTTTGTTTCCAATATTTTGTTTATTCATGAAATTAGATTGTAAAAGTTTTTACAAAAGAATAATAAACATATAAAAAAAGTTTGGAGTAACAGATCAAAGAATGAAAAAAATAAATGTACATTAAATAGTGATTTTTTTTTAAATATTTCAATATAACCTCATTTTTTCTATGCCAGATCTTTTTTTACAATTTGATTAATTTACTCGAGTTACGTAAGTTATTCAGAAGTCATTCCAACACTCAAAACTCAATTCAACTCATGTATCATATTTTTCTTTTAATACTTGTTCAACTCTCTTTTGACTGAGAAATATTCACGTGTCAAAG